AGATTAGAATGTGTGACTCGAGTGGAATTAGAAAAATGGTCCTTTGGAAAAAAAATGATTTCTAGATACCCTCGATTTTTTGCGAGGCCAATCTCTCATAATTTTTTTTCCAAAAAAGAATATCTTCTCACTAGATTAATTCCTTGTAATCACTAATCTGAAATTATTTAAAGTGAAGCTGAAAAAAGGCAGCCAAAAGTATTCTCAACGCGTACTAATCCACATTTTTTTCACTTTGAAATAAAATTTGAAATAAAGTTCAAATTTACAGTAAAATAAGCTAAATCTTTCTGCCTAATGGGTTCTTTTTTCAAGCAAAATTTTATAAATTGTATAATCCAGTAATCCAGGATATAGATTAGAACTTATTCTTCTGTAAGTAATCCTCCTTGGGAAAAAAAGATTTCTCACACTTTCATCTATTGTTCACTGTTCACTGTTCACAACAAATCAATCCAATAGCAGTGGAAATTTTTAGAAATCGACATCACAGGCTTTTCTGCTCTTTTTTTTCTCCCCAGCAAGGCTCACACTGGTGGGAAAACTCAAAAGTTTAGGGATTGAGTGTGGGAGAGGAGAAGGGGGATGGGGAACACACAGTCCGAGACTTCCGATCAAACGAGGGGACACTCCATCTCTTCTTCCCATTTTTCTCTTTTCTTCTTTTTTATCTTTATGTCTCATCCTTTCAATGTGTCTAGACCTTTCGAGCACAAACTAGCTAGTAGGCACAGTAGATAAAGAAGGAAAAGAGGAGAATGAAAAGAGGGAAGACTAGGTCGGCCAGGCTATCGATTCGAACACCTCAATGCCGTACCGATCCGATTCGTACTTTTAAAAGGCGCTGAACTCAAGATCAAAAATATTTTAGTGCGTGACCCTCACCTGGCCATTGAAAGAAATTTGCATTTAACTGCAGATTCGCAGACTCATTTTGTGCTTTCGACGTCTCCCCCTTCCTCCCCATAAACCCCATTCACCCGTTTTCCCCCCTTTTTTGCAATAGCCTTGAGTTCCGCGTTTTTCCCATCTTTTTTGGGGCTCAACCATTGCAAAAAAAACCTGTAAACAAAGAGAGATCCTTGAAAATCGACGAAAAGGAGCACATTGTTGTTCGTCCCCCATTCCTCATCTCAACTCACATCTAACACATTTGCGAAGACGGCATTTTGGGCGTACTGTCGCGTAGTCGTTACTGTTTTACTGACAACTTGGTGAACACTTAAAGGGAAACTAAACTATTATAGTCATTCGATAGCCCTGAATCTCCTCTTGAAAACTAATACAAAGTTACCAAAAACTTTCTGCGAAATAAATAACAAAAGTCCTTAAAAACTTGAGTTTACACCAAAAATAATCATTATAGTATCGACAGTATGGCCCACCAGTGGACCATACTGTCGTGAATGTGTTGAAGGCCTTCGTTTTAAATTTCTGTATTGATGGACAGGCCCGTACCCAGAAAAAAGGCAAATGCCTTCCCCCCTCCCCCCGCTGGATACGGACCTTTTGATGGATATAGTTATAAAGTTTCAAAAACGAAGATGCTTTCAGAAAAAAAGGAATGTCTGCCTTTTTGTCTTAATAAAAAAAAAGAAAAAAAATGTCTTCCGAGAACTGATGGGCAGCATGGCTTATCTCCTTGTATGGAGGCGAATTTCCGCCGTTTTTCAATAGTTTTTAGAGCATATCTGAACTTTGCCACTTTTTTGTAAAAGAAATCAAAGAGCGATAAACTACATCATTTAAGTTGAGATTTATGAAACAAAAGAAGAATAATCCTGGCTCAAAAATTGAACTTCTTTTTTGGGTGTTTGGACTTAAATGACGATTGAAAGTAATCCTAGTTTTGATTAAACTTTTTATTTGCCCAGCGCTGCATCTGCACAACAAATTTGCCGTCATTTGCAAAATGATTATCTTGTGATCGCTCAGTTACATTTGTAAGTACGGGGCTTTTTTTCTAACAATTACAAACTTTTACCAGAAAAAGGCAAAAAAAGTGCGAGTTTGCGAGTTTTTGCGCTCGTTTTTTTTGTTCTTACGATGTGTGCGGTCGAGGGAGGGTCGTTTACAAAATTCGCTCGCACAGGATTCAGCCTTCTCTTTTGGTTGCTTGCCCCCATTTTTAAATCGCTCCCTATCGCCCTAATGCGAATTATGCGGAAAAGGGACTCAAATGAAAAAAAAGAAAAGATCACAAAGTTCTCGAGAAGATTAAAAGGAAAAAAAAGAATTGAATCCCTTATTTTCTACTGTTTCTATCATGAATCTACTATATATAAAAGAGGAGTGTCTGTCCGTCCGTCTGTCCGTCCGTCTGTCCGTCCGTCTGTCCGTCTGTCTGTCCGTCCGTCTGTCCGTCCGTCTGTACGGGCTTTTTCTCAGCCGTCTTTGGGCCAAAAAAGCTGAAATTTAAAAAAATCTTAAAATACAATATAGTTGTGCCACTTAAAATAAAAAATGAAAGAAAAGTCATCCAAGTTTTCGGCTAGTCAAAACATATCGTAGAACTTTGCAGGTTTTCAAAAAAACTAGTTTCAAATTGTTTTAGAGATTTTCAATCTAAACAATAAACTCTTATCATATTTAGTTAAATCTTTAGATTGAATTCTTAGTTTATAAATAAGGATAGGCATCACCATGCATTCTACATGATGCTACATCAAAGTTCGCTGGTTTTTTAAACCCTAAACCCTTGTACCAGTGGTCAATGTAAAAAATGTTCGAGTTTAAGTCTCTCTTCTTTTATCTGCAGATATTTTATCTACAAATCTGCAGATATTTTCTATTTTTAGTTCTCCTCGATATTCTCGATCACACCTTTCTGACCTTTCAAATCGAGGGCATATGGAAATCGGCGGCGCGCCGAAAATACAAAGTGACATTTGCATATGGATATTTTTGCTATGATCAAAAGATAAAAATGATTCAGGCATACACGTGCATATTATTAACATTTATTGGCGGTTTTTTTCATCTTTATCAAAGGAAAGCGCTTGTTCAAATCTCCTAAACATTACAGGTCAACGCATACGAGTCAAAGCATACGAGGTCAAGCATACGTTTAAGTGTTTATGTTAGTTACGCTCGATTAAGAATTTATCGAATCAATTGTGTAAAAATGTGAAATGCTCAATATCTAATGAATGTTAGTTTTGATAGTTAACGGAATAATTTAACCTAATTGTAAATTGATTCACGGAAAACCTCGACATTCGCAGTCACAGGAGAGTGTCGAACGCACAAACGCTGATATTAAGGTCTTTTTACATTTTTGTTAACTGATTGTAATAAGTTTTTACTGTTTTCTTTATTTTAAGATCTTTTTAGGATATCTTTAGCACCTATCAAAGAGAAAACAACACTACTGGGCCATAGTGTTGTTGCAACACACCTGCCAATGATTAAATACAACACGAATAAAGAAAATACTCGTACAATTAGTTTTGCATCATTTCGCATTGAGCATTTCACATTTTTAAACAATTGATTCGATAAATTCTTAATCTGACGGAACATCTATACAAGCGAAGGGTTTTATTTTTCATATCAAGCATTCATCGTCCACCACAGTATAGTTTGGTATAGCCCAGCCTTGAATTGAAAGGCTTTAAAATACGCAGTGCTTTGTACACATAAAAATAAGAGGACTTTAGACCTTTTCACTCATTCATATGGTCTCTCTTTCAAATAAAGAATACTCTTTTATTTCGAAGATGATAATCTATTAGGCTGTCCAGAAAGTCTTTTCGTTCCTTTTCGTACTTTCGTTTAGAACAAACAAATCCACCAAATGGTTTTGTTTGTTTCATTAGAAAGGTCAATTACTTTTCTGCAAACTAACATTAAAACGGCTTTAAAATGTCTTATTTCTGGATTTTGACTTAAAAAGATGGGAAATTGAACAATAAACACTTTTTATTTAGAGCAAACCATAGTTTAATTGGTGAATATTTGGTATTTTTCAATGGAGATATGAAGTATTGTTATGGGTAAATCGATTTTTTTTTCGAATCTGATTCTGATGATCGCTCTCTTATTTGAAAAAATGGTGCTTATCTCGTCATTTTGTGGCTTTGAATAAAAAAATGGAAAAAGTTGGAAAAATGGATACTAAAACAGCATACAAATGATAGGTACTTATGAGAAATTGAACAATAAACACTTTTTATTTAGAGCAAACCATACCATTTAGTGAATATTTGTTATTTTTCAACTTAAGTACGAAAAGGAACGAAAAGACTTATTCATCAATCTACCGTAATACCTATAATAGTAGCGGCATCCATAATGATGTGTAGTCTAACTTACACGCTCCGTTCTCCGCGTTGCTTTATGCTACAATGTGCGCTTGGGTGTCAAATGATAGGCCTAGAAATCTAGTATTTTTTGGTACCAAAAGTGTAGTTGAAGTTGAAACTAGGGCAGATCAAAAACTCGTGCGCCGCCTGGACTCGAATTCGCGACCTTTCGCTTACCGTACAACTGTGCTAGTCATTACACCACAACGCACTTGATTTCCCTTACTCCAGAGGGAGCTAATTTTGAGAAAATGATTTTCTAAAATGAAGTTAGACTAATTGCAACCACTTTCTTACCGTATACTCCAACCAGAGGGAAAACTTTACGGGGAGCGCTGCTATTACTGGTATTACAGTAATATTTCTACTTATTTTTTTCGTTTCTATTCTGTCGAATGTCTAATGGATGAGAAAATTGGGAATTTGGGTGAGATGGGAAAATTGCTTTAAAAGAGGATTTTGATTTGACTTTTGGGGGTCATTTCATTTACGACATAGCCCACACACATAGCAATTGGTGGATGTACGTAAAGATGGGTGTACGGTATGACATTGAAGTGTGAAAGAGGGGAGAGGGGAAAGGAGGTGATCAAGGGAGATGGGCGGGGTTGGGGGCGGGAGTAGAGAGGAAATAAAAGGGGGAGGGGGATCGGGTGCCTGGGGGGCTCGAAGAAGCGCAGCCTCTCGTCAGTGGGGATGCTTGTGAAGCAAGTCGGCGATCTACTCGTGCTCTCGGCGCTCCTTCTCCCGTTCGTGGTCCCTTTACCGGTCGTCCCAAGGCCCTCTTCTGATCAACCATCAAATGCAATTCGAATTCGCCGCGAAGTTCTACCCGAAAATTCGGACTCTGAAGAAGCTGTAGATACACAATCGGATCGAGTTCAGATTATTGTAAGCTAATCATTTTTTTTATACGAAAATAATTACACCCAATTATTTTGAACCTTTACTAGTTAACGGACAATAACTATAAGGGAGTTTCCTGTTTAACCCCTTTCTTCCCATCTTTTCCAATAGTTTGCTGTCGTAGATTTCGTAGAAGCCAGTTTTTTTATCTCTTTCTTATTGAATTTTTTAAGTTTTTTTTTTCTCGCCGCCTTTCTTTATTTTTTTTCTTTATCCACATTTCGGTCAGACTTTTTCGATGCGTTTTGCGAGTCCACGGAGAAAAGATAAATTGAGCCTATGAAAAAACCCAGATAGATATTTCGCTCAATTCATTGATCTAAAAAAATTCATAAAGATTTAAGTGAAGAATAACTGAATATAGATCTTAATAGAAATAGAGAACTAGTGGCCCTTAAAGCTGTATGTTTTTGACGGGTTTTTGTAAAATAACTGGATAGGTCCTGATCGCATGGTTTTCAGAAAATATACATTTATTTATTTACATTTAGCTAGATAAATTTGTGAAAGAATTGAGAGGGATAGATGGGAAATGAGAAAATCTGATCAATGGACTGCCCTTGAGCGCTCCCCTCGGAAACTTTCCCCTCCACTCGTTCCCCTCCTTCTTCCATTTACCCCTCTTGACCCCCACCTCAATATCCCCAATCTCCAATCAACTTTCCCAACACACAAACATCAGTTGAAAACCCCACACTAGTATCGCCAACAAGCCGCCTATTGGCTCGATTGGCTGAACTCAGCGTACTGTTGTTCTCCCCTGAGATCCATCACTTATCCTTGAAAAGTTCGACACGAGCACCCTTCATCAAATGACACTCGAGCTTTTCTTTTGTCACTCTTTTCTCTTTTCAACTTCTTTCCTCAAGCTTGCATTCGTTTTTCGCTCATTTACAAAAAGACTCTTGGTCGGTGCAAAACAAAAAATTTCTATCAAAAAGTACAAACTTCTTTTCTTAGACATGCCGAGAGCCGACCTCTAAAGACAAGATTTTAGGATATGAGAGAGTGAATGGAGTGAGGAAAAAAAAAGAGAGGATGAATTGGGGATGTGTTTGATTGCAGACATGTTCTTTCCTCATTCTTTTCACTTTCTCTTTAAAATGAATCGTTTACAAAAACCCATAAACAAACACCAATTTCATCGCCTTTTTCACTTCCTTTTTTTTGCATTCTTGATAAACTTCAAAATGAAGTTTTTTTTTGAAATTCCCAGTGAACTGTTCCTGAAAAAGTGCTCTTTATCGCCGCATTCTTTTTTTTAATCTTTGTTGGGATGCGATGGGATGGTGGGGAGAAAAAAAAATCTCTACTTTCACACAGATGTTCGCTTTAAAAACGAGCACTGTATTTCTTTCTTTCAATGGGGATTCGCCTAAAGAAAACAACTTTTTTTGCACTAGTGAGTTGAAGCGCTTTTTCTTTTCTTCCCACCTTTTGCACTATATAGAGAATTTTGGATAAAAGTGAAAAAAAATGAAAAACTATGGATATCGCGAACATCCTTTCATTCACTCTCCCCATCCTCCCTTCACACCTAAACGAAAATGGATGGAGCGCCGCTTGAATTATAGGTCGATCTTGAGATATCCCCATTCATCCCTTCTCTCTCATCAAAAACCATCTTTATAACCAATAGATCTTCATCTTTATTGTAAAATAAAGAATTTGTTGCAGGAATACCTCCTTCGGTATGGTTACCTATTAACGAGGAGTCCAACCGATGACCAATTGGAAACAGCGGTTTCTGAATTGCAAGAAGTTCTCGGAATCACTGTGGTAAGATTAAAAAAAACTTTTTCCTTACTATTTCCATTCTTTTAGACTGGCTTCGTTGATGAGGCGACAATCTCGGCGACTCGCGCTCCACGATGTGCCGCTAAAGATGTCGCTCATCATAAACGACCACGGCGTTTTGGTAAATCTCGTTTTTTTCTTTCAAAAGAGCTGCACTATCGCTTGACCTTAGACTTTCGATATGAAAAAAAAACTGGATATGTTCAGTTTGTTTGTGGCGGGTGAAGAGCAAATAGCTAAAAAAAACCCTTTGACATTGGTATCTCAGCTGATCTTGTTTGGGGTGATGAGATTAAAAATGAGCAAAAAAAAGAACGAAAGAAAAGAGTTTAGTGATTTGGGTGACCCCTATGAGTTGGCGCAAGGATATCTGTCTTGTGATCGCTTAAAAATTCCATCCATGATCATTGAGAATCTTAAGCTAGAGATGCAAAATTTTGTGACTCAAACAGTTTAGTTTGGCAAGTTCAGTTAAAGTTATAACATCATTAGTTTTCCTAGTCAACGATTTTGTAGAGAAACCCCCATATCTTCTACGGTTTGCCCCAGCTTTTTTTGAGTGTCGAACGAGAACGTGGTTGCTGCCCTCTAAACAAATAGCATCACTCAGCCACTTGTAGTAAACTCAAAGCTCAAGCCGTTCTGTAGTAAATCTTGATGAGTAGCGCTTAAAAAAGATCATTTGAAGAGTAGTAAAAGGGGAAAAAAAGACGAAACAAAAGAAAAGATTAACTTCAATGCAAATTTTAGTGCTTGCTCAATCATCCCGATGGGCACCCGAACATTTCAAAGGAGATCATGAATTACAATTGAAATGGTTCATCAGCAAATATACAGAGGATATTCCAAAACGTGTTATCAGGTAAGCATAACTTCTTTTAAGATGACAAAGTCATTTTTGACTTGACTGCGGTATCTATGTTAGCTGTAGATCGGAAAATTTGTAACCGAAGGCATTCTGGGATGGAGAATCTGAATCCATAATTAGTCTTTGAGCAACTTTAATTTCCCAGTCCCACATCACAAAACTCTCTAAAACTCGGATAATTAAACCGAATAAAATATCCGAAAATAGAGCAGTTTTCTTTAAAAACTGATAACGGATTCGAATTTCTTGACCTCGAAAACCCCTTGGTTCAAATTTTCAGTCCAATCGGCCTCAAGAAAAAGTGTTAAATTTAAGTACGGTCCATCGGTATCGTCGCGAATGTGTTAAAAGACTTCATTTGATTGATTACCTTTTCGAAGAATTTGAGTTTTTCAAAAGAGTTTGAAAAATGAGCGCTGCTGTAGATGAGAGAGAATTCTGTGGTAGGTTGAGGGATCCCCGAAAAGCCTTGACCTTGACCCTGGTGCAAATTTTCAGCCGAATCGGCTTCAAAAAAAAAGTGCTAAATCCACAGGTGGACAGTATCGGCGAATGTGTCAAGAGAGATTTTTCTTTTCAGATCCCAAGTGCAAAAAGGCTTCGAACTTTGGTCAAAGCAAATAGTCATCAACTCGTTGCCACAAGTAAGCACATTCAGATTAGATCAGAATGCGAAGCTCCTTTCTCACGCATGTAAAATATTTAGATGTCAATCACATTTGAAGAAGCCACTTCTGAGGACAAGGCTGATATTACACTTACGTGGGTCGAGGCAGAACATGGAGACACTTTTCCAGTAAGTTTAGAAAAGTATTTCTTTTATAATACGAAGATCTGCTCTAAAATATTGTTTGAAATTTCAGTTTGATGGATCGGGTGGTACAAATAATATTCTTGCACACACATTCTTTCCTGATTACAATGTGCAGTCGAGACTCAACGGGGACATTCATTTTGATGATGCCGAAAAATGGGATATGGAACCTGAAAGGTTTTAGTTCATGTCTGAAATTGAAATGTTTTTTTTTGTTTAGCGCTGTGTTCTTTCCATATGTGTTGGCTCATGAGATTGGTCATGCTCTTGGTCTGCAACACTCGAAAAGAGAAAGGTAGTTTTCAGAAAAATTCGACTCATTAATCGCAAATGCTGATTTTAGTGCTGTGATGCATCCTGTTTACAAAAGTACTCCATTGAGTGAGCTTCAGCTCGATATTGATGACAAATGTGGAATAAATTGGAACTACGGTATTCAACAGATAAAGTCAATCTACCGTCTTTATAATGCATTTTCAGTTGGACCGTCGCATTTTTGTCTCTTCGTTTGGCTGATGGCTGAAATCGTTCCTTTAAATGTCTCTCACGGCAGCACTAGTCAGTTATTTCACTGTTTCTAGTTAAACATGTTTAAGTCAATATTATAAAAATTAACACATAAGAATTTAGTGATCCCTATTGACCGTTTGGGACATGGAAGCCAAGCACAAATCAAAGGAGCGTTGAAGAGTAAGTGGCTAATCTTTTAAAGATTTTCCTTTATAATATCCTTCATTTTGCACCTATATTTATAGGGGAATCCGGTCCCGTTGACCCGGCTGAGCTTTTGCAAGGTTTGGCGGTGATCCTATTGTTGTGCCATGTTTTCTTTCCCTCCACTCTCTATCGCTCTCTTTCGTCTAGCTGTTGTTTCCGTTTACCTTTTTGCCCTCATAATCTACCTATCACTAATCACATGATGAAAAAAGTTTTACGTAACAGAACTTTTCAGATGTCCGGATTCCAAGATGTCAAACGTCGAACGGCGTGCAAGCTCTAACAGCACAGCGACTCGTCAAGAATTTGCAATTCACCACCAATGAAGCTGAAAAATATAGTGAGTCAAATTTCTCAGTTTACACAAAAAAGTTTATTTTACATACATACTTCACTTGCAATTGAAAAATGGGATTGAGGGAGTGAGGAGGGAAAAGGGAAGAAGAAGGGAAGAAGAAGGGAAGAAGAAGGGAAGAAGAAGGGAAGAAGAAGGGGAGAAGAAGGGGAGAAGAAGGGGAGAAGAAGGGGAGAATTGTCTTCGTTTGGTGAAGAAGTGAATCATGAGGGTTGAATTGAAAGAGATGAAAGAGATGAAAAGACCTTTCCACCCACAAACCTCTCAACTTCTTCTATTTTCTCAAATTCTCCACAATAAGAACACAACAAATTCCCCAAATAACGTTTCCACAGAAAGTGTTTTAGGCACGATTGCGTGCAATTTCCTTGCCGGTCTTCATGTGTACAGAGGACGATCAAATACGACACTTGATGACTCAATCGAAACCGAATTCTCAGCCGGTAAGTTTAGAAAAAAAAGTTAAAGTCTAGAAAAATGTCAAACATTTGAAAAATAAGCAAAAATTTAATTTTCAGTTCATGAGTTTGCGTCCGATAATACGAAAGTGCGGAGACTTGTGCGACGAGCTGAGCGAAAAGAGCGCCGAGGGATCCACACTGTGCTCAGTCCTGAACATTTCACGTAAATACTCAACATCTTATATTGCTTTACAAACTAAATTTTAGAAACCACTTCTACGACAAATTTTTTGCTGAATATCTGGCATTTAAACGGCGATGATCATCGGATTTCTCTCTAGGCATTGTCAACGCCTAAAAGTTGAAAAATTGTTCCGTACAGGGTGACCGCAAACTATCGCCTTGCAGTTTTTTTGGATATATCTTAGCTGTAGCGAACCGGTTTAATTTCTTTTTAATATGAAAATTGCGATAACTTTCTACGGAGAATTTCTTTATACAAATTGTAGGATGCTTTTGAGATTTTTATTAAAGGCTTAGAAGATGCGGCCAAGAAAACCCTTAGCACTCAACTCAATCTTCAGCTTTTTTTGTTCAAAGTTAACTTAAAGAATGCTCCAAATGTTACTCTTAAAGCTTAAATTTATCAAAAAAAGCGACAAAAACGATTTTATTTTGAAAATGAACTAAAAAGAGCTTGAGATAGCGAAGATAAGTTGCAGTCAAGATATAACCCAAAAACTGCGAGACGATAATTTGCGGTTACCCTGTGTGATTATTGTTTTGTGTGATTATTTATTTCTCATTTCTAGGCATATATTAATCGTGTTATAATTAACCGTATGTATTCTAATAAAGACGCATGCGCTTCTATTAGAGGCTCACATAAGTCGCGTCTGAAACGTCACATCAGAAAAAGTTGTATCAAAAATTTAATTTTTAATCTATGACCATGAGTTTGGTGTCAAATAATAGAGTGAAAAATAATCTTTCTTTTGACACCAGACTCATGGCCATAGGTTAAAAAGTAAATTTTTTTGGTGTAACTTTTTGTCCTGACGTGAGTGGGCGGGGTTTAAGGGAGTTTCTAATAGAAGCGCATGCACCTCCATTAGAATAAATACGGTACTTTCCTCCAAAAAATAAATCGAAAAAAAGAAAACGATGAAAAGAAAAAAAAAGAGAGAGATGGGAATTGATCTTGATTTGGCCCTGGAGGCCAGGGTCGGCCCTTGTGAAGGTCTAGTTCGAAGTAATCATCCTCGAGTGTGTTCCCCGCGATCAATTAATTAATGAGGGACACCCTCTAAAATACCCCTCCAAATCCCCTTGCTTATTTTATCCCCTATTCGGATCTCATTTTTAACCCCCTTTTCTGCCGGTGTTTTCTTATTCGTAATTCATTGCATTTTAGGCAAAGTTTCTCCATTTTCCTTCTCCTTTTTACTCTTGATCCTTCCCCCTCACTTGTCGCCTTCGAATGTGATTTCCTCTTATCCAACGGTAGTCCAACAATTTCTTAGGAATTATAAAATACACGGAATAACGTGAATGTGCAATTAAACAAATATTCACCTCTTTAACCCTCTTTTTTTGAATGTGTAGATTGAGTGGGTGCAATTGGTTGGCTATTTTACCGAAACCTTTTCCCCTCCCTATCATCCATTCATTGCAATAAACTCCGCATATTTTTTTTTTCATGGTTGCATTTTAGTTTAGCATCATATCGCTTTGTTGATCGTAAAACGTTGTATTCATTTTGTGTGGGTGTTTTTTTTTTGTTTTTATCTTTCTCTTAGCACCTCAATTTTTTTGGGTATGTCAACATGTGTAAACCGAGGTATTTCCTCATTTTTTCGGGCACTTTAGCAATAAATAATTCTGTTATATTCGTGCCAAACACGTCAGTTTTCATTCCAACAACCCAAATAGCCACTTCCCAACAAATACAGTAAGCCTTTTCCTAAGTTCAGAGGTTCGAATTCACCTTGAGTTTTTGCTTTTCTAGTTCATTCCATCAAGAACTCTTGTCTAAAGAGAACGCTTTTAAAAGTCTTTATTTATGATTCTGTTGAAGCCATGTGCAAGCCACGTGTGGCAAATCACTAAATCACTAAAGTGAATGGATATGGATCGAGATGATACCAAGAGAAATTTCAGGGTCGGCTCAATTTTCACCCCACTACTCTCCCCCCATCCACCTCCCCTAAACATCCTGATTACAAGTGACCAAAAAGGATTTGTTGTTGCTGATAGAGAAGTACAATCCACGTGGAGTCGCCCTGCTGATAGTAGGTCATCTCTTAACAATCATTTCCGTGGAACAAGAACAAAAAAATCACCGAATGGCCGATCTCTGAAAGCGCAATGATAGGAAAAAGGTGTACTGTTTGATGGACAATCAAACGGCCTCCACAAATTTGCCTATTTAGGGAAAAGATGAATGGAGATGACCTGATAATGAGAATGCCTAAAAGGAGGAAAAAAAGAAAAGAAACCTCTTGACAGTCTAGACAGAAATCACTTATGCAAATAGACAAACACTCCACCACACTCACAACAAATATATTGTTCTGGTAAAAATGCGATAGACAGTGATTTGTCTTTTTGTCTGCAATTCTGAAATGCTCTGATTCAGTATAATTCTAATCATAAGCATCTAGTTTACTACTTGAGGTTTAAAGCAGATAGTCTATTGTTATTTGTCAATATGGATTTTCCAATATGAGATAAACATTGCTTCAAGCTGCTTCCGTCACTAAATCCGACTCTGACAATAAGATAGGAGTTGACCTTACAAAAAAAGAAAGAAAGAACCGGCTTTGGATGAAAAAAAAGAATAGAGAGCTTGATGTTGGGAAAAGGAAAAGAAAAAGAAAGAAGAGAGATCATACAGTACGACAGAGGTCAGCTTTTTTTCTCCAATAATTTAGGTCAGTCGTTTTTCCTTTTTTCTGCCATTTCCTTTTTTTCCTTAATACTAGATCTAGTTACCCAGAATTCTCCGAAAATAATGTTGAGCAAAAGATGGGGGACTAGGGGAGCTGGTTTGATCTGTTTGGGAATGATTTTTGAGGAAAAGAAATGTTTCTCGATGTGTACTCGATAGGGGAACGAGAAAATCTTGAAGAGATTCGGCGATGTGGAAAGCAAAAACTGATGAATGTGGGTCATACACGTGAAAGGGAAATCTTAAGAGAAGAGATTGCTCGTTCACTGGCATTTCTTATTATATCTTTTTCTTTCTCACATGGGGACACAAAAAATGTGATAAAAAAAAATTAAAAAATTAGTAGCATGTGTTTTCAAATTTATTATTGCGACAAATAGAGATATCTACCGCCAACCAGGAGGAGGATTCCAACCCCAACGAGTCAGACACCAATTCGAGTGTTTAATGAAATCTCTTTGAGCCTCGACACAGGATTTTCCTGATTGTTTTTTCCATTCCTCAACACATCTCAATGAATTGTTTCCGTCTGAATTTGTTAAATCAAATAAATAATGGTTTGTATCTGTTGAGACTTTGGGACTTTGGTTACAAAAGAGCAAACCATAATTTCCAAGAGTCACTTGCATGTAGAGAGCTTCAAGTTTGATCATTTCTTCTTCAGGTACATCAAAATCTCCATGTTTTCCTTTGTATCCAGCTCGACTCATCTTATCGACTGCATTGGCGAAATCCTAAAACAATGGATTTGTTTGCAAAATTGGACTCAATGTAAAGACACCGTAAAGTTCGAGTTTTCTGTCTTGCTACAGTCTCTCAAAAGAAAAACGAATAATTTGGTGTAAACAAGGCACATGAATTGAATAAGACTTTAATGTATATGTAAGATAAAAAGCAAATATTTAGATTTGGGTAACATTTTTGGTTAATTATCCATTACGAGCCCGGGTAAAAAAAAAACTCTAGAGTAGCTTGGGGGAAATGGGAAATGGGAAAATGGACCTTTTTCCTGGAAAATGGACCTTATTAGTGCTTATTGAATTGTGTAAAAAAATGGGCACTTACTTTATCTCTCCATAAATCCCGATCATCTTTTTTTCGTCGCTCCCAATATGCATTCCATTCAAGAGCTCTCTGTTCCATTTCGCGGTGTTCACGCTCATATGACAGTAATCTATTGTTAACAAATCTGTGTATATTCATTTCTTTATCGCGCTCACTTTTTTCGTTGTTCCGCTGAAACTCGTGCTTTGTCACGGGCATATTTCTTCTAAAGTTATTTTTAGGGTTACGATAACTTTTCAAGTGGTAACATTTTGTGAAATCAGAAATCTTGTAGAACATGTTTTTTGAACATTTTTTAAGCTGGAGTCAAAGCAACGTATAATTCCCAACAAATTCTTAGAATACTTACAATGAGTTCATCAAATTCTTTGAGCTCCTCCTCGGTTGCTTCCGATATTCCATCTTCATCAATCAAAGGCCGATTAGTTGCCGACATTTTTCAAATATTTAGAATTCGTTTGCAAATCGTTTGTTTCTAAGATGATAGAGATAATATTTTTCTGGAAAATGCGCCACCGCCAAATTAGCCCATTTACTCTCAACGCTCGCAACGAAAAGAATTGCCAAGAAGAAAGATGAGAAGAAAGCGAAAATGTGGTTGCAATATTATATTGGTTAGTAGTTTCGGGATTCTTTTTTGTAATTGCCTTCGTCATGATCGCACTGATTGTTGCCTTAACACAGCGAATTCTCCTCTACCGTATTCCCCGATGTGAATATCTTGAAGACGAAGAAGAAGACCTCTTTTATCGGTAAAACGTTTTGCAACTCTATCAGTCTCAATTTTATAATAAAATTTTCTCGGTAAAATTGAAGAGCGACTCTTTATAAATCACTTTCAATACTTGCGAAAACTTTCCCATGGTCTATTCCGCGTGAAAGAACTCAATGGATGTACAGTCGACTCTCGATATAAGGATTTGCTCGATATAACGACTCATACTTACGGTCCCGGCCAAGTGCCTAACAAAATACCTTGAGTCGACTCTCGATATAACTATTTTTTTAATCGCTGTTGCACTAACTTTTGGTTTGATACAACGATTTTATGACTAAAACCTGGTTAATCTTCTAAAACGGGATGTCGTTGATAGCACGAATGCACTTGATTATATCCTTGCCGACGATGCTATTTCAACTTCAACTTTGAACATTGTGCGAAATCGTTGATGCCATAAAATACTCCGAGGAGCCAAGAAAGTGAAAATTAGGAGTTGGCGGAAGCAAACGATTTCGCGTCGCGAAGCTTATCAATGTTTTCAAAAGTTCCAAAAATATACAAGAAAAAAGGCTATTCAAAAGTTTTTGCTGTCTTAACTGTTCTTGATAACTTTTTTATGAGGAATCTTTCGTTAAAAATAAGCAGTCTCACGGTACAGATTTTTCGCTAAACTTTGAGGAAATTTGACGTTTTGTTATGTTCCTTTTTGTTAAAAATCGGTTTATTGTAACTCGATATAAAGCAGAAGCATTTAATTAAAAGAGAGATTAAGGGCTCAGATAGGGGGAGGAGGGCCTGGGGTAATGTTAAAAGCCTTGGTTTTTTACGATTTTCGATATAAATATGCATTTCACGGTCCCGACAGAACCGTTATATCGAGTGTTGACTGTATTTGATCTCTTTTGAATTCACTATTCCAGTAAATTGCAATTCGTAGGTATTAATAAACGATATTAATAATCATTTGAAACTTTTTCTCCGCGTCACGTGCCGCGTTGCGTGCGAATTCCCATAGAATGGCAACATTACCCCAGGCCCTCCTCCCCCTATCTGAGCCCTTAATCTCTCTTTTAATTAAATGCTTCTGCTTTTCGTACCGAAGTAGCGTCTTCAAAAAATACCTCGTAAGTTCAACTCAATTACGAAAAACAATACAAAGTACAAATTTTTAGACAACTCGACTAAGGTTGCTTTTTTTCCAAAAACTGTTTGATTATGCATACTGGAGAAGCACCGACCACATCGACTTCGCTTAATATTCATACACGTTGTAAAGAACTGACCAAAAAAGTATTCATTGATCATTTCAGCTTCTTTCAGATTTTAAAAATACACAAGATTATCCTTTGCGCTTGTTAACGCTTTTTAAAAACGAACGAATAAAAAAGCCAGAAGAAAAAATGGATTAAGTAGCTGTTTTTCTCATCATTCTTTCGCAATTAAAGGCTTAGGTCTTCATATCTTTATACAGTCGTCAAAAAAAGTCTTGGCCGGTCAATGTTTTCTCATTTTTCTCCCGTTAGATAGCATTCAAATAAATCGATCCCATTTAGTTTTTCGTAGTATTTTGTGAGAGCTTTAAGATGGTATTCTAGATTTTTGATGTTCTAATTTGATTCTAAATAAAATTTTTCAAGCTACTTTTGCATAAGAGGGTAAGGTGCTTTTTCTCAGATTTTGTTCAAGGCTTCAAAACTGTCAGTAGCCTTTCATTTTCATCAGAACAAAATTAATAAATAAGATCTAATGCCATTATAATTGGAACCGTTTTCTATAGGATCAGGGTAGGCTAATTTCCGCAAATTTTTTTGTGCAACAGGGTCATTTGCGCAACTCGCCATAACTTTCTTCTAAGTGGGCCAATCTTTATGATTTTGGCGTCGTTTTGTAGATCTTAATAAGTGCAACAAAATGAAACCAAAATAGTAAAGCGGAAATTAGCCTACCCCATAGGATCCATTCATTCTTGAAATACAGATTTTTAAAAATCATGCTTAAATAAGGTTTTTCGATTATAAAACTCTTAGTTCAAAGGATATCGAAAAGCTAAATGGTTAAAATGAACCATTTAGCTTACCTTTGAAAATGCTACATAAAACTATTTGTGGTCAATATATTTGGATGTGATATATGGACCAAGTGAACACTGACCGGCCAAGACTTTTTTTGACGACTGTATCTTTAGGCTCATATCTTTAGTCTTCAAACTCTTGCTTTAAAACGAAAAACGGAAGAAAATTTCCCTAGTTACAAAGTTTGTGATATTCGCACATTTTTGTTATTTCTTCGCATTATGTTTACCTTTTTGCCATGTATAGTAGCTAGACTTGACTATCTAGATTGAGAGTTTATCGATATCAACACCTCGATAAGCTTATCGATAATGGTAAAACTTTAGTTAATTTTCCGTCAAATCCTTTTAACCAAGGCTTATTTCGGGGTAATTCGATGCGCTGAATACGACTGTCGATATCCCAGACCGTTTTACGTTTTACTGCGTTTTATTTGGGAAAAACTTATCGAGATCTCGATGTCGATAAGCTCTCGATAGTTACGTCTAATAGCAGCACGAAAAAATGTCAAAAAGACCAACGCTAGAATCAGTTAAAACAGCTGCAAGTGGACGTATTTGTCCATTTTCGCTTCTCGTTTATACACTTTGCGTTGCCGAGATTTCGAGCTTCTAGCTCGCCATAATTTTCAGTCAATCTGTCTCTTTTTATCCCCATTAGCGCTCTCTTTTTTACAACCTTCACTCTAAACCAGCTAACTAAGTAGGTTATTCAATTTTTACGATCCCCACGGCTGTAAAATTAGTCGATAAGCTCAGCGTTACATTGTTTTTACTTATATATGTGACTTTTACTCTTTTTAGCTATTCTCATTATTTAGGCTGGCTCCTCATCGGGTCACGCCTCGTGCGATTCGTTGAACAGTGTTCCATCATTCGAAACGCTCGTTCGCATTTGCACAACAGAAATACCTCAATTGGAAGTTGAAGAGGTAATTTTTGGTACCATTTTGTTGAATATCTGAATGTTTTAGGAGGATAACCGGATCAAGCGGCTACCTTCACATGAATCAGTAGAAAAATTAGGATTTGGTGGGTCTTATTTTGTTTTGTTGCGAAAGCATTTGATTCGTCTTATCTTTCATCTTTCATGTTTTTGGTTTTCCCATTGTTAATTTTTAGATTCTGTACCTATGGAAAGAAGAAATATGCAAACCCTTTCACCGGCTTCTCCTGTTGTTGCAAAAAGTGCGCCGACTCTTAATATGCATCGACAAATTCCTCATTCAAGTAGCATGCAATTTGGTAAGCATTTATAACTTACTATTAAGTTTATAGATGTATTATTTAGGTAATCCACGGTCTCCAAGAGCAAATGCGCCTGGCAGGTTGTTTCATCACGCAATTCCACATGTTTGGCAACGCCGCAGCACATGGCGAATCAGCGACAATACTTGCTCTCTTTGTCGGCGACCACTTGGATCTGGTTTTCTGCATTCCTATGAGAAATGCCGTAGCTGCAGGTTTTTTTTGTTTTGTATCGATGAATGAGAATGTTGTAGGTGGAAAGTACATACACACTGTAAACCACGTGTTGGAGATTCATGTGGCCTTACTGCGGAGCATCTTCGAGCAGTGTTAGAAGAAATGATACTTCAAAACAATCAGGTGACTTTAATACGTTTTCACTTTTAAGATAGATTTTAGGACTCTTGGGGTGGACCTCAATCAGCGTTGCCATTGCCGTTGTCTCGATCACTGCATTCCGGCTCGGCTTTTGAATATCCAGACACAAATACTATGGGTGACTCATCATCATCGACAAACAGCTCAGCACCATCAACACCAGCCATGCTCAGTAAAAATTAGAAGTCGCTAATTTTTATACAGATTTGTTTTTAGATTTGAATCAAAATTCGCCATATGTCTCGACGGTTCCTTCTAGAACTGTAGATCGAAAATTCACTTTTCCTGACTCAGTACCCGAAGTCCCAGATATTATCCTTCCAGAACCAAGGTTGGCGGCATAGTGAATGACAATAATGACAATTCTGATTTTGTAGCGACGACCGAACCGCCGCTTCATCGACTGCTGAAAGTGGTTATGGCCAAACACTCGGTCCTTCGTCTCATCAGAGTGAATCTACATTAGTTGAAAGTTTTGGAAGTCAGGTTAAATGGACAGTTTCAAAAAGTTACCCAATTGATGTGTTTAGTTAGAAATGTCGGCTACTGGCTCCGAGAGTTCTAGGCTGGAACATACTTGGGATAGAAACAAGTTTGTTTTATGTGCATTAAAATTGTTGAACGCAATACGTCTACGTAACAATGTTAAATGGGAAGTGCTTTATTTAGATGGAATATGTCTACTATTCGAGGTCATTCGGCGAGTCAGGCTTGGCACGATATTTCCATCGCACTAAGCGAGATTGAATTTCAAAACTTGATTGGAAAAGGTCGATTTGGTGAGGTAGGCACTGTTGAGAAGTCTTTAAAAACTGGAGCAACTGTTTGTTATTAAAATATTTTAGGTACGACGAGGCAGCTATTATGGTGAAGTAGCTGTTAAATTTCTTAATATGAATCACATCGAAGAGAAGAAACGATTGGAAGAGTTTAAAAAAGAAGTAGCCAGCCTGAAGGTTAGTTTTTAAAATGAATGCTATCTTCACTTTAATTTAGAGTGTGAGACATGACAGCATCGCCATGTTTATGGGCTGTTGCTACGACCAGAATTCCTTTGGGATAGTTACTGGACTGTGCAAGTAGGTCTTTATATAATTTCATCGCAATCAGTGAGTTTTAAGAGGTCAATCATTGTATAATATTTTACACAACGGAACTTCCAAGGAACGTTTGGATTTGTTTAACACTGTTCAATATGCGCTACAAATTTGTCAAGTACGTTTAGGCACTATATACTTCGAATGTCCCTTGGAACAATTTTTTTCAGGCCGTCGCCTACCTTCATACAAAGAAGATTATTTACCGGGATTTACGCTCAAAGAACATTTTCATTGAGAATAAGTCAAGAGTACAAATAACGGACATCGGATTGAGCAGCATGCATCGAATGAGTTACCCACCAAGGTAAGTGTTACTGTTTTTGAACTTTAAGAATATCACTTTAGGAAATATGTCATATCGACGCCAACTTATTGGATTACCTATCTTGCTCCAGAATTGATTCAACAGATAGCCTCTGACTATCGAGAATTGGCATATACTGAACAAACGGATGTATTCTCTTTTGGGTATATTTTGCCTATTTTAGTCATTAACTTCTATTATTTTAGGACTATTTGGTATGAACTGATGACACACAGTTTTCCATGGAGAAATACTCATCCTGATGAGATCGTATGGCGTGTTGGGAATGGTTTCAAATCACCGACAACTCGGATGATTGCTGCTCTTGACGTAAAGGTAGGGAGTATGAGAATACTGATTTCATTGATCGTTAAGGATATTCTGCTGCGTTGTTGGAGATTTAACCCAGAAGATCGGCCATCTTTTATGGAACTTCAGACACAAATTGGAGCATTGCCTCGAAAACGACTTGAACGGAGTCCTTCATATCCCGCCTTGCGCAGCTATGAAAGTGTATTTTAGTTATTATGTACCTCGCTTAGAATTTATGCTCGTGCTTCATCCAATGGTGTGGTTTAGTCTTTATGTCTGTGTTTTGTGTTCAACCGTTTCCTTAGTTGCATAATGAAATATTGTAATATCCTATTTGCTTTGAGGGGGCTAAAGACTAAAATTAACTTTTCTCCTCCCAAAATCACCTGCACCCTTAACTGTTTTCACAAATCTAACTTCAAATGTGATTCGTCTACTTTGCGGAGTGAAACGCGGTTAGATCGATAAGATCTCATTATACGGTCTATTGTTTCTTAATTGTCATTCTCCTTGTGTTCCCAGTCTGTGATATGTGAATCGATATTGTTTTTGAATAAATTTTATTGAAAGCTAAAACAATATCAACAAGACCTATTACGAAATACACAATGGCAAAATTGAAAAAATCTTGATGAGAAGACTCGTCTCAGCATAATCCGACCAATTCTCTTGTCTCCAACAGTACTTTCTTGGCAGCCATTCGAGCTCTTACGCCATTTTCGGCTAGGATCTCCTCAAGCTAAAATTAATTGCACTTTCTTGTTAAAAAAATTTATCATCAACCTCTTGTGGACGTTGCTCATAATAGTTTAATCTTTCTCTGATCGGTCCAAGTAGTCGATTAATCGCAGTTGTTAAGTTGTCCTAGAAGCAATAGTTTAAATGCGCGTGCAATCAAAAACTAACCTTTAGTTCTGTGTGAGTCCAAGTGCTACTCAAGGAAATAGTTTCATCTAACGAACGACGAGTTGTGGCCGCTAATATCTCAATCTTAATTTTTTTTGAAAAAATGAACAAGAAGAAAAACTACCATGTTGCTGATGGCTGGTCGATTTGATTTATCATATGAGACAGTCGTTATTGTATCCGACATAGCCTTTCTGCATTTTTCCATGACCACAGCTTCGGAATCATCAACCTAAAGGAAAATATTAATGACCATTCAAGTTGCTTATTAAACCGACACCGTTGTACATAAAAAGCTTACGTCAATTCTCCCACGAACACTAGGATCGCTTTTGCTCATTTTCTGCCGCGGGTCACGTAAACTGCGTATCCGGGCGTGCGCTTGACGAGTGATCTAAAAAGTTAAATAACTTTGGCGAAAAGAAATGTCTAACTTGTTTCGGAAGAGGAAAAAATTCCAGTTTGTAAGTGGAATTAAAGGCAAAGGCAAGGTTATTCATCAAATTCATATGTTGAGACTGATCTTCGCCAACCGGAACGTGAGTGCCCTAAATTATGTTTAGTCTAGCATTTATGCAATAGAAAACTTTGAAAGTGAAAACGTCGGCAGCTTGAAGTAACGGGTAGATCAGTAATCCGATTGGAATCGACCCACGTGAGAATCTAGGCTGAATAAAAAAAAGCTGAAGCACATTTTAGACATAAAAAAGAGGGCAATTCAAGACAAAATTTTAATCAAGCAGTTTTTTTAAACATACTTAGTTGATTTATCTTTGAACTGAGGTAAACGTTGAAGTTGGGCAAGTGTTTGCAATGAGCCAAGGATCCAGTTCATCTGCGAAATTTCAGGAACATCGCTTTGCCTAAAGGAACTAATGTCAACTAATACATTTTGATCAAATTACCGAAATAGCGTTGTCCGTTTCGGATCTATTCCACAAGCAATTAATGAAGCCGCCATTTTACGAGTGTTGAGGCGAAGCTGCGAAATTGATATTAAGATTCAAACCTAATAATACAGGGTGTCTCAAAAAAAGTCCCATTTCAAACCGAATTTTAGAAAAACTTTAAGTGGCTATTGATGGGACTCCTGGTGCCAAAACTGTTTTTTCTTTAAGGCAATTTTTCACTTTTTGAGAATTTTTTGTTTTCTTGACCCCTATTACACGGAAATTTTTCACCACCACTATATGGGCCACCACCATGAGATTTTTGCTATAAAATTAAAACTTTCCACTGACATCGTGGTGTCATATTAGAGTTAAGTTATAAACTAAGATTTTTAACCAAACACTTTATTAATCTACATTATATGATAATCTGTCATACATAAGAGATTTTCAACTCGCCTTTTTTTTAAAGAAGTGCCCCGTTTTTCCAAGGAAACGCTGATCAATAAAGTGTATGGTTTAAATTTGTAGTTATCCTAATAGTGTTTATTATGCGCCACGATTTCAGTAAAAAGTTTTAATTTTATGGCAAAATCTCACGATGGTGGTGAAAATTTTTCGTGCATTCTCAAAAAAGAAAACACAAAATTCTCAAAAAAGTGAAAAAACTGCCTTAAAGAAAAAACAGTTTTGGCACCAGGAGTGCCACCAATGGCCACTTGAAGTTTTTCTTAAATTCGGTTTGAAATGGGATTTTTTTGAGACACCCTGTACGGTAAGACCAAGTAGCTTTTGTTCTGCAAAGGGTGATCTTTTGCTTCAGGAATATACTTGCTATACAGGAATTGCTATATAGGAATATGCTTCAGGAATATTTATCATTTTATTTGATAAGCTTTGATCCTTTGAAACTTGAATAATGATTATGTTGAATTCAAGTGTCATGCAAAAGCAAAATAACAATAATAGTCTTGAAAATGCAATAGGTCAATAAAGTATTTCTTAAAAAGGTAACAATTTTTACCTTTTCCGCGGGAATGATTGGACCCATTGATATAGCATGTTGATCAACGATACTCAAGTATAAGGGCACGTCAGATGCTTCATTCTAAAACATTTTTTAATGCTTGAGTAAGTTTACTATTAGTACCTTTTGTATATCTAGCCAGGGTTCAATGAAACCGAAATAGTTTCCAAGATGAGGGCTTCCGGTGGGTTGTATCCCTAAATAGATTCGATTAAATACATACTAACAAAAACATCATTACCAGCAAGAACGACTTTTGGGTGTGAAGAACTTGATGGAGTATTCGTGAGATGATCGGAGAAACATCGAATACTCGCTTTTAAAAGACGCGATCGACCAAGCATCCCACCTAAACACAACGTACATTTTGATATAATAAAAAATCAAAAGGAAAAACAAATCCATCCTATTATAATAGCAAATATATGTTTAAAGCAGGCTAACAGCGCACAAATTTTTTAATTGGATAGATCGGCTTGGTTTTGTTATTAGATGCAAAGTTAGTTTTATATAAACATTTTAGAAAAAGAATGTCGTAGATCGAAAAACGGAAGATTTGTAGAATCACACACTTCCCGAGGGAAAAGAAAATGGCTCGTTACCGGACGAAAACTTCATTTCAATGTTTTCAAATGCAACCATTTGTAAATATTCGATAAGGGAACTGAATAACTTTTTTCGGTTAAAATTTCTCTATTCATTAAAAAGCAATTTAATTCTACATTTCACAAAACTCTGCATGCCGCTCTACCGATAATTATTTTTGATATTTGATACGCTTTGAGCGTTTCAGAGATTTTTACACAAAAATAAAATACTTTATCACAGATTTAATAAAGGCACAACGCTTTGTGGTTCGAAATCTTTTCGACATGAAGGACATTTGGGTGAATCTTCCTTGGCGGTGGCCTGCAAATTTCGGCTATAAATCTCGATTTTGTAATTATTAAAAGCATTATTTGGTTTTATTTTTGAGAGGATTACTTGTAAACAATTCCAACAAAAGATGTGACCACATCCAGAAGTGGCCGGAGGTGAATGTTCGAGACAGACCGTGCATTGAAATGACTGCAACGATTTTGTTTATAAATCTTTTTAGGAGGTTTTCGATTACAAACTACCAGTTTGAGCTCCTCGTTCGTCTCAATTGTCTCATTATCGCCTTCTTGATTTTGATTGGTAAAAGCATGCTGCCAAATATTGAACACCAGCGAGCTCAAACATTGACCGATTGATAAAAAGCCGAGAATTCGGTATAACTTGAGAGCCTATAAATTGTAACTGGATACAATTTTAAGTTTTCCAATATCACCTGTGGATCCGTTTGCGGGCTGGATGATAGATATTTGATTCCAGCGAATCGACGTGAGATGTTGTAGAAGTTTCCATAGATATAGAAAATTGACAAGTGAAAACGCTCGCTCAATGAAATGGCGTAAAGGCTAAATATTTTTACCGCTTTTGAATCATTCTGGCATGCTTACCTCTTTTTTAATAGCTCTTTGAGGGTTCGCTTTAGCTTTGGATTCTGAATCTTTTGGTAGTACGAACTTCGACGTCCAAATTGTTTCAAGTAGAGATATGGCAAATGAAGCAGCACTGTAAATGGAAATTTTAAAAGTGGATAATTTGATTGAGTTAACTTCTGTTATAAATACAAATGCTTGACTCTTTTTGGACAAAATGCATTCATGAAATTAGCGCCTACTTGAGCTTAAAAATAAACAAACCATGCCAAAAAGTGAACATGGTTTTTGATCCGGTACTCGGTGTGTATTTCATTGTTTCATCTGTTTCGATGAGATGAAGATATTCATCACCAATCGTTTGCACATCTGAAAGTCTATCCAATTTCACTCACACGATTTTTCCCAAACCTGAAAGCAATGTCATTGCATAATAGAGAAACTTTGCTAGATACTCTTTTGATGCATACAATAGACCATTATTGCTTTTACATAAAGAATGTATTATCTAAATGTTCATCGCATTGTTCATCACCAGTTTTCAAACTCACTTTTCCAATTTGTTCCTCAAGATTTTTCACTTCTTCATCATCGCGACTTTGTGCTCGAATGATTTCCCATTTTTCCGCCAAATATGTTTGGTTTTCCATTTTGTAATAAAAAAAGTACAAAGATTACAAAGTTACAGAGTACAAAAAGATTAATAAAATGATTTGACTCAAAATCTAATCAAATGGCCGTCTTTTTTTGTGCAAAACAAACTACATTTCGGCCAAAAACAAAGTTCAAAACGTTGTTTGAAATGTGTGGTTATGATATTGTGTATGTGGTTCGTTGAAAAACATAACGAACAAACAAATATGTTAGTAAGTAAACGTTTTAAAGCCACTGTCCCACTCGCCTATATTCAAGGACAATGGGATGGGAAAATCCGCGAGTATTTCTATTACATAAACCACGAAGGAATGCTCTTTCTCGACGATTCCCGGATGAAAAACTTCACCTCATCGTTTAAAGATACAAATTTTCTCAACTTTTTCTATAAGAATTTACGAGAAAATTCGACAAACCAACACGCTGACTATTTTCCATACATAAGTTTGTGCGGACGAGAGAGAAATTTTCTGCGATGTGACGATCGACCGATGGTATTTACAAAGATTGTAGATGATGGGCAGAATTGGTTAGTCGGTGACTCAACGAAACGAGTGAGTATCGATCCAACAAAGCTTTTCATGTTGAAAAATGGACGACTTTATCATCCGGCTCCTTTTGCATCTTATGGTCTTGTCAAATCGGCACTCGCCGATCAATTATTCCCATATTTCAAATTTGATTTGGATGGTTACCCGATGGAAGTGAAGTGGCAAGGAAGCAATATTATTTTGAGAAATGGGCGTGGACTTGATGAGTTGTCAAATCACAAAGGCACACAATGACCGTCGGCTGTTTTTAATACAGTATTCTGCATAAACTTGCACATAACTATATTAAATTTGTAAATTTACTATATTGAAAGTCTTTCTTGAGTTCTTTTGAAAATAAAAACTTCTTATCGGTTATTTTAAACATGCATAAAAAGCTGCAGAAAAAGATTTTAAATTGGTAGAAAAATTTACGAAGAAACCAAGTTTTGGCTTCAATACGACTTCAATTCAATGTTCAAACAAATCCAATTTCAAACAAACTTTCAACAATCACCTTTTCAATTTTCATTTTCGTAGATCACTTTCTATTTTCAGCATATTTTCTAATTACACTGCCGTAAACTTTTTGTGTGCTGATAAAACGAGGATCCTCCTCTTTGTGAATTTCGATTTTCATAGCACATCCATCCTCTTTCACACAAAACATCGTCTCTATTATCATCAAACATTTCCATTATTAATCGATATCTATTTTTATAATCTTTTTCTTTTTCTTTACATTTAGATGACATTTTGGTAAATTTTGAAATTTCTCGAAACTCGTTTAAGAGAAAGCGAACATTAAAAAAGCCTCATCCTCCTCTGTGCCTCGTAAAATTTGTGCAAATGACCTGCTTTATCCAGAGATTTTTCACGGATTGTGTCATAAGCAAGTTAGCCAAATGAAAACAATGAATGAGAATAGGGGAAAGTTCAATGAATGTCAATGAGGGTAATTAATCAAAATCTTATCATTTTCTCTACACAATGACCGAGATTTTCATGGGTAAATAAAGTGAAAAAACTGTGGAAAGTCTTTTTTGAAGAACACGCAAAGTCTATTTGAAAAAAATGGCTGAATCTTGTAGACGAAGTCTCCCAACTTCACCCAAATCGTTCATCGAATCCACCGAGCCATTTGAGGCTTCCGAATCATTTAGACAAAAATTGTCAGGTATTCCATTTTCTTTATTTCATTACTTGTTAACCTCAAATTGAACTTCTGACTTTTTTCATTTTGAATTTTCACTCAATCAATTTTGGGATCATCTATCCCTCAATATCATCAATGAAAGCTGACTCTTGCGAACGGTTCTTTCTCTCAAAAACTTTTCCTTGAAAACGAGGAAGCTGAAAATTTTTCCGAAATGAGCAGATAAATATTTTTTAGAGTAACTCTTTTAACACATTCGCGCCGATACGGTCCACCGATGGGCCGTATGTCGATTTAGCACTTTTTTTGAGACCGATTGGACTGAAAATTTGCAATCAGGGGTTTTCGAGGTCAAGAAATTCGAATCCGTTATCAGTTTTTACAGAAAACTGCTCTATTTTTGGATATTTTATTCGGTTTAATTATCCGAGTTTTAGAGAGTTTTGTGATGACCTGGGACTGGGAAATTAAAGTTGCTCAAAGACTAATTATGGATTCAGATTCTCCATCCCAGAATGCCTCCGGTTACAAATTTTCCGATCTACAGCTAATATAGATAGCTGTCGTCCGGCAGTCAAGCCAAAAATGACTTTGTCGTGAATGTGTTAAAAGTCCGATGGTCGTTACATTCAACTTTCCCATCAATTTTTCTCTTTTTTCCTAAATCCGATCTGTTTCATGAAAGTTTGATGGATAAACGAGATACTGAAATTGTTCCAAATAAATTTACTAATTTTAGTAAAAACGATTGTTTCAAATTAATTCCCATCTTTCATATAGTGTTGTTGAAATGAATGGCGGTGAAGTGATCAAGAGGCGATCACCATCGAGAGGGCAACCCGTTTCCCCCCTTGAAAGCCTTTCATATCACCCTGATCTCTCCCAATTTGCATTTTGCAGGCCTCTTCCCATCATTCAGCCACACTTTCATCCAAAAATCTATTCTTGTTTATTAATCACGTGTTTTATTTCAACTTTATTATCTTTTGTTTCGACCAAAAATCGCTAAAATGGAGAAAGATGGTAGGGTTTCTTTGTCATGTTATTGTGGCTGAGTTTAATGCAATTGAAATTTAAAAGCTTTCATCTCCTATAAAATTTCTTTTCTAGGGGTGGCCACAGCAACGGCACAAAACATGAACAACGGGGTTCGAGGACTTCGGAGACTTGCAGGTAACGCTGATACAGTTAACACATTCGCGACGATACGGTCCACCGATGGTTGTACTAATAACGATTATCTTTGATGTCAACTCAAGTTTTCAAAGGCTTTTGTTATTCATTTTACAGAAAGTTCTCGGTAACTTTGTAGTAGTTCTCAAGAGGAGATTCAGGGCTATCGAATGACTATAATAGTTTAATTATCTTTGCATTTTCACCAAGTTATCGACTACGGGACTTTACGCCCAAAATACCGTCGGCACGAATGTGTTAAAGCTGATACGCTTATCCTAGCCTTATCATAAGGTTTTTTTTCATAGGATCGATTAGTCGAACGCTGAGTGGGACCAAATTTGAACAAAGAAAGCAACTGCATGAAGTTGAAGAAAAGGTTTGACACATTCTCTTTTCTATAACAGCCAATGAATTGAGAGTAAGATCAGCTTTCCATCCTTCTTTGTTTTCAAGCTATAACAAAATTTCATAAGATACAAACAAAAAGCCAAACCACCTTTTAGTACTTTGATATATTGAGTGATCTTTCCACAAGAGAAAAGAAAGGATACGCTTTTTATTATCGCTCTTTTCAAGAAATGATTCGATTTTTTTTTGGCGAGGGATAGACTGTGAAAAGAGAAAACGAAACCAACACATTGAAAGCAGATTTTCAAGCAATGAAATTTGTGATGATTTCATTGAAATTATGAACACTCACTCACACATAGACTCATTCTTAAATCAGACCAAATCAATTGACAATGATGAAATCTTTGCACTAAAGAATAATCAAAAGCTTCAGGAAAAAAAGGTTTTAGAAGCGTTTCTTCCTTAGAAAAGTGAGATGGCAAATTGCTCTACTCGCAAATGTCGGTTTTATGATTGCTTTCGGAATACGGTAACAGCATTACGAATCACAAATTGACTTCATTATTTAGAAGTAATTTCGGGGTGGCAAAGAGTCGCATGACCACGAATTTCACTGACGCTTATGGATATGTTCATGTAAGTGAAATAAAAGGCAAATTATTAGGTTGGTGAATAAATCTTTTCGTTTTTTTTATAATTCCGTTAAAAAATAACAAATTTACCAATTAACCTATGAGTCCTCTAAATAAAAAGTGTTTATTGTTTAATTTCCCATCTTTTTAAGTCAAAGAAAGTCGAGAATGAAAACGCGATTTTTCGTAAAAATCTATAAAAACATCTACGAAGAAATTGGCTGAATGAATTTCCCTGAAAATTTGGCTATATACTAAACTTTTTGTGCTCTATCTTTTATTTATTGCCACCAAAATAGGTTTCCTTAGCTAAAGTGTCTAAACCGCATCAACGAGCTGTCGCCCCTTTTGACTACTCGACTTCAAGCTCTAAAAAAAATGCAGACATAAGACATTTTAAAGCCGTTTTAATGTTATTTTGCAGAAAAATAATTGGCCTTTCTAGTGAAACAAAAACATAGTTCGATTGATGCATTTCTTGGTTTTAAACGGAAGTACGAAAAGGAACGAAAAGACTTATTCACCAACCTAATATATTGTTGAAATAAAAAAGTTTAGGAGAAAGAGTTTTCATGGACAGCTTCTGAACTAGGCCTTATGGAATCATCGTTCTTCTATGGATACGCAGTCTCACAAATCCCCGCTGGAATGTTGGCGGCGAAATTTGCGCCAAATAGGTGAGTGAAGTTGTGGAAGAGTAAAGGTTAACGGCTTTTAAGTGTAAATATCAACACGACATCATCGATTTTAGATTATTGGGTCTTGGGGTTGCATTTGCTGGCCTCCTCAACATCGCCACAGCGATCACACTCAAATTCCATCCATTCACAGATTTCGCGGTTATGATTTGCCAGGCTTTACAAGGAGTTGCCTTAGTAAGCAATAGATTTTTAGCTGAATATGAAAATGATATATTTTTAGGGAGTAACTTATCCAGCAATGCATGGCGTGTGGAGACATTGGGCACCTCCAATGGACCGTTCTCGTTTAGCCACAACTACGCTTACTGGTTAGAATTTAACGAGCAAATGAGAGATCTTACTTACTAGAGATCTTACTTACTAGAGATCTTATTTACTAGAGATCTTACTTACTAGAGATCTTACTTACTAGAGATCTTATTTACTAGAGATCTTACTTACTAGAGATCTTACTTACTAGAGATCTTATTTACTAGAGATCTTACTTACTAGAGATCTTACTAGAGATCTTACTAGAGATCTTACTAGAGATCTTACTAGAGATCTTACTAGAGATCTTACTAGAGATCTTACTAGAGATCTTACTAGAGATCTTACTAGAGATCTTACTAGAGATCTTACTAGAGATCTTACTTACTAGAGATCTTACTAGAGATCTTACTTACTAGAGATCTTACTTATTATAAGACGCAAAGTTTGTGTTTAATATAACTGTTTTAATAAAATTATTGTAGAGTAAAATTGTGCGCAAATCTCAAATTTATAAATGAATGTCAACAGATTACGCTCAAGGGTATTTCAGAAGTTTGATCGGTCCAGGAATTAACTGCTGGTTTTGCTATATGGGCTATAAATCTACAAACACTTTTAAGGAGCCTATTTTGGTGTGATGGTCGGCTTACCCCTCACAACCTATCTGATTCTTCACTACAGCTGGAGCACACCGTTTTACTTTTTCGGTACATTCCACTTTACTAATCTCAATCGAAATAAACCATTTACTAAAAAGTCGTTTTTAGGAGTCCTTGGGGTGGTTTGGGCAATCGTGTGGCTTTGGGTGTCGGCTCGAACTCCAGCCGAACATTCATTCATTTCTGAAAGTGAGCGAGCATTCATCATTGATCGTGTCGGTCAAGTGACTCTTTCTAATATGACGGTTTGTCTTTTAATAAAGCTTCAAAAAAACAATAAACACAGTTATCAACAATTCCATGGGGAACAATTCTCAAATCGCCGGCCGTCTGGGCGATCATCGTTTGTAATTTCAGTCGCTCGTGGACATTTTTCTTATTGATGAGCAATCAAGTGCAATATATGAAAGATGTGCTTGGAATTGATATGCAAAAGGTTTAAAAAAATCATTTCAAAATACTAGTAATACGAATTCAGGCGGGTGGACTCTCGATTATCCCTCAAATACTTCTCATTCTCACCGTTCTTTCATCTGGACAAATGGCTGATTACTTGCGGTAAGAACAAGAATGAAAAGTAAAATCAAAAATTTTAGATCAACGGGAAGGATGACAACAGGACAAGCTAGAAAACTCTTTAATACAATAGGTAAAATTTGGTGAACAACAAAATATTGATATTTGTTTTAGGGTTTGGTGGTGAAGCGTTATTTTTGTGTCTCCTTGCTTTCGTCTCTTCTCCAACTCTTGCCATTCTTTGTCTTGTTGCCGGAGCTGGTTGCGGGGGAATCAGTGTTGCTGGTGAGTACAACATCACGTAATCGATATTTATGTTACGTCCGTTATTGAATAGATTCAGTAACGGACGTCCTATTCATAACCGGACGTCCGTTATGGAATCGATTCAATAACGGACGTAACATTTACATTACTGACTGAAAGACAATTCTAGGTTTCAATGTGAACCACTTTGACATCGCACCCCGGTATGCCCCGATCTTGATGGGATTCTCGAATGGTATTGGAGCGCTTGCTGGTGTGGGCAGTATGATCACAAACAATCTCACACATGATGTATCATTTTTTATTCCCATTCAAATTTTGATACCAATGTTACAGAATCCAGCTGGTTGGAAATGGGTGTTCTTGTTAGCGATGGTTGTCGACCTTATTGGCATTGCGTTTTTCTTGATTTTTGCTAAAGGAGAAGTGCAGGTAGCTAAAATTTGTTAGGTATTTGAAAACAAAATAATCAGGACTGGGCAAAAGAGCAAGAGCCGGAGATCACCACAAAGGAGATTGTTCATCGCATCTGTAAGTCCAGCTTTGAAAAAGATGAAACAAACAAATGAACAAAAGTTTAAAAGCTTGCTTACAAGCTTGTTAGCTCACAAGTTTTTCTAAAACAAAACCTTCCAAAAAGTCCATCAAAAATTTAGCTACAATCGTTCGCCGAATGTCTACGCGGTTATCGATGCGAAGCCAAAGCCAAGCCAAAGATACCAAGGTCGTTTTTAAAGCAATTCAAATGATTAACAAAAGTTTTAAATGAAAAGTGATAATAGAAGCAAAATTTAGGAAGAGGTCACTTTTGGGATGTCAATGGATACAGGATTAGCGGCACTGCGCAGCCGGGTGAGCGGTGCAAGAGGAGCGACTCAACCACTATCGGGAACCACCCCTCATGGTTCCACTCCACAAAAAGGCCTTCGAGGATTGCACGGTGTCAATAATCAAGGATTCTCGGCAACAATTGGAGCTCTTGGCGGCATTTCGGAGGCTCCCGAATCGGTTGATGGTGGCTCTCCCCCGGTTTCACCCCTTTCCCTTTCTCCACCTCATTCTTCACCCACATCTGTTTCTCGGTCTTCTCGTTTTACTAACTCATCTACCAATGCTTAATTTGTTTTTAAGCGCCGTTAACACATTCACGACAAAGTCATTTTTGGCCACTGAATTCACGTATAGCCTACCGGTTAGCCGTATCGTCACGAATGCGTTAAAATTTAAAGTTCTTACTTTTTTTGTGTTAAGATTCGCTACAAAGATAGCCATGATTTCTATAATAGAATATTCATCTAGTCTTTCTAATGTTCCTTGCCTTGACACTCTGTGAATATCAATTCGCGAATTTTCCCAAATTATCTGCCATATATGTCATCAAATTGTTGGATTCGTCGATTGGAATAAAGTTGATCTCTCTTACAATGTCTTTGCCAATAAAGTTGAATAGAACTTTATCAAGTTTTCAATATACTAGATTGATTGAGTTGAAGTGATTAAATAGAGTTCTCTTTCTCGTCGAGCTCTTTCCACCGCTGATATCTCATTTGCTTCATCATAAGGCGTTCTCTCGACTTCACTCTAAACAATCAGCTGATTGTTATTTCAGTTTTTTTGTGTTACTTTGTATGTTACATAGGTTCTTTCTCAATAGCTCGTAAACTTTGTTAATTCTTTTAATTAAGAAGAGTCACGGTAGGTTCGAGAGTTGGTACGTTTTAGAAAACATATTAATCGCGAGGAACACTCCAATTAAGAGAGAGCTTGCAAACATAACCGAACGCATTTTAGGGACTTTTAAGCGAATACTCAACTCATAAACGATAATAACGATTAGAAGATGTTGATTGGAAGATTTCTTACTTCAAAATGTGATGCAGTTGCAGTGCTATCAGTATCGGTGAAATGACTATCCCGAAGATTTCCTCCTTCTTCATCTCTTTCAATCACTTGCACCTCATCATTTTCCTCTTCTTCGATTCGTTCTAAAATTTTCATAACAAATTGAGGGTTTTCTCCTTTTCACCTAAATTAATAGTGATTGTGGTGTTCTCTGGTTGATTGGAGAGTCGAAGTTGTCGTTCAAAATGCGCGAGAAGTTGTGTGAGTTGCTCATTCTTTCCCCTTTCCTCTTCTAGCATTCTAGAAAAATATCTTTCTTTTTCTTCTTTTTTTTTTCAAACCTAGCAGCAAGTGAGCGAACAATTTCCTCATCTCGGAGCGATCTTTTCCCTTCTTCTATGATCTAAAAGATTCTCTTATTTGAAGTAATTTGTCAGCAAACTTGAAGAAGTCGTGCATTTTCTGCTTCCAATGCTAATCGCCACGAAAGTTCTCGATTCTTTCCATGTACTAAAACATAAAGATTCTTAAACGATTTAAACAATTAAAAAAATCAAGATTTAAAGCAAAACGCATCAAGAATTTCAGAAATAAAGAAGATTTTTAAGTATAAATCTTACCACCAAAGGATCTTTGCGCAATTCGTCGATGGTGTTCAGAAAGCTCAACTCTTGTCCGGAATGTAATTCCCATTTTAATATCTGAATGTCAATTGTCCAAACATTTCATATGAAAAAAAAAACCTTTAACTAGGGAATTTCGTGAAATGTTATCCATATGTGCCAAAGCATAATGCTTTTTGCCACTGTCCACATACAACAAATAATGCTCATCCTCTTTTGGGCCAACCTAAAGATTTGATTATTGTGTTTATAGTTTCAGAAGCAACTCTCACCAAAACGATTGTTGTCTTCTCAAGTGTTAATGTTTCTTTTTCATTTGGCTTATGTACAGGACGCAAATTGAGAGTCTAAAAGGTTTTTTTTTGAAAATGAAATTATTTTGTTTCACCCCGGGAACGATAGTGATCCAAGCGGCTTTCCATTGAGAGCGCTGACTGAATGGTGAACAACCATTTCTCCGGCGACGATACAAAACAAAATCCTGAAATTGATGCTTGTTAGGGAAACCAGAAATCATATCTGAAAAGTTAGTACCCTAAAGTCGCGAGTATAAGTTCTGTTTGGTTTTCGCATGCAAATTGACGGCTGTCTCCGGTGCGGTGTGTCGAGGGTTCGAACCCCGCTGCAGCATAACTTTTTTGCTTTTTAAGAACAATAATAGAAGTAAATTTATTGAGGGTTATAGCAATTTTTTGCTGTTGTTTTGTTGCTCCGGGCGTGGCTCGGCGCGTCCGCCCTGCTCCTCTCTGGTGCTCAGTCTTATGGATCCCTCCCTGGCCTCTTCATCCGGCCAAAGTCCACGTCGAAAGGGATGCTTTCCAGCGTCTTCTTCAACACTATCGTCTGGATGTATCCATGCACATAACAAATAGCAATGGTGATAGACTGTCACCCTGTAGTATCCCGCGCTCCAAGAACAATAATAAAAGTTTATATAACAATAAAAATGTATAAAAACTCAACAAAAAGAAATTCAAAGGAATTAAAGCTAATGTAAATTAAGGCAGAACTTATACTCGAGACTTTAGGGTAATTTGAGTGAACCCAATTTTCCTGCTATTAGACTGTTCTAGAAAGTCTTTTCATTCCTTTTCGTCCTTCCGTTCAAAAATAACAAATTCACCAATTAACATATGGTTTGCTCTTTTTTCGAGATTCTTCAATTCAATTTTCCTCTAGATGTTTCATTGTGGGTGAGTTGAGAAAAGGAGGGATCGCAAGGGAGAGTAACTGTAAATCGAAAGAGGCGTCAATGCACAAATATTTGTCTCTTTCATTATTCGCCCCTCCACTTTGTCACCACGAACCACCGAATTGAGTGAGCCGAAGAGAAAAACCCACACACTCACAGACACATAAAAAATTGTGAAAATAATTGAAAGATCCCAAGCATCTAAAAGATTTCATTTGCAAAATCACTCACTTTACGAATAATTTGTGAAATAAGTTGCTCGAAAAGCCTTTGCACTGCCGCTTCGAGCTCGTCTCGGTCAAGAAAAAGCGCCTGAATAGTTTCACCTGTTCTTTTTTTTTCCATACTTTGTTCATACCTCTATATAAGTGAGAAGTTCTCGGAAAGTAATACAATCCGAATCAAAAACAAAATCACTGAAAGTTAGACGTAAAAGATAGCAAAAGTCGACTACCGGCTGGTTGTCGGCAGCTCGCAAGCCTTTTGCAGCTCGGCTAAGATGAAATGAGCTTGAGGGGGTGACAAAGTTCCTGCACAAAAAATACGAATACAAAGTTAAAGAAACAAACCGGATGGGCAAAGGTCAGCAAAAAAGGAGAATATTCGAAAAAGTTGTTGCAACATTGGATCATTGGTGGGATCGGGCGAGAAATGGCTGTCCATCCAATCAAAAAGGAGGCCAATATTCAAAATAGCAGGAAGCAGAAAAAGATAGGGAAAGGAAAAAGAGATAAGCAGTTGCTGGAAATGAAAATTGAGAAGTACGAAGCGGAAGAGGGAGATTTGATGGGCAAGAAGGGGGAGGGGCTCAAAGGGGACCCCCAGCAGTACCCAACCGCCTCCCAGTCACCCAGAGCGGTCGATCTCGAGCTCTCGATCGACAGCAGCTGTCTCCAATGGATTCCAATCAAAAAAACGTCTTTCAGTTTGATGCCCGCCATTTTTACGAGAGTCCACGTGCTACCATGTGATTGAGTCTAAGTCTTTAGAGAAGATTTTAGTTTCCCTGATCATGGTACTTATGAGTTATACAATTACAATACGTATTGTATACCAGAGATAAAGACCAGAGATAATATACCAGAGATATAGAGAATACCAGAGATAAAGACTCAAGTAAGTCAAGAATTGCAAGAGAATAGATTATGCATAAGAGATTTTTTTAATGCTTACAAAAGCGAGAACTTTGCTAGATTTCTGTAAAAAAGGAATCTGTAAAGAGACCGATCGATCAAAGAAGCACTCCAGTAATAGCACTCAGTAATGGTGCTTGATCTAGCAAGAAAAGAATCTGGCTATTTCTGGCTTAAATGCATCCACAGGCTCAAGTTGAGTAAAGACTTCAATTTGAGAATGGAAAACTGATATTGATCTCTATGAGAAGCTCTCTTTCGAAGAACTGTGAGAACTTTATTCATTTCTTTCTTTACAAGCAAAACTTTCATTTCTTTCTCTGACGGTCTGTGGGTGAGGGAAAGCTTCCCTTCTTTCTTCAAACAACCAAAAAAGGGATACCGTGAACCCGTGCGATTGGCGAACGAACTCCCCAATCTCAGGTATATATGAATGGAAATGAAAGGAATAGATCAGTCCGTTAAAGATTCAGTTTTTATGGGTTAAGCCCCCGCGGTAATTGTTTTTAGCCAAAATACGGGAAAAACTCCCCGATATAAGCACAAATTAGAAATTTTGCTTGGCGATACAACAAATGAACCCCGCCAATCATTTCCCCGACCCCTGGGTACAAACTTTTGGCTTTATATCTCATTTGAGCAATGTTTACAGAATAAAGGAAATTCCTTTGTAAAGAGGCGGTTCCACGGACCTCAGCGGTATCCCTCACGGGAGACTGTGGAATGCCACAACATCCTTTCGATCTGCTGCTTGGGGGTATTCCGTATAGTCGGCCCTGCCCATGGCTTCGGCGCCCGCCTTCCATGAATGGGTTAGGCATCGGCCAAGCGAGAAGCAATTTTCTACAAGCTCTGTCTCCAAAGTTCTTGTTTATACTCTTACAAACCAAGGGACCGATGTGCGAGTATACACGTTGGCATACGAAGAACGAAGAGGCTTGTTTTATGTAAAAGTCCTCTGCCAGAAAGTGCGCAAACACAAAGAACAGCCAAAAACACCTAAGCTATTTAGTTTTTCGGCTGTTTCTCAGCTATACTTTGACGGATCGGGTTCGTTTTACGTCAAAAGATGCACCTTGAAATTCTTCATCGATTGGATTCAGGTTTTGTTTGAGAAAAAGTGAGTTTGAGTGGGTAAAAACGCGATCGAAGCTTTTTGGCTGTGACTTCAATTCCAGTTCTAGTGCAAATTTGGCGATTGCCTGCTCAAACCTTTAAGGATGAGCTCAATTCTTTTGGAAAATACATAATTAATGAAATTTCCTAATTATCAAAGCAAAACGAAGCCAACGTGTCGTCGAAATTCGTGGCCAAATACCAAAAAGAGGTAATATTTCACTCAAATACACGCTATGCAAATCTCTGAAAATTCGTCAAATTTTTCGGGATGGCTGAACTAGGGAAGAGACTTTAAGTGTACGTTGTATTGCGGGAGTAAAATCCATAAGTATCCATCTTTTGAAGATTTGAAGAAGTGCAGCCTGAAGGGATCTCTGTGGTACCCAGCTCGCCCACTCAAAAATCACTCCTTCCCTTCCAATCATCACGCACACATTCACGGATTATATTGATAGTAGTGGATTTGCTTAGATCTTCACTTTTTCTAAACCACGTACAATCTATTCAACTCGGTGAGTTCGAGAAGGCTTTCAAAGGCAACAAATCTCTCGCCCTGCAGGACAGCCGACTTGGACTCACCCAAATCCAGCATCACTTTTTAAAGCACTATCTCCTTGGAACTAATTGTACCTCATTGTTGTCGTTGATCAAAGAGATCTAAGAGTTTTGGCTTTCTGAGTGTTATCAGTGAACTATTATGCTGTCCAGAAAGTCTTTTCGTTCTTTTCATATTTCCGTTGAAAAATATCAAATATTCACCAATTAAACTATGGTTTCCACTAAATAAAAAGTGTTTATTGTTCAATTTCTCATAAGTACCTATCATTTGTATGCTGTTTTAGTATCCATTTCTCCAACTTTTTCCATTTTTTTATTCAAAGCCACAAAATGACGAGATAAGCACCATTTTTTCAAATAAGAGAGCGATCATCAGAATCAGATTCGAAAAAAAAAATCGATTTACCCATAACAATACTGAGAGAGAAGAAAAATAGAAAAATATGGACAAATATGCTTATGGACTTATGGAAAAATCAAATCGAGATTACATCAAAAAGCAGAAAGAATGAGCGCGCGGAAAAGCCCTTGGAAAACCGTAAAATGTTTGATTGGCTCTCAAGTTTGAGAATAAATTAAAAAAAAAATAAACTAAATTGAAATAAAGTATACAACTCAAATTTCCTATCCTTATAAGTCTGAAAGCTGAATTTTCGAGTCAAAATCTCAAAATCAAAATCATTATAAGGAAATCTAAAACACTCGGCAGCGAAATGAAAGCACATTTTAATAACGCAAAATATCACAAAATTTTGGAAAGATCACCAGCATTGTCTAGAATTTTTTTTCTATTCTTTTATCAATAAGAAGCACCATTTTGCGCCTTCGTTTCTTCAAGAAACTGACGAAACTGAAAAGTTTCCTTTTAAAGAAAGTTTCTTTTTTTATGAAACCTGCGAATTTGTTGCCAAAACTCGTCCATTTTCGTCAGCCACCTTCTCATAGCAAGATGGAGAAATCATATTCTAAAAAGCTTTGTTTTGTTAACAAATTTAACTTTTCTTACTAATTACTAGTTATTGGGTTGGTGAATTGAAAACTGCCGGCTATTGTCATATGTCACAGTTCTCACACTTTCTTCAAAAGAAACCCATTTTGGTGTCAATGGAAAAGTTGTAGAGAATCAAAAATAAAGCTTATATCCAAATTTTCAGAACGATTCAAAAACTGGTTTTCAAGAAATGCCAAATTTACAAAACTTGCATTTTAAGCAAAACTACTAAGTGTATCTTTTTGGAAATTTGGCTATAAGCCTCATTTTTGATTCTCTACAACTTTTCTATTGACACCAAAATGGGTTTCTTTTGAAGAAAGTGCTCAAACTGGGAGACCTTCAGTCCTCCATTTTTGAGTCTCACACTTGACTCACACACAAACCAAAATCCTACTACGAAAGAGGAATCCGCAAATTGCCGGTAAAATGGGCAGAAGTCGTCAATAATATTGGAAATTATTTGGAATAAATTGATGGTTTTATGTTGAATAAACTTTAGTTCAAAGTCCCGCAGTTTTCAATTCACCATTTCAATTCAATTCAATTCAACCTAATAGAATCAACCTTACACCACTTCAAAGATATTTTAGTATATCTTTTCAATAAATTCAGATGTAACTCACAGTTCGAATTGGTGTAGGCATTGGACAGAGTCGACGGCATTCGTCACTGAAACTTCTGAAATTCGAAGATTGTTATTATCCCTTGCTATTTTCCGTAATGATACCTAAATTTTGGTGTTTGAGGCAACAGATTGTGCTTCTCCACAAAATTATTGTGGTCAAACGAGGGCACAATTGGAAGCGAAGCCCTATGATCAAGATTGAAATCGGATTCTGGAGAAGTGACGATCTGAAACGAGAAATGGAAGTTAAGCAAAAGAAATTATGCATCAAAACCCCGAGATTGAGACTGTTGTTGTCTTCATCGACAAGAGCAATACCATCGTTGCTTGTGTTGACATGAGGTGAAGTCTGAAATCCGATTTTGTTTTCCTTTCCAACTTTCAACTCACCTCATTCAAAACAAGCAAGAACTCATGCGATGGTCTATCGACAATTGAATGATATTCGTGAGCACTTTGATCAATGTCCTAATATCAACAATAAGTCATTAACGAGTCATTAAAGGTATTATACCGGTGGAGTGAAATCGCGTCGCGTGGGACTCAAATCGAATTGCTCATTTGCGGAGACATAATCAGCCAATTGAGAATCACCCCCAGCTGAAATGGGTTTTCCCGTTTCGGCCTCAATCTGAGCACCGTCGAATCTGTCATTGAGCGGTGACGCGATTTGAGCATCTTCTCCATTCGCAGAATTGTTCCCCTGAAATGCTTCACTTGTTTAATTTCTTTAAACGAATAGCTGACCAGATAGTAATGGGCTGTCCCACTCGGACTTCGGCTCACACAGAGTCGATCGTCGACACAACCACGAAATTGTTGAGGCTCGATCTAAAGACGGTTTAGTATATTAGGTTGATGAATCAGTTTTTTCTTTCTTGAACAAACGAAAAGACTTATTCATTAACCTAATAGTACAGACAAACCTCAGCATGAATCACTGCGTTTTGCCAACCCTGATTTTGATCGTGAACTTTCACGGGAGGAATCGATGATTGAAGATGTTGTTGAACTGGCTGAGTTGGTTGAACCTTTGCTCTTTGTGGCTCTCCGCCTGCCTCACAAGCTCGTCGCAAGTCGCTCAAACTGAAAATATTGCTTATTGCCTACGTATTGTGTACCTGTGTACCTGTAATGCGATTGAAGGACCGGCTCTTCGACTAACTCGTTATCAGTCAGCCAAGTATTCACACGGGTGCTCACGGGAACTAAAAATTTTTCAAATTTTAATGCTATTTCGGAAAGAGCTTTGATGTATTTTGTTTGTGCTCACTTTTTGCAAAGTCATCGAGACTTTCAGGCTTTTTCGAGCGTCTCATGCCGCTCAGACATCCACCCATTTTTCACCCTAAACATCCCATTTTAGTATTCATAATTAGTTTAGTCGTTTAAAGGAAAGTTAAGCATATTTGAAAGGAAAATTGAGAAAATATTTCTTTTGCAACTCAAAAGTTGTTGGCTTTTTATGTCAAAATGAAATGATGATTGTTGAATGAAAAGCTGGGAAATGAATGTTGAAAGTTGAAAAGAATTCCGAGCTGATGGAAATGACAAAGGATTCTCGGAAAACTGATACAAAAAAGGACAGGAAACTGTTTTGCAGCAACAAAAAGGAAATGATTTCCACAGAAAATTCGCAGATTGGGTTGAAACCTTTGGAGATCACTTTTAATAAGCGGTGATTCGGGGAAACGAACGGGATCAGGAGAAATGAGAGAAAATGAGAAAAATAAAGGGGAATGGAAAAGAAATGAAAAGATGAGAATTGTAATGAGTAAGTGAGAAGAGAAGAAAATGACATAAACAGGGAAAAAGGAGAAAAAGGAAAAAAGGGGGCACAGCTGCTCGCCCTTCCATCCCAACACCATCATCCCCTTCCCTGCACAATCCATCTTATGTTGGGGGTGTTCATCGATGTGAGGATACAAGAGGACAAAGTCTTTCCGATCATTTCCCCATTTTTCTTGTCAATGCTAAATACCATTAAATTTTCTTTACACCTTTCATCGAGAAAGTGTGAATTGCGCAAAAATGTTGGTGAAAATGAAAGGATCGCTGAGATGGAAATTGCAGAAAGGAGGAAATGGGGAATAATGCAAAGAAGCACTCTTTTAGAGTGCTTACAAATTTGATTTGTTTAATTTGACTCTTTTAGAAACAGATAGTTCCAGTGAGCAGAGCTAAAAAGAATGTGTGTGCTTATTTGGGGACATAATACGAACGTCACTTGGGAATGAAACGTAGTCGCTTTTTGTTTATTATGGGGATATCCCTCTTTCACACAGTCACTATTTTTTTTTGTTTGTTTTTATATTTTAATGTTGGTTTTTGATTTAAAGCCAAGTTTGAAAAGCTTAAAAACAGATAGATTTATACGGATTTCTATGCGTACTATTAGATTGGTTCCTATGCGATTAGATATTAGATTCCTATGCGTACTATTAGATTGGTGAATTCTAAGCAAATCTCTCGCCCTGCAGGACAGCCGACTTGGACTCACCCAAATCCAGCATCACTTTTTAAAGCACTATCTCCTTGGAACTAATTGTACCTCATTGTTGTCGTTGATCAAAGAGATCTAAGAGTTTTGGCTTTCTGAGTGTTATCAGTGAACTATTATGCTGTCCAGAAAGTCTTTTCGTTCTTTTCATATCTCCGTTGAAAAATATCAAATATTCACCAATTAAACTATGATTTCCTCTAAATAAAAAGTATTTATTGTTCAATTCCCCATCTTTTAAAGTCAGTTCGGGTTCATTTTCAAGCAAATCCGAGAATGAAAACGTGGTTTTTCGTAAAAATCTATAAAAACATCTACGAAGAAATTGGCTGAATGAATTTCTCTGAAAATTTGGCTATTTACTAAACTTTTTGTGCTCTATCTTTTATTTATTGCCACCAAAATAGGTTTCCTTAGCTAAAGTGTCTAAACTGCATCAACGAGCTGTCGCCCTTTTTGACTACTCGACTTCAAGCTCTCAAAAAAATGCAGACATAAGACATTTTAAAGCCGTTTTTATGTTATTTTGCAGAGAAATAATTGGCCTTTCTAGTGAAACAAAAACATAGTTCAATTGATGCATTTCTTGGTTTTAAACGGAAGTACGAAAAGGAACGAAAAGACTTATTCACCAACCTAATATATTGCTTTGACCATTTACATTAATTTTATATTTGTTTTATTTGCAATAGTCATCAAATTTAAAGCTTACTATTAGTGTTCGCGATTTCTAACTGTTCTTGTTTTTTTTAAAGTCAATGGAACACTTTCATGGAAAATATCAAAAAGAGAATATGATCAAGTGAATCAGCCTCGTAGTAAACGCGATATTTAATTCTTAGCTAATGACAATTGATTTGTTTATAAAATCATGGACAATAGGGTGATCGAAGAGATCGAAAAGGTAAATGATGGAAAAGAAAAAAAGGATGAGTCAGAACTCAGCTGTCACCCTCCCCTCTCTCCCCCCTTTTACCTTTTCTCTCTTTGTCCCCTCTCACCTTTCCTTTCCTTGCATCGACTCAACCAAAGCAACGCGCGAGATCTTTCCCATGTCTCTCATCGACATTTCCTAATCGATCATTTCATTTGTGCTCTTCGTTTTAATCTTCATTACTTTTTAACCTTCTCATTACTTTCAATCCTTTGGAAATCATCTTCATTTTTTAAAATTACAGTATTTAATGGAAATCTACAAAACGCTGAAGAGGCAAATCTCTGCGGTAACAAATAATGAGGCATTTACAAAAATAAAGGAAATGATAAAAAGGAGGATTTAGGGACAATCAACATCGGGTGCTAAATATGGTGGAGGATCGGGGAAAACGTGGATTCATCCACCAGGTGAGTCAAAGGGAAATATTGAAGAATGATAGGAGAAGAATCCAGATGTGCTATTGAATGGCCGAGTCGAGTACACGGTGAGATTGTTGGGATCACGTGAAGTGGCGAAAGCAAAAGGAACCGATACGATTCGAGATGCAATTCATGCTATTCGATTTCAGAAACAGGTGAAACGGAGCAATGACGGCAGATTATCTGATTATCTTTCGTTTTATAGGTGAAAGAGTCAGAGACGGGTTACTCACAACGACAGAAATTGCAACGAGTCGATCTACAGGTAATTACAGTAACTCTTTTTGTGAAATCAATCTTTAAGATTAACGTCGAAGGTGTAACTGTGGTGGATTCGAAAACAAAAATGGTGCTTTATCGCTATCCGCTACAGAGAATCTCATTTTGTGCTGATGATAAACAGGTGGGAAAAAGATTTAGAAGAAAAGCAATGAATCAAGAGATTAAGAGATTACTCTATATAGCCGATAAAGATTGAAACATAAAACGCTCTTACATATGCATTCTCAAATACTAATTAGGTAAATGTTTCTTTAGATAAAATGCTTTGTAATTTTTGGCTTTTTTTTCTCCTTTTAAAGTTTATCAGACCTTGAAACATGACAAAATGAACCAGAAAGCAATTTTAGGATAAACGAGTGTTCTCATTTATTGCCAAAGCCGAGGAAAGCAATCGTCACGATTGTTTCGTCTTCATGGCGGAAAAAGTCGCTGAACAAATCACTCTCACTGTTGGAGAAGCTTTCGATCTTGCTTATAAGGTATCTTGAAAGAAGCAGCGAAGTATTCAAAGCAAAATCCCAGAACTTCATGGACAAAAATCGAGTCACTCTTCAAAATCAAAAACAAGTTCTTTTGTTGAAGAAAAGAATCATCGATCTGGAAGAAGAAAATCAAGTGAGTTGAGTTAAAAGAGATTGAAAAAGATCACGTTTAGGCTTTGACTCGTCTTGTTGAATCTTATCGCGCACAGAACAACACACTGCAGGTTTTTTTTGTATCGTTAACACTTTTCTCAAATTTCTCCCTATACAGGCAAACAATCCATTGATCGGAACACCGGCTTTGCCCACTTCTCCAATGCCTCCCACTCCTCCACAACTTCCACCCCGTACACTTCCATCATTACAAAATGGAGTGAATAGCAATGAATACGGTGACTAAAGTTTAAACCCTTTGATCACAGTTTATTTAGTTATCTCACCATCCACTCATGGAGCTTCTGCTTCATTAGGAGTTTACACAAAGCCAACAACTCGAAATCAAGTAAGCCACTTGGAAAAAAAGCTGCCAATGTTGAAAGTTGAATGATCAAAGCTTTTAGGTGTCATTGCTAGAGATTGAACCTTGCTCTCCAACAGGATCTCTATCATCACCTTCCGGATCAACGGCAGCTCCTCCACAACCACAATCACAACCATTAGGCGCTCCACCGGCTTTCATCGCTCCTCCACCTCCAATTGTTCCTCGACGCAAGGATCTACCCACGTCAAGCAATGTTCCCGAGGTATGCAATTCATTTAAGCGTTTAAATTTCTCTCTAAAGATTGGCCGTCGTCTTGAGGGACTTCAACTCAACAATGTCGAAAATGTTTTCGATGACAATTTTAATCCAAGAGCTACAGAAAAGCAAAAATCAAAAGGTCAGAAAAAACAAATAAATATTGAAATTATTGTTTCATTTAGAAGATGGGCCATTCGGTGACGATTTTCTGGCGGAATGTCTAGCGAAAGGGGCAGAAGGAGAGAAACAAACGGCTGAAGATATTGAGAAGATGATCTCTCAAGTCGACAAAAAGTAGGGAACAAAAGATTATTCAAGAATTTCACATATACTAATACAAAAATGTAGGCTTGCTGAGATGAGTGTCGGTTTTTCGAGTGGAAATCTCGAGGTTGGAGACACGGGAGAATCATTGGGAGATATCGATTTGGAGAGTGAATACTCGGCACCGCTTGGTCATCTACAGGTTGGCAAAGGCAAATGATGAAAACAGAAAAGAATATTTCCATTCCAAAGTACTGTAGTGAAACAAATCTCTAGTACATTATAGTATCTTGAAAGATATTAAAATTCAATTTTTAGAAGCCTCAGAAGGATAATGACAAACAATGAACTTGTGTCTTGTGTCTTTTTGTGTCTTATAAATCATTTTATTTCCTTTCTATCAGTAATATCAGGTAACTCATTTAACTGTGACCAATTTTCTGTGATTTTCGATAAATTTATTTTGAAATCTTTATCAATTATGCTCTAAGTAAAAATCTGATGAAAAGGCACGAGTCAAGAAAACAAATCACGAAAAGAAAAATTGCAAGAATAATTGATAAATCACAACTAAAATGACTTTGTTTGACGAGAAACGAGAGACGAGAAAGAAACGGCAAGCGACCAAAATGAAATAAATTTCGTTACCATAACAAAAACCCATTATTTAAATTATTACTGTAAATAGCTACCAAACTGAATCGATGAGAAAACTTTGGGCAAAGAAGAAATCAAAGGGAAGATGAGCGACTTGATTTTGTTGTTGTAGTATCTGATTAGATAAAGCTTATTATTAGTTTATATTACCCTAAAGTCTCGAGTATAAGCTCTGCCTTAATTTACATTCGCTTTAATTCCTTTGAATTTCTTTTTGTTGAGTTTTTATACATTTTTATTGTTATATAAACTTTTATATTATTGTTCTTGGAGCGCGGGATACTACAGGGTGACAGCCTATCACCATTGCTATTTGTTATGTGCATGGATACATCCAGACGATAGTGTTGAAGAAGACGCTGGAAAGGATCTCTTTCGACGTGGACTTTGGCCGGATGAAGAGGCCAGGGAGGGATCCATAAGACTGAGCACCGGGGAGGAGCAGGGCGGACGCGCTGAGCCACGCCCGGAGCAACAAATAACAGCATAAAATTGCTATAACCCTCAATAAATTTACTTCTATTGTTCTTAAAAAGCAAAAAAGTTATGCTGCAGCGGGGTTCGAACCCTCGACACACCGCACCGGAGACAGCCGTCAATTTGCATGCGAAAACCAAACAGAACTTATACTCGCGACTTTAGGGTAAGTTAGCCTTTTTCTTCTGTTATTTCCAATTGTTCATTCGATTATTTTGGTGAAATTTGCTGGAAAGACTCCTTTTGATCCATCATCTTTTTCTCCCATCAACCATCCATCGTCCATTTGATCTTTCTCGAATGTTTCCAAAACCTGAATTGGGTTTTGAGTAAGAAAATTTTCGAATCAGTTGCTAATTTTGACAAAAGATCCATTGTTAGAGCGAATTTATAAAGCTTTCCCTCAAGAATTTCGCTTGGATGATCGTTTTATCTTTATTCTCTCACCTTTATTTTATCGCCAGGCCCAAATGAAAGCTCATCTTCGTCTTGCGGTGCGTACTTGTGAGTGGCTTGCACAAAGTTGAGCACCTGACATTTTAACTTTATTATTGTATTGAATCTACAATCAACATCTATTTACGAGTGATTATTTGCTAGAGTGTGTCCTTTTCTGTCTTTTTCTACTGTAGTCGCGGTGACATTTCGGCTATATAAGGCGGTCTTTTTCTTCATTTTTCACTGAAGTCAATTATTTGTTTGTATCGATAAAATTTGATTGTTTTGAGCACATCCAAGATACACAAGTTATCAAGCAAGTACCAGCCTATCAACCAGTTTAAATACAAGTACAAATCGCCCCTTTAGTTTCTAAAGTTTCTAAAATTATTGGCATAGTATTTATTTATAGCCCTATTCCTGGAATTGTTTATTTCTATCTGTTAGTTTTGTTCAGTGATAAAAAAAACACTGTCGGTGCCTATCATTTAATCTAAACACAGATCTATCCTCCCAAATATTACACCGATTCATCGTTGTTTAAATGAAAGCGGCGAAGGGGATTATTTTATGCAAAATTTCTCTACTAAAGAATAAAAGCTTAAGAAATTGTAATGGGTAATTGAACTTACTTTTCGTGGTTTCTCCTCTTCGTGATGCTCGTCATCAGATTCATCAAATGGATTTGTTGGATCTTTTTCACGTTTCTGTTGAATTCTTTTCTCTTTATCTTCACTTCTCGGTGTTGCCACTGGATTTGGAGTTGAGCCAAGTTTCTGAAAAAACTCTTTAGCTTATGCTTATTTTTAATAAGAAAATTAAAGACGGGTTGAGAATGTCAGCAAAGTAAGGATGTGACTCACAATCAACTTAACATTGACCTTTATTAATCGCGAACGCTAGGATATTGCAATATTTTTAAGGAGAATGAAGTCTTTGTGCCGGTTTCTTTTCTAAGAACCCACTGGATAAACTTTGTTCTGGACTTGCTCTTCTTCACTCGCTTCCTCTCGCATCTCTTTTATGCTCGGCACTTTGTCACTTGCCACCGAAGCAATGCTCTGACGCTGAAATAAGGTTCTTTTCCAATCTCATTAAATAACGGACCGTTGAATCTCCATTTCGTTCAATAGAAGCACTCGGTGATGGACTCCGGCGTTCAATGGTAGGAGCCGAGAGCTGAAAATGAGAGAATCTACTATATATAAAAGAGCAATGTCCGTCCGTCTGTACAGGCTTTTCAGCTGTCTTTGGGCCAAAAAAAAACTCTTAAAATATACTATAGTTGTACCATTTAAAATTAAAAATTTAAAAAAGTCAAAATAAATTGAGTGACACTAGGCGGGTGGAATCCGGCTTGTGTGGGCCGTAGACATGCCCGTTCCCGACTGTGCCATGGCGATAATTTGTTTAGCCAGGTTTTTCGGCTGGTGAAAGGGAATATTGCAATGACACACCTGATTATCGGGAGGGGAATCGACTCGACTGATTGGACGAGCCACTCTCAAAGAATCCATCGATTGACCCAATTGATCCAATTGACCCACCAATTGCTTGTGAAACTATAGTAAAACATTTATAAATCGGCACTCAATTCGGTACCTTTGCAGCCTCGGTTTCCTGAGTGGCCAAAGCATTAAACAACAATTGGAGATTATCAACGACAAACGTGATTCGACTATCAAAAGTGGCTGGGAGAATCTGAAAAGATTATTGCTTTTTGCTTTCTTCTTTTGATTACCTCTAAAAGTTCTCCATTTATCTCCTTATATAAAGTTTCCGCTTGCTGTAATTCAGTCGTCGCTTTTGCCATTTTTGGATCAGTCTCTGCCTAAATTTCTTTAGTTTTATAATTCCAAATCGATTTCAAACCTTTTTACTGCTTTCTTTCAATGAATTATAGCTATTTCTAGCTGAATCGTAATCGACGAGTTTCCGTCCTCGCTTTTCCACCTAAATTTGTTAATTACTTCAGCTATTTTGGCAGCAATAAACCTTTTTCTTCAAATCGCCGAATTGTGCAACGTATTGGCTGACCGAGCCAACAATATCTTCACAAATTGTCCTTTCAAGCTCATCTCCTTGACAATCCAATGACTGAATTGCTTTTCCTTTACATTTGTTTCTTTTTTCTTTACCTGAGTGATAGCGCAAACATTTGGCCTATTTGGCCACTCCTCTTCATAAAGTTCGCGAATCGATTCACGCAATGTCTTCTCCGCTTTATTCAACTCTTTCAATGTCGTTGAGTAAGTCTGAATTGAAATCCTTTCATTAGTCTGTACTCCTTCATTTACCTTAAGATCTTTAAACAATCTTTCGCAAGCTTTTGACTGTTTTTGCAGATTGATCACATGGAAATCAAAGGCTTCATCTTGTGTGGCTTTATTTCTACCGAGTCCTTCGAGTAGCTGAAAAATATTTGCTCTCATATTTTAGAGACACTATTTTTGATCGCCGACTCAACTATGACTCAAAGACAAAAAGCGCGGATCATTGCGAAAAATGTCCGAGTGAAATTAGGGTCACATTTTTTTCATCGGAGTTTCTGCAAGACACGAGAAAAATCCGTTGCAAAGAAGACCAACGAAAACCCCGGAGCTCTCATCTTAACGCAAAAAAAAATCACTTTTCCCCTTTTCTCCTCTTTATTGAGAGATCGTTTCAATGTTTACAAAGTAAATGGGGGCAATTTCGCCTTTTTCTCTAAACAAAAACTCTTCTCTCTATATTCTCACAAATCAATGAACGAACCTTTTCTTTTGTGCGAGCCGTTGTTTTCTTTATGTGTTTATTGAAGAAATCACTCATCTTTCTGAAAAGCTCAAGTTTTTAATTCAAATTTAAAACTCAAATATCAGAAAACATCGTGATAGGAAAAGAAGTGAAGAAATGTTTCAAAAGAACGAAAACAAAAAGGGCAAGATGGAGAGATGGAGAGTTCGAAAAATTTGCCATTCAATGATCGTCTGTATGCGTCATTGAAAAGAAGAGATTGTTATGAAAGAAGTTATAAAAGAAGGAAAAAACATTATTCGGATATTGATGTATTGATGAAAAGATGATGTTTGTAAAGCAAGTAAAGGGAGGAAGGGTGAGAAGGGTGTTGTCCCGCAAATAGAGCAAGGCGACGACAAACTACAAAGCTCGACGGCTAAGTTTACGGAAAATCTATCAGCTGTGCTTGATTGGAGTTGAATGATGAGGATGAACACTTAGACTTGGTCAGTAGAGGGGCCATCTCAGAGTGGGGAAATCGGTGAAGTTGATAGAGTTAAGAGGATTGGAGAAAAGAATGAGTGAATGATGAGCGCGGAGAGAACAGACATTGTAGAAAATGAGAAAAGAAGGAATAGAAAAGAAAAAGGAGAGAAAATTGGGGGAAAGGACGACCCCCGATTCCGATTCTCTTTCTCTTTTTCTCTTTGATCTGTTGAATTGACTGGGGTGATGCTCTGTGCTTTTGTATGAAAGAGCGAGCAATCCTGGATGAATCGATCCACCCGCTCCCCTCTCCTCTCTCTTTTCTTTCGGCAACCTTTTCCCTTCTCATTCTTTTCTTTTCACAACTTCCCAATGCTTTCCACAAATGGACACCCGTACATCCGAGGTGACACCAATCCGTTGACAAGAAGGAAAAAAAAAACGTTTGCATTGCTATGTTCACGGGGAAACACCGAAAAATCGAGAAATTTCTGACAAACATTTGAACTTTGGGGTATGCAGATAGAAAAAAGAAAAACTTTTAATGAAAATTTTTGAGTGAAAAAAGAAACAAAATTTTTTGACCTGTTCGTCTTTGCAAAATTTGCCAAGTCACAAAAATGGTGGAATATATTCATGATTACTCGTCTTTGTCAATTTCCTCTGGACATCTATGAATTCTGGAATCATGATCATTTTAAATGTTAAAATATTTAACGAAACTAATTTAAATTGAACTTGAACTGAATTTGCAAATCGTGCTATTCAATAAACTATCATAACATCAAATTCTTTCACTTTGTCTTTGATTCTCTATCCTTTTATTATCAAATTTCGAATGGTTATAATGAATCCTTGAAAAATGAAAAGCATAATGGAAAACGATTAAGAGAAGAAGAAAAAAGAAGGGGGTTCCGGGGGATGGAAGTCTGAGAAAAAAAGGAAAGGTATGGAAAGATTGGAGGAAAGATTTGAGCCGAGATGGGCATCTCATTCAACAGACTGCCCATTCAACAATCGCCACTCCTCATTTCTTGGTAGCCACTCTATTTTTGCGCCCTTCGATCGACTCAACCCGATGTTCATTCAACGCTTCGAATAGTTGGCCATGCTGTTCATACAATATTGTTTTGCTTGTAAAAATCAGCTAAAGATTGATTGGCGTTGAAAAAACAAAGAGTCTGTTCCTTTAATTTCACTCAAAAATGATGAATCCTTCATTTTCCCTCCAAGCGACAAATTTTGTGTAAAACTTGAATTTGGTTTTGCTTTTGACGAATTTCAAATTAATAAAGAAAAGAGAAAATTTTGTATCCGTTTTTGCAAAATATTTGTCGCTTGGAGGGAAAATGAAGGAGGGATGGGGTGAGAGTGATGCCTGATCGAGCGTGGGCATTGTTTCTTCTTTTTTATCTTCAAAGTCGAGTGCTCAAAGTCTTTCCTTTCTCATTTCCCACCTCATTGTCTGTCGAACAAATTTCCTTTTTTTTCAACTTTATATTTTTCACTTCGAAATCGATAAGGTTAAATTATCATTTGTTTTTCTTCATCTTTTTTTTTCTTTTAACAGAATTAAAGTAAGCAGGGAAAGCATGCATTTGAACTTGACAATGCGCTTAGCTAAAGGTGATGAGTACGTCCATTTAGTGATGACAGAGTGAGAAGTGAAGGGGCAGAGGGCAAGCCGAACTCCCTCACTCTTTTCTCCCTCTTCTCAACACTCAAGGTTATCAACCCATTGTGTGTTGCTTCTCATTCCTCTTGTTGATTCGTATTCAATCGACTCGTGTCAAATTCTTTGTTGAACCATTAAGCTTTCTGACGGTTTTCAGTCATTTGGTAACAAAAATGACTCTCAGTCAAAACAAATGCCCCTTTTTCTTCCGAATTCTCAAGCTTTTCGGCATTTGATTGCCTGCTCTGTCATGTGACCATCTTTAAGATTTTAAATTAAAGATGAAAATCTAGAAGGATTTTGACTGAGGAAAACCCTCGATTCCCCTCTTTTTCTCTCTTTTAAAATTGTTCAACCTTTTCTCCCAAACCTCTTGGCCTTTTTGAGAGGTTGAGCGGACGAACTCATTTTCAGGTGTTGCTCCTATTTCCAAAACACCGATTTCCACCTCGTTTCCTTTTACTTTTAAAGAAACTTCTCAAGATCCTTGCTGATTTTTGACCATGATCATCGCTGAACTTGCTAGATTGTGGATCTTGGAAACATTCTGCCCTACAACTTATCTACCCGAAAAAGTTGTTTGTTTTAAAATTTTACCTTTATAGCTGCAAATGAAGATCAATAATTGTTTATTTTTGTCTGTTCCAGTTTTCGACGCTAGACTTTTTACCTCGTGACGACATTGTTCGAGCTGATTTTCGATTTCCTTTACTATTTAGCAGCTTTGATGGTTAATTTTTGATGGATAAACAGTGATTAGCTTTAAATATTGAAATTTACTCAATTTTCTATCGAGAGTCATTCTCGATATTAGGGTTATTCAATGGCAGAGCTCTTGCTCCTTCCGGGATCCGGTTTACTCGTTGAAAGAGAAAGGTGACTGGTGAAAGGGAAGAAGTCAGGAGGTTGCGAAGAGAATCGAGAAGGGAATCGAGAAGAGAATCGAGAAGGGAATCGAGAAGGAGGGGATGCCCTCGAGAAGCCCATTCATTTCGCTTTCAGTATACAAACAGACATCTCCAAAAAAGTGTTTTCGGCCTTGACTTGTCTCCGGCAATTGGTATCAAACCGGCTCCTGCACGCATCCACACCATTTGACCATCTTGAGTCAGCTATTTCATTTTTATATGCTCCACGTTTGCGCTTTATATTCATGTAAAATAAAATTGAGATGAGAATTCAAGAAACCAATCTCGAAAATGTAAAGTTTAATTGGGTTTTCTTTTTCTTTTTTTTGACCCCTTGAAGGTCGATTTCTTTGTCCGTTTGTCCAGAGTTCTCTTTTACCATTCTTCTATACAAAAGAATGGAATTCCCCCATTTTTTTCACCTATCAAATCGGTTACACTCAGCTATCCAGGTTATCGAACAATTCATTTCAAAAATATACTTTCAAATGTAAATTTATAACTGAAATTAGCAGACTTTCATTTCATGATCCGTTTCATTTTCCTCATGGAAGGTCTATTTTCAATCAATTTTGTCTCATTATCAGTCGAAATTGCAAATGATTTCCCTTTCTTTTTGGCAGAAAGCCCACCCTCATACAATATTTCACGCATAGTCCTCTCCCCATTCTATTTTTGAGGGAAAGCTGGGTGAAAGTCTCGAGAGAACCAAGTCGAGATCCATCCTCCATTTCCCTTTTCTTTTCTCTTTTCTCTACTTACTCCCATCCTTTGTCTCCTTTTTTGTCACTCATTGCGAAAAGCAGTCTCTTCCATGAAAAGTTCTCTTCATCACAAAAAAGTCTCGCCGCTCGGAATGCCAAATCCAATGTGTCACACAATTCGCGCGTTTTTTCCCCTAAATATCTTTCTCCCAGTATATAAATTGAAAAGGATTTCAGAGAAGAATAAACATTGTTGCTGTTGTAAAGTGTCTAGCTTTCTGGAAAATATGAACAGCAATTAGGGTAGTTAAGTCATCTTGTTAATAAGGATGAGAAATGGGGAAGGAGTGCAAAGGTTGGATGCCTATCACAATAATGTTTTCTCTCGCGATGAATGAATGGCAAGAGATTGACATTGGAGGGGAAGGAAGGGAAAACGGAAGTCAATATATGTCTTGAGACACAGTGAACTGAAGACGAATCCAAAGAGGAAAAGAGGAGATGCGGGTGGGGGAGGGGAGGGGATGGTCGAGGTGGAACGCTCGCCCCATATATCGGCGGTTTAATTGATTCGATGAGCGCATCCCTCTCGTTCTTTACCATTTTCCTCTTTCTTTTCGTATATTAACCATATCCTTTTTTACACACTAGCATGCCTCCATATTTCTAGTTGTTGAGTGATTGTCTCGATATCTAAACAGGCTTATTTTTAGAGATTGGCGCTGGATCGTTCATCTAAATTTCGCTGTTTCCCGGGCCTTCTAGCCGCCTTTGGCAGGTGGGCCTATTTTTTTTCTGATAAAATACCATTTTTACTGAATTATCAAAATTCTTGCACTGGCTACACATTTCTTTTTTTACTTTCTAACAAACTTTGCCAAAGTACAAGGAATTTTTTTTTTGGTCAAGATTACTCAAAAGATTATAAACCCGTGCACATTCCATTTCCACTTCTCGTGTCAAAAATCTTTGACAAAAAGTGAGCAAACGAAGAGTGACCAAAAGAAGTTCAACGAAGTTGAGGAAAAAGAAATGAGAGAGTAAGAATGCGTGGGGTAACTAGCACAGCAGAGTCTGTACTTTTGATGTCTGTACTTTTGATACATTGCAACAAGATTGATCCAATTTTCCATTTGAACATTGACTCCATCAATTCCATCCAATCCATATATGACACCGTGCAAAAAAAAATGAGCTTAAAAAGGGAAGAAATTTTAAAAGAGCGAAAAAAGAAAGAGATGATCGGGAGTGGAGATGATTTGTTGAGGAAAGCCCAGGAAAGGGTTTACAGCCTAATACTAGTGAGAATGGAGAGCGATTGGGGAAGGGCTTTCTGTGTGCTTTTCACCCCACACTTTTCATTCCTTTCCTCTCCATTTTTCACTCGCATTCCAAGAGTCACATTTTGTGTTGGCACTCCAAATTTTGTTTAAAAAGAATTTCGAAAATATGAATCAATTTTCTTGCACAGCGCGACGGCGGTGATTCAAATTGCTCAATAAAAATTTTAATCTGATTACCCAGGCCACCCATTGTGCCAAACGATCGTTTATTTGCGTTTTTACATTTGATTATTTGTTGAAAGGAAAACCCAAGGAATGAAGTAGATGCGGTGAAAGTGGAGGAGAGTGGGGGAGTGACAGCTGGCATCAACAATCCCCTCGGTGACCACCTATTTGCCTACCCCCACCCCCACCCTGTCCTCCTCTATTCTTTTATTCTGTCCATTCTCGTTTTCCATCTTCAAATTTAAACTTAAACTTTCCCTTTTTGACAAGTCATTTCACCATGAGAATCCCTTTCAGAAGTAAATGTTTGCGCTTTCTTTATAGCCAATTTAGCAGGCCTATAAAACGATATCCGAAAAGATTCCTAAAGCCTATTCCCCACTCCTGCTAACGAAATATTTTCTTCTTTTGATACTTTATTTTAAAAAGTTATTCTATTACTATTATGTTCGAGCCGTTGCTCTTTTTGATTACCCTTTTTGACTACCCTTTTTGACTACCCGACTTCACGCTTCCAAAAAATTCAGATATAAAACATTTAAAACCCGTTTTAATGTTACTTTGTAGAAAAATAATTGACCTTTCTAATGAAACAAAAACATAATTCAATTGATGCATTGATGCATTTGTTGGTTGCAAACAGAAGTACGAAAAAGAACGAAAAGACTTTCTGGATAGCCTAATATTATAAAGGGTCCAGCATGATGTTGACCGAAACTCGCATTTGAGCGGACTGTGAAGTGAAAAATAGATGAGATGTTTGTGGGGACAAAAGTTAAGGAAAGAAATGAATAAAAGAATGAAAGAGAAGACTCGGCACCGATATCTGTTTGTTCATCATCCTCAAGGTTCATGTCTCTTTCTTTCAATATTCTCATTGTCGGGTTGTGAGACCTCCATTGTCACTCAGAAATGTCCACGCAAACCTTCCAGAAATAGCGCTCTTCTCTTTTTTTTTCTAAAGAGGATCCGTTTACTGAACTTGGACCATTTTTCTTGCTGAGAAATTTTTGTTCCCCTTTTTTTTCCTTTAACTACACTATGCCAGAGTATTCAAGCGTTGTTATTTCTAAGAAATTAGCGTATTCATTCTTTTATTCAGCTAGCTAGTCTTGTTGCTTTATATTCCAGCATAATGTAGTTGGACGAAGGATTTGGGGTTTACTTTAACGATCAAGATCAGCATGAAAGAGAGTTCAAAATGACCAAGAAGATCAAGAGGCTCGTGATAGGATTTCGGTTTACAAGAAAAAAAAAGAGAAAAGTTTTAAGGGGGAAAAAGATGGGGCCAACTGTAGAGAGGGGAAACTGGGGGAACTCATTGCCGACTGAGATATCTGTTTTCCTGTCGCAAATTGGTGTCGCGATGGCCAGTTTTCTTTTCTCATTTCTTCTTTTTTATTCCAGCCTCCTGTGCTAACTTCTTGTGCTTTTTGAAAATGTGCTTATCGTAAGCGAAAGTTTTATTGCCGAATTGCATGTTTTTTTTGAGGTGAGGAGGGAGGTTGAATTCTTGTTGTCCTTCTCGTTTTTCATCGTGATCGCCCCGACAATTCTTTTCCTTTCATCTCGCATAACAGAATGGATGCATGCAAGGGGCATTTCATTTCATCGGCAATCCCCTTCGATCAGTTCTTCCTCTTCACTTTCTTTTCTCTTTTCATTTTTTTTCACTTTTATTATAATGTGCACGAAATTTCACACACGACGACCGGTTCAGCGAAATGATCAGCCCTCCTCCCCTTACCGTTCATTTTTTTAGGCCTACCAGAGAAGTTACATTTCAGGAGCGATCTGATTCCAAGGTGCAAATACCTCCTGTTTAAGGGCATCCCGAAACTGCTTTCAAATCCTACTTATCATAAGGCACTTTTTAGATATAAGCCTTCAAAGTTTCGGCCAATTTTGCCAAACAGCAAGCTATCCTACTCAAGGTGTTGCCGCGAGCCGATGAGTGTGTCTCTCCTAGTGTGTTAGTGCGTTGGCTTTTTTGTCCCTGGTTCGGATCCACTGTCGATCAGACTGATCTGATTCATATCTTTCTTTTGAAATGCTGTGCTCTGATTCATATTTTTCTTTTGAAATGATGTGCTGGGTCTTTTGTGTTCAGTTCTTGTTTCACCGATTTGACATTTTGATTAGTCGGCATTTGTTTGCTCTGCATTTGATTTAAATTCAAAGATTGCTTGCTTTGAAGTGAATTTGAGAACTAATTTCAGGGTGTGTTTGAAATGAAGATCTCAACACAAGTTTGAAATGTGTTAAGCAGTTTTGCTAAAGTATGAAAAAGCTGGGTTTCTGGATTCGAATGATGTAGTCCCGTAAACTTTTAGATGTGCTTTATCAGTTTGATTTTGTTTTCAGAATGATACCTCGAACAGTTTCATCACTAGTTCAAATGGCGTACTTATTTAAGAAAAAAAAAAGGGAAATCGGGAAAAATTCCTTTGATCTGAGCTCGGTCTTTTTTCTCCGCAAGTACCCAGTCTAAATGTCGTGTAAAAAGAACTTTCTACAACATACCAAACATGTGAAATTGAGATTGGTTGATCGAGAAGGATTTGACAGGAAAGAAAAGAGCAAGAAAAGAGAATCACAGTCTCAATCTTTTTCCCTTTTTTTCTTTCAACTCTCATTGGATTCGTTGGATCGAAGCTCTTTTCATGTTTCCCACTTAGACTTTGATTCTCAAATTTAACCCCGAAACACGTCAATCAGATCAGCGTAAATTCCTTCATTCATTTTGTCAAGTCCTGATTTTTGTCCCTTTACTCTGTAGAATTTTTTTGTAATTTCTGATTTCCTCGAATTACATTCCCTTGAGTCATTGGTGATTTCTTGTTTTCAAAATGAGTGATGTGTTTTCTCTTCTTTGTTTTAAATTTCTCCATTGCTTCCAGGCGTTGATTGAAATTGAAATGATTGAAAACAACATCCCTGATTTGGGATTTTATTTCATTAAAAGCCTCTTTTCTTCTTTATTTTCCACTTTTAAACAGTTTTTTTAAGTTTCCTGTGTAGGTATGTTCAAAACAAATATTTGAGCCTTTCCCAATGATCATTTAAAAAAGGGAATCGATGAGAGAGTGATGATGATAGAGATCCGTGGACAGCGATAGTTTTGTTGAGAAGTGAATGAAATGGAGAAGTCATACCAAAAAAGAGAACCGTGCCGACATTTCTCGGCGAAAATTTGCCGTTTTTTGGAGAAATTTTCTTTCTTTTCTTTTCCTTGTGGTCGATACTTCGATCAGTGGGGAATGATGAGAAGGAAAGGCTCTGACATGGCTGAGGCTGAGTATCAGAGATGAGATTAACGTGTAGAGAGGGTCATCCCCTCCTTTTTGTCTTTAACCCCTCGCAAAATCAATTTGATCTCTGCACCAAATCATTCCGTTTCGTAGACTTTGTGGCACCAGGAAGCGATTTAATCGTGAGATCCCTTCCTCGAGCATGAGAGCAATTTCCTCGACGAAATAAAAAACTATGTGCAACGAAAAGGCTCACCAGGAAATTGCGGTATTTATGGCTTTTCGATAGTGCAAAGCGAGATTTCACCTGAATATTATACTAAAGTGAAAGCATAAGTTTAAGCTTTTAAGTGAATCTGACTATGGGTTTTGGAATTGACTGGATCTAGCCCGTAAGTACGACAATAGTCAAAATTCTTAACAGTTCTCAGTAAACATTATCCATCTCAGAAAAGAATAGGGTAAAAGAGTCCCCTTTAACCTCAACTTTCCTTGTTCCTTGAAATGTTTCCTTCATTTGATCTATTGTATCTCCTTTCTAGCGATTACCTCCTTTCCCCCTCAGTCTGCGCACTTGTCCATCAATTATTTACTCGTTTTTTTAAAGAGCTTACTTTTGCAATTTATTTGGTTTTCATTGATGTCATTTTTTAAGCTCATTTTTCAAGAGTAAACTCTCCTCCCGAGATTAACCTCTAGAGTCTGATCCGATGAAATACTCGTGCCCGAAGCTTTTCACAACGATTCATTCAAAGCACAAACTTTTTATCAACTTTGAGTTTTTTGTGAGATTAAAGCTTGTCTTTCCCGCTTTTGCTTCAAAAAAAAATGATAAAAGAGGAGCGTTTCTCAATCGAAATCCCGAGTAATCTCTCAGCTCATTTTCTTTTCTTTTTCCCTTATTTGCTTCTTGTTAGCTCTGGGATTTGGCTTTTGCGGATAGACGGTGATAGCAATTGAGAAAAAAAACGCTCATCAATAGTGGCGGATCGACTGTGAGAGGCCGAAAACGGGAGAAACAACACAAATCCCGCAATTTTTTTAAGAAAATCTGCCCACCGAAATGCCACTCACTCAAAAATGACCCGTCACACTTGTCACCCCAAAAAAAAACTATCTTATCTATTATTTGATTTTCAAGAAACTATTGATTTGAGTAAAAAATGCGAAGAATTTCAGGTAATACTCGGCCCCGTTGGCCAAAAAGCACTCCCACTCGTCGCGACAACTTTTTCGCAAAAAGTAAGTTGAAAAAATGAAGTCAGTTTTTATTTTTTTGAATAACAAACTCGATATCCTTTATTCAGAGAATAATTAATATCTTTAGAATCTTTAGAAAGTGGGTGTGTCTCGGGTGTGAGAAAGAGCAATGTTTGGTGGATGGTTTCCGCACACCAGTGAACCATCCGACTTCAGCAATTCGGAACCACCGTGTAGTATCAGTGGTGTTTTGGTGGGTTTCATAGGCATAAAGTACTGGACAATGAAATATTAAATTTGAAAAAAGATCGTCACTTTCGCGCGTCTGTAACTCCGTTGTCTTTGAGTTTAAACTATTAGTGTTATGCATTTTCTGAAAGCTCTTTTCAAGGGCTACACAATGGTAATATTAATATTTCGAAATACGGTAAAGACAAGGGAGTTATAGATGCGCAAAAGGGACGATCTTTTTTCAAATATGATATTTCATTGTCCAGTAGTGTACCTTGTGCTCATCTTGGACCTTGTTCCGTTCCCAAAAGAAAGCCATTTAGAAAGTCATAGCTAAGAATTCAGCCATAAATTGAGTTTAGACGAGGTACTCATTTGTCTCATTTTCGTTTGCTTTTCTATCTCTTTGTTTTATTGTTGTGAAAGTGTCAAATCGTTGAAGTGGGAAAGGAGTGAGAAAAGAGAAATGAGGGAGTGATTTTTGAGGGGAGAAAGAAGTTGGAGTGAAGACGAGTGTGAAGCTCGTGAAGTGACCAATAGGAATTGGCTGTTGTGTGCTTTGCTGTGCGTTTGTTTTTGCTCAACAATCCCTTTAGTTAGCCTCGGTTTTTGTGGTTCCCTATCTGGCGTTCTTGGTGGTTCTGCCAGGAATTCGCGGTAAACGTGTCATCAGTCTCGTCACGCTCACAATCAATTTCTTCGTTGGAGGCGCATTGATATGTAAGAAGAGACTTTTATTCAATTTCACATTTCACAATTTTCAGCCTCAATAGTGTACCCAGGATGGGCGATCGGTCAAGCGAGAATCGTTTCTCAATTCCGTGCACACACTCGAGAACGAATCCTTTCAAGACTTGGTGTCAACGTCGGTCTCACACATCTCAACATCACGCTGAGACGTTTGAAAACACCGATTTTCCCTCATTTTCTTGAAATTTAGATGAAAGACAGTATCAGGATGCCACTGACAAAGATGATCATTTCATGGGAACTGTTCCCAACTTCACAAAACTCTACTTTAATGAGAGATTTGATATCAGTGGCGGTAAATCAAAGAAATTCTCACGACAACCTTTCATTTTTTTAGTCTCATCGATGGCAGAAGCATTACGCAATGCGTATTTTCACGGTCTTCCATATCCAATTTTATCAGTACTCGAATATTTCTCTTTAAATCAAGATTCATTTGATTGGGGAAGGCATTATCGAGTAGCCGGGCATTACGCCTATGCAGCAATGAGGTATTACCAAGTATTTTCAATCAAATCCTTTACAAAGAGAGATTGATTTCAGTTTGGCGACAGCTTTTTGGTCATTGGCTATCGTTTGTCAATTGTTTCTTCCACATATGTATGGATGCGCTCAACTTGCTTGTGGTCTCGCGTCAATTGGTTTCAATCTCGAAACATTTCTTTTTTTATTCATTAAATTCTCTAGGTGGCATCATTATTTATGTGTTGATTTCACCAGCTGAATTGCTCATCGCTTTTGTGGGAGAAGATGGGAATCGGACTATTATGGACATGAAATTTGGATGGTGCTTTTATCTCATCATTGCACAAGGTACGCGATTCTATTTCGAAAAGTCTATTAAAGTAAAAATATTGATAATATGATATATTTATAGCAATTCTTTCGATTGCTTTTGGACTATCATTGATGCTTCTTCAACATTTCCGTCTCTATAGTCTTTCCACTTTCCTCGATGCATCACTTGATGAGGTAATGAGTGTTTTAATGAACTAACGATAATAGTAAAAGAAAACTACTACCGTAAATGCTGTAGTAAATACTGTAATAGTACCCCACCCCCTCGTACAGTCGCGTAGTCGCAAAAGTTTTTTTAGTATTTCATTTTTTTCAAAGCGCTCGTACTTTCAAAAAGTGCGTCTTTGGTATCAAATAATAGCTGAAATTCAGGGCTATTTTTTGATACCTAAGCGCGCATTGTAGCATAAACTAGTGTCGAGAAAAACTCGTTCAAAGCTAGACTACGCAACGCTTCGCACCGTCATTATGGGGGTGGGGTACTATTACAGTATTTACGGTAGGCTTGTTAGACTGTTGTTAGTTTAATAAATTTAAGTTTACTGAAAAAAATATCTAGACGGTCGGTCCTTCAAAGAGACGAAATCTGGCCCTCACAGAGACGAAATCCGGCCAAGACAATGCTAGCTCGCTTGAAGTGAGTTTTGATAAAAGAAAATGACAAAAGATTTGCGATATAGATATCAATTTTAACTAAATTTCCTTACACAGGTGATGAGGCGAGCAAAAACATCGACAGCTGTCGAACCATGCTCGACGAGTCAACACAGTAAACACTCGAGTGGAATTCATTCGAGAAGTAGTTACTCCACCGACACCGCCAGCATACAGTAAGCTTTTTTTAGACAAGATAATCAAATCAATCTTTTACTTTACAATGATTTCCTTTTCCAGCAGCAGCGGCTCATTCGGTTCAGTGAAATCTCTTTCACCACCGGCTCGAAATCTGACTCTTCGTAGTCGAAAGTCTGAAGAGTTGCAGATTCAAGTAGAGAAACTTTAAAAATCTTTTTTTTTTGTAAAGATTTTCTATAAAACTTTATGAACCTATTGAAGAATTTCCCCTGGTCTCCTTCTAGTCTCTCTTTTGCATTTCGGTCGTTAGGTAAAGCTTTTTTTTCGTTTTTTCAAAACGCTTTCTAGAAAAATTCGTTTTTTTTTTGTGATTGTAAGCCATATATTGGGTATATGTACAGGTCTCTTCTTTCAACGTTTTTACATTTTCTTAAATTATATTCTTTTGTGCATCTTCGTTTCCATGAATAGTGGCCATTTGCCGAGTGAACAAAACCCCTTAAGAGACCATTTGCTCAATATATTTTTCAACCAATTTTCCCCCAATTTCCCTAGAAAACCTTCATTGAATCAAAAAAAAAAAGAAATGGAAGGAAAATTGATTGAAATGAAATTTTAGCCGTCTCAGTGAACCGTTGCTTTATTAATCGATGATGAGTATGTTGAAATGCGAGTATGGTCTGAAAAAGAGGCATTTATCATATATTTTCTTGATATACAGTACTGGACAATGAAATATCAAATTTGAAAAAAGATCGTCACTTTCGCGCGTCTGTAACTCCGTTGTCTTTGAGTTTAAACTATTAGTGTTATACATTTTCTGAAAGCTCTTTTCAAGGGCTCCACAATGGTAAAATTAATATTTAGAAATACGGTAAAGACAAGGGAGTTATAGACGCGCGAAAGTGACGATCGTTTTTCAAATATGATATTTCATTGTCCAGTAGTGTAGATATATGTAAATGTCTCGATGTTTACGGGTACCGTAGCAATGAATAAAGTTTTGTAAAGATTTTCTTTCTTTTAAAATGTAAAATGTAAAAAAAAGAGCAAAGAGATGACAGTTGACATCTGGTTGAATTGAATAGAATCGAGGCAGATGTTTAAAAAAAAATAACACAAAAAACTTTGGTCAGACAAAACATTTGATAAAACGTGTGATTCACTTTTTAGTTCTTTTGATTGAAATTTTGAAATTTTGGATTTTATAAAGATATTGGGAAGAATCTTTTCGTGACGAGAATTTTGTTGTTTTCAGAGGGAATTCGAGGTCGTCGCGGAGTCAAGTATTGAAAGGGATTGAAAGAAGGGTAATCCATGAGCACAATACTTCAAAAGAAGAGAGGAAGAAAAGTAAGTGAAAAAAGGAGATGGAGACTGTGAGACGAAAAAGGAGAAGGAGGACATTATCGAAAAAAAAAAGAAGAGACTGCCACCAGCCTCTCAACATCGATGAGCACCGCAAACACATACACAAAAAGGGACACAATTTCCCCTCAACCCATCGCTCACCTCCTCTATTTGAAACTTCGAAAATCAAACGAATCCTTGTTCTTCATCTTGATTTAGTCACTCATGGATATGAGGATATCGATCGCGATTCTCATCTCGCTCATTGGATGGTTAGATTTAAACTTTGTTCTTTTAAATAACTGCTTTTCCGAATAGTGTCATAATATTAGGGAAAATATGCTAAGTCTAGTAAAATATACTCTAGAAAAGCTAGCGTACTCTCATAAGGTTTCAGAAGCTTCAATCTTTCCTATTTAGTTGCTCGTGTGCTTGTGTGACGCTCTACTGTACACCATTGCCCAAATTCACGTCAACGGTGGAATGCAATGAGTGCTCACAATGTGGGAAACTTGGATTCAAGTAGTCATCAAAATTATCGATGAAAAACAGTTCACCGGTGTCAGATTCTGTGGAGCGACCTCTCCATCGACTTGTGGTTGTGCGTCAATGCCTCCACAAGGATGTCACTTTGGACTTCAATCGAATACGAGCGCTTTACAAAGAACGACTTTTTGCCATGTGCTCGGTAAGCGATTCCGGAAAGGAATCCCTCCACTCCCAAACAAGTGCGCCAACCCATTGATACAAAAAGGATTTCAAATGTTTTCTGATCTGTTCTAAAGTTTCTTATCGATGTGTGAAACTTGATCTCACCGAATTAAACGAATCCGTTATCAGCTTTAAAGAAAACTTCTCTATTTTTTTTTGCATATTTCATTCGGTTTAATTACCCAAGTTTTAGGGGAGCTGGTCAAAACAGTGCCGTGTACAAACAGCGCCATAGCAAAAATAGGCCCTCCGCGGTTAAGTTTCTGTGTGTATCTGATTCTTTTTGAATGCAGAATAAAATTCTCTACATTTTGCATACTTTGGGATCAATTAAAACAGAATTGGTGTCGAGAAAAGCTCAGTCAACCTCTTTTTGAAGCCCTTTTTCGTTTTTTTTGGCATTTTCTCATCCCAGATTTGTTCTAAAAGGCTCCAAAAATTCAGCAGATAGCTAATTTTTTTTCTACATTCAATGAAAATAAGAAACACGAATAAACTCAATCGAAAAGGCATTATCTTGACCGGCACTGTTTGTACATGGCGCTGTTTTGACCAGCTCCCAGTTTTACAGAGTTTTGTGATGACCGTATTGGCTTGGAAATTAAAGTTGCTCAAAAACTAATAACGAATTCAGATCTTCCATCCCAGAATGTCACCGGTTACAAATTTTCAGGTCTACAGCTAACATAAATAGCTGTTGTTCGAAAGCCAAAGCTAAGCCCAAAAAGACTTTCTCGTGAATGTATTAATAGTAAGGGAATTAAGATCTCTGGCTGTAAAAGAAAGATTTTCTGCTTTTAGATGCCCCTCAGCTGCCCACACCGACAATTCGTCGACTTGGACGATCAGCTATATCTAGTCAGTTGGAATTTTATCTTTTTTGACAGTTAACACAAAAAGTTGTATTCTAATGGTATGAGCTTTTTGAAAATGTAGACTTTCAGTTGTGGTGCCCCGTTTCTTCAAAGAACAACCCTTCAATGCGTTCAATTTGCACAATTTAGTCATTTTTGCCAGCTTTCCCATTAAGGTAAAATTTATGAACTCTTAAATTTATGAACTCTTATTCAGAATGGCACAGATATTTGTGTCTCGAAATATCATATTGAAGCCGAGAATCGAGGAGCACAATGTGTACTCCGAATTCCCCTCTCGATGCCCGGAATTGATCACAAAACCGATTATGTAGCTAACAAAGTGTCAAAATTTTTATAGATATTTGAGCTTTTAAAGGTCTACTATTATGATGATGGATCAGAAATGGAATCGGAAATTTCGAACGATTTCTTTGGTGGAGCGCCTTCTGTTGAAATTTGGCTCGAGGTTTGATACGAATTTGTGTCAAAATGGAGGGAGTGGGACAAATGCGACCTTTTTTTTGCGCACCTTTTTTTGTTGCTGGAAAAGACCCTAGGAAAGGTCGTAGAGCTTCAAAAATGTTTCCTTGCTAGGGAATCGTATGCGTAGATTTCGAATTTCAACAAATCAAAGCAAATCAGACCTCGCTGACACGTTAAATTTGAGCTAAAAGGCAAAAACTACGCAACTTAACGTTTTTCCGCAGTTTTTGCCTTTTAGTCCAAATTTGACGTGTCAGCGAGGTGTGATTTGTCGAATTTCGGAATCTACGCATACGATTCCCCTTATATGGAAATATTTTTGAAGCTCTGCGACCTTTCCTAAGGCCTTTTCCAGCAAAAAAAAGGTGCTCAAATGTCCAGGTGCGCAAAAAAAAGATCGCATTTGTCCCACCCCCAAAATGTCAAAATGCCGTTATGTCAAAAATCCATTCACTTTCTGTAATATTTTCTTTTGCATTTGAAATCTAATTAGATCTTTCAGGTGACAACGACCGACAAAGTGAGAATCGATCGTCGTGGTCTTCGTTTCCACAATCGTCTTCAGTCTCCAAAAATTACACAAACTTTTCAAATGCTCAACCCGTAACTTTTTCAGTGTAATTGTATAAAGCCTGAAAGATTGTTTTTTGACAAAAGCAAAGCAGTATACAACTTGTTTGCCCAAAAAAAAAATCAATTTATACCTTTCTAAAGAAACATCGAATTTCAACAAATTGAAATGTTTTTTATTTTACACATTTGTATCCGAAAAATATCTGAGAAATATCTTGATGTAATAGTGGTATTTTTTGGAAGCAATTGCTAAAAAACCCCAAGCGAAAAGATCAACAAAGACCACCCACATGGTCAGCTGAATATCTTTTTTCTTTCTCTCTCTTTTCTCTTCATTCCTTCACTCTTCCCCTTTTTGATCTTTTATCTTTATTCTCTAGTTTATTTTTTATTTGATTTCAAAGCATTACATTAAAATTAGCTTTAGTAAAAGTCTAATCGCACTCTTGTCTACAACAAAGCGAGAAATAGGTTTTTGTTAAAGTTTTGTTTGAAAAACTTAAACAAAAATAGTAAGTAACCCAAATAATCAAGAACTTTTCTTTTCCAAAGCTTTTGATCGCGCAAGTTTGTAATAGCAAAAGAAATGTGAAGAGGGTGGAGAAGGGGGAAGGGGGAAGGGTGGCGATTCGATTGGCAGTTTCGTTCCCCTCAGGGAGGGGGTGAGTCCCCTCACACCCTCCCCTCGCCTTTTCTCTCCACGTCAGGCGTCCATCTGTGGGTCAGCCCATCGTGTTTCTCTCTCAATCTACACTCTCTTCTTTTTCTCAAATCTCTTCAAAGGGGGCATCGATCGACACCCGCCGCGCCCCTCTCGATAGCCCCTTCCCCCCTTCTTCCCCTTCCCCCTTCTTCCCCTTCCCCCCTCCTTCCCCCTTTCCCTCCCCGTGGGGTCCACTACCCACATCCCCCAAATACAGCTTTCGTTCCTTTTCCTTTCGCAGAGTGCCCAGCCTTATCCTCTTTTCTTTTCTCTGGTCACATCACATGGCACACCTTCACCACTATTGATTGCAAATCGTGTATGTCTCCTCTTTCCCGCATTTTTTCTTCCCTCTCCCCCTCCCCCCTCCTCCACCAACAATTTCTTTTGACCTTTTTTTGCCAGCTGATTTATATTTTGTTCATTGAACGTCTACTTAATTTTACCAATCTTTCAATTTATGCATTTTTTATTCAAATTTTATATTCATCGATTTTCGTTAAGCTTTTTCGGGATTCACGCGTTCTTTCGAAAAAGAAAATGATAAAGCTAACTATAATTGCGAAAGATTTAAAGAAAATCGATAAAGGAAAATGGATTTTACAAACAGGGTAAAGTAACAGGTGGAAAGAGACGAGAAAAAAGGCAAGGAGGAGGGTAATTGAGAGGAGGAGCAATATCACCAACGGTGAGCGGAGAGAGCGGGTGCTGTGCGCGGCTCGAAAAACGCGCAACACACACACCATAGACTGAGCACTCCGCTTATCAATTGGGCAAGCCGATCACCGATTCGCAGTCCCTTTTCTTTTCTTTTTCACTTTTTGGCTTCTCCTCTACCCTTTTCTCGTTTTTTTTCGCTCGGCGCTCTGGTGATCGCCGGGGGGAAGCGCCTTACTGTGTTGTGCCTATAACGATCAAACTCAACCATTTTTAGTTTTGACTTTTTGTGAAAATATTATTCCCTTCAAAGCAGCCAACACTTTAGTCACCTGGAAATCGCTCATTTCCTTGGAAACATTTTGCAAATAGTTTTTAAATCTACACAAACCTCGTTTTATATTCTAAACCAGCTGAACTGGATGTTTTTGACGGACTGATGAACGGAGGCGGATAGATGGACAGACATTGCTTTCTATATAGTAGATAGAACAATTGTAACTTAAACGAAGAGGATCGGTGAGAGGGAAACAGGGGAAAGGGTATTTGCAATCGGAATGTCGTGCTGCAGAGTGTCTGTAGGAGAGGGGATGGTTGGATTGTGTTTGTATGTTGTCATAAGACATCGATCCCCTCGGGGAAACCCTTCCCCTGTTCTCTACCCTCCCTTCCCTCCATTCCCTCCACTTCTCCTTAACCTCCCTTCGATCCATTTCATACTCTTCTTCATACTTTTCTTCATAATTTTCTTCATCTTCTTTTTCTTCTCCATTTTGTAGTCGAGTCTCTGCTGGATCCTCCTTGAAAGAGATCAAATAGGCGCGAACAACCACGACGACAACGATACTTTCTGTGTTTCTTTTGTTCAATTCACCCTACACCCATTTTGATACATTTCATTCTGTCCCCACTTCTGATTGTTTACCGAACGGTTCCGAAAGTTTCTCTAACTAGACTCTTTTTCTAGTTTTATTCTTCTATATCTCCTCATTTTACAAGATTTATGACTTTTTTGTTAGTTAGAAAACTTTTGTTTTTCCCAATTTTCTGTTGAATAATATTAAAAACTGTTTAGAGGCTATAATATTCTTTCTCTGCCTCTTCCATTGATTTTGCCTATCTTGCACTGAAGATGTAATGTTACTTTTTGAAAATTTTGCCTATTTTGTTTGATTTTCTCAGCCCAAATTTGATTGCCGTGTTTTAATCACAAATCTCTGCAAATTTTCGGGAAATTCCTAATGACTAATTTTTGTCTGTGCAGAGGTCATTTCGATGATCTTGTCTTTTCTAATGAAACTAGATGGTAAGCCTTAAAAATAATCGTCCTGTATCAAATGCCGATTGAAAAATCCCTTAAGGTCGAAAAGGATAAAAGCCAGCAGAGGCATTGAAGAAGGAAAAAAGGGGGAGACTGCTCGTCGATATGGTATGGTGGTGAAGGTGTTTTGACAGCGGAGATCGATCGATCATGTCTGTGTATTGAAAAGGGATACAGAGAGAAAGACTCGATTGAGATAGAAAAAAAAAAAGAAAGAACGTCGTCGACCTCTACCACTGGACGTCGTAATGGAGGGGTGCAGTTCGAAAAGAAAAGGAGAAGAAAAGACGGGCGGGAAAGGTGAATGTGATGATAGCGATGGTCGCACATAGAGCTGAAAGGGAGGGGAAGGGGGAAAAGGAAAGGAAAGAGATGGGGTGCACGAAAAGGGAAAAAAGGAGATTCGGGGATAAGGAATTGAAAGAAAAAAGAAAGGGAGAAAGGGATAGAAGAGAAGAGATAAGAAGAAGGAGCAATGGATCGACCAAGGGGGAAGGAGTCGATCGCGCGCAGCCCCCCTCCCCTCCCCCCCCCTCAGACTCTCCAACACGCTATGGGTCGGGGGATGTCTCACACCCTCCCGATATCCCCTCCCCCAAAAATATGATCAACTTTTCTTTTCCTTATTATCTCAAAAGCTTCCTTTATATGGATTAGTATGTAAAATCCCGTCTTTCCTTATTTTTTTTATTTTAGACTTTTTTTTAATCGTTTTTAGCAAAATCTTCTCATTTTATTTGAAAAGTAGAAAATTTTCTTGATTTTTAGAGAGTTCTTTTTCTTGTTTATCAAAAAAAAAACATTTTACTACTACAAAATTTGTTTTTGTAGCCGTCTAGCTCCATCTTGGACAACGATAGTGTCGTTGCCCGATTTCTGTCACTTGCCCCCTGATTTTTTTTTGCTCCAATCAACCACAAGGTCTTATCTCTGCGAGCACTGTTTTTGAATTTCATTGAAGCTGCTGATTTTTTTTTTGATTTTCGCTAAAAATACTTCCATTTTGAAGTCAAAACATTTCAGTGCTTTTTTTTGAAAATATAACGGCGCCATCAGGCTCAAGAATCGTGTTGTCGGCGAGTTTGGCGGGTGGTGGAGCGGTGCGAGGAGATGAGCGACCGAGAAACCTTTCACAGCCCTTTCATCACGGTATTTTCGCATTTTCTTTTGATAAAAAACATCTATTGAATCCCAATAACTGTAAACCAATGCCAATATAAAGAATAAGTCTTTTCTTTTCGTAATTTCGTTGAAAAAAAACAAATTCACCAATTAACCTATGGTTTCCTCTAAATAAAGACATTTTAAAGCCGTTATTTTGTAGAAAAATAATTGGCCTTTCTAATGAAACAAATCATAGGTTAATTGGTGAATTTGTTATTTTTAAACGGAAGTACGAAAAGAAACGAAAAGACTTTCTGGACAGCATAATATTACACAATGAATAACAAATGAAAGATTAAAAGCCTTAACTAGAATCAAACTCTTTTTCAGGATCGGTGAAGATGAAAGAAATGCTTGGCGGTTGTTGCGTGTGCGCTGATGAGAATGGCTGGGCAGGCAATCCGCTCGTTTATTGTGATGGACCCGGTTGTGAAGTGGCTGTTCATCAAGGTAAACTAAAGATTTCATTACTTTCAAAGTCAAAAACCAATTCCAGGCTGCTATGGAATAATCGAGGTTCCAGATGGAGAATGGCTGTGTGCACGATGTGCAGCCGGCTCTTCCACACAGGTTGGAAAAAAAGCTGTTTTAACTTTTAAAAATGTTCTTTTTCTTTGTGCATTTGCTTTAAAAACATATTTCAGTTGAACGGAGTGAACGGTCATTCGGAGGTTGAAGAAATGCGACGGAATGGTCGATTGCCAACTCGATGTGAGCTGTGTCCGTTTGGATATGGAGCCTTGAAAAGAACCGAGAATGGAGGTAAGCCTTCCTCCCCATCTCTACAGCTATAGATATCATTATTCTCTTTTTTCTAGGATGGGCGCACGTGATTTGTGCTTTGTACATTCCTGAAGTCCGCTTTGGTGATGTGCATAGTATGGATCCGATCATGTTGAGTGATGTACCACATGAAAGGTAAAGAAAATCCCCAATAACACAAAGACAATGGATTTCAGATTTGAGAAAAGTTGCTACTTGTGTGAAGAAGAGGGTCATTATAAATTGGCCGGGATTGGTGCCTGTATGCAGTGCAATAAAATCGGATGCAAAAGAGGTAAGCCAAAATTGGAATTATTTTGGTAACGCAAGATTTTCTAGGATTTCATGTGACATGTGCCCAACAAAGGGGATTACTTTGTGAAGAAGGTGGACAGAGCAAAAACGTGAAATATTGTGGTTACTGCGAAAATCATCTCAAGAAAGCGGTTTGTTATGAAGCGGCTCTTATTAGGATTTTTTGTAGTGGTTCTCCGATTTTTGGGTATTTTTTTTTATCGGTCTTGATTCAGTCAACAGCCAAAAACTAGACTTTTTACAAATCCAGATCCTGTTTTTCGTCAATTATGGGTACAATCTTGTTTACTTCACTTTTTTTGTCTAATGCCTTCTATAATCTAATCACAAGTTAGAATAAAAGCAATGTAACAAAAGTTAAACGTCTATTGTGCTCAAGGCAGTGAGCCTACAAGACTGTACAAAATGTACAATTTGCCTAAAAACAATTTTCTTTATTTTGGGAATAGGTATGGGATATTGGTCAGTAGGAAAATCCGCTTGACCATCAGCAGTTTGGGTCCAGTGGATAGAGAAAGGGAAAAGAGAAAGAGAAATCGAAGGGGAAAAGAAAGAAAAGAGAAGAGAGCCGTGGTTGGCGGTCGATCGGTTGGGGTGAAGCGGGGAAGGGAGGGCGCCTTGCATTGCGGGCACATTTCCAATCGATTCGCAGTGTTTCCCTCTCTTCTCTCCACTTTTCCTCCAATCTCTATAAGAGAGGGACGCGATTGGATGTGGAAAGACACAAGGCTGTACACATTGCCCACTTCGACCAGTGACTCTGCTGCCCAAAAGGATCCCTCCTTTTCTCTGCTCTCTCTTTATCCCCGTATGTGTGTGAGTGTGTCCGTTCTCTTTTCCTTTTCTCTCCTCTCACACACATCTCTTCTTGCACTATTCCACCAACACCGGTCAATCGACTCGTCGAGTCCCCTTTTTCCCCAATCGCCCATGAGTCGATTCTCTATTCGATTTCTCTCCCTTTTCCCCCATCAAAACCATTCAATTTTCCCCTCGCGAGTTCACTCTCTTTTCTTTCTCGCAAAACAAATCATTGCGCTGTGCGTTTGTGTGTTGGTAGTATTTTGAAAGGTTCACAAAATTTTTTTGCACTCTTTTTCGCGAAACTCATGCACAATTGAATGTTTTCTCTTTGAAATTGTTTGCAAGATTCTTTTGATTTATCGATCTCAAAGCTGTTGTCTAAACTGCTAGCTGTTATCTAAACTTTGCACTTAATTTCTTTCATCGACTAGTTCGGGAATAATTATTTTCAAGATCTCCCGAGACTTGGCTAGGTGCCCAAATGCTTTGTGAAATGAACAGCGGAGGAAATTCTCCCTTTTGTGGGCCGGTAATCGATAGCTGAATAGCTGTAAAGGAGAAAAATCTGTCGTTTTCTCGAGAATTGTCTCTCTTTTCAGAAATTGCCTACTGATATGCGCCGCATATTGGAGCGATTGATTGATGCTTTCAAGCCCTTCACCTCTCTTTTCTTCTTCACCCAACCTTCTTAGGTCTTATCATTTTCACTCGCAACTCACCCCTTCTTCATGACAGAATGACTTGAAACTTTCAAACTAATCGATAATTTTGCGCTTCTTTTTCTAAAAACTCTTTTTTTTTTGCACGACCGACGATCTCCTTTTTGACACAAAATTTCAAGGCCAGCTATTTTGACTTTATCAGATCTTTGAAACGAAAGGCAATGAGCTGTCAATAGCTGCCCTTTCCCTCCTTTTTTTCTCTCTTTCTCCTTTTCTCTCTCTCTCTTGAATCGATTTTTTGTCTCCGGATTCGTATTGGCACTCATCCAAAATCTTTTGTTTTACTTTTCTATGAAAATATTTCACCAAAATTATTTTTGCAAAAAAGCTTAAAAATATGCTTATAAAAGTATGTGCATAAAATAGTGTCAAGAATTATTTTCAAAGAAAACAATCACTTTGAAAACAATCTTTTCCTTATTGTCCGAATTTCGACTCTCAATTACGTTTTATTTATTGCTAAAAAACTTTTTTTTTGCTAGTATTCAAATGGATCCTAACTCCAACTTTGAACTTGGTGCCAAGATTAATCCTCGACGAGCGGAGGGGGAAGGCAAAACTACCTCGCTTTTTGTGTTAGGACTGGCGGTTGTTTCCCCTTCCGAAAAGACGGGTCGAGGCAATCGATTGAGGCGTTTCGGATTGGTCTTTCCCTATTTTTCGTATTTTTCCACTCTTCCCTCAACCCTTTCCTTCTCTTTTCTTCTTTTGCGATAGAGCGCGACGAGTCTTCTTATTCTTTTTCCACACATCGTCCTTTTGCCTTTTCTGCCCCACAACACTCACACGCTCACAACAAACACCTCTCCCCTTCCATCCTTTTCTTCCTTTCTTACCCTCCCTTCCATCTCCTCCTTCCTTTTTTTGCTTGTCGATGAAACGAGGGCGGAACGAGCGCTCGAGTGATGACACATTCAAAAATCCTCCCAAAATCTGAGGACCAAAAATGTTCATACTTTTTCGATATTTTGTTCTGCTTTTCCTACACAAAAAAAAACTGAATTCCCTCCTTTTCAGGCCAGTGATCCGTTCATCAAGATTGTGCCGGCTGTAAGACTGAGGCCTTCCGCTCATCCAGTGCCCGCCCATCCCACACCGCCTATCTCAGATCCTGGAGTCCCGCCGAACTCGTTGAACTCCAATCAACTCGGTGGGTCCCCAAAAAGCACAATGCTCTTCCATTTTTACCGCTATGGGTTTTTACGGCTGGGTTTAGGTCCTTCGCCGCCACAGGTAGCGCATGTGACGATGTTGGTGGAGCCTTTACCTCGTCCACCCGATCCACATCTACACCCCTCGCTTGTTTCTCTTCCAAACGGATCCGCTGACGAATCGCATCTTCTCAACAATTTCTCCCCTCCACTAACGGTCGGTTTTCATGATATTTAAGTTCTTAAATGGTCAATCTTGATTTCAAAGACGTGCCAAAATATCTAAACTTACAAAAAGCTTACAGGTGAGCAGTCAATCTTCAATAGCTCACGACGTGACCCCGCCATTGGGGATGTTAAGAACGGAGAACCATCTTCTTCAAGTTGGAGGCCAAACGATGTCGGGAAATCCTCTTTCAACTCATCTTCCTAACAATCTAAATGCCCTTGTTTCTGTGGCAGTTGGTCACTCAGCCGAGCTCACGAATCACAATCGATTAGCTGCGCTTGCCACTCACACAAATGGTATTGATCCAAAGATCGAGCCGGAGATGCCGACCGGAGTTGTGCTGAAAGCTAATACAGGTATCCTCTATTAAATTTATGTATTTATGAAAAAAGTTTAGCAAAAAGACCAAGAGAACCAAAAGCTGAAGGTGATAAACCGAAGCGTCCACGAAATAGCAATCGTCCCTCTCAAAGGATGAAAACGCTGTTAGACTTGGTCGGCCCAGTTGTCACGGTAAGTTCAGATCTCTCAAAACTCTCTGAGTAATTTAAACTTGATGGAATAAATCACAAAAACATTTTAGGAAACCGTTTCCGACTTTCAACGAAGTGGAGGAGCTGGACCTTCGACGATACCTGCGATGCCTGCTGGAGCACAAATGCAACATCCCACTCCACTAGCTACACTTCCCAATGGGGCCACCATTCAAATCGGATCTGCCCCACCATCGGCAACTCTTATTACGGTGTGTTTGCGTTTCCTTTCTTTTACTTACTTGCAAATTACAATCTCTAATCATTTCTTTATAGGGTCCGGCTCTTGTTGGAATGCCGACCGGTCCAACCACTTCTCGTCCCTCTCATCAATCGACATTACCCTCTTCAATGGAACAGTTATTGGAAAGACAATGGGAACAAGGAACTCAATTTCTGTTATCCCAAGCCCAACCTTTTGATGGTTTGTAAACTCTTCCAAAAAGGTGATCCATTCCAAATTTAGTTGCCCAATTGCTCACTTGCTTACATCAACTAAAAACTGAGAATGTTCGATTACATGAGCAACTGAATGGACTAAGTCGGCGAAAGGAACATTTGATGGCATTGAATACCAGACTGAACATGCCACTCGTACCACCATCTTCAATGCAGGCTCAGCCACTCTCTGTATATCATCAATCTCAACCGGTAACTGATTCCAATTCAATCATTACTTATTCTTCTTTTCAGATGATGGCTGTGGCTCCAATGTCAACAGCAATGCCATCTCCTCATCATTCTCCTCATGTTCCCTCATCATCGCACACCTTTTCGGTCAGCGAAGAGAACCTCGCTCAAATCAGAAATTTAACTACCTCAGGGGTAATTCGTTGTCAAAAGCTTTGAATCTAAACTCTTTATAGATGAGCGCGATGTCTCAAACTCCGCTCTCGGTACTACCCCGACCGTCATCGTTAGCGCGACCGCCAAGTCAAACGGCACCGACGGCTTCTTTCGCGACACCGAGCTCAAGTGCTCACTCTTTTCTTCCGCAACATTCAACTCCTCCCGGTTCCACAAACACGAATTTCCAACAAAGGTAACCTTATCAAACACCTCATTCAAATCAATTTCTAAATTCTAGGCCGACAATATCGATGCATTCCATTGTGTCAGGGACTTCCCCGCAAATCGTCTCATCTCCTGCACCGGGCGCTCCATCCGAGAACATTGTTTCCACTTCATCCGCCCATCAAGCTATCAGCCCTGAGCGACTTCTTGCCAATGTCGGCTTGCTGCCATCACCACGGGGACTTCTTGGGGTAAAAACAAACAAAAAGAACTCTAAAAAAAACCGATTTCCAGGATCCACTTCTCACTCAATTTCTCCTTCAACAGCAGCAACAACAACAACAACAGCAAAGACAATCGTTGTTCAGTCATCCGTCAGCCGCACAAATCCTCGCTCAATTCATGCTACCCGGCATCAATCAAGCGAATCCCAATCCCGCACAACCACCATCTCAACCCAATAAATAAACCGGTCACCATGATCTTTTGAAATGAAATTCTTTTTTTGGATCGTGGCAACCAGTGAAGAAATTTTGTAATCTCCATTTACAGCCATGTACAGTATTTATTCTAATAGAAGTGCATGCACTCTCATTGCAGATCCCTTTAAACCCCGCCCACTCAAATCAGAAAAAAAAGTTGTACCAGAAAAATTTAATTTTTAACCTATTACCATAAATTTGATGTCAAATAAAAAGTAGAAAATTCTCTTTCTTTTGACACCAAAATCATGGTCATAGGTTAGAAATTAAATCTTTAATGCTACTTTTTCTGACGTGAGTGAGCGGGGCTTAAGGGGGGCTCTAATAGAAGGTACATGTACTTCTATTCAGAATAAATACGGTTTCCTTTTCCCCCAACAAAATCCGGTGTTCACTTGTAATCGATTTTTATTTCCTCCCCCTCCTTTCACCCCCCACACTCAAATTTGCCATTCAATTTTAATTTATCAGATTTGTTGTTGTTTGTGGAAACATTTTGCCGTGAATCTATTTCGAAATCATTGCCAGTACCACGTCACTCCCTCACTCTCCCTTCTTTTTCTCTCTCTTTGTGTAAATGTTCATTTTTCCTTTTCATCTTTAACCTCTATTATTTAACGTTCAAATCAATGTCTACCTTTTTGCCGGCAGCCATGAGACTCGTTTAGTCGAAATAATCAAATAATTTTTTTTTTCCTTTTTGACAAAACAAATAAACGAGTTAAACGGTGACGGCTCGGAATTTTCTCTTCCAAATGAATGTTCCAGATATTTGCATTTATCCCCCCTTCTTTTCTCTCCAAAAACCTTTTCATTTGGACGTTCCAACAGATGATGGCGGCTAAATTTTTTTGCGTCTTTTTTCCTCAAATTAAAACATTTTCTCTTATCAAGACTGAATACCGATTTCCTTTTTTTTTCTTTTTTTTGAGCCGCTATATGGTGCGTCCCCATTTCTCTTTTTCTCTCTGCCGTTATTTGTACACTTTGTGCGCCTTCTCAGATTCAAAAGACGTGATATATTGAAGTTCTCTTGAAGAAGAAAAAACAAACAAAACCTGACTCTAATTTTAAAAAAAAACTTATTCAAAGCTGTCCAAAAACTATTTTTTGATCTTTTTCATCGTTTTGATGATGTGGTTTTTGTTACCAGAATAAATATCGAGAACTTTTTGGCAAGTCTTTGAAACATTGTAACGATTAAAAACAGAATATACACCTGTATATTGGGTGATGAAAACTATCTTCTGAACAGTGGAATTCTTAAAAAAAACAGCCAAGTAAGGAGAAAGTACAATCAATTGTAGGCAAACATAAATTTGATTAATTGGCAGTTAATTTCTTTACATACTTTACACATTTAATTTTTTCTGGTCTGAATATCTTTTTTATTCAAAATTCTTTCCGACACAAGCGAATTCTTTTTTCATTTCACATTTTTCAAATTCTACATATTCCGCCCAAGCTATGAGCTGTTTTTTCAGCCCCAACAATGTTTATCGTTGGGTTGACCGGAGGAATCGCCACCGGAAAAAGCACCGTTTCACAGGTACATATTTAAAACTTTAAATTTTTGTGGTGTTATAATGGTTTTCATAAATTTTTCCTCGTAAATTGTTTATGCTTTAGATTTTTCATGACCGTGGAATTCCAGTCATTGATGCCGATGAAATGGCAAGAAAAGGTAGTGCTCGTTTTATGTTTGCATGCTATGTTTAAGTTAATGTTTTACGGATATCTAAATCTATATCCAATTTTAAAACTTTTCTTTTAAATTTTGATAGCCTCTATCAAATTTTGTTGCTTTTAGTTGTCGAACCCGGTGGACCGGCATACGCTCAGCTGAGAGCCGAATTCGGAGCCGAATATTTTGATGATGAGAATGGTGGCGTGTTGCTGCGCAAGAAATTGGGAACCATTGTTTTCAATGATGCTTCGGTTTTATAATTCTCGTACATATATGTTTTATTTTATCAAATGTGCAGAAACGTCGCCGTCTAAATGCGATCACTCATCCGGCAGTCAGATGGGAAATGCTGAAACAGGTATTTAATATACGCATACTTTATATTATTTGTTCAGTTAGTTTTTATGGATTCTCTTCTCCGGGCATAAATTCTGTGTGTTTGATACGCCATTGCTTTTTGAGGGAGGATATGATCGGATCATACTCACTGTGCTCGTTGTTTACTGGTTTAATTTTTTTTCAAGATCTTTATAATTTATACTGTTTAGCACGCCAGAGCAAGAACTTGAGCGTTTAATTCGAAGAGATGAATGCAGTGAAGAAGAGGCAAAAAGTCGGATCAACTCACAGGTGATTGTCGACTTAGAAATTGAAACAATTAAATTATTGACCCTTTTCTGTCGCGTTGGAATTGAGATTGCGGCGTATACATGTAGAATGTAGTAATTGTTTGTTATGCTTGTATGTTTCAAAGATTTAATAATTTAGATGGGGATCGAGGAAAAGAAGCGAAAGGCAACGATACTTTTGGATAACACTGGAACCCAAGAGGAATTGCGATTACAAGTACATCGAGTGGGTTTAAAATGTACTGTTTTTAGCAAAAGCCACATAGTTGAATATGTTTTTTAATTTAGGTTATTGAAGAGCTGGAATCTAGGTGGACACCTTGGGTCATTCGTGCAGCTGTTCTTCTCTTCATCGGTTTAATATCGTTTCCCATATTTCGTCGATTTTATTAACAAATTGAATTTCACATATATAACGTTTTGTATTTTTAGATTTGTAAATGATTTTAGTTTGTGTGTGATACCTGTGATAAAGGCTGATTTATTTCACATCAAAATCACATCAAAAAAACATTCAAATTTTTACCCGTCATACAGAAAAACGTGAGCTTAATATTTTCTAGTTGATAAATGGTGTGTACGAGTGTTTTCATAAATGGGAATGTTTTGTGGAAGAAGTCGAGGAGGTGTAGCTGGGACATCCAATCTCGGGGGCTCACAGTAGATTTTCTCCTAGGTTTTTTTGTTTTCCCAACGCTTATCTAGGATTTGCACCTGCGTGACTGGTTTACTAAGCTGAAAATCTCGTTTCCCATAGCAATCCAAACGATTGTGTGTGTTCTAAATTTACTAGAGCTTTAGACAGCTTTTCTTTTCTCACAAAAATTTTCCGAGTATTCCCACGAGAGTTTGATGACTTCTTCGGCTGGTAGGGTTCCAAAAATTCCGATAATGGAACCTAAAAATGTAAAGCTTTTTCAAATTATTCCCACTCACCACAGAATCGAGCAGTGCGGGCAAAAAGACAAGACCATGAGCCACACCAATCAACACGACAAAAACCGTCGTGTAAACAAAAGTACGCACAATATATGAGGGAACAGCGATCAACATTAGCACTCCAGCCACAGTTGAGAGGGCCGCTTGCCAGATTGGAGCACATGTAACGCCCAATGAATGCTATCAACTTTTCGCAAATTTTAAGCGTACAATAATGTACCTTTAATCTATCGTGTCGATGAATGACGAAATGAAATGTCGAGTGCGCAACGTAGTCAACGGAGAAACCGATTGACATGACAATAGTGATCATTGAGATGATATCGAGTCGTGTACCAGCTGCTGATAGACAACCAACCACTCCGACATTGATCGAAACGATTGCCGCAGCTAAACTTAATTTAGCCTTCTTTATGGATGAGATGTTTAAACCGATGCATAAAGAGGAGACAAGTCGAGGCACGAGAATCATACAAATGAGAAGCATCGCTACACAGGCTTGAGCTGCATTAGAGAGCACTGCTTTCACCGAAGCCGCCTGTTGTTCAACGAGAAGAAAACTGGGATTTTAAGTTTGATATTTGGCTTTCCAGAAAGTCTTTTTGTTTCTTTTCGTACTTCCGTTTAAAATCAACAAATGCGCCAATTGAACCATGGATTTTTTTTTTGTTTGTTTCATTAGAAAGGCCAATTATTTTTCAACGAAAGTATGAAAAGGAATGAAAAGACTTTCTGGACAGCCGAATAAACCAAAAGACTTTTTCAATACCTAGTATCATATGCAAATCCTTGAAATTTCGACTTCTCAATCGTTGAGGTCATAAAGGTTCGTCGTGGAGCGTCTGTTGTTGGACTCAAATGCCTTAGACGAAACAACATCTTCACATGGGAAATCGTTCCCGAACCCGTGAAACTGAAATTTTAGTTTCATCGTACTTTTAACAAAAACACGCCTGTAAAACAAACCGAATGTCTTTCTTGAAATGCTCAAATTGCTTTTGTCGAAGAAACCACATGAGCTTTTGCATAAAGAAAGCCTCATTGACTGACTTTTTTGGAAGAACTTCATCGAATTTTAATAACCAGAACTCATAGGTTGAGGCATAGCGCTCACTGTAAGATTTTTGTAAATCTGATATCAAAACATCAAAACATTTCAATTCTGTTTGACTTACCTTCCTAACTTTTTGTATAACGAGATCAATCTCTTTCGGTCATCGAGCTCCCAAAGTCGAATTGAAGATGTATCGATGACAGCAAAACAAAATTGACCATAATCATTGAATAATCTACATTTTTCCGTTGAATCTTTTGTAAATATGACCTACCTTTCTTGAGATGCCAATTCTTCAGCCACATACGATCCATCGGGAGTCAGATCTTTTAGATCAAGACCAATTGGAAGCCGAGCACAATAGTAGATTGAAAGTCCTGAAAATTTTATGATAATTCGATTTCCAGTTTGTAGATTCAGACCTAGATAACCAAAATAAGTGAGAAGGATGAGAAACTTGGAACAAGGCTGTTGAATGAGAGCGGCTAGGCTTTCTCCCACAGAACTTGACTCTTTTTGTTTCGGCATAATTTGTCGTTGAGATCCACAAGAAGATCGATCACTTTCTTCACAAATTAGAGTAATTTCTCTTTCGGTGCCAATCCATACCTGGTTTTCGAACTTTCACCTTTTTCCACATAAAAATACAGTGTCTCTGAGCGATTTCTCGACGACAAAGAATAAGCATTGCAGCCGAGAAAAATGTCACTTGATAGATAAAAAGAAATAGCACAGCTAAGGCACAGTAAGTACAGAAAACACCTGTAAAGTCTTGTTCGCATACGAATTTTATGGCAAACACTCACGAACAGCATGGAAATCGGATAAACTTCCGATAGAAAAAGAAAGGCCATCAGTGAGTGAGGTGAGAAGAAGTGAAGCCGAGGTTTCAGTAACAGCTGAGACAAATCTCAAACAAATATTCTACTTTACTCTCATCAAATTTTTAGAAAAACCTATCCTCCGCGGATAAATTTGCTTCTTGTAAACGCCAACTTTTCAATAGAAGAAAAGCATTGTCGACACCGATTGCTGTAATTATTTTTTGCTACAATTTTGAAAAATCGGCACTGACAAATGATTAGAAAGGGCATGATGGTGACAAGTGGAAGAAATGGATAATGAGTGCCGATCAGAAGAGCGAGAGCTGAAATTGTGGCGAGAAGAGCGCACAGAAGAGCGGCAAGGCCAACGATTGGTTGTGAGCGGACAACATCCTGAAATTGAGCTGCCTTTTAAGTTACCATTTTTCTTGTTTTGATTGTGGATGTTGGGAAGATAGGGTTTTATACTTTCCACAAAATTGTCGTTTTCTAAGGTGCACTTTTTACGTCTGTCTATGTTGTCACTAAGAACGTCCCGTAGTCTGTGTCATTTTATTTTCGCTCCCTCCCATTTGGTTCTACATTTTTGTATACGAATCGATTGTGATTCTTTTATTCGTCTTGATTGTTCTGGATAAACGCTAACCGTTATTCCGCAAGCAAGTCAATCGAGTTACAAAAATCGCAAGAACCTGTACTACAACAGTGGACAAAGAACCCCAATCTTCGTAATTGAAAACACTACCCGTTCGCAACAAATCCCCATACACAATACAACAAGCACGAGAATCATCACTGGAATCCATGGAATCAGCAACTAAATTTTGTTTTCCTAAAGTTACGTCAAAGTTTCTCTACCTCTCCATTTCTTTCAATTTCTTTGGGTAATGAACGAGAAGATGAATAGAAAAGTTTTGTATTTCCGAGCTCGACTTTAGTGACTTCTTTCAGAAAAGTCTCAATCCATCTAGAAATATTTTCTTTCACAACTCCTTTGAAAAGACTAACTCGTCGGCTTTTGAACTGAAATCTAGTAAATAATAGAGTCGTAAAGCTCTCGCTGACATGACAGCACCATTTCCGTGTTTGTCGGTTGGCTTTTTGACCTTCACTCCGCCGAGCATCATTGCATAATCTATAAAAAAATGTTCAAAGTTTGTCGACTAAAACGTTTACCAATGCTCGAATTGGCGATGACAAATTGTGGATATCGAAGCATGAATCCGATGCTCAATTGGGGATCCGAATCTTCGAGAGCAAATGCGAGAGGATGTTGAATGCATCCATCGGTTGGAGATGAACGTAGACATACTGATTGATAAGTGACACCAGTATTTGTCTATAAATCATAGCATTACATGATTCGTTGACTCTTTTAACGTTGACGGGACTTTTGATCATTTTAGAGATATTATTCGATAACTGAACTTTACTCACCTTTACACTGCTGACGAATCGATGCAGTTTTGCCAACTTCTGGAGATTTTTATTTGAGATAATGTTTCTTTCTGTCGAAAAATCCTTTAATTATTTGGAGATTTGAAATGTTCATTTTATTCTTTAAAACCTCCAAAGTTGTGTAGGCAAATTTTGAGCCCAACACCGAGTAGGAGTCTCTTTGTGGATCAGATGGTGGAAAAAGTCGCATCAACTCGTTCAAATTTTGAAGAGACTCAATCTCATCGGGGAGAAAAACCTTTAAGGAAAAAGTAGAGAGATTTTCTTCCTTTAGAATCTCTTAACGAACCTTTAATGTATCAGTGCTGACATTGAGTCGAAAATCATAAGAGGCAAAAGCGATGAGAAGAAAAGTGAATAAAGGAGGTAGTAAAAGAAAAGGCAATGGCCGTTTGACAATGCATAATGAGAGACACTAAAAGCACTTATTGTAAAATTGAAAACTTCTTTTACCTCAAAAAATTGCGAAACAATTGACTGAAAGTTGATCATCGTCTTCGATTACAGTGGATCATTGTATTGTAAACTTATGAGAATCAAAATCAATATGAGAAGTGATCAATATCGTCACGAATGTGTTAAGCAAAAATAGTTAAAAGAAACAGTTTTGAAAAAGCCAAATATTGGCACAGAATTGGATGTGCAAGTGGCCTCTTTTGAGCTGCAAGTGGGGATGAAGGGGAGTCACACAAGAAGAGTCGTCAGGGGGGAAACCCAGTTTCACGCGATATAATTACGGTGAATGTATGGATGAAGACGAGTGGATGTGTTGAGAAAAGAATGGTCAATCCTTCAATCCCGAGACTTCTTTTCTTTCTTTCTTCTTCTTCTTCTTCTTCGATCTTTTCAAATCCTTTACCTTCAAGATAACAATAGCAGCTAGCCGCCAACTGAGTCTCTTCTCGCCTTTTTTCTCGAAACCCTTTTTGCTCTCCCCTCAAACCATTCTTCTACCTCAATCGGCAAATTCAAAACTAGACGCTTTTTTTAATGACTTTTATTCTTGCCAGAATTGTACTCGCATTTTATTTTGAGTCTTTATTGTATCTTTACTGTATTTTTGGAGTGTTTCCTAAAATAATCTTTATTTATAAATTTAGATTTCACTAGCCTGATTTCCAAGAAGCTTTTTGAAATTGTCTACTAACGAATCTTTATTGTATTTGGCTAAATTGCAAATGCAAACATTAATCACAAAGTTTGGCTTTTCAGCACCCATACTCAAAAAGTGAAACAAAGAACATATTTTTAACAAAGGAGACGAATCGTGCCCGAATTCGATCCAAGAATGAAATTGTTGTTGAGAGATAAATACGCGAGAGCGGTCACTTGTCCCGGAATGACATCATTCTGTAAGATTTCATTTGTAAAATTCCGAGAAATCGATGGTGTTTAATTACTTTAATTTTAGCTGAAAGTGCCATCTCTTGTCCGGAATATAAACGGAAAGTGTTTGCTTGTTGAACAGTCACCAATAAATCGCCATCCGAAGCAATGCACTGAAATTCTTTTGGCATGAATGGGGCGAGGATCGCTCTTTTACTTGGACTAGATCAGGTGTACTCCAACATCTCTCAATCTTTGGAGACGCATCAAATACAACAGCTTCTTCATCACTATCCGAAACGATAAAAGCGGTCGGTGATAGCCAAGCTATCTAGAAAATAGATGGATTTATTGAGTCTGTAAGGATAAAATGAGAATTTGTCATAGTTCTGTTTAAAACTCTCAAATTCACCGATTGCCTTATGATTTGCTTTATTAGTTACGAAATATTAGTGTTTACCCCATTTGCATGAGTGTGATTTCCATGTGAAAGGGATCCAATCCGGCCGGTTCTTGGATCCACGACTGCTACTGTTCCATTTGATAACGAAATAGCCATTCGATTGCCACGTATTGACAATGAACGAACAACTCCTGGAATTTGATATGAAGAAACGACCCTTAGCTATTTACCATTTAGCGGTGAAACGCGTAACTCGGAAATCCAATCGGCTGCTCGAGTATCGTGGATTCTGAAAGAAAACGTTTCACTCATTTTATCAACGCCTCTTACTTGACGCTTGAATGCAGTGAACTGGCTGCGACAAGAGTGTGCCTATCTAATGTATCCATACAGTGAATCATTCCATCAGATCCCCAATCAAGCTGTGAATGAACGGCACCACGAAACGGATCCCAAACCTGAAGATGAAGATATGGGAATCTGAGTGTTTCTCGGGATTAATTCGCTTTCTAAAGCATGCACTTCAAAAAGGCAATCACAGCTATGCAAATTTATTTATTTAATTATTTAATGACGAGGAACAGATTCTATCTGAGAGGTTACATACGTGTAAGCATCCATCCGTCGATGCAATAAGCCCACTATCAAGAAGTCGCACATCTCGTACCGAGTTTGAATGTCCCTGCAGATTTCTATGACTTTGACAAAAGATTTCTCTCACTTTGTACGTCCATTGACATTGCGATGTCTCTTGATCGTGTCGGATCGACCAGAGTTTCACCGTTTTATCGCTAGACGCTGACACAAATGAGTTTTCATTGGAAAGAGGCTCGATTCGCCGAATTGTCCCTGAATGTCCTGAGAAGGAACATAAAGTGATTTGATCGAATCGAGGAGATTGTCTGAAAAGATTGTGAAGATTGTGAAGATTGTGAAGATTGTGAAGATTGTGAAGACTGTTCACCTTGCTCCATTTCCACAAACAGCCGCTGACACTCTCGCACACCACAACTGACTCAAAGAACCTCCAGAATCAAAGCATCTAAATTGAAAATCTGTTATAATAATCTGTTATAATCTTTTGACAAACCCAGAGCCACCAAGTATCGAATATGAAGCTGAGTTACAAGGAGATGAAAGTGAGAAAAGGCGATTTCCTAATGAAACTCCTGTCATACTGCAATGACTTGGTGATGAGGAACCTTTAAACTTTTGAGATTCGTTTTTTGGCCAACTTTTTGCACTTACTTTGTGCTGACACAAATGGGACAAGGAAAGCCGGTTCTGAGCAAAATGAAGAAAGCATTGGCACACCCCATTCCTCGCAGAAACACACCACCACCGAATCCACGAACCATAGTGGAAAAGACTCGAGAAGCTGAAATCACCTTTAGATTAGTTTCTCCAAAATGTGTCACCGTCGGATTTGCCGTGACTTTAGGATACATTATAAGCTCTTCATTTGCTTCGTAAAGGAGAACAAACGACTCAAAGAACGTCTAAAATGATCTATTCTTGGATGTGATTGAAGATAAACCTCAAATGGTTGCTTTGCATACATGCGCACATTTTCAGCTCCAACTCTCCGAGAAAGCTCCAGTAAAAACGCCAAAATCTATAGATGAAATGGATTTGAATTAACAATTCGAAAGCTATAAACCTTTGACGCGAGCACTCGTCGAACGGAGATACTAGTGAAAGAAGTATTCTCTGAGCAAACCATCTTTGATATTCTCGAGATGATCTTTCCAATTATCATATCCTGAAAAGAAATAAGTAAAAAAATAAGTGAATGAATCTCGAAACCTCTAGATAGTTCATCAGTTGTGCATCACTTAAAGCTCGCATTGAAACCCGAGCAATTCTAAGTATAGAAACGAGAGCTGGTTCAAGTTGTTGAGGACCTCGACGAAGCACTTGATCGATTAGATCGGCACAAAAGGGAATGTATTGAACCTATAAAATCAGATTCTTGTCAGAGCCATTCATTTGATAAACATACGGTTATAAATGTTGAGCTATAAGATGCGGCAATCTCGGAAAGACAGTGCTCGACACGAATCCCAGTTGTATCTCCTTCGAGGGGTTGATTGAAAGCATCCTATTTTTTTGTTTTTTGATTTATTCTAATTATAACCATTTTTTTTTACTTTATGATCCAAAAAAGTTGCGATAACTTCGAGATTTGTGTAACAGGTGGCTAAAATTCGCAAAAGATTTGACGAAATGAAACGAGCGCACACCACTGGCCCATATCTCTTAGCAAGCCTGGAAATGTTGTTAGAACTTTTCTTTCTTTTCAAAATTCTTCACCAAACAATGCTCTCCTTTGCTACAATCGATCGATCTTGTACTTTACTTGCGACAGCTTCTATCAATGTTGGAGCTATCTGAAAATGAGTTTTCTTTCGAAGAAACACTTCTGTTTACTTCTTCTAGAAACTGTCGAGCACCATAGGCTATTGAAACCTGAAGAAGGAAACGACGATCCAAAAGCTGAAATTATTTTCTTTATACTTTCTCTTTTTTATTCTGGAATTACTTTTACAGTACTCTCATTGTGCAAAAGAGCTTTAACAGGTTGAAACAACAAATCGATCGAACTTTTCGAAAAAGTCTTGCAGACAGTCGGGAAAAGTCTTGAAACCTAAAAATGAAGGAATGATAATAAAAAGATTTATCAAAACGGCAGCAATTGACGCTCGGGGATCATTGAGAAGGCGAGCAACGAGAAGAGCGAGACGAGCCTCTCTTTGCTGTGATCCACTGGATTCCAATAAACATCCCCTTAGACTTTCAACTTCACCATGTAAAGCACTTGCATGTCTTTTCTCTAAAAATTAATTAGAATTCATTTAATGAAAGTTTTAGCTACCATCAACTGTTACAAAGGAATACTTTCTGATGAGATGAAAACCATAAAATGATGCTAAATGGTCATGAAAAAGAAGCACTTCCGGTGGAACTATCATTTAATGGTTTGTTTTCAGTTAAAAAGTTTATGATACCATGAAATTCCAGTGGAAAAGAGGTGTGAAAATCATGAAAGTTTGGTAGCTGATGCTTTTCCGAAAGATAATGCACAATCCAGCGAGTGCTTTCACGTAGATGTCTAAAAGATCATTTGCAATTTGTACGATTAGTGGTTTTAAGTTGAATTTTATTGTTTTCATTTTAAAAGTTTAGTTAAATAGCTTTCCTCAGTCATTTTAAAAACAAGCTTTAGTAAAAAGTTGTACAGAAACTTTTGGATTATCCTGTAGTATGGTGTTATCGGGGTTAGTCTTGCTTTAGCTTGTTCTCTCATTGAAATGTTTGCCTGATAATCGAGGATATCTATCTTCTCGTTGTTCCTTAAAATAGAGAGCCCATTCATTTATACCTTGGTAGTTTGAATGTGAATTGAGAAACAAGAGCCAACGCCCTTTGCCGTCTTGCTTCAAAAGAAGCTGATGGAAGAAAGTTATTGCATTCCGATGGTAAAGAGATCTCGATCATTGTAATCAGAATTGATTTCAGCGAAATGGAACGATATTTTTGGAGTGTTTCCTAAAATAATCTTTCTTTATAAATTTAGATTTCACTAGCCTGATTTCCAAGAAGCTTTTTGAAATTGTCTACTAACGATGGACAATCTTGTGATGGGCTCTTTGATGGTACGGTTTTGTCTATTAGATCTATTAGATCTATTAGACCATGACCCGCAAGATGAGCTTCAAATTTCGAATCAAGTCCAACAAAGTTTTTCGTTTTGTTTGTTGCCAGTAATCTGAAAATTAATCTATTATAAAATTAGACTATGGCAATCGAAAATTTTGTAGAGAAAAACCTTTTTGGATGAGGTCTTTGAAATAGCTGGACAACTCCATGATCAATCACTTTTCGATCTTGTTCTGCATAGCATAAGTGCACATTCAAAGCTTTCACTGCTTCTTCACCTTGTAGCTAAATTTTGAAAGTATTTTTCTAGATTTTTCTAGATTTAAACAATTTAAACAAGAATTTAAACAAAACAAACAATTTAAACAATAATAACCTTGTAACCAAAGGTGAGATCAATCCATTCATTCAATTTAGCTGAGACTTCCTCGGATTCGAACTTCTCTCGATGCCATTTTATAAATTTTTCAGGTTTATTGGCAAATTGAGGCAGTTCAATGTCCGGCATATCCGGATGAACGGAAACTGTAAGAAAGATTGCTGGAATTGCTTTCATTTAACTTTCATTTTACCTAATAACTTTGGATCTTCATATAGCTCTGGAATACACTCATCGGGCGCCAATTCGAACATTCGTCTAACACTCGATGGATATTCTCGAGGTTCCCACTGGAAACGATTTCGTTTTCTTCCAAACTTTTCTACGACTCACTTTCGCTCGAACATATTTACACAAGCGCTCTTTCGGTTCGATTCGAGCTCGATAAACCATATAACTCAATTCGGACAATAATTCAGGGATATGATGAGCCGGTTCACGTTGATACATTTCCCTGAGTTTATATTGAAAGCATAAAACATTCATATAAATCCCTCACTTTAATTGTTGATCTCCTTTTTGAAGTCGATATTTGGTTCTCTCCAATGGCCTCCATCCATCAGTCTCTGAAGTGAAATCGACAACCCATGGAACGATCGGATGATTGTGAATCTCAAAATATTAACTGTAACAATCACTTCAACTTTAGAGTCTGTTCCTTGTCATTAAATAATTAATTGAATCAATTTGCATAAACAAATTTAAAGAACTACGGTAGATTCCTTGAAGAGACGCTTTAGCAAGCGCATCACACACGAGGAACACACTCAAGTTTGTTCTGCAAAATCATCTATCTAGTACCTCTCCTTTTTTTCGTCCTGCGAACTCATTTATTTGAATGATGTACTCAAAATTCGATATCTGTCTACTTCTCCACATTTCGGTGACTTGATCGAGTGTCTTTTCTTCTTTCACAATCCCTTCAACTCTCATCGTCTTCAATGCTCTGACTGCATCACACTCCAACCAAATCACATTATCACACTCAAATAGCGAACTACTGAAATTTTTCTTGATTTTCTTATCATTTCAGTCCACGATGATTTTTTGCTGGATCTTCTTATCATTTCAAGGTAATTTGTAAAAACCTGTAAACTGGAAAGATGCCTCGCTTTGATAGTTGATGAAGGCATTCGATCAGTTGCAACAGAACCAGGTGAATTTCCTGAAAATCATACGGTTTTAGCTTCTTTTTAAAATCAAACCTCCGATTGAACATCCAGATTTCGATGGGCAAATTTTAGCACTTGACTAAAGGAAAAGGTGGCAGATTTGAACGGGCTCACCACAAGGACCAATTCCTTAAAACGAATTTTCCTATCGGATTCAATTTACTATATATAATAGAGCAATGCCTGTCTAAGCGCTTTTTCTCAGCCGTCTTTGGGCCAAAAAAGCTGAAATGTTTAGAAAGTTTTAAAATATAATAGTTGTGCCAAAAATTAAAAAGATTTTGGGGAGGAGTCGAACCACGATCGTGTGGGCTGCAGGAAAGCTCTCGACTACTCCGCGGCGACAACAATGCCAGATGAATAAAAACCTGATAAACAATGATCAACCAAACGGGTCGTACATGAGGAATGATATTCGGTTTCCTCACAACCGTCTCCTTTGCTGAATTCAAATATTTAGGGCAAAGAGAGATCGCAATTACGTATAGCTCCTTCGCCAAGCGACACAAACGATGCCCCAAAACGAGCCGCAAATGTCCGCCAGATCTGTGCCCAATTCCGTTTAACCTCAAATGAAGCTTTTGTTCGTTGATTTGGTTCTTCAAGCAAAGCCTCTGGATCAAGGAAAGCGTCACAATGATGAGATTCTTTGCTGAAATTTGTTTTCATTTCGAATTCGATGTGAATCCACTTACAGAAACTCGTCGAGATCTGTGCCAAGGAAAGATTGAGTCGAGTGACGCTCAATACGACATTCCACTCCACCCAAATTCACATATTCAATCTGTTACAAAATGTTTTTTATGAAAATAAACGAACACAAACCCGTTCATGTTTGAGTACATTGTCAAGCACTTCATTGACCACCGATAGTAACTCTTTTTCATTCGTGAAGCCCATTTTTATCGATGCTTGATTGTCATTTTTGATGTTTATATTAGAAGGTTTTTGATTGAAAAGCACACACGAAGGATCAAGTGAATGAACGAGTTGATTGTCATCAAGGCTTATGAAAGTGATGTAAATAGGAGTGGACTGAAAAGAATCCTCTTATCTACTCGAGAAAGAAAAATTCACAAGAGCAATTCGGATCAACATACGCAACAATCTAGAAAATTATTATCTAGAAAGAAAATTCTTTTATATTAGAAGAGAATCGTGAAAGATTAAAAAGAAACGTTTAAATTTTGATCTAAACACACAAAAATAAAAAAATATCTCTCACAGGTTGCCTTGGAAACAGCTGTAAACGAATAAATTGTAGTGATTGGAAAGTGCTCCTTTGCTTTATTCTTTGAGAATATGGAACATGAAATAGTGGAATGGTCTGCAGCTCAAGGATGGCTCGCTCTTGCTTCATTTGGCAGCAATGTTGCGCAAATCAACTTCTTCACGCATGCGGTAAAAAATGCTGAAAACTTTTTTGAAAAAATCTTAAAGGGCACAAAAACCGAAGGAGTTCCGTTGGCGAGAAGTTGTCGAGCGACGAGTATAGAATGGCATCCAAATGAAGTGTTGATTGCTGTTGGATGGGTCGATGGAGCGCTCACTCTTTCAACGCCAACTCGAAATCCTGGTATTATAGAAATTGGCGTTTTTTTTTCAAAGACTTTATCAAAACGTTTAGAAGAAACGCTAAATGATCTCGAGATGGGAGAAATTACAAAAATGAAATGGAGTTCGGATGGATTAGCACTTTGTGTCGGAGATCAAGTTCTATAGAAAAAGACTCTTTAGAAAAGCGAACTTTTTAGGCTGGTCGATTGGTCGTTCTCGGTATCACTATTCTACACACTGAGCTTAAAACTAAACGCCTTTTTGATACGGAACTTGGAAGCCAAATCCATGCAATTTGCTACAGAGCCATATCTGGGTGAGAAATATAATAATTCTTGCTAAGCTCATTGTTTAAGTAGTGGAGCTGCACCCGAAAACCCATCACAATCCCCGAGACAAGAAGTCGAACTTCAAGAAGATGATCTTGAAACGTCGACTCCACCCGCTAGAAAAGTAAGCCAGATTCGAAAATGAACCTATATTTGTTGTAGAATGGTTTTCGTAATCTTACTTTCACTGGCAGCAGTGCTTGGATAGGAGTTTTCTTCATCGGAACGAACAAAGGAGAAATCGAAGCTTTGGTTTCTGGATCAAATATGATTCGAACATTTTCAGTGAGTTTTTGTAGAGTAATTTAATTGCTATTGAAACCAAGGCTGCTATTACACTACAAGATTCTTTAGATCAGCTCTCCCGTTGCTCAACTTCATTTAATCGAAACAAAATCAATGCTGATAGCACTTGGAGGAGATATGATGATTTGGCATATACTTATTGCTTCTGACAATACCGGCGCAGAAAAGATTAAGGTAATTTGTATAGAATGAATAATATTGGAGTTTGAAATATATTTCACAATATTGGAAAGCTTTAGGTGAAGCTCCCGGGGCGTTTATCGACTTTTTCAATGGTCGTCGCTGAGCCTGGTTTGCTCTTTATGGCTTCTGCCGAGAAAGAGATACGGTAAATGAAAAATAAGAAATGACAATAAGAAATGTTAAGTGTTTGGGATATCATTTCTGAAGAGAATTACACTCTTCCACTTCAACAACAATGTGGTTTCGAGGCAACTGATATTGCTAACTGTATCACGTATTCAAAGAAAAAGGGTGTGTCACTTTGAAAGCTTTTTGTTGTGCCTTTTTGTTGTACAAGAAGAAATATAGGAATGATATCGGCGGGTACTCAAGAAGGAAAAGTGGCAACTTGGAGAAGGAGAGGCGGCTCGTACACTGGGGCAAACGCTTGGAAATTGCATGGAGCCGTTTTTATCGGATCTCGGGTAGATCTCAAGAAGAGTTTCAATAATTAAAGCGCATTTGATTCTTTATTGCAGATAGTTGATCTTAAATGGTCACCAACATCTGCAGCACTGGCTGTGAATACCGGATTTGATATCACAATTCTCCAAGAAGACAATATTGTCGTCCATTTTCATAATAAGGCAAGAGCTGATTCGAATAACTTGAAAAAGTTTGAAAATATAGATAGCCGGCGTACAAATGGGTCAAAATCACTTCACCTTGGTGAACACAATCACCGGAGTTTCGCAAGATCTCAAGTTAGCCTTTTTGGCTAAAGGAATTCATATTGCCGACAAGCAACTTGTTGTGTGGAGCGATGATACTGTTAGTTCAAGAGAAATATTTGAGTAAAGAAATTCTAGGTTACAACATATGATGTCCAGACTTCGTTGGCTACTTTCCAAGCAACATCTTTCCAATGTTCACCTCAAGTAAGAAAAGTTTCGGTTTGCCTCAAAAACTTCACATTCAGATTGTTGCTCTCTCGACCCAATCGTTATATTGTTTGGAAAATGATAAAATAAACGTGCGCACTCTACAGGTTAGTTGAGTGGAAATCGGCAAAAGATTCGTTAGGGAACACTGAAACAAGTGATTTCGTTACCCGAAATGGAGGGTGAACCAATGTGTATGGATGTGAATGGACAGTGGATGGCGGTTGGCTCGAGCAATGGATTCGTGAGAATCTATGATCTGCGTGGAAGGTTTAGATATAAAGCTAAAATTGAAAGCTCAGGTTTTAGAGATGCTAAGCAAGAATATCATGCGAAGTATGTGGTTGAAAGTATCGCTGAATTCTTCAAATTCATTGGTATTAAGCTGAATGCAACTGGGACAAAAGTTGCGTGCACTTTTCTAGAAGTCAGTTGAGAGGAAGGGAGTTGAGAGAAAGGGATTTTGCAGAAAATGAATGAGCAATCGGATAAAGTGTTAATCTGGGATGCTGAGGCTGACAATGTTGGATACTTTTCATTTAACAAGGTAAATGTTAGTGACTCGTTGCATGAAAAGAGCTTTTAAGGGAATGACTGATCAACAAGAATATGAAGCCGAAGCTGAGGCAAGTCTTGCTGCGGGAAGACCTCAAACGGCAGCCGTCAGGTTTTAGAATCTCAATTTTATCAATTCATTAATGAATGTAGAAAACTTGAAAGAGAGCAAACTCGTTTCCGAATGCCTTACCATAAACCAGGACAATTTCATTGGGATGCAATCGATCCTCGCTTTCTCGTATTTGAGGCAATTTATCAAAACCCGGAAATTGTTTGGCGATTGTTAAAGATTTCCTTAAACAAGTTCCTAGGGAGACAATTTGATTGTTTCAATGTTTGCCACTTCTGAGCATGGCATTCAACTTCACGATATTCAACCACGCAGTGCTCAATGTGATTCTCTGATTGGAGTTCAAGTCCCACATCTTTTCTTTATTAAAAAGGTAAAGCAATGAAAAAATGAGTTCCAATGCAAATCCAATTTTCCTTTTATTTCAGAGTGAATACGAAGAAGAGGAGGTTCGCCATGAGCGCACAATTGGACGTCTTTTGATTGCCCGCACAATGAGAGAATTTGCAGGTAACCGGTAAAAGAAATCGAATGTATGCAGCTGAAACTAGGCCTGGAACACTCTGATGAAGCGACTCGAAAGGCTTTACTCGACTTTTGCTTTTATTTAACAATCGGTCAAATGGATGATGCATTCAAGTCGATCAAATTCATAAAGAGGTAGCTCAAAATTTAAGTGTGCAAAAGGAAATCAATTTAACAGTGAATCGGTGTGGGAACACATGGCTGCAATGAGTGTGAAAACGAGAAGACTCGATGTCGCTTCACTTTGTTTGGGACATATGGGATTGGCACGAGCTGCTCGGGGTGATTAGATAACTGGGCTGGGTTCGGCTGGGCTTTCAGCGCGTGCACCGTGGCGCAATCCGCAGTGCACATGACCCGGGTTCGAACCCCTGTAGCGCCACGCAATCTTTACTTTTTTCAAAATCTCTAACAATCTGCTGTTTACAGAAGTATTTAGCTTTGAGACGTTCACAGCGACAGGGCGATGTAACGGAAGTTCAATGTGCCACTCTGGCCATTCAATTGGGAATGCTAGTAAGCTCAAAGCTCAATTAAACATTACCACAGTTTTAATCACTTAGGATGAAGCGCAAGCTCTTTACACAGTTGCTGGCCGATACGATTTGGTGAACAAAATGCTACAAGCGCAGAATGCGTGGACACCGGTGAGAATGCAAACTCGAGAATTCAGTTAGGCTTTAGGCATTTGATGTGGCTGAAAAACATGACCGTATCCATATACGAAACACTCATTACAACTATGGAACCTATTTGGAATCGGTTGGAGCGATTGAGCCGGCCGTTGATCAGTGAGGCGACAAAAATATCTAATACCTATCAGCTTTAGTTTCGAAAAATCAGGCACTCATCATTTTGAGGTGCCGAGAATGTTCACCGATAATCCAAAGATTTTGGAAAATTATGTTCGAAGAAAACGAGATCCGTAAGTGATCAAAAAGAGAAAATAATCTCGATTAACTGATAGGGAATTGCAAAGATGGTGGGCCCGTTATTTGGAGAGTATTGGAGAACTTGAAGGAGCGCTGAACTTTTATGCAGTGGCAACAGATCATCTCTCGGTCGTTCGAATCAAATGTCTTCAAGGACGACTCGAAGAAGTTGTCTTAAAACGAATCTAAATAATAAATCTAAAATATTTAGGCAGCAAAGGTGGCCAGTGAATCGGGCGATCAAGCAGCTTGCTATCATTTGGGAAGAAATTATGAAGCTCGTACGTGTTTTCTCAAGAAAATATTCCTGGAAATCTTTAGATGGACAATTTGATGAAGCTGTCGATTTTTATGGCAAAGCACACGCCTTCAGTAGTGCTATTCGGCTGGCTCGGGTTTTTTAGAGAATGAATCAAAAAGTATGGTACTCTTTAAGGAACACGACATGCGTGATAGACTTGCGAATCTTTCTTTAATGGCTGGAGGGAGTGATCTCATTGAGACGGCTAAGTAAAATCGAAATACCTATTGCTTTCAGCTTTATTTTAGATATTACGAAGATTTACCAGGGCACGCTCATCGAGCAGTTATGCTTTATCACAAAGTGAGAACTAAAAAAAAAATGAAAACAATTGCTTTCAGGCAAAAATGATCGGCCGAGCACTTGACCTTGCTTTTCGCACTGAGCAATTCTCGGCTCTCGATCTCATCGCTAAGGTGAGAAATTAATTAATTAGATAAAAACACTAATCTTTGAGGATTTGACCCCTGAAACTGACTCAAACACTCTAAAACGAGCAGCCGAGTTCTTTGCGAGCAATCAAAACTTCGAGAAAGCCGTCGAACTACTTTGTTTTGCAAAAGATGTATGTAAATACTTTATTTTATGACTAATCACAAAGAAAACTTTAGTTTTCGGCGGCCATCGAGATGTGCATGCGTAGAAATGTGCGAATGAGTGAGCGTCTCGCCGAATTGCTCACTCCGACAAAAGAGTCCACACCTGAGCCTCAACTTCGCAAAAAAGTTTGCAAGTCGTGTCATCAAAATATGGTTTTTTGGAATCTAGTTGCTAGAGGATGTGGCCGAATTGTGTCTCCGACAGGGATCCTATGCGTTTGCGGCCAAAAAATATACACAAGTATGAGTGCATTCTTAATTTCACAGATTTTATTTAAGGCCGGTGACAAAGAAAGTGCAATGCGGGCTTTGATCAAATCGGGAGACACAGCGAAGATTCGCTTCTTCGCCACAACAGCTCGCTCAAAAGCCATTTACATTTTGGCTGCTAATTTTCTACAGGTTTAAACAAGTTTAAAGGGTATTCAAACTAGAGTGTGTTTCCCGCGATCAATTAATTAATCAGTAGGAACTAGGGCAGATCAAAAACTTGTGCGCCGCCGGAAATCGAAGCCGCGACCTTTTGCTGAGCGGGCGACTGTGCTAACCATTTCACGACAACGCACTTGAAGAAAAGTTAAATGAAGAAAGAAAAGGTGCCAAATTATGTGGAAGAAACCCTGAATCATTTGGGATGAAAAAGTAAACAGAAAAACGATATACCGCTCAGGGTCCCAATCCCTCCACCCATTACCCTTTCCGACTTTCCGGTGGCACCTAATGATTGGCTTATTTGCATTAAAGTATCAGCTTTGCTTTTTAAAAGTACTGTCTTTACTTTAGCACTTTAAAGTCCGATTTTATCATCCGTTGTGTGCTACCAGAATTTCAACTTCTATATTGTATAAATTTTGTCTTATTTTGTTCTCTACTTTTACATATATTGAATTTTGCATGTTTTCTCGATGGGATTACGGTATTTTTTTTCTCGGGGCGCGCTTCAGAAAGCGTATTAATCGCGGGAAACACACTCTAATTCAAACTAAAGTCACAATGTAGACTACCGATTGGAGAGGAGATGCAGAAGTGATGCGTGAAATTGAGATCTTTTATGGAAAAGCGCAATCACAAGAGCATCTCGCTAATTTCTACATTGCTTGCGCTCAAGTAAGCTCTAGGTCTCTACGTCTAGTTTATTGGTTGCAAAACAGATGGAAATCGAGGACTATCGCGATTTTGCTAAAGCAGCCGATGCTTTGGGAGAGGCGGAGAAGAGTGTGACGAAAGGACTCGAAAAAGCACCAAATGCGGCACTCAACGAACTCCAATCAACCACTCATCGCTTTCAAAAACAACTCGAGAAATTTCAAACGATCAAAGGGTGAAACAAAAAAGTGTTACTGACTTTTTGGAAAAGTTTAGTGTTTACGAATCAGATCCAACAGATGCCGTTCGTCAATTAACAACACTGGCTGAAGAAGCAAATGAAGATGATCTCATTCGGCCATCACATATATTCTCTCTTCTCATTGGACATCATGCGGGGAAACAGAATTGGAATGCGGTAATAAAGTAAAGAAAAGATTTTGAAAAACAATTGATAACTTAGGCTCATCGTTGCATTTTGCAACTGAAGAAGCAACAACCGAATGTCGATTTGTCGACGGTGGTTCCTGTTGATGTACTTGATAAAGTGGGAAATTTTGGTGTGGAAAGATGACTGAATATGTTTTAAGGTATGTGATGAGATGGGCGCTGAAAGGGTAACGGGTAAGGCAGCTCCGACAGGCGCCGAATCTGATGATGAGGCTGAACAGATCGATTTCTCGCATGCTCTTCAACGACAGACACGCTAAGCCAACTCTTTTATGGGTGCCAACAGTTGTGCTTTGCTTTTTATAAACTTAATTAAAGCCTTTTATTTTGACAGCTCCCAGTTAGCGAAAAAAAAGTGTACATATTATAAAGCCAACGACAGATAAAGCCAATGAAAAACGATACAAGATCACAGTTCAAATGGCAAATTTTTGAATACTTAAAAAACCCCAAATTCAATTTATTTCATTGTTAATAAATTGCGGTTTCTATAATGGCACAGCGAAAATGCGTGAATAGAGAAAAACTTGAGAACTTGAGATTACTTTCCATACTTTTTGATAAGACCTCGAGCTTCTTCTTGCAATGCTTTCTCATTTTCATCATCTGCCGGCAAAGCAAGCGCTTCATTCATGAAGTTGACGGCTTTCTCCTAGAAAATTTCTTTTTCTTACAGCATAAGCATATAAAACATTGTAGAGCATATAAAACATCTTTTTACTTCCACAATCAATGAAGCCAGTTTATGGCAAGCATAGACTAAGCATAACTCACATATTCTTTCTTCGAGATGAGACAACGAGCTGCATAAACATTGTTCTCGATGAAATCAGGCCGAATTGCATGACAAGCCACAAAGTCCGCAAGAGCCTCATCAATCGTTGCTTCGGGTGGAGTGGCGAAAAAGGCGGATGCAGCCTGGAAGATATTTTGAAAAACGGAGTTACTAAATACTGGAAGTAGCAAGTTTTTAACCTTCATCCCACCTTTCTCTCAAGCCAACTCAGATTCGCGATACCAAAAGCGTAACGGCCACGAAGATGCAAAAGAGTTGAGTCGTTTCCGTTAAGGGCAATAGCTTTATCGAGAAGACCCTAGATATATTTCATTTGAATACCTCAATTTTTGTATGTAAACCTTCAAAACGTAGGCCTGTTCAATTCGCTCTTTTGTTCCCAAATAATCAGTACTGGTGCCAGTGAGAATGGCCGCCCATTTCAATACCTGAAAAGCAAACACATTCATGAAAAAGTCATTTTTGGCTTGGCTGCCATTTCGGATGAAAATATCCAAAAATATCCAAAAATAGAGGAGTTTTCTTTAAAAACTGATAACGGATTCGAATTCCTCATCCTCGAAAAACCCTGATTGCAAATTTTCAGCCCAATCAGCCACAAAAAAAGTGCTAAATCCACCTACGCCCCACTGGTGGGCTGTATCGTCGCGAATGTGTTAAAGGAGGGATGCAGATCGCGGCCGGGTCTTAAACAAAATTTTTTTACGGTAACCCTATGTTTTTATTTCATAAAACATTACGTTTTATTCTAAAAAACAACAAAAAAACACCCGGCTAGGATATTTTAATGGGCGAGAGGATGACTCGACTCTGTCTGCAGGCGAACTTCGAAGTATTCCAAAATTAAAAATAAAATTCAAAACATTCTAGCCGGGTGTTTTTTGTTGTTTTTTAGAATAAAACGTAATGTTTTATAAAATAAAAACATAGGGTTACCGTAAAAAAAAATTTTGTTCAAGACCTGGCCGCGATCTGCACGCCCCCCCTTTAAATATTGCGTTCTTCAGCTTAATACCTGAATGTTTCCCTCTGGACACTGCTCGACGGCCTTGCGTCCAAATTCGCGTCCCTCCAAAATGAAAGTCTTTTTTCCATTCGTATCTTTTGCATCGAGAGCATTTGCCTTTCTGAAATTGCTTCTAACGTGGCCCTTTGGAGCTCTTCACTTACCGGTAGCAAGATTCGGCAAGTCTCCACAAAAGCTCTGGCTCATTGTTTCCTGCTTCGTGTTTCTAAAAACGTCTTATCTCCTCGACGATTTGACACTTTTACCCACCTTTTTCAATTCCTCATAGCTCAAATTCTCGAATTCGGACATTCCTTTTCTGAAAAAGTTCCTTTCTCACAAAAATTTTTCACCAGAAACCACAATAAGCAATATATTTGACCGATACAACGATAGAAAGAGAAGAAAATGTGTAGAAAAATGATTTATTAATCGACTATTTACACGGATACCCGAATTTTCTCATTCAGAGTCTGAGAAAGACGAAGCCGAATCCGAATCTCCGATATCTGATTCAACTTGTTTCACGTGTCCGACAGACTCCTGAGTTGAGTGACTAGCACTGAAATTTTCTTTCTTTCTTTGAAAAAATGTTTGCTTTTTCTTACTCTAACATCGCCGGATCCAAACCGTCACCAATCATTTTCTGCTCGACAGCACCTCTTGGTACACCCTAAAAGCGATACATTGAGCCAATCTTTCAAAGTCTTTCAAACCATCTTCATCATCTTGAAATACTTTTCATATTGTGACGAAACACCAAGAGCTGGTGATGCTTTTTCTTGTACAGTGATCACTTCTTCCTAAAATTTCCTCTAATTGTTATGGAAATTCTTTTGCGTTCTTGCTTTTTGAATGCTAATTTCTTGCGATGTCCCAGCTTGTGGAGGTGATTGTTCATCTCGATTTATTGTCTTTTCTTCCAATCGTTGATTTGTAATCCCATTTTCTTCTTCAGTACTTTTAGGAAATCTTTTTAGCTGAAAGAGTTTTGACTTGGGATTTTGTATTCGATCTTACTTTAGCTTCAAGTATTTGAAGTTTCGTTTCGATAGCATCGAGATTTCTCTCGGCACTTAGAATTTGATCCTCGGCAAGTTGAGAGAAAACATTTAGAAATTGCACCGATTTTTGAAGAAAAGCATTCACAAAAACGATTAGTCGACTTCGATGAAGAGCAGCTACCTTTAATCAAATGTTTTTGAAATTCTTGAATTTTCTTTGATGACTCACATCATTTAAATCGATATCGGTTCCAATGAAACTCAAATCGGGTTCCATCTGCACGCATAAATCTGCTACACTCTGTTATCTTATCTGAAAAATGATCTATTGAAAAACGACACAAAGAAACATCGCCTCTGCAACTATCGATACAATTAATCTCTTTTGAACTTTAGACCCCCCATTACAGAACTTTGAACTTTAGCGCACTACCAAAACAGACCATTTTAATACAATCAAAAGAAAATTTTAAAAATGGCAATTTGTATTCTTTTAATTAAACTCTGAAAATCAAAGAAAGAAATTGATAATAATAACTTTATTAGGTAGTTAAAAAATACCGGTATAAATGGGCAAACGCAAGCAATAAACAATGAAACTTAACCGGCCCGTTTTCAGTATAATTTGACGAGACTTCGGCCAATTATTTTCTGATTACCGCTTTGTTGTTACTTCGCAAATACAATGAAAAAAGAAAAACAAAATGCCTAAATAAGTAGCACAGACAGCACACTAAAAAAACTAATCTTTTTTCTTATGTGATCCTCCTACAACTTTACGACGTTGAGCAAACATATGGAAGTACATTTTGGGAAAACCAGGAATATAAATAAGAGCAAAGATAACAAGGTAACACCAGAAAGAGAAACCAATATTCAAGCAATTTGGCATTTCAAGGGTAAAATGCTTTTTCGCGTGAACTTCGGGCAAGGCTCGGACCACAGTAAACAACTCGCCGGATGCTCCCATTGGGTAAAGTATGATGAAGAACGTGTATCGACACCAAGTGAGAAAAGAGGGCACTTTGTTGATGATGTTGCAGGCGTAGAAAGAATATCGAATGACCTCGGTGATTGACCAAGCCAAAAGCAACATCGGCACTCCAATGCTATCGCGTGCATCACCAACTTTGTAGAGAACTGGCCACACCACTGAGACGCGAGAGAACACCTAAAAGCAAAACTTGGATCAACAGTAAAATATCTTTTTTTTCATTTTAGAGTCAAATTAATTCTCCCTACACTAGTCGGCGAGGATTTTGCGTCAAAACGTTTTGTTTAGCTGGAAATGGTTTTACATTCAAAGCTTGAAATTAAAAATTGAGACGCTAGAAAGAAACAACTTAAACAACAAAGACAACTTATAGGCTACGTCCAAATGGAAAAACTGCTTTAATTTGAATAGCTTGTTTTTGTAATAAAAAAGTAACCAACCTGGATAATAGTTGTAGCAATAGGAGAACGCACGAGTCCGATGGCACAATGAACAATCTCCATGAGAGCCGCCGTTTGGAAGATTTGCACAAAAGGTTCAACATCAGTGTAGAGATCAGCCCATGAACGATTTTCGGAGAGTCCAATGATCGTTTTGACGAGAATGACGCTCCATCCGACCACTTGAACAGCGTTGTAGGCGAGAAGATAGGAGTCACCCGGCTTCATTGTCTCTAAAATAATAAAAATTAGCAATTCCAGAAAAAGTCAATGCGGAAAATTAAAAAAAACACTGCCAAAAATTTTGCAAAGGAAAAAAGGCTTGCGCTCGAAGAGTTTTAAATGGAACTTGATGAAATTGCAAAACTAGGCCTTGTTTGCTTTGTTTGCTTTGTTTAAACTTCAAAATTATAATGAGAGAATAAAGCATTTCGTGGTGTCAAAGTCTAGAAAGAAAAAAGGCTATCAGTGAAAGAGAATTCATTATGGCGTGATCGTCGTCTATTTGCACAATTTTCAATCGTTCATTTCAAAGAAACGTACTCGTTAACTGTGTTGGCTGACAAGAAACTCATCACCAACAACAATCCCCGATTTTCTTTTCAAAAACTACTTTTTCTAAAATCTTTTTAATCATGGGTAATGTTTTTCGAAAGAAAAAGCTTGCCGCTGAAGAATTGGAATCACTTTCGACTCAAACAAAAGCTTTTCGCGAAGAAATTGAGGCCACCTTTCAACAGAAAAAAGCCACGCTTCGTTATCTAACGCTTTTTGTTTTTTTCGCAATCACTTCAATCACCTCTTACGTGATAATAAAATTTGATCGAGAGCGTCAAATCGAGTTTTCCCTTTTAGCTCTTCTCGGTGGATCTCTTGTTCTTTATTCGTTAAGAAAGCTAGCCAATTTCTATTATTCCTATGTTGTTTCAAGAAAACAACGATATTTAGATGATGCTATTGAACGTAAAAGGAAAATATTGGAAAACGTTAAGGAAACCGAGACTTTTAAGGTAGCAAAAGAATTGTTGGAAAAATATGATGATGATGCAAGCACAAGCGATGAAGCACAGCCACCATCAACACCAAAGCCAACCACAACAGCTGTTCAGCCGCCGAAATCACCAAATAAGAATGAGACATTGGTGAATCGGAAAATTGTGCAAACACCAGGCCAACCCAATACTCAACCACCCACAAATCAGTCTTCACCACCAAAGCCAACAGATTCTCAACCCGATCGATCAACCGCTCCACCACCACAGCGTCCACCCGTGAGGCCGTATATTCGCGAAGGGAAAACTGTTACGGATAAGGTGAGTGCACAAAGAAAGAATACCTATATATAATCAAATTTTAGCTGATCGATTATTTCTTTGGCGACGGACCGAACAATCGTTTCGCGTTGATTTGTGGCCGATGTCATAATCATAATGGAATGGCATTGCCGGGAGAATTCGAATATCTTGCATTCACTTGTTTTGTTTGTGGTCATTTCAATCCGGCTCGAAAATTGCGACAAGCTATGCCAAATCTTTTGAATCAATCGCCAAAAACCCCGACTTCGAGGCCACAAATGAGGGAAAATTCGCGAAAAGAGGCTCAGAATGAAAGAATCGATGAATCGAAAGAGAAAACCGAACTTGTGAATGACAAAGAGGAAAAAGAAGAAACATCGTAATACAAAGCGTGTCACTTTTTAAACAAATTGCCTCCATTATCACTTAGATTTTTTGATTTTTGATTCTAACAAGTCATTAAACCCTAGAGTTGGGATTTTGTAATTGATCTTTCAATCATTTAACAAATATTGAAAACTAAGACAATTAGTTTGACAAAAAAAACGGAGTCCAAAATAATTGTTTCCTGAGCAGATATGGGTTATTTGGCATAACCGAATAATAACCATAACCGAATCACAAAATCCCAACTCAATGTAAACCCTAATTTTGAGAGCTTTCTCTAATTTCACTAACTCATTATGAGATATCATTTTGTTTCAGCATTGAGACTAAATTTTCTCAATTCTCATCAATCTAGCCTATTTGCTTGCTCTTCATTTTTGCCATTTACCTACCTTTATGTCTAATTTCGCTTTTCAGTTTTTGTATTTCGGGTATATTCGGTTAGTGCTTTCTCTCGTTGTTTTGATGTACTTAATGAATGAAAATATAATAGGATATTTATAGATATGCTTCAGCACGATGTAGGTGGCGGAATGGCAAATTCAGATCTGAGAGGGCTTTTCGATTTGGTAAAATAAAGAAAAAATAAATACTGTATTTTTCCTGATAGTATGACATGTCCAAAGGAGCGAGAAATAGAGAAATGAGACAACCATTTTTTAGAAAAACAAAATCGATCCAAAGGTTCACAAGAACAAAATGATTTAGTGAGGAAAAAACAACGGCTACGTGACGCTCCCGTGTCATACTATTAAAAAAATACGGTAATTAAACCAAATATGTTTTAGAGAATTCCTGAGCATCGCTCGACACTCGAGAAGAGTCAACAAGAACTGAATCGTGTGGCTGATTACTGCGAGACGCATTATCTGCAATCACATGTTTGTTGTCTCTAAAAACAATCGAAATCGAATTTTCAGGATAAAAAGGCAGCTCTAAATGAAACAAAGCAATATACAGTGAGATCATTGGCAAGTGTTGCTTATCAAATCAATACCCTTGCGCGAGATCTCCTTGATATGATGGATCTTCAAACTGAGAAAGTTCAGTCACTTTCCGCTCAAATGAGCAACCTTAATCTCGTGAGTTATTTTAAAAAAATCATTATAATTGAAAGTCTTTGAGATTGTTTCCATTCACAAAGAGAAATCGGCTAGACGAGATATTGGGGCACTCACGACGAACAAGGTGATACAAAAGCAGCCGAAAATCATCCAGCCGATGAATCAGGTTGGAAATTTGCTAGGACCTATCATACATATACGTACATTAGTTGAATATTTTTTTGAAATCAAATTTCAGGAGCCAGTTCAACGGTACAAGAGAACTCCAATCGATTATACGGTTCTCGATTCAGTGGGTCATGGAACGAAAACAGAACCATCGGTATTGGCACCACGCGGAACAACTGTGAGTTTGAATTTTGTAATAATAGCAATAGCAATAGCAAAAATAAATCTAAATAGCAAATACTTTCTTATAAAAAAACATCATATAAAAAAGTATAAATGTTTTTAGGTTTCACGAGCTACATCATCGATCTCTGGCGCTGCTCCCTCGCAGTATTCGCATTACGGTCAACTCGAAAGAACAGCTAACATCAACAATACAGTAATCTTATAGTTTAAAAACCCTGCAATAGCAATGTGCTTTCAGATTAGTCGTTCGTCAATGCGAAGTGGAATGTTTTCAACACCACAAAGCGAACATCATTACCGGATTCCACAGGTAACTCTTTTACACCCACATATTAAAATTTACTACAAACCTTTCTAACTATATATCATCTTTCTTATCTAACTATATTATCAATCTAGGTTGGACCATATATGGATGGCAATAACTACTCGAATGGAAATCAGTATCACATCAGTTCCGCTTCAACCGCACAAGCACAGTCCATTGGAAATTACGGTATAACAAAGTTACTAATGGATTTTGAGAGCAACACTAAAATTCAGCTATGGAAAGTGAGTACGGCGGATCGCAGAGTACGATGGATCGTTATGGAACTCTTCGAGCACTCCGCAACGATCAGACGAGCCCCGACTTTCCGTTGCCTCCACCACTTCTTCAACTTCACTCCGATTATGGACAAGGTTCTTTTTTGCTTTCCATTAAGAGTTTTGTTTATATTTATTAGACTGTCCAGAAAGGTTAAACACTTTTTTTAGAGGAAACCATAGGTTAATTGGTGAATTTGTTATTTTTCAACGAAAGTACGAAAATGTACAAAAAAGACTTTCTAGACAGCCTAATACAATGTTACAAACTAGCTAATCTTTTTCAGCTCCGGTTCGTCAAAGTCTCCCACCACCTCCAACTTCTCTGAACACTTTGGATGATGATCTCGCTTTGCCACCACCGCCTAACATGCAACAATCATTTTTCGATACAAGACCCGATTGGATTCCCTCGAATTATATTGAAAAAGGTAATGGCTGACAGTGAATACAAAAACCTAACACTGGACTATTTGGCATGACAGTTAATTTCAGCTGTTGTGCTTTACGATTATGACGCGGATCGGGCTGACGAGTTGTCGCTCAGAGAGAACAGTATTGTGTATGTGTTGAGGAAAAATGATGATGGATGGTAAGTTGAAAAGCGGAAAATTCACACCTTCATTGCTACATTTCTTTCAGGTTTGAAGGAGTTTTTGGAGGCAAAACTGGGCTCTTCCCAGGCAACTATGTTCAACTTATTGAAGAATCTTGAGCTACGAATTGAGAGTTTTAAATCTGCAGCTTTAAAACTTTATTTATTATCTGATTACTATGCATTTTGTGAATCTTTAAGGGTATTTCACCGAATTGTTTCATGACTACCAACATTGCCATTGCTTTTCAAGTTACTGTAAGTCGTATATATTTTGTCTCGTTACAGCATATCAGCCTAAAAGGTCTAACCATACTTTGCTTCTTTCCACATCGCCATTTATATTGTTTTCAGTGCCTACATTTTAAATCATTGCCAGATCGCTGTTAATTGGGAAAGTGCATTTGAGAAAATAAAATTTTACCGCGTTTCAAAATAAAATTTTACTTCTTGCTTGAAATAAATATTTGAAATTGTAAAAACTATCACAGGTTTTAAAAAAAATTCACATTTTTCCATATTGTAGTTTTTAATGACTCGAATTTATGCAAAGTAGGGTTGTCTAGAAATGAAAGAGTCGAAAGAGTCGAAAGAAATCAGTTTTTAAATTGTTTGATCGACCCGTACTTACAAAAAATTTTTCACAATGGACCAAGTTTTTCGAAAGAGTTATATGCAAAAAAAAAGAAATATTTGAGGAGCTGCTCACAAAAAGATCAATGCTATCAATGATCAATCCTATCAATGCTATAAAAGAATTTATAGTAAAAAAGATAAAGGCACATTTTTGTAAGATTAGATGTGTTTTCTAAAAGATTAGTCATATTTGCGAGCTCTCGGCTCCTGGGAATATCACAGTGAAGAAAGAGCTACTAAGTGAGGTGCAAGTTTTAGATATTATAAAAAGTATTCTAAAATTTGATTCACAATTTTCTCTACTATTTTAGTGCTTAGGATTGGAGACAGTGGAAAGAGTTTGTCCCCAAGAGGCGGCTCGATTTTCTTCTTTCGTCAATACATCGTCTAGTTGTTTCTTCGAGAAACGTGTCACCGTTCCAATCACTCGTGCAAGCGTCTGAAAAATTGATTTCTTTTTGAAATATCTTTGTTTACAACAAACCACAATCTCTTTTCCTAATGTTTCCCGCTCGTTCATGTATCGATAGAGGACATTTCGCAGATACTAAATATTTTGAGGGTCTAAATGGGAATTGTTTCTCAAACCTCTTGCTCTGTTGGATGTGCAAAAGTGTTATCATCAGAATTGTTGTTTTTAGTTGCGTGTCTCTGAAAGTTAATTATATAAGTTGAAACAAAATTGACTACGTTTTCTCGCAAGACATCAATTTCTTTGTGAGCATCGGTCAGTCTTCTCTTCAACGAGTTGATTTCTTCTTGATCCTGGAATCATCATTATATATAAAAATAGCATCTTCGTCCGTCCGTCTGCTTTTGTTGAAATGATCGGAAACGAACTTTTGGTCGCACATCTACACCAAAATACAAGCCTTTTTTGTGTTGGCACATTTTTCTTGGCTCAGCTCGTAAGCAAAAGTTTCGCTGTTGTTTTTTTTCATGAAACAAACCAGCTCATGTGCTTCATCTCCTTTGTTAGTTGACGCTTTCGAGTGATTTTCGGATGGATGAACTTGTTGATTCGTCGCTTTATTCTCGAGCTCTCGAATTTGAGAGTTTGCCTCATCGAGAGCCGTCGATTTATCCGTCAACTCAGCATATAACTGTTTGACTTCTCTTTGAAGTTCACGAATCACCTGATTATTACTTTTTTTCAGTATTGCCATCCTTTACATACCTTCTTTGACTCAAGATCTTGCTTTACTGCGACTTTTTTCATCGTTTCCTCATTGGCCATTTCTAGTTCAGCCACCTTGAAATTGTTTATTCTACTAAATTTCCTTTATTTCTCAAACCTTATTGACGAGCTTTTCCTTTTCATCAATCGTTTCTCTGTTATTTACTTGCATTTCCTTCAAATCCTTCTCAAGAGCCGAAACCTCTGCGAGTTTTCCTTCCAAAAGTTTCATCTGTGTCATGATCTAGAATTTGATCTCATCATTTTGTATCAATACCTTCAATTACCTGTTCATTATTTTGTCTTTCTTGACTCAATTCCTTTCGGAGTTCTTCTTCTCCAATCAACTGTTGCTCAAGCTAAAAACAGTTCGTCATTGTTCTTCAAACTTTTCCCACCTTTGCTTTTTCAATGCGCATTTCGTCGAGTTTCTTCTCTTTTTCCGATAAAGCAGTTCGATGTTCATCTACCTAAATTACTTGGCTATTTTGAATCACTTTGCGTGCTTTCAATTCATATTCGTATTCATATTCGATATTCCAAACCTTTAATAAAAGCTCCGATTTCGCGGCTGCCACATCTTTCTCAAACTCTTTTTTCATTTTCCCCAACTTTCCTTCAGCTTTTTTCTTCAATTCACTTACTGCAGTGTCTTGTTCCTGAATTTTCCTATCTTTAAATTCAACAAGATTTTCTTACCTTTTGCTGTTGTTCTCTATATTCATTGAACTCCTTGGTGAGATTTTCCAAATCGGCATGCAATTTTCGATTCTCTGTTTCTTTCTCGGTTACTCTTTTTCCCAGTTCTTCTTCATTGGTTCGATGATTTTCAAGAGCGGATGAATATTGCTCCCTAAAAGTCAATTTTCCAATGCAGCAACTAGTAAAATTCATGCTTCATGCCGTTTTTCATGCCGTGTTCGGCGCGCTCCAAAAAATTAATGCTCAGTTACCTTTCACTTTTTCTAAAACATTACTAAGAAATACATACGTGTAATTTTTTCTAGTAGCTGCGCTCCACTTTTTTCGTTTACTTGCTGGTTTGTGCGCGTGCTATGTTTTTTGATCTATTTACGCGATTATAGGATAGCTTTTAACAGCTTGTGGGAGATTTTTTTTAATCTTTCTCGGTTTATTTTTATTGGTTATAAATTTAGTGATGGTTTGAATATCATGTTAATTAAATTTTTCAATTTACTTTTTTAGCTTAGGTTTAATGGAGCGCAATTTTTTAGAAAAAGTGAATGGTAACTGAGCGTGAATTTTCTCGGCATGAAGACATGAATTTTACTAGTTGTCTACTAATGCATTCATTTCCACTTACCTAATTTTGAGTCCCTCATCATGTTCAGCATCTTTTTTCTCAATTTCCGTTTTCATATCATTTTGGAAAGTCTCAAATTTCTGTGTCAACGCATGAACTTCTTGTGCTTTGTCAGTCAAAGTAGAGTGAGCATTTGAGAGTTGATCCTGAATATATGATATGCATTCATCTTTCAATTTTTATACCTGCAAGTTTGATCGTTCTTCTTCCAAAGAAGACAATTTATTGTTGATCTCTTGTGTATGCAAGCGACTTTGCTCGAGCTCTTTTCTCAGTTCTGCCACTATTTCTTCCTGAAACAAGATGCAAATCGAATTTAGTCGTTGATTTGTTTTGTTTTTAAACTTACAGACTAACTCACACAACTTTACACACAAAAAGGATATACTTGAAAAGTTCTTAAAATATTCGAAATAATATAATGATTGAAGAGAGTACCTTCTCAAGGAATTCTGAGCGCATTCTGTCTCCTAGTTCTTCTAGTTCGTTTATTCTCTTCGAGGCACTCATTTCTGGTTGCTGCACACGAAAAAAAACAAAAAGATTAATGATTACCGGTGTTTTTGAGATTACAAATCTTGTTTACAAAAATTACCGTTTTCTTAAGCACTTCGATCTCTCGTTGTGCATTTTCGATGGATGCATGAAGGAGCTCCTCCCGTTGAACACTCGCTTCAAGTTTCACTTGCAATTCTTTCTCTTTATCTAACGATCCATCTTTCAATGTTTTAACTTCTTCGATCAAAGAAGCTCGTTCATTTTGCAACAAGATTAACTCCTGAAAAAGTTTTGATTTAAAATATGTTTTTCCGATGTTACCCCATCCTTTTGTTGAAGGCGATCGTTGAGCTCTTGAAGCTTTCCTTCGTTCTCGATAAGCTTTTGTTCATACGTTTCCAAAGCTTTAACCTGTTGTTGTTCACCGGCTACAGACTGATCAAGTTTCTAAATTGTATTTATAATAGCATATAGTTCATTTGTAATCTCACCATATCCTTTTGGCTTAGTTGCTCTTTCAGTGCTTTTAGTTGTTGATGATTTTCTTCAAGTTGGGCTTCCAAGGTTCTCGCCTTTTCTTGTTCACTGGCCAATGTTTGATCATGATCCTAAAATTTTTGATTAAGCAATGATATTCTTTTGATTACCTTTTCCTTTTTATTAAGCTGCTCGTTTAGAAATTGAAGTCGTTGTTGGTTGTTTTCGAGTTGAGCTTGTAAATCTTGGACTTTTTCTTTCTCATTGGATAGAGCTTGATCAAAAAGTTTTGATTTTTCGGTGAATTCCTCTTCTTCGATTTTCCACTTTTCCAAAAAGCCGTCTTTTTCTTTTTCAAGTGTGGAAAGTTGATCTTTTTGTTCTTTGCATATTTCTTCTAAACTTTTCATTCTCTCTTCATAGCTCTTCAAATGCTCATCGCTCTTTCTTCTAATTTGCTCAAAATCGGCTTTTACAGAATCCAATTCTACCATCACCGAGTGTCTTTCTTCTTTCAGAACTTCATAATTCTAAATATTTTCAAGTTTTAATGACATTTGTTAACAACCTGTTCTGCTATTTGTAGCTCATTTTTTAGCTGATCGATTTCAACTTGGCTCACCGGCTCTGCTGCCTAAATGAAAATCATTTATTTTTCAATATTTTTCTGACCAAAACAGGTTCATCCACTTTGATGAGGCATTCTTCTAACAAATCAGGAGCAACGGGAATCACTTCTGGAAGTCTATTTCTCATCAGATTAATCTCTTCTTCCAAAGCTGTCTTCTCATCTTCAAGGCGACTTCTGGCTTCTAAAAACATTTATATTTTAAAATTCAAATTTTACAATTTCTACAAATTGATACCTTCCAAATTTCTTTGTGCTTGATCAAGACTTGTTTCCAGATTGTCAACTCTTCTTTGAACTTCATCCCGCTGATTCTTGATGTCCTATTCAAAGAAAAACTTTTCTCAAATCTTTTAAAACGAACTTCAATCTCTTCAGTCAAATTTTCTTTGACTTTTTCCAATTCACTTTGGAGTCTTCCAATTTGTTGAGCTGAATCTTCTAACTAAAACAGGGTTTTCCGTTGAGTCAGTGAATCTCCTACAAACTTGTACATTCCGTTCTTTGAGCATTTGTTTCAGATTGAGAACTTCAGCTCCACTTTCAGCTGCATCGTTTGAAGCACTGAAAATTGCTTTAATACAGTTTAGAAAAAATGAAATTAGAATATGTGAGGGAATTTACTTCCAGAAATGGGCACTTTTCAATAAAGGGAGTGTGGGATGGGGAATGCGGAGATGAAAGAAGAGACATCGGAAAGAAGAAGGGAAAAGGGAAACGAAAGCACAGATGGGGTCCCACTCCTTTTTCGTCCTTCTTCTTTCAGTCCACCTAACGATTAGGAAAAGAAAGGAGTGCGAGATTGGCTGTGAAAAGAAAAAGGAAGGCCCACTCTGATGTGAGAAGAGAAAGGACTGAAAAGAGGGGGAATAGACGAGAGAATTCCGATGAAGAAACATTGCATGTCTACACTATTAAGCTGTCCAGAAAGTCTTTTCATTCCTTTTCGTACTTTCGTTCAAAAATAACAAATTCACCAAATTAAATTAGCCTACCGTTTGCTCTAAATAGAAAGTGTTTATTGTTGAATTTCTAATGAAACAAACCGTAGTTTAATTGATGAATTTATTGGTTTTAAACGGAAGTACGAAAAGGAACGAAAAGACTTTCTGGACAGCCTAATATATCAAAAATAGAAATATTTTTGAAATGAAATCAAAAGAAAATGAGAATCTCACACCTGTTCGTTAACTCGTCCACCATTTTCTTCGCTTCTCGAATCTCAATCTCCATTGTATTTCTCAAAGTGCTCAACTCAGCGATCACTTCGCGAGCCTTCTCGAGTTCATTTGATAGAGTTTGACACTGAAATCCAACTATAAGGTATTTTTTTTGTTTTATTCACCTTTTCCTCAATGACTGTTACTCTTTCTTGTGATTGAATGCCTTCTTGTTCAGCATTTTCCTGAATAGTTTTTGTATCATGCATAGTTTTGCTGTTTTTACCAATTTTCTTTGTAACTCCTGGATCTCTGTCTCTTCATCTTTCTTCTCATCAACATTTTGTTTTTTCAAGTTCTCGTAGTCTTCATGAAGTTTTCGGAAATCCGTCTTAGCATTGTTCAAACTGAATTTGGATTTTGAGTGACAAAAACTTCAGTCTTACTCCGTTGAAAGTTCAGCCACTTTGTTTTCGTACTCGATTTTTTGTTCTTCAAGTGACATTTCATGCGTTCCAGTAAGCTCTTCAATTTTCCTAGCATTTTCCTCTGTAAGTCGTTTTAGCGAATTCTCCAAATCATTAAGCTAAAAGGAGATTATGGTAAGTATTCCCTTTGAATTCCTTACCTTGTCCCGGCTGAGTGAGTCGTTTTCTGATGATTCAAGAGTTGCATTTTGCTAAAAATGTTTTGGTGAACATTTTGTAAATCTGCAAACCAATTTTTCTAGTTTCTCTTTTAATTGGGCGACTTCTTGCGTGTGATCCTGTTGTATTTGGGCAATGTTAGCTTCCAGGTCCTTCCGTTTTGCTTCTTCTTCGTCTCGAACCGCCTTGAATTGTTTTTCTCAATAGGTTTAAGCAGAATTTTAATTTTCTCATCTTACCTTAACCCCTTGCACTTTAGCTTCACTCAGCTTCTCAATCATTTCCGATTTCTCGGTTTCCAGTGATGAAATGATTACTTTCAACTCATCAACCTAAAAACCAGTACTTTTGGAATGAAGTCATTCCTTACCTTCTTTTGCCAACGTTCATTAGCTTGACCATCCTGAATCTCGAGTGTTCGACATTTCTGTCTCAGGAGTTCGACTTCTCGATCTTTCGATTCCAAAGCTCCATGCATGTCCGCTTTCGATTGAGCCAAAGTGAGAGCTGCATCTGTTTCTGCCTGAAATTTGAATTTGAATTCCCCAAAGTGAATGTCACTCTCTGTACCTTATTTAGTCTCTCAGTCCATTCCTCTTCCAACTTTTCGACTCGTTTTTTCCATTCTAATACAATCCGATCAGACTCTTCTGACTAAAAAAATTGATTGTTAAAAGTTAAGGAAAAGTCTATCAGACATTTTCGCCTTGATTGCTCCCAGTGTTTCCTTCAGAAAGTTCAGTGATCTTGGCTCGATTACGTCGAATCTCGTCAGTGCACTTTTTGAGCATATCTTCATATTTAGTTAGTCGTTTTTGAGTCTAAAATTCATTTTTTAGGAAATTTCTCGTTTTGAATACCTCTTGATCTTGTTCCAGTAGAACTTTTCTCTCATTGCGCAACTTGTCGATTCTTGTCAGTGCTTTATCTTGAGTCTGAGCCAAAACTGCCTGAAAATGCTAATTGAAAATGGAAATAGACTGAAAATTACCCGGCATTTGTTATTCTCAGTGACAACTTCATTGTATTGTTTGACGAGATCTCTGTATTTATCTTTGTAGTTAGCAGCTCGTCCTTGGAGTTTTCGAAGCACCGAAGAAATCTGGAGTTTAATAAAAGTTTTTTTGAGATTTGGATGCGATTCAGACTTGCTCTTTTGAAGCACTATTAACAACAGCTGATCCATGCTCATCCATTGCTGACTCAACATCTGAATCGATTGGATCCAATGTTGAAACGGGCATTCCAGGAACGGATGAGAACAATGTGGAAAAGGAGCTAAACTTATCGCATAAGCAGAATTGTCATTTTTTAATAAGTTTATAAGCCGTTAGACGATTTTTGCTTTTTTAAAAAAAAACCTTTCATTTGAGTGATTGGAGCCACCAGATAAAGTTCGTTCTCGCTGAGGGATATCGAGTCCCAGTAAATCCCCTTCTGTCACCTCTTCCATCAATGCTCCTCCAACCTGGAAAATAGTTTTGTATTTTAACAAAATCAAACAATACTACTATAAAACTTATAAAGACAAAGATAACCGGTACTTATATTATACTTTTAGTCCCCAAACCATAAAAAAACTGTTGTGCCAATGTAAAGAGTCTAATTTCCATTTACATACTTGTTGCACTCAACATTTAAACCTTTAGACATATTACTTCACACAAAAATTTCTCAGAAAATTTTGTTCATAACAAATGATAAATACGAATACTTTAACCTGAAGCGTTTTTGTTTTTCTTACAAACCGAATGGCTAGGCCCCGAGGAGTCATTTTCGTTGTTTGATCCAAATCCAAAAAAACGTTTTGACACACTTGCCGAGCTTTCACTCCCCGCATCACTCTATAAAAAAATATATGCGAAAATTTATGCGAAAAGTACCGCGGCACCGCTTCGGATGTGTCCTACTTGGTGCGAGAGGCTTTCTCCATATTGAGCTACGGTTGATTGTACCGTTGCTTGGAGTTTCTTCGCCTCATCCTCAAGTTTTGACTTCAGTCCTTTGAACATGAACCTCTCTAAATTTGGAAAAATTGAACTTGAAGGAAAAACTATGCATGAAAGGCTCGAAAGTCGAGCGTGAAAGACCAGTCCGTACTGTTATAATCCTCAAAAATATATTAGTGAATGTATTTGCTTTCGAAATACATTAAAATGTCTAAAAAGTTCTAGTAAAACTTGCTAATAAAACTAGAAGAGTTAAACAGGACCTTTAGCACATTGAATCGATGTCATAGTTGGCGCCTACGCAGCTTTACAAATAACGCAACAATAAAGTGTCTTTCACTTACAAGATTTCATTTTCTCTCTCACGTTATTTTTCGTCATATCCCCTTTTTAATATCTTGAGCATTAATAATTTTTTTTTTATTGCACTTATTAATTAGTTTCTTTTAGGATGGTTCGACGCCGCTCAGCCTCGCCAAAGCCTTCACCACCCGTGCGTTCTGCACCGCCTGCACAAAGGGCCCCAATGGCTCGCGCAGCTCCACCACCGATGCCTCCTCGGGCTGCCCCCGCCGGACCAGCGGGTGGACCTACTATGGGTGCACCATCGCAGGTATATCACTTAAATTTCAAGCTATTAGAACTTGTCTTTTTTGCATGTGCCCTTTGTTAAGAAAGTGCAACCTTAAAGAAACTGCGCATTTCGCTCTAATGTTTTTCTTTAGGGGCCAGGCCTATTTGCACAAATGGCAGCTACAGCCGGAGGAGTAGCCATCGGATCAGCCGTCGGACACACTGTTGGTCACATGATGACTGGAGGAGGTGGAGGTCATCAGGAAGCAGCGCAGAGCCAAGCACCTGCCGCTGCTCCCGCCGGACAACAATATTCAAACCCATGTGAATTTGAGTGGAAGCAATTTATTGAATGGTCAGTTTTTCTTAATCGCCGTTGGTTTATTCTTTAATTTAGTACGGAAAATCAATCGGATGTATCGTTATGCCAGGGTTTCAACGAGTCTTTCAAACAATGCCGCGCTCGATATCCTTAATCTTGATTATTGTTTTTTATCAAACGATTGGTGTATTATTAGAATACCAGCAAAAATGTGTTAATACCGTTAATTTGTAGATGAGAATTGTGTTTGTAGTAATGATTTATTTGCTTAGTAAATAAAAATTTCAAAACAAAGGTTTCTATTGGGGAATTGTTTGTGACCATTATATATTGCCAAAACCTTTTTGATAATGTTAAAAGATTTTTGTTTATTGGATTATTTTTAGCTATGGGTAAAGCTCAGAAACTTCTGGCTATCGCGCCTTCCAGAAAAATCAAGGAAGAATCAGATGGTAGTGAAAGCGAATCATCGAGTGATGATGAAAGTGTCGAACAATCTGATGTAATTAGTTTTTCCTTTGATTAGTTGATTGATTTGATTCATCTTTCAGACGAAGAAAGTGAGCAACTCAAAGTGGACAAATAGAACACGCGTGCTCATTTTCTGCTCAAGAGGTTCCGATTTCAGAACACGACACTTGATGAAAGATCTTTGTGTAAGTTTTTTATTAGCACATTTTTAAAATCAATTTTAGACTTTGATGCCTCATACTAAATCTGAAACGAAGTTTGACAAGAAAGCTTCTCTTTCAATGATCAATGAAATCGCTGAAATGAAAAACTGCAGCAAAGTCATGTATTTCGAAAGTCGCAAACACAAGGTTATTACTTGATTTCTTGGCGCATTGAAAAATATCGTCAATTTTGATTAACCGGTTTCTGTAATTCTTAAAAAATAATTTAATTCAGGATCATTATTTGTGGCTCTCAAATGTTGAATCAGGCCCATCGATGAAGTTTCTGGTGCATAACGTGCACACAATGGATGAATTGAAGGTTTTAAGGCTTTTTGTACTTAATTTTATTCAACTATTTAGATGTCGGGTAACTGCTTGAAAGCCTCGAGACCCATTCTTTCATTTGACTCTACATTTGATGAAAAGCCTCATTTGGCTATAATTAAAAGATCACTTACTCAGGTAATTCGTTTTTAAACTGTCGGGCTTATATAAAACTCGTTACTATTATAGATCAATAGATGCGGTAGACGATTTAATTCAATGAAAATTTATGCCACAAAAACGTTTCATGTTTAGATCTTCTCAACTCCAAACTATCATCCAAGATCTCAACCATTCGTTGACCATGTCTTCACTTTTTCCGTTTCCACTGACGACAAAATCTGGTTCCGCAATTTTCAAGTTGTTGATGAGAGTTTGAAGCTTCAAGAAATAGGTAAAGAATTTTTTTTAAATTTGTATAATCAAAAAAAGGCTGCATAATAGTAAAAAAAATTTTAGGCCCGCGTTTCGTTCTTGAGCTGATTCGTGTGTTTAATGGATCGTTTGAGGGTGCTGTCCTCTACGACAATCCCAACTATGAGGTAGTCCGTCTTCAAAATCTAACACAAATTTAACTTTTTTAGAGCCCAAATGATAAACGCCGTGTTTTGAAATTGGCTCATCAAAACAAATATGCTAATCGAAAGCTTAATGAAAAGGTTCTTAATTTTTTGCTTTGTTAATACCTATATGATTTGCTTTAGATGCAAGATGCAAAGGAAATTGAAGTTAAAGCCGCATTAAAAGAAAAAGTTGAAGACCCAGCTGGTGAAGTGCGTTTCTACACATTTCGTAATTATCATTTTTAAATATTAATTCTAGATTTTCAATACTGAGGCTTTGCAAGTTTCCGAAGAAGCACGGAAAGGTAGCTTCTCAAATTGAAAATCCGGCCACAAAAAAACGGAAGCTTCATGGTGATGAAACAAAGGTTCCCCACAGGAAAAAGAAAGTCGTCGCAAAATTTTAAAAGGATCGTTGTTATTTTTTTGTTAATTTCTTAATTCGTTTGGTTATTAATTTCTTAGTTTGTTTTTATTGTTGTTGTTATTGTTGTTCAAAATAAATTTGTAAAAAGATGTAGTAAAAATGCAAACATCACATTTCCCATATTTTACAGCACTCTTCACAGAGCCTTCAAAGGAACAAATTACTTAGGCATTCACATTCTGTGACTTGTTTCTCTTTTTGGTCTCTCTTGTCTGGATCTCTTCGTTTCCACAAACTCTCGTCCCAAAAGCACAAATGTCGCTATTGATCTAAGTTGCCGAAAGAGTCGCAAATGTATGAATTCTTTTCGCAACGCTTATGAAACTATCCTTAGTATTCACTAAATTTGCTTGCACAAATGGCACTAAATGAATATGCTGGGACATCCAACTATCAGGTTTGAAAAGCAAAAAGAAATTGCTCTCTTAATTTGAATATTAGACTGACGATCTTTCTGGTGAAGCCTATATTCGATTAAATGTCGGTGGAGCTCTTTTCCAGACATCATCTGGAACTCTAACAAAAAGAGATACGATGCTGAGAGCGATGTTTTCTGGAAGAATACCAGTGAGTAATATTGAAAGATGACGCTTTATTTGGTGTCATTTTAAAACTCATTGAGTCATGTTGTTAGTTACGACGAGATGCTGATGGATGGGTGATTATTGATCGATCTGGTCGTCATTTTGGTTTGGTTTTGGATTTTTTGAGAGATGGTTCCATTCCTCTTCCTCCTTGCCGATATGAAGTAGAACAAATTCTCAATGAAGCCAAATATTACCTTATCCAAGTATCTACAATATTCTTTAAAGTGAAGAAAATGATATAGGATTTGGCTGAGATTTGCTCTACATGGCTCTCGGCTCAACGCAGATCCGATACAACTTTACCTTCAATCTGTTACTTACCAACAGTTAACACTAAACAAGAAGTCGAGGCTATTATCAATGCAAACAAAAAGGTCAGTGCAACAATCTCAAAATAATTAAATTCTAAATTCAAAGTTTCCTTTTTTCAGCCTGTCATCAAATTCATGATCAATCGTCATAATAATAAATACTCGTACACATCGCAATCTGATGACAATATCTTGAAAAATCTCGAACTTTTTGATCGTCTTTGCATCAAATTTCACGATCGAATTGTTTTTGTGAAAGGTTTCGCGAAAGAAAAACGAAAAATAAACAAAAATATCTAGACCTTGGCTCGGAAAGTTCTGAAGTGTGTCAATGGAAATTTTATGGAAAAGGGATTTTGAGAGCCGAGGTTTGCTGCACGAGCATCGTCTATGCAACTGACAAAAAGCAGACAAAGGTCAAATGGAGCGATTAAATCTTTTTTTGAACAAAAGAGGCTTCTAGGTTGAATTCCCGGATTCGAAAATTTACGACGAGGCGATGTGCATCCTTCGCTACGAGGAGCCGGGCTTGTGTGTACGATGTGGAGGGGATTGCTCGGCGCATTCAACTCCAACCGGCCCACATCCACCTCGACCATTCGATGAGCCCCCCTAGCACCAATAGATTTGTCTCGTTCTTCATACTTATTAGAATGTATTTCGATGATTTAAACCATGATAAATTGAGTAAATTAGTAAATTAGACTTAAATACAACTCAAATTAGCTTTTCCAATAGAGCAAAGCAATACAAAAATAATTTGCAAATATTTTCAAAAGTGATGACCATTTTACCCATTATATATTTGATCTTAAAGCATTCATAGGTTCTTTGCTTTTATTTTTACCCTCTAGTTGATGATTTTTTTTTGTTTTTGCTGCTGGGAATTTTGTTTGCCTTTCAGATTTTTCTAGTCTGCTTTTTTTAGCTTTTTGTGATCATCTCTTTACACGAATTGATTTTATTTTACATCAATGAAACACAAATAAATTTAGCACCTTGACAAGAAAACGAATAGAGAAAGAGTGAGACTGATTAAGAAGAATCCTGAAGACGCCGTGTTGCACAGATCACCCGTGCAACACTCCATCGTATTGCTGATACCATTCGAGATAATAAACTTAACGCCGGCTTCCTGAAACGCTTTTTATTTTTATTCACACGAATAATGTGGTAGAAATAATAGACAAGCCCTAAATGAGTTGGAGTTAGGACAGATGAAAAACCCGTGCGCCGCTGGGACTAGAACCCATTTCGCCTACCGGGCAACCGTGCTAACCATTACACCACAACGCACTCGATCTTCCTAATTCCAGAGGGAGTTAACTAATGGTTCTTTTTTCTTCTTGAAAAAACCAATAACCTAGCCGACGGGATTGAACCCTTGACCTCCCAACTAAGATACAAGACTCTTAGCCGGTCGGCCATGGCGGCCGGCTATTTTCCTAAAAAGATTAGCGAAAATGTTCTGTCTATATTTAAAATGCTTATCGAAACACAAAAAGTGAAGCGCATTGGCATACTTTTAAATCATGATTCAAACTTACGGAGCAGTTGTAGCCGACACGACCGGACTGATCAGCCCCGCATCCGCAATCCCATTCATAGTGTTGTTCTTGGTTGGCGGCGGTTGGGTCTGTCAACCACGTCTTCAGACAGAAATCGCTGCATACTTGGCCCTTGGTATTGCATGTGAGCTTTGTCTTCTAAAAATATATTTGAAATGCTCTGCTATTCGCTCACTGACCGAACTTGAGAATTTGTCTTTCTTGCCCGAATCCTCGTAGCATTGCAGGGCGAAAGTGATTGAAAAGATACACAAAAGCGAGATGAAAGCTAGTCGTTGAAGCATTTTGTATGCGGGGAAACTAGACAAATCTTGTTTAGTAAAAATTCTGTAAACTTTAGAGCAACTTTGCCCAAAAAAAGGCAAAAACCTCGATCACTTTGAGTGAAAGGCAAATAAAAGTTCAAGTAAGAACAAAAAAAAGCCGTGGCTTTTTGTTTGAGAAGCGGGCGAGAGGTAAAATCGCTGAAGTGGGGCCGGTAAGCGGATATTTTTTTTATATTCGGCGATTTTCTCCCCTCTTTTTTATTCCTTTTTTCCGCTTATTTGGTCTTATCGGTTACCTTCTTCTTTCTTTTCTCATCAAAGACCCCTTCGTCTTTTTTTTGCAATCCCTTTGCTCTTTCTTATCTTCTGACAATGCTGATTCACCCTGAATCCTCAGAAAACTCAAAGAAAAATCATCTAGAATCCCCGATGAGCCAGTCGCGTCATCGGTGAATTTTAAAAACCTTAACGCAGACATTGAGAAATTCTTTGTGCAAAAACGGCTATGTTCGGGATCAAAGCAATATGATTCATACAGAAAAACTCAACATTTCAAAAATGTGATTGTGTTTTTTGAGATGTGTAATATAAAAGTTTTATTTTCGAAGACTAGTGAGAGTCGATTAGAGTCCCCATTGCATAGGGGCATTGTCGGAGGGCATCGTCAATCGCAACACTCGTTCTCCATCGATCGTCAACTCGAGTTTTATCCGGTATTCACCCTAAAACCCCTTAAGAATACCCAGCCATCATTTTCGTTTTACCTTCAGTATATCGAGAAGCGAAATGCCGAGAAAACTGGGTGATGGTGGCAATTCTTGAGTGGAGTTGAAGTGAACTTCCCTCTAGAAAGGGTTAGTCAAAAATTGTGGAAATTATTGTAAACCCATAATTCCTCTAGAGTATGCGTTCCTTTCCTTTGCAACACTCCACAAATTTCAGGCGGCACAAAAGTCGAAATTCGAAAGCGGCTAAATGGTTTCGAATCTCTTTTGAAAGTGAGACCAATTGAACCATAATTTGTTCGGAATGAAGAACATTCCGCCAGCTCCTTTATCACAGATTACTTTGTTGCCCACAGAGATCGTGGCTCGAACAATGGCACGGCGATTGATCAGATCAAAATCACGTGGGACAATGACTTGGCCTGAAAAGATTCGCTTTCAATTGGATTAAGTTTAGAGTTGAGACTAAAACGTGTTCCTCTTCAATAGTTTTTCAAAAAATGTACTTAAGAAAAATGATACCGTACTCCAGATTCTCTATACTTTAAACCACAACTATGACCTTTAGCGGTTGACAATGATTTTAGAATTTGTCTTCAAAAGACAGTTGAATTATGATAACTTTTCTGCTATGGTATGTTGGTTGCTTTAATATATTAAAGATGTTTCCTAATTCTTTGTACATCCTTCAATCAAGTAGTCGATTTTTTGCTTTAAAAACGAACCGCCCATAATATGAAAATAGCCGGGCATTCGAATGTTCACTTTATTGTTGTGACAGGACGGCTTATTGTAGATATCGTTCACTCGTATCACTACATCTCGCACTGTCACCGGTAAATTGTCTGAACCCTTCTTTTTCTTGCAAAGCCCAATCATTCTCGCCTTGTTGACTTACCATTTCCAAAAGAGTTCACTGTGAACACATTATCAACACCATCACGACACGTTTCTGCCGATGAAACTTGTGGAACGACGAGAAATGAAGTGGAAAAGATTAGGAAATAGACCGGAGATCTCATGGGGAAAAAATGAATGGGAAAATGATGACATAGCAGTCGATTTGCCCATCAATATGTCCTGCCATCTCCATCTCTCAATATTTTCTCTTTTTTTGAGAAAACAATCCCTTTTCCCCCATCCATTCCAGCGTGCTCCGCTTCGTGGATCACAAAGGGCAGCCATGATAATTGGCGAGAGAAATGACATGTTGTTGTTCGCAATACTATCTGCTCTTAGTCTCTTGCCTAGTCCTCTTGGCCATCCACTGCTTTCAGGAGATGCCCACTGCTCACCATGTGGAAGTGGCTGAACGTCGAGCAGCGCCTATGGGGTGGGGAAAGAGGGAGGCAGTTGTCCAAGCCTGGGGAAGCCCTGCGCCAGACCGCAAACGATTACACGGCCGCACAAAGAACATCTCGGAGTTTCTTTACAAAGGAATTTCTCTTGTTCTGTAAAAATTGCTCAGATGAGACATGAAACCAAAAGTTTGTACCCAGGCGTTTCCGGGGTCGGGAAAGCGATTGGCGGGGTTTGTTTGTTGTATCTCCATGCAAAATCTCTAATTTGTGCTAATCTTGAGCCATTTTGGGTATAAATAATTATCGCGGGTGGTATAAGAACCATAAGAACCATCTCTTTGTAACACATCAAAAGACAATGAAGGCTATGTAAGCAGGTGGATTTAATCGAGAGAAATGCTCGATCTTTTTTCATTCTTTTTCCATTTCAAGGTCATCTCCTTTTTACTCGCATCTCAGTGAATCCCCTTTTTGGGATTAAAATCAGGCAACGGCAAAAGCGAAAACTAAAGATCATCTCAGCTGGGTAATACGCGTAATTCTTGATGGATTGCACTGTGCGTTGTGAAATCGTTCTTTCTCACATTCTCCTCAAATTCCCATACATAAAAATTCCTTTCAGTTTCGTTTATTTGTTGTTTTATTATAAAGACTCGTTTCGCTCTCTCAATGAACATTGACAAAAAGAGATTCTCTCACTTTGTGATCACTTTGTGAGTTACCTTTATTGTTGATTGTAGATGAAAAATCGATTCAGAATCGATCAAATTCAAAACTTTGAATCTTAATCTTAATCTTTGAATTCTTAATCGATTTTTCATCTACAATCAACAATAAAGGTAACTCACAAAGTGAGAGGATCTCTTTTTGTGAATGTTCATTGAGAGAGCGAAACGAGTCTTTAGTATTTTGTGTGTACAAAGAGAGATGCGGGTGAATGTGAGTGAATACCCAAATCCATCCATAATTGCTCGCACATTTTGATCTCAAACCATAGCTCGTTTTTTTTTTGCTCTGTTTTTATCCATTAAACTTGTTCTAAAGTTTCTTTGACTTATATATTAGAAAGCTCATTTTTCTGTCATAATTTCCTGAAATCAAAAGCTCTATTGCACAATTGACTTTACAATACACTTCTTTTCTAAACCTATTTCAATATGAGTTGAAATCTTGTATAGTCTTTCTTAAAGCTCTTGAAACTGAAAAAGAGAATGCAAATTCCCCGTGATCAATTGATCAAAGAAATGAAAAGAGCTCACGTGAGCTCTCCTGTGTGAAAGAAAAACAACCTCTTTCTCATTTCTCTTTTCCCTTTTATGAGCAAATTTCTTGCTCGACGATTGGATTGAATTGTTTTAACAGATTCTTTTCATTCGTGAATTATCGTAAACCTTTACTAAAAGGTTTTTTAGTGGATTTCAAAACTACCCATTTGCTGCGTTTTCATTTTTTTTTTTGCTATAATCTAACCGAATGAGAATTTGATGGACTTTTTGATGATGTAATGACATGACCACGCTTCAATCGAAGCCATCTGGTAGGTAAAAACTTTGTAAAGACAAATGACAATTGAGATTTCATTTCTAGTACGAGATTTTAAAGAATGGCTAAAACAGAAAGCTCACGAAGACAAAGGAAATGATGGTTTGTCAAGGGAAAAAGATTCCTCAATCGCTTCTACTAATTCATCGGTAGAATGCAGAGTTGAGGAAACATTACGAAAAGTTCAGATCGAGAGAGATCACTCGTATCCGGATATCTTTGAGCACACATTAACAATCGGTTTTCTTCTCAAATAGTTTTCTTTTTTTAAAATAACTTTTAGAGCAATTAGCTGATCAATTCCCATTGAGTCGAATAAATGTGGGGAAACCAGAGAGAAGTCTCGGCTTAAATAAGGTTTGAGCATTTTGATCATCATTCTGATGAGTGTTCCTCGTGATTAATCTAAAGTTTAACTTTAACTTTCCCAGGATGAAGCCTACGGGAAGCTTGAGTCGACTGGGAAAAACGTGATTTCACAAAAAGATTCACGATCAACATTGTGTCTCTTTGCAAAGCAATTCTTGCAAACATTCCGCTTTTTACTCCTTGTGACCGCACTTCTATGCTCGATCATTTATATTTTAGGTAAATTTGAAAGAAATCAAGAAAGATCAAGAAAAATCATGATTACAGATACGACAAAAGTCTCTCAGCTCTATTTAGCAGTGATCATCTTTGCGGTTTTAATAGCAATGAGTCTTTTAAGTTATCATCAAGAAAGGAGTGCTGTGAAAGTAAAAATCATTTTTGATAAAAATATTCTAAAGATTCAATTGAAGCAAGTGAGTGGCTTTCAAACAATGCTTTCCACAAGTTGCATTGTTGTGCGTGAAGGTACGAGCATTCGTGTTGCATCTGAGACTCTTGTTGTAGGCGATCTTGTAAAAATACGGTAAGAATCAACTCTAATTTTTTTTTTTGATTGTTTACAATGTTTACAGACCGGGTACTCGAGTTTCAGCTGATATTCGTCTTTTACACGCAACCTCTTTACGTCTCGATACATCATGGATAACAGGAGAGGTGAGAAAATGGGAAAACAACGGTGAACGCGAAAACATTTCAGCTAGAGCCGTTGCCTTTTTTCGAGGACACATCGGAAAGAGAAACGCCAGCACTTGAAGCTCAAAACATTGCTTTAAATGGTTGTCAATGCATTAGTGGCGAGGCAATTGGAGTCGTCATCAAAACGGGAAATGAAACGGTCAGTGGAGATGCCGTCTCGGCCGTCTGGCTCTGTCTCTTAGTCGGAGAAGTCAAAGGTTCAATCCAGCCTGCTTCTTTTTCCTAGATATATGGATTTTCTTCCTTCTTAGGGATTGTGCTTGTTTATGTTTTTCTTGTTTTTAAAAAGATGACGCTTGCACATTCAGATCTTGGGCCGTTTATTCCAAAGATCTTGTTTCGATGCGAAACATTCATCCCGACTCTCTCGTGATCACTCCCGCTTTTGTCGTTTCATCGCCATTCTATCAGTGCTGATGGCCACAATCACATTTTGCATTGGTATCAAAAAGCTTTTTACATCAAAAGGATACATTTTAGGCATAACAATCACCCATCTCAACGGCATTTTGAATGTTTTTATCAATGGGTTCTTGATTGTGATTGTAGCAAATGTTCCACAAGGTTTTTCTTCTTCTTCTTCTTCTCCTTCTCCTTCTTCTTCTTCTTCTCCTTCTTCTCCTTCTTCTTCTCCTTCTTTTTCTCCTTCTTCTTCTCCTTCCTCTTCTCCTTCTTCTCCTTCTTCTTCTTCTTCTTCTTCTTCTTCTTCTTCTTCTTCTCCTTCTTCTTCTTCTTCTTCTTCTTCTCCTTCTTCTTCTTCTTCTTCTCCTTCTCCTTCTTCCTTCTATAGTCAGCATGATGTTCAGGTCTTCCCGTCACTTTGACGGCTCAATTGGTGATTGTGGCGCGTAAACTAGCGAACTTAAATCTTTTCTTGAAGAAACTCGATGTTTCGGAAACCCTTGGAACAACATCGGTTTTACTTTGTGACAAAACCGGTAAACCATCATCAAAAAATGAAAATATTGAAAATAGGTGTAATGACCGATAACAACATTGTAGTCACGCATTTGTGGTACAATGGAAGAACGCATTCAGGCAAGTAGAAAGCAATTTCATTTCAAAGATCTCTTTTAGTTGAAGATTTACTTCCATTGGTAACACCGTTAATTGAAAGACCACAAATTGAGAGTTATGAGGGATCGTTGCGGAGAGCACTTCAAACAATGGCTTTGTGTAATAGGTGAAAAGATTTTTTTCGTCAAAATTTATTTTTAACCTTTAGAGCTCAACTGGAAAATCTGATCACCGTTCATCGAGATCACACGCAAAAAACCTCATTTCTCAATCAAACGATTAGAAGCATCAGGTACAACATCTCAAAGACTTATACATTTTTTATTTGTAGAGAGCTCACAAATGGGGATGCACAAAAGAAAATGTCACGAGTTTCCGATTATGAAATGGGCAGAGTAGGAGCTTTGAAATTGCTTCCTAAGTCAACTTTCAGGATCCATACTATCCAAGTTTCACTGGCCATCCGACTGATAAGGCGATTTTGCGAGTGGTTCAAGATGTTGGTTTCAATTCTATGATCAGAGAAAGAAAAGAAAGCAATCCCAATTCAGCTCACATCAGTCATCGATTTGAGAGCAAAATGGGATATTGTTTTTGAAGTTCCTTTCAACAAAAGTCGTCGTTGGAGTATCGTGATCGCGCGTGAATTTGAAGACGCGAGAGCTGAAGAGGATGAAATTATCTGGTAAATGATGCATCTCGTCTTTTTATAAATGTATCAACTTTTTCTGGACAGCTTTCTATAAATCTATAAGCTCTACATAATAGTTTTTTTAGTTTTTACGCTTTTTTAAAAGGAGCTCCGGAAGATGTGATTGAAAAATGTTCTCATGTTCTTGAATCAGATGAAGAAATGAATATCGATGAATTATTTCTTATAAAATTCAAGGTGTTTAAACAAATTTTGTAAAAGAAACGTAAACTCTTAGGAGGCATATACTCAATTTGCGAGGAATGGTCAAAGTTGTATAGCACTGGCTATGGGCAATTTCGAGGCAGCGGCCGGGACCGAGTTTAGCAACAATCTTCGTATTTTAAAAAAATAATACAAAACGAAAGAATATTTACAGGAAATTTTTTGCAAGACGGCTTCACTTTGGTGGGAATGTGCGGAATGTCGGATCCGCCTCGAGTCGAAACACGGAAACACATTCAAACAATCACCGAGGCTCAGATCAAGATGCACATGGTCACCGGTGATCATCCACGAGCTGCCGCATCTGTTGCTGAGCTTGTTGGCATGGGATTACAAGTAAAATTTAGATCTAGTTTTTACCGTATTTATTCTAATCGAAGCAATTTTGCATTGAATGATTGAAAAATAGAAGCGGATGCGCTTCTATTAGAATACGGTTTATGCTCACCACTACTGAGTTTAGGCCGAAGTTTGTGTTGTATCGGGCGACGTGCTAGCCTCATTGTCTGTGACTGAATGGGACGTTCTTCTTTCACAATCGCATGTTGTATTTGCGCGCACTTCACCCGAGCAGAAAGAGAAGATTGTTGAAGGTACTAAAAATCTAATTTTAAAAAAGACAGAAAGAGTTTGATAGAATGCATAAAACGAGGGGAAACAGTGTGTGCAACTGGGGATGGATTGCTGGATGCACCGGCTCTGAGAGCAGCTCACATTGGGATTGCCATCGAGGCGGCCGGTTTGTGTGACAAATTAAAGAAATTATCGCTAAAACATTTGTGTAACATGGCTTCCTTTCATTATTTCATTCCTTTCTTTAATTTTCCCCTTTAATAACTACCATCTTCAGGTGGAATTTTTGCGAAAGAAGCAGCCGATGTGCTAGTGACTGGCGGCAATTTGAGACATATCGTTTCGGGGATCGAGTATGGCCGACTTCTCTTTGAAAACCTTAAAGTCATTTTTGCCGTTTCGCTTTCAACTCTAGAACTTTTCAGAAAACAATTGCCTACACTTTGGCTCATTTACTGCCCGAGCTATTCCCGGTGGTGCTCACTTTTGTCATGGGTTGGCCGCTCGCTCTTAGCACCATGCAGGTAGGGTACAGAAATCTATCATCTATCGATCATTCAATTAGGTATTAACGATTGATCTCCTAACCGAGTTGCCACCATCGATCTCATTGATTTACGAGTCACCCGAACGTGATCTCATGAAAAAAGCGCCACGAAAAGTGAATAAATCCTTGGAAAAGCTCAAAATCTCAACTTTCTTTCAGTCTTCGCAACATTTAGTCTCTCGTTCACTTCTTGTTTATTCATATCTTTTTGCTGGTTCAATTCTGACGATTGGATGTTTACTGGCATATCTTTCCGTTTTTTGGTAAAAATGAAGATTTAATTTAATACGATTTAATACGGAAAGCTCAACATAATTCTAGGCACTATGGAATTTCAATAAGCGAACTCAACTATTCAATGGAAAAGCATTGGACTCACGGATCAGAGAAACTATTGACCCAAGGTTTTTTTTTAAAATTTTATAAACAAGCTTTAAATAACTTTAGCTGGTTTTCTGTATGACGGGAAAAATCAAGAGAAAATCCACCGTCAAGCCTCAGCTGCATATCAGATAGCTCTCGTGGGTGCACAGGTGAGTCGTGAATCAGATTTTTGAAGGTTTTCAATGAGATGATCTTCTGTTTCATCTAGCTAAGTTTTTAAAAAAAGTGATATTGCAGATGATTCACTTGTTGAATTGTCGGACGAGGCGACTTTCCCTTTTCACTCACAATCTGCCGAAAATCCAAACGGCTGTCGCGATTCTCCTTTCACTTCTTCTCCTTTCATCATGTATTTATGTACCAGGTATGTGTATTTGTGTAACAGTTGCGAATTTTTAATAACTAATTTCGAATTCACTAACTCATTGTCGCAATCTCGTTAACAGGAATGAATCAAATCGTTGGTGTCGAGGCTCCGCCGACATTTGTTTGGATGTTTCCCCTAGTCACTGGAGTTGCACTCACCATTTTCAATGAGGTGATAGCACATTGTTAATATTTCTTATATATAATATAATATAATATATTAATAATAGTGTTAATATTTCTCATAAAAATTCGCATAAAATTTCAGATTCGCAAGTACTTTATTCGCCGTGCTCCAAAACACCGATTCGTACGGTTAATCAAATGGTGACATGAGAAAACAAGTGAATAAAGCTTTAATTAATGAATACAAGGATGAGAATACAAATCATTGTTGAAAGTAAGTTATGGTTTGCCTGTTTCTTGTGAGCGGCACTAGTTTTCAAAGTCGTTGTCGTTTTTGGGTGAATTGTCGTTGGAACTGTTTTTCCCGTTGCTTTGGTGACTATTGTAGGGATTGTGGTCTTTTCCGATATTTCGCCATCTGTTTCCCGATCATCAGTCGTTGAGGCACTCTCTGTTGCTAAAATTTCAAAGTTTTATGTGCATTTTTAAAAGGCAATCATTTCCTAAACTAAAATAAGATTAAAAAAAGGTTGAAAAAAAAGATTCAAAAAATGAAATAGAGACTTTTCATAGTGGTTGTGGAGGGGATTCGGCTTGAATGAGTGCTTGAATGAATAGGCTCATCCCCATCAACGATCCAGTAGAAAATCGAAAACCCTTGTGAAATCTCCTCGAAACCCGGTTGCCATTTGGCCTAAAGATCTCTTTTAACACATTCAAAATCATTTTTGGCTTGGCTTGGCTTTGGCTTGGCTTGGCTACGACAGCTATCTATTTTTGGCTTGGCTTTGCTACGACAGCTATCTATGTTGATGCTGCTGTAGACCTGAAAATTTGTAACGTTGCAACGGATTCGAATTCCTCATCCTCGAAAACCCCTGATTACAAATTTTCAGCTCAATCGACCTCAAAAAAAACTGCTAAATTCACGTACGGCCCACCGGTGGGCCGTACGTGAATGTTAAGAAACTGAAAAATATCATTTATTACAGAAAGGCTTTGTCCATGTGCACGGCAGGTGAAACTCTCAGTTGTGGTGATGCTGAAGTTACGAGTAACGTTCAAAAATTAAAATCACAATACTTGGCTTCCCAGATAGGATTTCCACTTGCTGTCGCCAACTCAATCCACAAGAAACCGTCACTCGATGGATTGGTTTGAACAACCAAGTAGATTGTACGATTCGGTTCGCCTTCTGAAATGATTATAATGCTCGAAAACGAGTTTGAGAATGACCGTCTCCTAAAAGATAAAAATCGAGCGATTCATTGTAAAGAGCTGTATCGGCAAATGGATCTTTCCATTCATAACTTGTGAGTACACCAACCGACGGTTTGAAAGTCCCCACTTCAAGGGTTTCTAAAAAACGATCTTTACTGATCTGGGGTTTCTGTATTACCGGGTTTAATGGCATGATATTTAAGAGAAGCCGTGCAATTTTCGGGAACCCATACAGTGATGACTTCATTTTTCAGGAAGCTATTTTGAAATGGTGCCGATCCACTGGAACATCTTTCATTTTTTGTAGCTTTGTAGCTTTTCTTACTCAAATTTGAAAAGTAAAGTGTCAGAATTGGCGATCGACTCGGCGCTCGGCAATCCACCCGCATAAACATGCATAGCACATCCTTCACTCACCTAAACCTATTTTAGCTGTTTTTTATGCCAGAAGCTAGAGCACAATCATGAATGACATGTGCTTTATCTAAAAATCAATAAACCAGTACTTTCTTCTTTTTCGGTTTTCTTATACATGCAAAAAAAACAGCTTTAAAGCAAATGACATTTAACAAGAGTGATCCGTTAGGGATTCGAAGTGAATCGAAATGAAATAGTCGACTCGCCTGGGGAATAAGAATTTTGAGCACAGGATGATCGTGTCTCTCGAGCGCCAAAGTGGTCGCCCTTGTTTTTGCCCCGTCCAATTCTACCAGACCTGTTCCATTTTCATTCACTGGCGTCAACACAGTCGGCAGCCAGCCAACTAAAAAACATACTTGTGAAAGCAAAAAAGTTTTGGTTCTGCTATATAAGAAGATACCTTCATTTCCCCTCCACAAGCGAAACGAAACCACAAAATTTGGATCCGATTTAGAGTCACTCAAGAAGGAAACCGGCGTTGAGAGATTAAAAACTGGTGCAATGGTTTCATGAGCATATCTGGAGAAATCGTTGGCTGTTAAAATTGAAATTTGTTAATACGTGTAAAGGCCATCTTGCGAAAAAAGAGTAAATGTTGTGTTCTTGATGTTTGTGATTGCAAATTCGACGAGAACTCGACATTCATTATCTGGGCATTCAGCCTCGACCGCTAATAACTGAAACACAGACAACGTGAGCGATCTAAATTAACACAAGATCACCGGGTAATCAGTGAGTTTTCCACCATAAATCACTAATGATTCTCGTTGTGTTGTCAAAGTAACTATTCGAGTCTTAGCTCCAGCATTTCCTCAAATATGAATTCTTATAGAATTTTTAAATCACCGACCTATAAACACTATGATCAGTGTGAAATAGTACAAGAGCATAGATGAAAAATAAGGCAACAACCCGTAATGAGTTTTGGATTGGACATTTTTGCTCAAAAGAAAAGGAAAAATGCGATGAATCGGCTTAACGTTTCAAGGATTAGTACTCACAAACTCTTAGGAAAAATAGATAACGGAAACAATCATGAATAAGCTCATTCTAACAAAGTATTCCTTTTTTGTTGAGAACTTATGGCTCAAAACAGAATTGAAGCAAAGTTCGATGCGCGGCGAATATCGTAAGCAATAGTCCCAACGCTTTGGTGCTATGGTTTTACCGTTTTAGTTCTTTATGTTACATGTCTTATTGTTAAAACTGCTTTGAAAAATCACTTATATCACGTTTTTATTTAAAAAGACATTTAGAACCAACATGAGTTTGCCCCACATTGGAATTTTATTTCGCAACACGAACAAACAAAATCATTCTATAGAATTGTGAAAACAAAATTTGATCTAGGTAAAGTAACAATTTTAAAGACAATGGAGAGCAACACGGCGCGAAATGCAAATTTAGGGATATCGTGAACGACATTGTTGCTTGAATGCCGCCTCGTTGTAACCTTGGCACAAAACCATGTCTGATTGAGGTTGCGTGCTAAAACTGAACATTAAAACCAATAATAATAGGTTGATGCATAAGCCTTTTTGTTCCTTTTCGTCTGCCGTTTCAAGCCAACAAATGCACCAATTAAACTACGGTTGATTTCATTAGAAAAACCAATTATTTTTCTGCAAAATAACATTAAAACGGGTTTAAAAATATTTTATGCCTGGATTTTCTTGAGAGTATGAAGTCGGGTAGTCAAAAAGGGCTCGATCTCGATCATGCGGTTTAGACACCTTAGCTAAAGAAAAACTATCTTCGTGTCAATAGATAAAAGATAGAGAAAAAAGTTTGATATTTCGCCAAAATTTCAGAGAAATTCATTCAGCCAATTTTTCCGTAGAGTTTTTATAGATTTTTACGAAAAAGGCGTTTTTCACTCTCGAATTTGCTTGAAAGTGAACCGAAATTGATTTAAAAAGATGGAAATTGAACAAAAAAACACTTTTTTTATAGAGCAAACTATAGATTAATTGGTGAATTTGTTACTTTTAACAGAAGTACGAAAAAAACGAAAAGATTTATGCATCAACCTAATATAATGGAAAATTCATACCATTCAGAATATTGCTTCCACTCAAAATCACTGGGATTCGCGTATTGTTGCCCGACCGGCGCTGGTGTAGGTGCTTGGCTATGTGAAGCTTCATGGCTTACTCCTACGGTACCACCCGGTAGCATGTGTCCAACTGGATGTCCGACTGGTGTTCCGATTGCCACCCCACCTGTAGCTGCCATCTGTGCGTATATGCCTGGTCCCTAAACAAAAATTTTGCGTAACTACCTTCGAGAGTTAATTTGTCAATGAAAAAACATTGCCCGGTTTATAAGTTTATTTTATAATTACAAAAACTAAAAACGAACCATTGGAGGCATTGAATATTGTGCCTGCTGAGACATGTACGCCATCGAAACAACTGGCTGTGGACTTGCCATAGTCATCTTAAAGTTTACAAATTTTACTGCCAAGAACACCACCAATACCTGTTGTACAAATCCTGGTTGTGGAGGTGGTACCGATGTTGTTGGGTAAGTTCCAGGGAAGTATTGAGCTGTCTGCATGTTGATTGGCTGCGAGGTTTGATAAACTTGCGATGAATAGTGAGGTGTTCCAAAAACCATAGCTAAAACGCTCAAAAGTTAATATTGTAAAGAACTTTTTATTCTGGCAAATGCTTAGAAAAAAACAAAATATTATACCTGGTTGCGGTGGCTGTTGTTGTGAAGGCCTTCGGTTTGGTAAAGTTGGAGCTGGGTAGATTGGTGGGCCTCGCTGAGTTGCTGCTGTTTGAGGAACGGCATATTGTGTGTAAGGTTGTCCCATTGGCTAAAGTGATCCAAGCTTGTAAAAACTGCCAGAAAATTTACTTGGTACATCTGTGGAGCTGTGGTATATTGAAGAACCATTGGATTTTGCGGAATCATCACGGGGGGCGGCTATATACAAATAAATTTATTTAGAACTTGAAAATATACCCCAACAACATTCACAGGCATTCCTGAAGATACATTTGGAAGCTGATGAGTGGTGGTAATAGGTGATGGAGTGATGGGTGGTGGCGGTCCCATTGGAATCGTGGCATCCGTAGTGCTTTTTTGGCCGGGCACGAATGCGGGAGCATTGAGGTTGAATTGAAACTGCTTTCTAAACAAGTCCGGTTAGAGCATACTTAAAGAGTACAAACAATTTTAACGTATTTCAAGCGCAAACTTACACAGATGCAGCCGTATCTTGTGGTTTACCAGCATTCACATCTTCATGAGCAGGTGAAGCATTCGCTTCATTTTCAGCAATCTGAGTTAAGTTGAAAATTATATTTTTTTGAAAGCTTACCGCCGATTCAAAATCACGACTTTCTTCGACCTCTTTCTTGACTGGTTCACTGTTATCGGAGGACCGCTGACTTGATTGTCCATCTGGGGCACCTTCCCTTTGCAAAGAAGCAGTTGGAGATGAGGTAGAAACGCGTTGATTGCCATTGTGAGCATTCACCAGGCCCTGTGGAGGACCATTATTCCAAGCATTAACAGAGCCGCGAGGTGATGGGCTTGCGACCGATGAACCTTCAACTGCAGCATCGGCTTGTTGCTAAATTCCTTATTAGATATCGGAAAACAATTCTGATAACCACAACTATGCATTATGGGGTCTATTTTTAAAAAGAAATTTATACCGATGTGGAGGAAATAGGCTCATCTTTTGGTGGATTTGTTCCCAGATTGAACTCTTGCTTCCAATTACGCAAATTTTGCAAGTCTTGGCTTCGACGTCCTAGGAAAAAAAAAGCACTATTTTCACTATTTTCACAAACCAAGCAAACCTTGTGAATCACGAGGTTCGGATGAATGAGCATTCTGTCTATCCTGATCTGAAAATAAACCAAAGAATTACTCAAAAGGAAAAATGCACCAATACGAAAAATATAAATATATATTTTAGGACGAGTAGAAAAGAATATTTGCATGAAACTAACATCTTCTAGAGTTGAATCCATCACGATCTCGATTCAAGGTTCCGCGAGACGAATCTTTCCAATCAGTTCGACTTGGGGAGCTTTGATTAGGGGTATATCGATTGTTTTGCATTCCACGCGATCCAACACCTGGGCGAAGCGCTTCTGCTCGCCTATTGATCGGAAGCGCATTTCCTCTACCACGGGGTGTTCCCCTGAAAAAAAAAAACGGTTTCCCTTGAAAACTTTGGTTTCCGGAAAATAAAAATAATTTACTGGGAGCGATTAAAAACCTCTTTCTTTGGTGCTCAAAATCTTCATCAAGGGTCAGCTTGTTCAAATCCCGTTCTTCATCATCATTCTCCAATCTCGCAAATTTCTAAAAAACATTGAAAAAATCTAATCGTTAGAAATGTTGGTAACCTTGCTTTCTTTGTTCTTTTCAATTTCATGTGCGATTCTATTGACTTCGTCTCTTCTATTGGGATCATCGATGACCTCGGCACTAAAATAGACGTTATAAAAAGAATTAATGAAGATAAAACTTTGTATATTGAGTCAGATTTTCTTCGTATGTTGTCCGGACGCCTAGTTTGTCATTAGCTTTGTACATATCGTCGATACTCCAATATCCTTGTGACATATCTTCTTTATTCTAAAGTTCAATTAAATTTGCATGTTAATAACAACGAACAGCCATATTCTCAATATCGAAGTCTGTCGTTTCATCACCTTCCCATAATTGCAATTCACTCTCTTTAACACCATTCTTGTCGTGGTAAAAGGAATCCGTTGTGAATCCTAAAAAGACAAATCCTAAAACTTTTTTGAGCAATGACTACCTTTTGCATCAACAGCTTCAATGTGGCGCACAGAAAAACAAATAACATCGTCGAAATGAAATTGCATTTTTTTAGTAATTTCCGATCGCAGCGGTAATAAATTATCTTGATTGGAATCCGTGATCTCATACGCATCAAACACTCCAACGTCACTCAACTAAATTCTTACATAGTGAACAATACATTAACTTTAGCTTACATCAGGAGCCGCCGAAGCGAACGTTCCACGAAAACGTTTCCCATCTTTTGTTTCAACGAGGACTTCTTTGCCCTATAAGCAGATGTTGTGGTACTTTGGTGGTTGGGAGGGGCCACTTTTATCCTGGCTTAGTTGAATCTAATGTTTTGAGTGGTTGTATTGATACCTTTTATCTACCTATTCTAGGGTAATCAAATATGGTTATACTTTTAGAGCGTTTCCAACATGTTTTAAGTTTCATATTGCCGTTTCAGTTTGATATTTGATTTTAAAGTGTAAGCAGCTTTGAGTTAGCGTTTGGTGGTTAAAGTACATAAGATTATGCTAGAATTGCCAAAAACTTACTAAAACAGTCACCGATCTATTAAGTATATTTGATTCCTCTAGAATAGATAAAAGTTATCAATACAACCACTCAAAACATTAGATCCAACTAAGCCAGGCTAAAAGGGACCCCTCCCAACCACCAAAGTACCGATATTGTAATGATAAAGACAAAAAAAATCCATTAAATATTACTCAATGCAACTAGGTAGGCATATGAATTACAAATTGAGCAAATTAGGAAATCCAAACCCACCATCATTGCTGTCATGACGTGCAAAAGTTCTGGATTTAGCAGTAGCGTTGGTGATGCTTGGCTTAACGTCATCTAAAACAATAATATCTTTAAATAGAAGAAAATATTGTTACCTCCTTTCGCGATTCTTCATCTGAAGCAACTTTTGGAGAATTCATTTGAGCTTCAACGCGTCAAAAATGCGAAATTCAAAAGGAACAAAGGGCGGTCGATTGAATTTACCTAAAACAAGCAAATTATTGTAAATTTTCATAAATGTTACATTCGAAAACCTTAAATGCAAGAAAATCAAGAAAGAATACGTGCTGTCAAAATTTTAACTTTGCTGACACAATCTATTATGGTCTAACGTAATTTGTAATACGGGAGACTACAAAACAAGCCATTATTTGTATTGCAAAATAAAAATAACATGGATAAGGAGAGATATTTACCGGAGAGAACGTTGGAGACTTCATACGGGTTTATAAAAGTACAGACGCGAAAATGTTTATTGATGCGCAAAAAAACTATGGTGAGAATCGGGTGCTATCCACGAAATAGCAACGGGGGATGGACAGCGTGTTCCAGTTGATTTTCAAACTCGCATTTTTATTTTTTTCATGTTTTGCACAGTCACGGGCAAGTCACGCACAGATTTGCAAAACGCGCTTTTAGATTTGCCTGTCTTTCTTCGCACGTGTAATTTGCGTCGAATAACAAAATTTCAAAAATAAATTTGGCGCAGATATTACGTGGTGCAAAAATTTGGCCCATTTGCTATTATCCTCATTCGAAAAGTCGTAAAAATAGTATATAACCTCTGCAAAATAGTATATAAGCTTTTAAAGTGGCTGTAAAATATTTTCTAGACTTTAAAAATTTAATGAAGTGATTGATTGAAACTGTAAAAGTCAGACACGTCACCAAAAATATGTCATCACTTATTTTCCCAACATCGATACTTGAAAAGTTCTTGGCTAATTTCTTTACTTTTTGATATTTTACAGCTCTCCCTTGTTTTTGGTAAACTTCAATTTTAGTATTGTAGTAATGTCAAGCTTAATTCCTCAACTACGGGATCGTCAGGTCCAGGGAGCTGTCAAGGGGCTAATTGTTTATTCACTTACGATTATTGCCGTTCCTTTAGCCTCCATGTTTTTACTCAAAGCTTTTTTCTTTCAAGGTATGAATTCTAATACAAATCTTAAATAGGTTTTTAGCAATTCTTGGGTTTGATCACGACAGCGCTGTGCTCTACTCTGCCATTTGTGCTGTGGTTCTAGTGCACGTTGTCTTGGTTTTTTGGGTAAGCTTTTAGTTTTTATGAGTTGCTAGCTGGTTTGAATTATTTAGCTTTGTGTTATCTTTGTTTTTTAGATCTTTTCGGCTACTAGTGAGCAAAAGCCAAAGGAAGAAAAGGAAGATTAATTAAAAATGCAACAATCAATCACTGGTGAGCTCCATTTTTTTGTAAAAAAAAACGTCGAAGTTTAGAACCTCCTGTATATCTTGGTTTTGCTCAATCTCTTGCTAGTTCTGAACTTTTTCGCCTTCGATCACATTATTTGCCATTGGGGAAAATTGGTGGCCTACCATCATGGCTCAACCCTGTTACATTGCCCAAAAACGAGGAACTTGAATGTGGTGTAAGTTTTTTAACTTCCTTACAAAGTTTAGTAATTTTAGGTATGTAAAAAGCCTCTATGTTTTTTGATGCAAGTTTACGCTACACGCGATGATGATCCTCCACATTCTTTTCATCGATACCTTTATGTTTTCATTTGCAGAAACCCTGCATGCTCCCAGGTATTAAGCTTATGCATCTTTTGTAAAAAAAAATAACAGGTTCATCCCTAATTTTAGTTACAAGATGCCTCAAATATTGCCGTTTTTCGCTGTGCCTTACCGCGTGAAAATCCTTATTACCTTACTGATCGTAGTCTTGACCCTGATCTTGATGGTGACATTGCTAATCCAATTCAAACAGGTTTGGTATGATTTTAAAAAAGTAATAATATTTTGTTTAGAAACCCCAAAACTTTGTGAAATTTGTGGCTGCTATGCTAGTAAAAAGTGTGGCAAGTGCATGAAATCGTGGTATTGTTCTCGCGATCACCAAACAATTGACTGGACTTCTGGTCATAAAACCAAGTTTTGTTTTTAAACGTACACCTTATAAATGAGTTTAGTTGTGAGAATGGTACTTCGCTCAGTAACGATACTACTCAAAACAAGTGGGTTAATATTGACACTGTTAGTTAATTTAACTATTAACAGGTTTTTGTTTCCTGAAATGGGTATAGAAATGGACCAAGAATTTGCTCCTCAATCGTTGTTTGAGGTGACTTTTTATTGTTTACACATTTAAAATAGTTTTTAGGAATCACTTGATTCCGATGCTTCTGATGGAGATTCAGACGATGGTGAAATTGAACAAAATCGTCGTATTTCTGAATTTAAAAAGTTTGTAGAACAACATCAAGAGGTACATTTTTTTATTTGAATCGTTGACGATAAATTTAGCAAGGTGATATTGCCAATAACTGCGAAGAATACGAGGAAAAGGCTGACAAGGATTTGGACTTCATTCGGTTTGGGCGCTTGGGCTGCAATTGTAACTGTTTCTTTTAGGTTTAATCGTTTTGTTGAATTGAATCCTGGCCAAGTTCTTCGTTATTTGAGAGGAGGAAAACCATTATTGACCACAATTCGAGCACCTGCACTTCCTGACATAATTGACTGTGGTCATTGTGGGGTAAAACACGGCACTTATTGTTAGATGTAATTTAATTTGACTTTAGGGTCCTCGTACATTTGAAATGCAACTGATGCCGCATCTGTTATCCTTGCTCGGTGTTGATTCCGTTGGACAATCGATTGATTGGGCCTCTGTTTATATCTACACTTGTGCAAATTCTTGCATGGTAAGAGTAATTCTTTAATGTAAAGCCTTTGATTTTGGGACTATATTCGTTAGTCAACGTTTGAGCTAGGAATTAAGAACATGGCTTAACTAAATAGCAAAAGTTAGCTAAAAGGCAAAAATCGACCATGGGCAAACTCAATTTTTATTGCTGTTTTAGGTACCTCACTCCGGCTACGCTAAAGAATTTGTCGTCAAGCAAGATTTCATTGATTAATGGATGTTTTTATTTTTTGTTTTTAGCGTTGTAAAACTGTCCCTTTTAAGTCAAATCTGCGCTGAACGGTGTAGCCCAAAGAATTTGGTTTAAACACGAATATTGAACGTTTTAGATAAAGTACAGATAAATACGTTTTAGAAAAATAAAAAGTGCAAATACTCGATTAACTTTTTATAGCCATCGTCCGACAAATTTTAGAGAAGTCTTAAAGAAACTATTTTACACTGGCAATTTGTTTAAGTGATAATTTTTTTGATTTTTTGGGCTGACAACGTTGAGCTTGTGATATGGGCCCCCATGTTTCCCCCAGTGTTATCGAAGGCGAAATTGTTATTTTTATGTTGTTAGCTGTTGCATTGTTGTTTTATATATTTTTTTCAATAAATAATTAAAACTACTGATCATATTTTATCATATGTCTGCAGCATTCTGATATCAATTGTTGTTAATCGTCGCTAAGCTCTAATTTCCTATATATAATTTTTATTAGATGTCGTTGTTGACGTTGATCGCTCGTGTGCGTGATGGCCTTATTCTCGCAACATCAATCGAAGGTGCAGACGGAGGTGACGCCAATATGGTCAAATACTCAAACCAGGTAATTTTCACGTACTATATTTACAAAAATTACTTTGTCTTTTAGCCTTTTCAGCAATTTTACATTCTCCTTTTCAGGCAAAGATGCTTTTCAAGAAATTAAACCCAGCTCAAACGGCACACACAATTGAAAGTGGCCCGTACCAGTTTCACTATGTGATAAAGGTAAAATGATCCCTAATTAAGAGTTATAACTCTTTTTTTAGGGTGCAATCTGCGCTTTGGCCTTATGCGATCGACAGTTTCCACGAAAGCTTGCATTCGCGTTTCTCGATGACGTCGCAAATGAATTTCTCAGCCAGTATGCAACCAAGGTTTTTTTTTACTAATTTACATAGCATTCATTATAATTTTAGGTCGACTCAGTGGCTCGACCTTACCACTTCTTAGAGTTTGATTCATACATTCAACAAGCAAAAAGAAAGTATGCGGATCGATCACGTTTTGCCATGCAGGAAGTTTCTTCAGAGTTACAAGTAAGTAATGGTAGATAGAATTAGGATAATTCCGTTTGTAATTATCTCTGTCTACGCCATCTCTATAATTTTCAGGACGTTACTCGGATTATGATTAGCAATATTGAAGATGTAATTCATCGAGGGGAAGTAAGTGTTTTTATTTTCTTTTGTATCGTTTCTTTCAACCTGCAGGCGTTAAATATCTTGGAAGCTCGTGCAAGCGACTTGTCGGGTCTATCACGCAAATATCGAGAGGATGCAAAGGTTTGGTTACCAGATACAATTTTATAGTACAATTTGTATGTATAACAAAATATAGTTGTCTCATTGGTGCGATTTAGGCTTTAAACCGTCGTTCGATGTGGTACAAAGTCGGCGCCGGACTTTCGGTGTTGTTTTTCCTCGTTATCATCTGGCGTTTCTTCTTTATTTGAAAGCAACAAAACATAGGCTTTACAAATTACCAACTCTGTTACTATTTTCGCTATTTATGACATCATATTTGAATTCGTTATCGATGGGGTGTGTACATTTTGGCTGCATTGTTTTTTGTTTCTAAATACCAATTTCCTTCGGCTATCTTTTTGATCTATTAACATTTTCACGGTCATTGAATGCCAAGACAGATGCCACTTGTGTTTCGATATCAGAGTTGCAATTACTGTTTGTGTGTTTGCCGTGTTTTACTTATTAAAACTGTGATAAGTTTCTCATTAATGATATAAACGCATGATAAAAGGTTTTCGCTGAATTTAAAATCACGATAAAATAGTATCAGTAACTCAAGTCAAAATTTTGACTCGACCTCAATGTTTCGAAAGCAAATTGAAGTACAGAATACGGAGATTACTTGGGAACATGATTGGGTAACTGTTGTGCAAATGAAAGCAAGAAGACGGGTAAGTGTTTGATACGGGGGTGGGGTCTGGATTGATGGGAATTCTCTGCGACCTCCCCGCTCGCCAAAGACTTTTTTGTTTGCAAACCCGGAGTGAATCATCTTCTGCCCTTTTCATCTCGATTCAGTACTCAAAAATCACCGTGGAAATACGCTTACCGACATAGCTGCAACGTAGCAATCTTTATTTTTGGCCAAAGATATTTGATAGCATCACTAAATACTAAATACAGATGTTCAGACGCTCGTTCTTCACAATAAAATCTGATTTCATTTGGAAATTCGCTTGAGGCTTTATCAGTCCTCATCAAACGCATGTAAAAGAACTAGCGCCCACGCAAAGAGATTTTTGATTCAACTAGTTTTACCGATAAGCCAATCCTTTTGTCTCTTCTCATAACCATCTTTTTGATTTTCTTTTCTTTGTCAGAGTTATGACGTTTCAAGCGTTCAATACGATTTTGTGGCTCCTTATGAGCGTATGATGATTAATCTCTTGGAAAATGATTTTCTTTGAATTCGAAATCGATGCATGTATCTAGAATTTATTTAGAGACTAGATTTAATGGAAAACTGGAGTTTGATTGCTTCGAGTAGCTCCACTGATCCTTTTGCTAAATGCGAAGAGGACTTGCGAAATTCTGATTTAAAGGTTAGCCTGCTTAACTCTTACTTTTCTTTTTCACTATTAAAAGCTTTTAGTACTACGAATGCGTGCCTAAAATAGAGAACGGAGACGAGCCATGTTATTTGCTAAAGGTACTCCAAAAATTTAAACCCTATATCTTTGCTATTGAAATCTTAATCTCTAGGAAATGCACAGAGCAAAAGATTTTCGAACGTATTTCCTTGCCATTCTGCCGGTGATCTTTTCGGTGATTGCTCTTGTTCTAAATATTATCTATCTCGTCCTTCATGTTATTGTCTTTCGAGCGGAAAAAGCCTCGTGAGTTTTGAAAGTCTTTGTGAAGTCCCTGAGTCCAACAATCATTATTTTGTCGAGCATTATTAGACAACTTTTTATTGGCAAAACCATAAATTAATTAGTGCATTTGTTGGGCTTAAACAAAAGTACGAAAATGAACAAAAAGACTTTCTGGACCATTCTGGACCATTCTGGACTTTCTGGACACTTTCTGGTAACATATAGACCTTTTTTTAAATTCACATAAATAAAGAAAACTATTTAGTTATCGTAAGCGAGCGCTTTTTCTTTTGAGTCGATCGGTCTCCTCGGTGATGGCTCTTTTGCTACTTTATGTGGTGATCATTGTTTGGAAAGCTCACGGTTTTCACTACGGTTCAGTGACGATTTTCATTCTAATCGGCGCAATGGAATTCCTATCAATTACCGGTAGATCCAAAATGGAAAATATGGAAAATATGTACCTTTTTTTTCCAGGCACTTATGTTGCTTTATGCCTGCTACTCTACACAGCCATCACTCGTCCAATCATCTACAAAACTCGACTTCGAATGAGACATTGTGTCATTGGTGTTTCTCTCATTTGGCTTTTTGCTGTTGTAGCATCGGTTTGTTTGGCTTTTAAAATTAAAATTACTTTAGCTCATTATTACGTTTAAATGAAGTAAATGAGCCTTTTAGATCTGCTTCGGTCTTTTTGGAGGCACTCTCTTTTATCCGGACTCTGCCCCAATCACGTGCTCATTCGACCATTGTCAACGTCCATTGGCCATCGGTTTATTCAATCGAAAAATCAACTCAAAAGTCTTAAATTTAGTTGTGACGATCCTTTTAATCATTACCTATTCAACTGTTCTTTGTCTCTATTTCTTTCTCATTTTTCGCTTACGCCGTGGAAGTATGGCTTTTAAAGCGGTTGAGGTGATTAGAAAATTTTGAATGAATTAGAAAAGTTGGTAGAAGACTTAGAAAAGTCTCTATTTGTTTGTATAAGTGTCAAACTTTAGAGAACAGCCTCAACAAGCTCACAGAGATTGAGTTTGAAAGCGATGAATCGCCTCAGCATGAATGTTATTACGTTTGCTATTGGAAATGTTCCGATTGTGGTATGCTTTCTGCTTTCTTGGTTTTAATTTGAAGGTCAATGAAAAAGAATCGAAAAATAAAGTGTGTTCCAGGTGGTTCTAGTGGTCGCAATCTCTAATCTCCGAAAGCTTTCCTCACTCGGCGAAGGAGATAAGGTGACAAAGAACTCTCAAATGTCCCAAACAATCTATTCAGACCCCTTGTAAAACATTTCTGAATGCCAAACTCTTTGTGCAAGTCGAGGTTTTGGCGAGTTGTGCAGCGGCAATATGGTGCAAGATATTAAATTAAAGATTAAAGACAAAAGATTTTAGGTTGTTAGCTATGATAATCGATCCAATCATTAACGTCCTTTCTGATCCAAAACTTCGAAATTTGTTATTGACATTTGTCAAGAAATTGAGAAGAAAATTGATGGAAAGTGAAGAAGAAACAAATGAAGAAGGAACAAATAAAGAAGAAGAAAAATGAGGGCAAAGTTCAGCAGTTCAGGCAGTTCAGCAATGATATTTTATAGCATTTTTGATTTGTATATCGGGTCTAAATTGCGGGGATCTTTAATTGCATTGTGATAATCAATCATCATTTATTTGTCAAGTGATAAAGTTTTCGAATGGCTTTTTCATCGACTTTGGAAAGTGTGGCACCATGGCGCAAATTTCTGAAATGACAGAAAAGCGTTTGACTTTGATTTTTAACACGTTGACGACATTGTCACCTGATGCTGTCTGACATTGTCTGACATTGTCACCATTCGTTCGCCTGGGACATTGTCACCTGATGTCAGGTGACAGTACCAAAATTGATTTTTTTGGGCATATTTATGTTTGCTGATGATGGATATTAAATAAGCAAGTAGGGTAGTATCTATATTCGACTTGGTCCCGGAAAATGTCGATTTAACCGTTGATTATTAAACTTTTAATCTTTTAGGTGACAATTTCAGGTGACATTTTTTGTCGAAAAAAAACAACGTTGTCCCATGCGATTGTTTGTGCAAAAACGCCATTGTCGTCAACGTGTTAAAAAAAATAAACCTTTAATAATATTTACAGTAACCATCAAGAAAAAGTTCATTTTGCGAATTAGCTTTTTAACTAACCGATAATAAACGTTCATGATTGAGTCTGGATCTTTGAGATGATGAAGTCCTAAAACATGTCCAATCTCGTGTAGCAACACCTAATCACGAGTAAATTTTGCGTGTAATTCTCTTTTTCCGAACCGTCTCCAAATTGACGCGATTCCCGTTTTCCCGTAGCGTCCACAACTGAAAGGGTACTGATTGGTTATCCCCACAAACATTTCCATGCATACCATTCAAACAAGTCAAATTAGCATAGTGATGCGTAGTTCAAGGGTTAAAGATGTTCAAGGAATACTTCTAGACTAACTTACAGTAGATTGAGATATTTTATAAACCCTAAAATGTATGTAAATGTTTGTGGGGATATAACCGATAAGTACCACTGATAAGTACCACTGATAGTACCACTGATAGTACTACGATAAGTACGATAAGTACCATTTGCATACCATTCAAACAAGTCAAATTAGCATAATGATGCGTAGTTCAAGGGTTAAGATTTATTTCATCTTACAGATTTTCTCATCTTACAGATTTACTAATTGTAAGTAACACAAGTTTGAATTTTTTCGGCTTCATAATCTTGAAAAGTGTCTGCTGATTAGACTACCGTAACGCTGTCTATTTTTGTCTCGTCTATCGATCTATTTTTGATCTAATTCGATTAGTGCCATCACGGATACCGAAAGATCCAAGAAGTATATAGATTTGATAAAAACTAGAGGCAAGGTTACAGTATTCTTTGAAAGCTCGAAACTTGAACCTCATCGGCGTCTAGATGAACGATTCCGAGCGGTGGATAAGCCGAGTGCGCGACAGTCCCGCCCGGTCCGTCAAACGCTTCACCATCTCCTTAAATATCTTTATTACTAGTAGCAACCACTTTTGCGGTCGGGAACGCGCTAGCCTACAGCTCACACGATTCGGGTTCGACCCCCGGTCCGAAAAAATTAGACGGACGAACGGACGAACAGACCTGCTCTTTTATATATAGTAGATCCTATATTTTCCTAAAGCTTTTATTTCCTTATCCGTTTTCTTTCCAATAAATCAATTCTACTAACCGTGATCTCCTCTCGCAAAGACAATGTCGATGTCCACCCACCAGGGCTTTCTGTAGTTTCGTCCTCTTTTGTCCATGATATTTTCCTCGACTTGATCTAACTAAAACGTTTAAAAGTCTCAGGGAATCCATCAAATCTTCTTCACATCATCTTCAGCAACTTCAACAAATAAAAGCCGCCCCCTCAAAATCGCCGCCCATTTCTTGAAAACCTTTCGCGTCACATCTCTTTAAATAATTATTAGATATGATGACAAATCTCCAAATTTCCATACCTGATCGCTTTTGAATGAGCTGTGTTGTGCACGAGGCGTTGGGGATCTCGAAATGTCCATGTTAACACTCGTGACCTCCAAATAAGCCTCCCTAATCTCAACACCTTAAACCAACCACTTTCAATTCTCCTACCTTTCCTGTGTATGCTTCTCTTTCTTGAGCAACTAAAACCAATAAATTGTAAATTGTAAACTTTCATTTTCCCAAATTAACCCAACCTCACATGAAAAACGACCAACGAAAAACAGGTGATGAATAAAATTAAAGCTCTAATCTTCATACATCGATTGTTAGAAAAAGAAATCCCCGAACATAGATTATCGAATAAAAAAGAGCTAGGATTCGTTGCGCAATGCGAGCAAAGAGGCTAAGGCAATTGTGGGAAAGAGCTGCCGATCTCGAAAACGGGATCACACCTCGCACAAATGAGCCGTTTTTCACGGCGACGACAATGAGAAAACGAGGAGGGGAGAGCCGGTTCTCCCCAAGTCTTTGAAGAAAAAGTCTGGAGTTTCTTTGAGAAGTCCTATTGTTAATCTAAATGTCAACCAACCACTTCCCCGACCCCGAAAACCCCCTGACTTCATATCTCATCTAAAAGTTTACAGAACAAAAGAAATTACTTTGTAAAGAGACCACGAGGTGTTCTTTGTGCATCCGCGTAATCGCTTGTCGTCTGGCGTAAGGCTTTCACGTAAGACGGGCCGTTTCGTTTTCCAGTCGGCAATCTGTTCCGGTCCGGGGAACACTGGCGGATCCGGGCATCTGGGCACTCCATTTTGGTCCTCGCCGCTCCTTGCCCATTTGGCGCAAAATCTCGATACGTGTGGGGTGCTGAGCATTTTGGTCTTCACCGTGGCGACCCCCCTTCGGCGCAAAACCTCACGGAACGGGAGCCGTGAAGTGGTCAACCAGCCGGGCCGGGACACCAACTGGAGAGCCCGCCCGGGGCAACTGCACGTATTTAAGACCCAGTCCCACTACAATATGTCAGAATAAACGGAATACGGAATATCAACAAGAACAGAACTTTGAACAGAACAGAATGAGAACCCAGACACTGACCATACGATAATATATGATGCTTAAAAATTGTTTTTTCAAAATTGCCCAAATGAATTATGACATTTCAACAGTATCAACGTTTACCCGATTACAACTTTCCCTTATAATTATCGTTGCTAACTTTTAATGTTCCTTAATGCAATCTGTTCCGATCCGGCTTTGACTGGCCATATCTGAAGGTGGCGGATCCTTTTGGTAAGAGTAGATATTTGTTTGAGTGCCTTTTCCCCCCTTTGTCTTAAGCTCTTAATCTTTATTCAAGTGCTGCTTTTTTTAGAAAGGAGATTCACAGCTCAACGAACCATAACAAATTAAATATATATACAAAGAAAAACGGGTATGTTCAGCTAGAAGGATGTTGAGGATTGACTCCGTTTTTAATGCTAATCAAAAGAAAGTAGTTGACCCTGCAGCTGGTGAAAGTAATATTATGAGTCGTTCATTTCGATGCATTTGATAGGGTTGATTGTTCGGGACTGCTGCTTTGTCTTCCTCGATTGCTTCCTCCGGCTCTCCAATTGCATTGTTTGCCCGTCTCATAGAGTTGTTGAATTGCCTTTAAAAGCTTTGATATTTACTTTTTTTTCCTTGCTACCTTCTCCAAATCCCCGCTTGCATTCAACTCTTCCCATTTTCGATAGAGTTGGAGAGCGATACGTGCATCTTCGACCGAGTCATGTATGTTTTGCTGGATCTTTTCATCTGAATTTTATGGTATTAAGAATGTTTTTTTTTGCTTTTTTATTTACTCAATAAATGATAAGCAAGAAATTGGAGTGAAAGCATTCGGCATTGAGGAGCTCGATCACGGAAGAGGTGCACTGTATCCAAGATTTGATTCGGTGGTACCTGAATTGAATGAATCGAAATGAAATGAGGCTGCTAAAAACGAACGTATAAGTTGAGAGCCGAAAAATCATTCGATAAGGCATGTCCGACAAATTTCACGTCTTTCTGCACAAGGTTCAGGATTTTCAGATAAACCTAAAGTGTCTCTTTATATTATTGTGATTTTCTCAAACCGTTTTCAGCGTTGTCAAGTGTTTTGTCGATGTGATCGGGTCCAAATCATCCCTGATGATTCCGCTGAAATTCATTTTTAAAGTTAGCTTGGTATATTTTTGTATGTTTCTTTTCGTATTTCCGTTTAAAACCAACAAAACCAATTGAACTACGGTTAGAAAGATCAATTATTTTTGTGCAAAATATTAAAACGGCTTTAAAAAGGCCTTATGTTTGTCTTATTCACCTTAATAGTAAGAAAGAACAAAGCGCATCCGAGAATCTAACTTATGAAATGACTGCTGAATGCTTTTGAGTGAAAAAAAAACTTACCTAACATGCGTCAAATAATTTCCGACATTATCGCCAGGACAAGTCGCCACATGGTCATCCATAATCACCTGGAAATGAGAGTACAATCGGATCATAACAAGAAAACCTGTCCATCACGTCCATCCACACAACTCAAACGAGCAATCGACTTTCGACCAATATCCTGAAGTCACCAAATAATCTGTAAAATCTAGCAAAATCCCTACTTCATTCACATCAATAAACTCAGCATCCAAAGCCACGATATCATCGAAATTTGGTGCTAAACGAGCGCGTCGATCACGCGCAATCTGAAACCTTCAATCAATCCACCATGATCAATTTGTATCCACCTCATGATTTCCTGTGAGATTCGTATCAACAGAGAAGATTGTATCTGGAACAAGAGCACGCGCGCCTTCTTCTGAACATTTAGGTTTAGGTTTTAGGTTTTCCTCAAAAGCTTTAATCACTTGTGTCCATGTAATCAGTGCGCACATAGGCGAGCACTGATGGCAGTTTCCATCGATAATCGACATGAAGAGCTTCTTTTGAAGGCACTCTTGTCACCAATAGCTCGTTTGAGACAAGCCATTCATCACTTGATCCCTCGCGAATCTCAAATCATTACATAATCGCAAATAATCATAATCAACCTGTGCCACAGCGTGCGGCCAGTCTTCTTCACCATTTCCAATCATTGACACCATTGCGCACAATCTGAAAGTTGAATTTTGACTTTGAATAACCTATATTTATAAAGAAATAACTAAATTCTAGAAATCATTCGACTTCGAACCATTAGAATTCAAATTCTTACTTATAAACATCAGTTTCTTGATTGGTTGGCTGATCATTGATAATCGGAATCCCTTGTGACAGACGAATGTTGATTTCTTCAGGAATAATATGCACCCATTCATTTTCCCCAATTGGAGGCATCTAGAGAATTGATTGATTATTAAACTCTAAAGTTTTCTTCATGTTCTACCATCGCCACTTCAATCCAAGCATCCACTTCTTTACTCCAATCGCTCGCATTTGGCGGATGTCTGAATTTGCAGGTATCTTGATGGCGACATTGTCCCCCGTATCGACAAGGCGTTGCATCGCTTCCTTTTCCATCCAACGAAAATAAGCGCAAGGGATTCACGTAGGGGATTCTCTTCTCCATTTCCTGAAATGTTTCCTCTTCTAGATTTGTCTAAACAATGCACACATGAATCTTTGTTAGCCAAAAGCTCTCAAAGCCTGGAGTCGCCGGATTCGTTTCGATCAAAAGAATTGGTGGCAAGCTTTTTACTCTAAAAAGGTTCACTTTTCTTCCCATAAGTTTTCTTTCTCACTTCGCGGTTCTCTCGTGTATCGTATCTTTATCGCATTTAGCACAATATGAGTCGGTGGGGCGTCTCTTGATCAATGCTTTCTCATATAAAGTTGTGAGACCAAATCGAGAGCAACCTGAAAAAAAATTTATCAAATAGCGTTTAGAACTAAAAAGATAAACCTTCTGGATATTCAAGTGAAAGTCCGATCAATTCTTCCTCGAATGTTTGAATTTCTGTGCATCGAACACATTTCGCATTTATATTGATTTGCGTTCGAAGCAGAGTTTCCAGTAGTTGATGCTCTGTTTCCAAAAGGTTCTACAAGTTTTTGTTTCTTCGAAATTTCTCAAATTTTCTTGCCTCATGAAGATTTGAGAGTATGAAGCAAAAAAATTGATGAATTAGAGTCGGAATGTTGGTGGATTCGTTTTTAAACTCAAGTCCTCGCAAGGCTCTCATCAAATTGTTTGTCTAAAAAGTTCTCGTTTTTTTTTGGTTAAAAAGCTGCCTGACCGAAACGGGAGTGGCCTCTTTTTGATCGGAATAAATTCTGAAGAGAAATCCTAATTCACAACAGAGACACAACTCCTCTTGACATAAATGATTGAGAGCAAGATTGCGCAAAGGAACCACCGCGTACAACAGCTGAAATTGGCATAAGAAATAACTGAAAGTGTCTTTAAACCCACAAGAGTCAACGGATTTGCAAAACCGGATCCAGAGTTTGGCTCGACTGAGGGAATGTCCGTGCTGTTCATTCTGAAATTTGTATTTACTTGAAGATTTAGCTATTTAGCTTTCTTTTCTCTACCCTTTCAATATCCTTTCGTCAAATTCTCGTGTCAAACGTTTTGCGGTAAGTGAAGTGTTCATCTTTTTTTGGTAAAAAGTTGGCACTGTTGGTGGCGCTAACACTTGCTCTATTGTTTCTGAAAATGCACGTGTCTTCAATAAAGTTTTAATACGAAAGCTATACTCTCAAAGCTGACCTTCTGTTCCATCGACAACATAAGGGACGAGGTTGAAATTTTTCAATTTTAGATGTAACAACGGATTTTTGGCATATCCAACGAATTGCCGTGTGGTTATATTGCTGACTCGGAATGGCATTCTCGGCACTCTATAATTTACTATATATAAAAAAAAAGCAGTGTCTGTCTGTACGGACGTAAAATAAAAAATAGAAAAAAATTAAAATTCAATGGCAGTATGGGAGCTCGAACCCGGATTCCGTGGGTTGTAGACAAGCGGGCTCCCGACTACTCAATAAAGACTATAATAAAGCACCAAAACATCTAGCCATCTAGCCTTTCTCGGCGGGATGAGCAAAAACAAAAATTTTAGCTTACTTGTAATTTGGTCTACAAAGTTCTTCAGGCCAATCGGAAAGGAGCCAATCATCCGGCGAGAATGGCAATGGAACAGCGGCTAGTGGAGTTGTTGTATCGTCGTAAAGAAATGATTGAGGCGGTCCACACTAAATATGATTCGATTCAAAACAACAGCTATCAATGCGCACCGGTGGATCGGCAAAAACCGTTTCGAAAGCGTTTTCATTGAATACTGGCTCCTCGCGATCAAACCAAACATTCACTTCACCTGAATGTCGCTCTTGTATTTTGTAAAGCTTTTCCCGCACTCACCAAACATTGTTCCAAAAGCAATAGCTTGTCGTGATGGACTGTAGTCAAAGCTTTCGAGTGTACTGCTTGTCGCCTAGAAATGTTTCATTTACATATTCGCTGAGAGCTTTACCTGAAACAGTGGCTCCTTGACCGTTGAATTTAAATCCACAATTTGACTAGGTCCATCCTAAAACAAAAAAAGGCTTTTTAAAGCGCTTTGTGGACTCACTCTTCCAACGAGAATCACTCGCGTATCACAATAGGAAAGGAAAAAGCGACAAAATCTTGGCGTGTGCCCCCAAGGAATCGGTTGCATTGCCTTAAAAAATCTTATTAGGCTGTCCAAAAAGTCTTTTCGTCAAAAAGGAACGAAAAGACTTTATGGAGAGCCTAATATTTGATGCTTCGCTGAAGTCACGAACCTGATGAGTCCGAAGATCATAAACTTTCACATACGGATCACCATGTAGTGTACCTCCTCTGAAGTAAGAAAGCTTTCTGTTTACCCATCTCTGCACTCACCGAACGCTTTGCCCGCAAGTGATCAAACGATTCCCGCTCACGTCGAAATCGGTGAGATTCGCGTGCGCTTCGATCACTTTCACGGTCTCAAAAGTTTTCGGATTCAACACAGCAACCTAGGAAATCAAAGTCATTTCCAAAATTTCCTCCTCAAACCCGTCCATCTCTTGTCCCCAAAAATATGTTCTTGTCATTGGCGCGAATAATCATCGCACTTTTCTCGTTTCGTAAAATGTGCTAAAGATTTTATTGTGATAAAATGTAAAAAGAAAAACGTACCACGCGTTGATCTTTGAGTGTGACCAAATCAAATTGCAACAAGCGATCCTAATGCATACAATTTAAAAATGTTTTCGAAAATTTTCAGAACCTGATTCCCGCCCATAAGCAACGAGTTTGGGGCATCGGGTAGACGAAGCATTGCCGATAAATGATGCATATGCGGAGATCTGAAAGCTATTTTAATAAATGACTCAAAAATGAGGCTGACTCATGGTTGAATACAGATAACCCTTGTCGTGTGTTCGCTTTCAAAGTCGCATTTGTTAACGACAATATGTAATCCTCGGTGAACTCGATCGATTGAACCTAAAGCAGACTTTTATCACCAAAGAAAAAAAGAAAATCCTTTTACCGTTGGAGATTTATCGCTAAAGTGTGTCGTAACTCCAAAAGCCGTGTATCGCGCGAAATCGTCTCCATAAGAGTAAACTCGACCCTGAAAATCGAAAAAGTTTTCGTGTAAAGTTTTATGATACAGCAGTAGTGCCAGCCCAAAGCAGCTCTTCATATGGATCGAAACGGAGAGCGCTGTTCGCAACAGGGTTTTGCGTGAGTGAAGTGGCCAATGGCTGATGGTAGCGATAAGTTCCCGTGTGTTGTGGAAGCCACTGTAAACAAATGTAAACAAAAACAAAACAAAACAAAATTTTGCTCTTAAAAATCTTAAATCCGAAATCTAATTTCGATTTATTCAAGGTAAAAGAAATGATTTGAATGTTTAAACGAGGGTTAGACAAACTTGAGTCTCCAAAGCGTCACCACCAATAGCCACTCCTTCTTGAGCCGTGTACATCAATCAATAAACATACAACAATTTGCCAATATCTCAAAATTCCTGAATTTTTTTGAACACCTTCTGAACAACAGCCTTTATTTGGATGATCCTGTCCGCTGAGTTATTTTTGCTGTCTCAATGATGGCTGTCTATCTTCATTGTCTAATTGTCAATAGGAGTGTTGTGTCCTTTTTGGTTTACAACAAAGCATGCTTACTTGGGCGTTTTTTACGGAAATTTCAACTTATCAGGAGATTTTTCCCCTTCACGTATGCCTTGAAGATTCTTGACTTTTGGTCAGCATTGAGATCTAGCAAAAACGGTTTGTTTTAATGGTTTAACATTGGCTGCTGTTCAAGAATAATATTCAATTCATGGGCTGCTATTCAATTATACTATTCAATTCTAAAAACGAAAATTTTCAGAAAAACATGTCATTGAGCAGTCAAGGTGATTCGGGAATCATTAAGAAATCATCGAAATCTCTGCGAACTGACAAACAATCATTCGATGAATCGCTTTATCCACCATTCGTCAAACAGGTGTAAAGAGTGAGATTTATGAAGTGTATCCAATTTTCAGCTCGACGCTAAACTACCGGATTATAGTAGAGAGGGGGATATTGAATATCCATTTGAAGAGACTGGAGGCATCGGTGATGAGAATCGGTTTACCTCAAATTCAAGCCTTAAATCATCATTTTAGAGTTCGCGGCAATTGGACAACTAAAGCCGATTATCTCCTTTCCGTCGTTGGATTCGTGTTCGGCTTAGGTTTTGACAGAAGCTTTTGCAATTGAAATTATAATGAATAATTTGCAGGCAATGTTTGGCGTTTCCCATTTCTCGTCTTCACTTACGGTGGCCTCGCTTTCCTCGTGCCGTATTTTGTCGCTTTAACGGTTTGTCTTTCCCAACGGCAATCCAACTGAATTGATAAGGAACATTTTAAAGCCAACCACAAGTCGATTCCACAATTAGGAGTAGAGATATGGAGCAGAAGAGAAGGATTCTTAAACTCCGACTCTCTACCCCCCCCTAGACAAATCTCTAGTCTTAAATCTGTTAGCCGATTAAGAATTTATCGAATCAGAGCTGTATAAAGTCGGGGTAGAGAGTCGGAGTTTAAGGATCCTTCTCTTCTGCTCCATATCTTTACTCCTAATTGTGTATAAAAGTGAAATGCTTAATGCAAATCTGCTTGAGTATCTAATGAACTTTATGAACTCGATCTTTTCGCAGATAGCTGCAATGCCGATGATGTTCATGGAGACGGTTCTCGGACAATTCTCGAGTCTTTCCGCAACGGCTGTGTGGAAAGTTGTGCCACTATTTAAAGGTTTCATTCAACACAATCCCTACATTTTCCACTGAATGCCAAATTTAGGCGTTGGTTTGACGATGATTTTCGTGTGTGTCCTGATCGCGATCTATTTGAATATCGTCTCCGCGTGGAGTCTTTTTTATCTCTTTAATTCGATCAGTTTTTCGATTCCCTGGAGTAATTGTGCGAATTCGTGGAGTGGCCTCAGTAAGGTCATAAACCAAAAAACTCCATCTCCATTTTCCAGATTGCACATATGGATCTCGTTCGGTGTGCATTGAATTGAACGGAACAATTCTCGTCAATGGCACCTGTTTGCTTAATGTAATGAATGTAATAATGGAGATGGATGTATCATTCTTTTAGATCGATAACGAGACTCGAACAATAATGGTGAAAGATGGGAATGAGATTCCAAGTCTAAAATATTTTCAGTAATATAATTTGAAAAAGAGACAAGTGTTTACAAATCGATTTTAGTGAGGAAGTGTTGATGCTTTCGAATGGTTTCGATTCGTTTGGCACGTTAAATTGGTAAGTTAATTTGTAAAAAGTTTTCCATTTATTGTGGAAAGGTACCTCGGCATTTGCGTGTTAATCTCATGGATCTGCGTTTTTCTTTGTCTCTTTCAAGGAGTGAAATCGAGTGGAAAAGTGAGTGTGACAAAACGAAAGTGACAAAACGATACAAAATCTGATTTATAGGTTGTTTACATTTTTGTTTTACTTCCCTATATCATTATGTGCGTTCTCTTTGCTCGACTGCTCACTTTGGCCGGTAGTCTGGAGGCGGTGTGGCATTTTTTGCGACCTGATTGGTCGATTCTCACTCAATTACCCGTGAGCTTTTTTTACCTTCAATTGGGACTCTATTACCGTATTTCCTCGAATAGAAGACCGGGTAAAGAGTATCATCGCGTACTCCTGCGTAGCAGCCCTTTTTAAAATTTCTTTTCTGCATAAAAGCTTTCAATCAAGTGCTATATGGCTGGAAAATGACTCAAAAATACGACATGAGCTAACAGATTTTTGAGCCATTTTTCAGCTCTTTTAGCACTTCATTGAAAGCTTTTATGCAGAAAAGAAATTTTAAAAAAGGGCTGCTACGCAGGAGTACGCGATGATACTCTTTACCCGGTCTTCTATTCGAAGAAATACGGTACCTATTAAACAAATCATTTTCTAGAAAGAAAAACAAATATGAAAGCTCTAGGTCTGGGGCGAGGCGGCGGTGCAAGTGTTTTACTCGGTTAGCTGTTGCACAGGAGGATTGATAACACTGAGCAGTTACAATCGATTCCACAACAATTTATTCAAGTAAGAAATAGTACAATTAAAAGTTCCCAACATTCAGGGACATCTGGATTATTGTTTTTGTCGATCTCTTCTCGTCCCTTTGTGCTTGTGTACTCACGTTTTCCGCTCTCGGCTTTACGTGCTATCAGTTCTCGATTAAATTGGATCAGATTCAAATAGCTGGTAAAAAACAATGCATTAGAAAGCAATTTCTAAACGAATTTCTAGATGGTGCCCATTTGGTGTTCGTTTTTCTGGCTGAAGCATTGGCTGGTGTCCCCGTTGCTCCACTCTATTGCGGGCTCTTCTTCTTAATGATGTGCCTTGTCATTCTGAGCACTCAGGTTGACAAGTTGACAATCATAAAAAATGAAACTAACAAATTCTATTGCAGTTATTTGTCGTCGAAACAATTGTGACCTCGATTTGTGATGAGTTTCCCGAGAGATTGCGAAGGAATCGGTTAGTGAAGCTTTCTGGATTGAGGATTTCTTATGAGTTTCCATTTCAGGCGACACGTTTTAACAACAACATGTGCTTGTTTCATCTTGCTCAGTATCCCATTTTGCACATCGGTTTGTTTCAGAAATTTCTGATAGTCCAATTTTTTTACAGCCTGGGATGTATTGGCTAGTGTTGATCGATCATTTTGTTATCACATGGCCGCTTGTTGTTATTGCTTTTCTCGAATGTATGGCCATTTCATGGATTTACGGAATCGATAATCTTCTTGATAATATAAAGGTAAAAATCTTCAAATAAATTAATCAATCAATAATAGTGGATCACCAATTTCTACCCGCCATTTTATATGTTCTGGAAAATCCTTTGGAAATTCGTTTGTCCAATGGTCTATTTGGTAAAAGAATAGAGGCAATATTAATAAAAAAGAAAATTTGAGTGCATTCTTTGCTTTGTATGGCTTGAATGGAGGCCATTACGATATGGATCTTACGAATTTCCCTATTGGACGGTTGGTAAAGTAAAGTAAAGTGTGTTTCTCGTGGCTGCATAAACAAATTTACATAACTACGGTAGCCGGGCTACTAAAACGGCCTACTAAAACGACATAATTAAGTAGCCGGGCTTTAGAAAGCGGATTAATCACGAGGAAAACACTCTAGTGACGAGTTGCTCAACCTGAAAGAGAAGATTTTAGTTACTACTTGGATGGGGTATCTCAATACTTCCCGTTACAGCAATTCCAATCACAGCTTGTGTCCAATTGTGCACAGTGAAAGGATCACTTGTACAAGTAACTTTGTATTTCTAATAGCTAAGCAAAAATCTCAGAAATGGAGAGCCGTGCTCAACCCACACGACTCATGGGGACCGGCTCTCGCTGTGCATCGGGCTGAACAGTTCCCTCTTCAAGTAAACAACCAAGAAACTTAAAAAGAAAAAGCTCTTTCTAGATCCCAGAAGCTCGCCGACTTTTGCTTCCACCCGAATTGGAAGTAAACGCAAAAGTTTATGAGAAACAAGTAAGAGAATTTTATCAAAAAGAGAAAACGATCCAAATTATAGGAAGAATCGCCACAATCACGGAGAGACTCAAGAGCTCCTCAAATCCCTCGTTCACAGGTTTCATTGAAAGTTTGAAATAATTGAGTGAAGATTTCAGGCTCCAAGCACTCGTTCAATTGCCGCTACTCGCAACAGTTTGCCAAGCTTTGAAAGAGAAACTGCCATCTAATGACTTTCCCTCAAAAATTCCCCTTTTTCTAGTCTCAATTTTTTTTGCTCACTTGAATGATATCAATTGCTTGCTCTATGAATTCATAATGTGCCTTTTGTGTGCTTTAATTGATGATCTCTAAATTATAACTTGCCAATGTTCTCTACGAATTCCGTATAGCTTTCGAATCCATCAGCTGATTGACAAATTAAACAAACGACATAATTAAGCCGTTCTTAAGCATAATAAGAATGTATGGATGATTCAATATGATTTTCTTCAATAAATTATTAAATCCAATAAGCTATTTCAGTTTTTGAGAGTTTTTTTCCATTGATTATCAAGCACTTGCATCCGAACGAAGAACTTTAACTTCAACTAAAGTTTAACTGCTTATTTGCCTTTCAGAAAATGTCGGTAACGGCAGAAAATGAGTGGAAACAGCTTTCCGATGAGTTCATCAAAATCGAGGTTTTATTGCTTTTCACTAAACTATTATTGTATTCAAATTATAGAAAAATCACGAAGAATATCTAAAAAAGATGAGAGAAATTCGAAAGTCTCAAGACTCATGTTTGAAAGCCGTTAAACATCAGTATTACATGTTGGGACAATTGAGGGACGATATCACCAAGTAGATATTCAATAGGCAAGATGTATAATGATCAGCTTTTCTCAGAGCTGAAACGAGTCCCAACGCTAGCCCTAGTGAAAGGATCAAATCCGCAGAGCTCCGGCAACAGGTAGAAGAGTTTAGGTGAATAAAGGAAAATGGTTAGTGAATAAGTGAATAAGGAACGAAAAGACTTATTCAAAAGCCTAATAGGCACTCGAAATGCGAGCGCGTCTCTACGAGATGCAAAATGAGCTGCCAGTGCAAAACAATGGATTCTATTTGAATTTGATTCTTGGTTTGTTTAGAGTTTTTGCCTGAGAAACAGGGATTTCAGGATCAAATTTGAACGTCTCACTTCTCACTGGCGCCGAGCGATACAAATACAAGCAGGAATATGAGAACTTTAAATGGAAGGTAGGAAATATTTATTAGAAAACAAAAAAACTAAAAAACTCGAATTTCAGGTGACAATCTTGGTGCTCTCAGTGCTTCTTTTGAGTTACGTCTTGCCATTTCGAGTCATTGATTCTATCGGCAATTTTATCATGGTATAATATTTTTAAGTATCAGTTTTTACATTACTAAAGTTCTATCAAAAAATTGTATACAAAAATAAAACTCAAAATGTTGTTTTCAATGTTAGGTGTGGTACTATTGTACATTGACAATACGAGAATCGATTCTTCGCATCAACGGCTCCAAGTGAGTCTCCCATCAGAAAATCGACTCAAATATTTACCGAAATTTTCAGGATCAAGGGTTGGTGGGTACTCCATCATTATCTATCATGCGTTCTTTGTGGAATTCATCTCACTTGGAAAGACGGACCATGCTATCAAGTATTCAAATGAAAATCATCCTTGCAAGCCCACGGCGAGTTTTCAGGAGTTTCGACCACAATTTATTATGTTTGTTGCCTACATTGGACTTGTTCAATTGATGCAAGGACAATATCAAAGCGGTTGTTTGAGACGGTAAATGAAGGAGTTTGAATTAAAAGTTATCAAAAAAATATTCAGACTTCATGCACTGGGTCAAGGACATCAAATGGATATAACTGTTGAGGGTTTTCAATCATGGATGTTTAAAGGGCTTACTTTCTTGTTGCCTTTTTTAATGCTTGGTTATGTAAGCAAGAAGAAATGTTCCCCCGAATTGAAGCTTTAGATTTTCCAACTTTATAATGCTTATACAATGTTTCTGCTATCACAACGTTGTACAGGCCAATGGCAGGTTAGAAATGAAAAAAATCATTTGGGAAACTTTTTCCGAACGCCGAGTCAGGTAGATACTCTGTTATGTCTACGGTGTCAACAATACGGATTACTGTAACATCTATTAATTGGGGTTAAGGGTTCCGGTAAACGAGTCATGCTTTATAGGCCCTACTCGAGTGGACATTCGGAAAAAGTTGCTGGTTAAAATCGCACAAAAGGGGGTTTAATTTTCAGGTTTTTGCTTTGGCGATTCTTTTTGCGGTGATCGGAGTTGGAAATATCTGGACAACAACTCTCGTTATCCTCAAAAAAGTTGAATTTTTTGTTTATCGGCAATAATTTGATCTTTAGTTGAGAGAAGGAACCAAGTCTGATCAGATTACGAGAAAATATCGTGCCAAAAACGACCAAAAAAGCGAGTAAAGAGATTACCCAGTGATACGATTGTTATACAACTTACAATTAGTCAAGAATTTTTTTTCTGTTTTCTAATTCTATTCTTTCTGTTAAAGTACCGTAGAAAAGAACATATTTAACTTTTTGTTTGCATTTATCGGTATATGAAATGTAATTTAAAGCTTTCATATGTTAATTTTTCAATCAACGTCTATCAGCCAATTAAACAATTATACGGTACTGAAACATTTCAGCTTTGCCACACCGCCAATATTGTGTCATATAATTTGATAAAGTTTATTACTGGCATTTCTTTCTATCAACAACGTTCGCAAAAAAAAAAACAAAAAAGTAGCCAAAACTTAGAGAATTTCCAATACATTTTGCAGACTAGGAGCAAGTTAAATATAAAATAGTGCAGTGAGACGAGTAAATAGAAATCTATCTCAATCATAGGCAGAATGTACAAATAATAAAATAATAATAAACTTCTAAAACTGAATAGCGAATTATAATGTAGACAATACTTTTTCCTAGCATTGTTTAATGGCTAATTGGTCGATTTCCTTGTCCGGGAACCGTGTGACTCCAATCAGGAACCTGAAAGTTTTTGTTAAAATATAAAGCGTAGCGAGTTGCTTAGAAAAATAATAAATTTTAGCCAGGAATTTACCTGTGCTGCCATAGTCAGATTTCGACGAGAGGACGTGCTGTAAATAGGCAACAACTCGTTGGCTTCTACCGGCACTGCCTAAACAAATATTTCAAAATTTAAAACGTTTTGCTATTAATAATACCTTCATGTAAATGCAAGCATCTGTTCCGTAACCTTCCATTGAGACTAGAAACAAATCACCAAGAAAATAACGAGCATATAGGCGTGAAAGTGGAAGTCCATAACCATAACCAGCCTAAAAGCTTGCTCATAAAAGTTATTTCCCTTTTGGCTCACCAAAGGCGCTTGAGTACCATCACGAGCCGGTGGCGGGGCTGTGCTGTACATGTAATTAAAAAGGCGATCCAGGATAGTTCTTGAAACACCGCCACCACGATCACTTATCTACAAAAATAGTTAGCCGATTTCTAGGCAAACAAATCACCTTAATACTCAAATCTTCTGGACCACGCACAACACGGATACGAATATTTGGAAGATCATCGTCGACTCCATGATGCTCAATCGTTGCGCGCATAGCATTCTAAAACCAAAACAAAAGTCATACTGTTTTCTTTGATTATCCAGTACGCTCAAAAAATGTTTTATTTAAAACAACCTTGAATAACTCAAACATGATATGATACAGATGACTCGGCACGGCAACTATCGAGATAGGTTTCTCCTTTTCGACAGCATTATACATTTCCAGTTGCATTGATGGAGAAACGAGGTAATATCGATCACAAAGGAATCTAAATTTTTTTAATTATTTTATTTAAATTACGAAAAATCAAAAAGTTATTACTAAATTTATCTTAGAAATTACCTAGCGTTCTCAAATGCATCATAAACAACACTTTCGACGTCACACCCTGGATCGATGCATCCTACATGACGAGGGCTTTCAGGCAACACATTTCCGAAGACTACCTGAATTTGAAGTGTTTAGGAGGAAAAACAAATTAGCCTTCTACCAGGTGTTGATTTTGTAGCATTCTGATTGATATTCGGTTGATATAAAATCTGTCGAGAAAGTATTGGATCCCCTTCTCGGAAGCAATATCAACTCCATTTCTATCTCGCAGCTCAATCAATCCTTCCGCCATTGTTTCCACCACATGTGAATGCCTTTTCAAAATTGACTGTAGATGATCGTTAAATCTAGAATCACACTGTTTGAGAAAAAAATTGAATAATCTAACTTGTTCACAGTATCTGTCGTAGGGTCCTTATTCTCAAATTCAAGCAGCTCTTCAAAACTGTCTTGATACCATCCTGCAACCATTTTTGATGATGGCATTTCTAAGAGCGTTGGGGGAAGCAGACTGATTTCCTAAAAAAACAAAAATACACATTTTATTAAAAATACTACCTGCATAATGTTCGAAAGTCGAACCAGAAGTTCATTTTTGAGAAACATGTAAGACGTTGTGGCAGTGCCAGTTCGCCCAAAATCGAGATATCTGAACAAGCATGTAAAAAGTTGCATAAACTCAGATTCTCACTGTTGAATCGTCAGCGGTGAAGGCTGGAATTGCGAATAATGTTCTAATCGTTTAGCAATAGCACCAACAAAAGGGCCGAAAAACCTCCGGGAGAGCCGCATCTAAAACTAAAAATTTTTAACACCACAAATAACTTTAATCAGAGTATACTTTGATAAAAGATTGCTGTAAAAAGAGAGATTCTATCTGTGACCCCTTTTCGTGTACATTACATGCATCTTTACGGCAGGTTTTTCGCAGGAACGGAGAAAAATCTGCCGCTATAAACAAAATTGTCTTCAAGCCAGTTTAATTGACTGAGTGAAAATAATTTTTCCTGAAATCTTTTTTCTTTATATTACTTTTCAAGATTATGTAACTTTTATTGCACTTTTAGGTATCTAAATATACATATTTCAAGCATGGGTGACCCGGCTATACAAGGTTATTTAATACCTGATGACAATCTGCTATCTAATGAACACGATAGAGAAATCGACGATGACAGCCAAAAGATGGGGATTTTTGATGAGGTAATTCTGTGACATTTGTTTAAATACTAGCTTGGAACGGCTTTATCGATTAATTTTTTCCAGACTACTGGAGCAACGGAAAAGAAGCGTCCGTGTCGCCTACTGGTTTCCAAAATTCCAAAGCAATTGGCATATGAGAACCTCTATAAATTGATTAAAGGACAAAGCTCACGGTTTGAAATAAAAATAAAAACAAAAATAATAAAAAGTATACCACTTAAGTGGCTACTCTAGCGATTTGGTTCGTCTCGAGGTTCTACACCATAAGCTGTTGCTGATACTAAAGCAGGTATGCGAGTAAAAACAATTTGATGGGACTAAAAAATAATTTTCTATTTAGGTCAATCTTGACACTCGAAAAATTACAACGAAAGCCGAGCCTTCCAAAGACGATCTAAAGAAATTAGAAAAACTTCTAAATCAGGTAAAGTGTTAAAGGATACGAATTGATCAATACCTGAAAAAAATTTAGCAAACAGAAATCGTCTTTGGGTTGAGAGATATTGCGCATCTCCTACGAAGAAATGTCGAAGCAAATGCAGTTGAAGAGCTGCGTGCTATCGGGGCCGAATTGCCAAAAGGCAACAAAGGGTCACACGGTAATTTCTATTCATTTATTTTAATGTAAAACATTTTCAGCCTCCGATAATGCTGAAAAATCTTTCACGGGTCGTACCAGGATCAAACAAAAGGAAATCAAAGAAAGAAAAGAAAATAAAGAAGAGCGAAGGATTAAGGAGGAGATTATTGAAACGTACAAGATCTTAACCCCCAAGGACCGTAGTTCTAAAGCCGGGACTCCAGCCAGATTCCCAAAGCCGGTATGCATATCAAATTATTCAAATTTACGCACATCTTTAGAGTACGCCTGTATTTGAAGAACAAGATGATTGCTCTCCGCCAAGTGCAAACTCTTCAATCCAACGCCTCAACAAACCCAGAGGCCGTGTTCCAATCTCGAGTTCATCAAGCTCAATAGCGTCCACTAAAGCCGAGAAAGCCGAGGCACGAAAAGAAGAGCGTGAAGAAATAAAAGCTCAACGAAAAGAGCAAGCGTCCATTAATGCACAGGTATGCGCAAAATATGCGAAAATAGACAGTCAACGCTGTATTTTACTCCTGCGATATTTCAGGGTAAAAAGCGTGTATCATCAAGAGTGACTGCAATAACGAGCATGTTAGGAGTGAAACGTGGTGCTAACGGAAACCGAAAAGGGGAACGCGATGATGAAGGAACGACGGACGAGCCCACATATTGTCAATGCAGTCGGGTTAGTGCAAAACTAACAAACTTTTCAAAAACTAGTATTTAGATATCATTTGGTGAGATGGTATGTTGCGATAATCAAAAGTGTGAAATCGAATGGTTTCATTTTGAATGTGTCGACTTAAAACGGAAACCCACAGGTAAAAACCCTCCGAATTTAGCAAATTAAATTAATTTTCAGGGAAGTGGTACTGCCCTAGCTGTCGGCATCCGGACAGCTTTAAGCATCCCAAAAATGCTATTATCCCCGGAAGTTCAACAAAATCGATGAAACGAGAAGATTAAGCCGTTTGAACCATGTAGATCTATGTAATTTTTAAAAGAACTAACATTTAACAATGGAACCCGTCACGTGTTTCCCAAACATACAATTTTCTCCACAATAATTTCCAGTCGTATCGTCAAACCGACCTAAATTTATGTATAATTACAACAATAAAAATTACTTGTAAAGCACAAAACGACAAAAATAGCTTCTAACATAATAAAATGAACCTTTTTATGCCAAAAACTGGGTGTCTGTTGTTTCAATTTGGAAGTGTTTTGATTTACAATTCCCAAGATTTTACATTTTCTAAAAAGACCTCAAGATATTCAGGCAATAGGGCAAATACTTTTTTGTATTCTTTTTATTATGTGGCGGTAATTGATTAACTGAATATTTTGATGTTTGCTATTTATATAAGATATTTAAAGAAACGGTTCATAGTCCCTCATCTATCACTTTACTTTGTAAATTCGGAGATATACTTGCCTAGGTACGTTATTTTCTCTTTTGTGATGCTAAACTAAAAGTTTCCCTTTGCTAGAATATGTGATTAATGCAAATTCAGCTGTTTTTACCGAATGTGTCAATAAACTTTTCATAACCTAACGAAAAACCAAGAAAATACACAATGTGTGATTAGTGGCTTGATTTCGCCTATGCTTATTCTTTTTAGTGTTTTCGTGGTTTTTTAAAAAATATAATATCGTTGGAAAATCAGGAGTATCTAGGTACCTTTTTTAGATCTGGGATGGTAATATGATTCGTTGCCGGTCAAATGTTTTGATTTCCCTGCTGGCCCTAAATTTGCTCATCATTTTTGGAACTTTTGTTTATGTGACACGGGATGCGACGCCTTTCAAAGCTAGAACCAGGTTACTTAAATATTAGAGTTATCTGTTTTTTTTATTCAGAGATAACGATAGAAATGTTAAAGATGCCAAGCTACCAGCTGTACATACTCTCTGTGTTATAATCCCGTTTCGTGACAGGTTCGGTCCTTTAAAATACCTATCTATTTTCGATGTTAATAATCTTTGTTTACGCAGAAGTTTTTAGGTATGAGGAACTCGCCGTTTTTGCCCCGTATATGGATAAATTTCTGAATTCACAACTTGTCTCACATCATTTCCTCGTCATGAATCAAACAGATCCTTTTCGGTTCAATCGCGCCAGCTTGATTAACGTTTGTATTTACAGAGTTTATGATCACAGAGTGATTTGAAGACTATTGTGATAATAAATTCATTTTAGGTCGGATGGCATGTAGCTGAATCTAAAGGATGTTCTTATTTGGTCATGCACGATGTTGATCTTTTACCACTGGTATCTTTTTTTCTCTAAAACAATGTTATTGTATGTATAGAATCGTGAAATCGACTACACGTTTCCCGGGCAGGGAGTCGTTAGACACATCTCTAGCCCGGCATACCATCCAAAGTAAGTTAGATATAATATGTTGATCTTAATCATCTTTAAATTAAAAATACAGTAGAATAAATAGCGATGAATAATTAGACTTGATAAATGTTAAAATCGCATCGATTCAAGATGTGCTTTTGAAATTTATCACTGAATGCTTTACAGCAATTGCTCACTAAATGTGATATTTTGTTTTAGGTATAAATACGCAAAATTTATTGGAGGAATTCTCATGCTAACAATGGATGATTATAAAAAGGTTTCAAACTTTTGTGACTTGAACGAATGCGCCTAGATTGATGGAATGAGCAATAAATATTGGGGCTGGGGAATGGAAGATGATGAACTATATTTGAGGATTCGGTAAGTTTTTGTTCATTTAATTGATGAATATTTTTATTTTAGAGAAAGATCGGATCTAAATTTGACGAGAGTAGCTGGTTTGAAAACAAATAGAACTAATACTTTCCGTCATATTCATCCAAAAACAAGGCAGAGGTAATTTTATTTTGTTAAAGTTTATTTCTTTTGTGGCTTTTTTTTAGAGATTTTGCTATCATCACGCCAAATCAACGAGCAATGAAACGGACGCGGGATCGTATAAGTGGCTTACATAACGTGAAGTATCAAATAATGTTTGTTTTGTTCATGGAATTTCCTCAAAAAAAGCTTTAGGTCACAAAAGGAACTTTTCTTCAAAGAGACCGAAGTTTTCATGCTGGATGTCGCTCTTCACTGTGATTTAACCTGGACTCCATACTGTGTTGAGGCAACGAGTTAAAGGTTATTGTAAATTTTCAAGTTGATTAAGCCTATCCTATTTCGAGGGAATGAATGTTTGTCAAATTTTGTGCCTAATTTAAGTAGTGGCTAGATTTTATGATTTTTGATCTATATCAGTGAACTAGCTTTGGGTGGGGTTTGCATAATACTTTTGTGATCGTTTTGATACTTTTTGCTTTGCTTTGTACATAATTTATGGGATGTAGGTAAAACAACGCCGAAAAGAAAATGTTCAAAACAAGGATGTCAAATTTTTCACAATCCAAAAAATGAAGCCGGTTCAAGTTTTATACCAAAAAATTCCTTGCTTTTTGGCTGGATGAAACAGTTTTTTAAAAATGTATATTTCATAGATAAAATTAGCGTTAAAAATGGGTCTCTACAGATATCCAGTTAACCAACTGAGCATCACTTGGCACACATTTTGAACCCTAACTCTATCTATGACCGGCCTGGTTTTTTTTGTGAGATTGTGAGAAATTTGACGGCGCTGTTTTGAACGTTTCCTATTCGGTGCTAACTACATCCATAATTTATTGAGGGATTGGTTCAATTATGTCTGTGATATAAGACTTGCCTTTATTATTCTGGGTATCGTTGCATAATTCTCTTTTGCTATAGTTTATGAAGTTTTTTCTTGAGTAAATGGTGCTAGATCAGAACAACAATGGAAAATTTACTCGTTTAAATTGTTTTCAAAGTCAATGAGAACCATTTGGATGTCCATTACATTTGTATGAGTCGGCCCAGTTTTGACATGGTAAATGCCATCTTCAAATCTTTCCCAAAATGAGTAGGAGTCCGAGTTCTTTAGGTAAGTTTCGGCCGAATCCACATCAACCTGAATAGTTCTGCTTTTACAAATGAGCTGTTATTTACTTTTGTTACGGCTTCTGAGGCGAAATAAGCACCAGCAGCATCGGTCGGTCCATCCTAATACGATTTTTAAAAGGATTTTTCATCTATATTAAACCTGGCCATCAGTTCCGCAACTAAGGATGAGAAATTTGGTGAAGTGCTGTCCATGAAACATCTTTTTGCATTCGACCAAAGCCGATAAACATATTTCTTGATTTCGGCCTCCCTTTCCTGAAATTCAGGCTAACGATAAAGAACCTTTGAATCACCATTTCCTTGAACAAGAACGGTCGTTTCGCCGCCAAAAATCAACGCTACATGCCTCGAATTTGTTTTGACTTCCAGCTAAATTGGCATGTGCCTATCAAATTTACTGTTTTACCTTTGGAAACGTCTGGGAAAGCTTGAATTTCAGACTCTCCATACTAGCAACCGATGCTAAATCAGCCAGCTTTTTGCCAACATCGGTTGCATTTCCACACAAACTCCGGGAGACAATCAGAGGAGAAAATCTAAAATTTAAGATTTTTGAGTTTTGTCTCACGTTACTGTTGCTCTCTGAAGAAGTTCTCCACCGCAGCTAAGGCAACCGAATTGCTTGAGATAATTTGATAGTTCCAACTGCAGCTTGGGATTGGAGCTGTTTCTTCCGCCTAAAACCAATCACTCTGATTTGGATGATGCAACCAATCAACGATCCGTTTTATTAGCGATCTTATTGCAACCTGTAACAATGAAACAACTTCTCGAGGAAGATCTTTCTCGGCTTTCAGAGCTTGGATCACGTCGTTTGGGGTAATATTTTCATTTCCCGCAAATATTGTCGGTCCAGAAGCAATTAGTTCCACTGGATCGTTGATTATATCGGAAACAATTAAAGAAAATACCTATAAAAATCTTCATAAATCAGTTTTGAATCATGTACAAACTCTTCCGCTAGTGATGCGTTTTAGGATCTTTCCACCTTTCACACGAGAAAGTCGCTGACGAACAATATTCAATTGTTGAATGGTTGCTCCACGACTTGTTAGAGACTTGAAATTTTGGACTATACAAAATCGAGATTGATTACCCGAATCGTTTCTAATTTTTGGCTCAATGAAATCTCAGTTCTCGGAGAAGAAAAGAGCGCTGATCCTCCACCTAAAACTGCTTTAGTGAATTTTTGGTAAGTTCGATACCTGAAATTAGAAACAAAAACAATGTTTCTTTAGAATCATGCTCTTGTATTAACTGCAAAATCTTTTCAGTAGCAATTAATGAATCTTCATCGGGTAAATTGTTCGTTGCCGCCTCATATGCGTAAATGACATTTGATTGGAAATTACTTAAAAATGGTGTAATAATTGAAATGACTCATGAATGTACTTTGATCTCAAAGAGCCTCTCGGGGCTACAACAATTCCCGCTTTGATCAGATCGCCCAAGGATTTTTCGGCGGCAGCTGTCATCGGTAAAACGGCTTTCCCGAAACCGATCAACACTATCTTAATTGAAAAGTTCTTGTACAAAAAATGCTTTTGAAAGTAAAGGGATTTCCTAAAAAAATTAAAGAGCTAATAGAGCTAATATTTTGTTACAATATTAATTACCTATTTATTCACTTACCTTGAAATTTTGGCATCTGTTATAAAGCGACTTTCCAATAGAAACGTTAGTCGATTGGACATCTATTGCCTATAAAAAATTTCATATTCTTTTTTTCAAAAATCAAAGATAGTTTTTGAGAATATTCTGATAAGAAATTCAACTACAGATATGTTTCATCATGAAATTTGACGGAAATGAGTAGCCATGCTGAGGTGGAGCTACCAAGTTTCACGTGCTTTTTGCGCAATTCGACCCCTTTTTGCGGGGTTTTGAAGTGCATCACGTGAACTATTGCAGAGATCACCAGAAAATTACGATTAAGTCGCCAATATAAAAACCCTTCAAGAAGAAAACACTTATAAAAACAATATCTGCTTACAAAGACTAACTTCTTCATTTCTCTTTACATTGACCAACCTTTTGTACAGCCAAATAGGGATTCACTGCTTGGCATGCTGTCCGAAACGCATTTAAAGCCACTTGCATCCTAAATCTATCTCATTTTTTATTTTCCATTCTTTTTTCGTTTCTCATATTGCAAAATTACATCAACACAAAAATTACAGTGTAGAGCGTTGTCTTTTTGTTTTTACACTTAACAATTAACGTATTATAGACCAAGTTTTACATATCTAAACGAAAAAATACAGCGAACACCCTTTTCTTTTTCATTTGACGCTCGCGACCTGCCCAATAATAGTCCGATAGCGAAGTTGTTTACGTTTTTACCTACATTTGTTATCACCCAGATAAAATGTTCAATGACCTTGAAACTTTGCTGCGAACTCTTGTTTCTCTCATTCCCTCTCCTTGCACTTTCCCTAAAACGCGCCAGGGTACTTTGTGGACGTCAATGAGTGCTGGGCCAAGGCGCTACCCCTAAACTTGAACTAACCTGGGCCATCCAATTTATAAACTGTTATATTTTTTAAATTCTTCGCTCATTTGCCTCAACCCCGATAATTTGAGTATCTAGCTTGCGCCCCTTTCTCTTCCAGTACTATATTTTGAACAACACATACATTTGCATCTAATAGAGCTGTGTACTTAACCAAAACTAGTGTTGCTTTTGATCTACCGTAAGCTTTATGTTACGAGTTTACGGCTTTACGGGTATTGTTTATATTACGAAAAGTTTGCAAAATGTTTTTTTCTTTCTTTAAATTCTTTTCGATGTGATAGTCGTGTTTAATTTTAGGTAATGCTCCGACTCAGCCAATTGGTGGGAGCACAAACTGTGCGATGTATCCACTGTTCAGCTTCCGTGCTGGGCGGCGTGCCGATGTCCAAATTCGACTCTAAAAGCTATCTCCCATATGAGAAACTCGACAAGAAAATAAAGGTCGTCAAGAATCGTCTGAAGCGCCCGTTGACATTATCGGAGAAGATTCTCTATGGACATTTGGACAAACCCGATACCCAAGACATTGAGAGAGGGGTCTCTTACTTGCGGTAGGGTTTTATTTTTAAATGAGTTTTGAAAAAAGTTGAGGCAACTAAATACTTACAAAGCCTTTCCCATCTAAGAGTACTATACTAAATGCATTAAGCCGTGGGTTAACGCTCTGCATGCCTAGATTATTGGTTGAGCACAAGCTAACTATAAGAGCTCCGTAATGTCAAAGCCCATTTTACTGTTTTACTGTTATCGTTAACATAGGAAGGTCTTTGCTATGTCCTCTTCTCAATTAATCGAGAAGTACCAGCCAATTACATAGTTAGTGTTTAAGTTATCGTTAGAAGTCTTGCCATCGTATTAAATGTGTAATGTTTAGACTTCGACCCGACCGTGTTGCCATGCAAGATGCGACTGCACAAATGGCCATGCTACAATTCATTTCATCGGGATTGCCTCAAGTTGCCGTTCCATCAACCATTCACTGCGACCATTTGATCGAAGCTCAACGAGGTGGTGTACAGGATTTGGCCCGAGCTAAGGTACGAGTTCAATGCTTTATTCCACAATTGATGTAAATTTAGGATCTGAACAAAGAGGTTTACAACTTCCTCTCTTCATCTGGCAACAAATACGGCGTCGGTTTCTGGAAGCCGGGAAGCGGAATTATTCATCAAATCATTTTGGAGAACTATGCTTTCCCTGGACTTCTTCTCATTGGAACGGACTCTCATACGCCAAACGGAGGTTTATTTTTGATTGTTGCATTATGAACTTATTTTTATGGATCTGTTTGGCCGTCATATTCTGCTATATTTTTTGTTTAGGAGGTCTTGGTGGACTTTGCATTGGTGTTGGAGGAGCTGATGCCGTTGATGTGATGGCTGATATTCCCTGGGAACTCAAGTGTCCAAAAGTCATTGGCGTGAAATTGACCGGGAAGCTTTCTGGCTGGACTTCAGCAAAAGACGTTATTTTGAAGGTATTAATATTATTTTTACAAAGCTTCAATGAAAAGTTAGGTAGCCGATATTTTGACCGTGAAAGGAGGAACAGGCGCAATTGTTGAGTACTTCGGGCCTGGCGTTGATTCGATCTCTGCGACTGGTATTTTTATTGTTTTTGACTACTTATAAATATTTTATAGGTATGGCGACAATCTGCAACATGGGCGCCGAAATTGGAGCTACTACTTCTGTATTCCCCTACAACGACTCGATGAAAAAATATTTGGAAGCAACTGGACGTGGAGACATCGCCGGACAAGCCGAGAAATTCAAGCACTTGTTTGTTCCGGATGAGGGAGCACATTATGATCAGGTAGCTTTGGTGATTTGTGGCTTAAGCATCCATCGTTTTAGCTGATTGAAATCGATCTCTCAAAGTTGACGCCACACGTCAATGGACCATTCACCCCTGACCTTGCTTCTCCAATTGACAAGCTTGGAGAAAATGCTAAGAAAAACGGCTGGCCATTGGATATTCGTGTAGGTTTTATAAAAACATGTTTGTGAAGATATAAGTTATCGATGTTTGTTTTAGGTTGGTCTAATTGGCTCGTGCACGAACTCATCCTACGAAGACATGCAGCGCGCAGCCTCTGTAGCAAAGCAAGCTTTGGGGAAAGGACTCAAGACGAAATCAACTTTCACCATCACACCTGGATCTGAACAAATTCGCGCTACTATTGAAAGAGATGGTCTTTCCAAGATCTTTGCCGACTTCGGAGGTATTTCCAGTTCAGAACTAATGTTGATGGTTAAATGCACCTGCGAAAATCCAAAGAAATTTTTGTTTAGGTATGGTCTTGGCAAATGCCTGTGGACCTTGCATTGGACAATGGGATCGTCAAGACGTGAAGAAAGGAGAGAAGAACACTATCGTGACATCTTACAACAGGTAAACGTTATCACGGGTTATTTGTTTAACAAGAAAGAAGAGTTATTGTTTAGTATGTTGTTATTTTATTACGTTATTTAGAAATTTCACTGGCCGTAATGATGCAAACCCTGCAACTCACGGATTTGTGTGCTCCCCTGAAATTGTGACCGCCCTAGCGATTGCTGGTAGACTCGATTTCAATCCGCTTACCGATGAGCTCACCGCTGCTGATGGATCAAAATTCAAGCTCAAGCCCACCAACTGGAGATGATCTTCCACGCGAAGGATATGACGCAGGAGAGGACACTTATCAGGTTTTAACTTTAAAATTATTATTTAATACTGAGTCTAGGCACCATCGGGAAGCGGATCAGTTGATGTTGCTCCTACATCTCAACGATTGCAGTTGCTTGCTCCATTCAACAAATGGGACGGAAAAGATCTTGAGGACATGGTCGTCTTGATTAAGGTTTTGTTTAAGAATTTTTCAAGTTAGTTGAATGTATTGGTATTTAGGTGAAAGGAAAGTGCACCACTGACCACATCTCAGCTGCTGGCCCTTGGTTGAAGTTCCGTGGCCATTTGGACAACATCTCCAATAATCTTTTCTTGACCGCTATCAACGCCGAAAATGGGGAAATGAACAAGGTTTTGTACGAGTTGACATTGCAATAACGTATTCTAATTTAGGTAAAAAATCAGCTAACCGGTCAATATGGTGCTGTGCCGGACACCGCTCGAGCTTTGAAGGCTTCAAAACAGGTCAGAAAAGTGTTAGGTCTTTTGGAAAAACATTTTTAGGCTTGGGTTGCAATTGGAGATGAGAACTATGGAGAGGGATCTTCTCGTGAACATGCAGCCCTTGAACCCCGACATTTGGGAGGACGTGCTATCATTACCAAGAGCTTTGCGCGTATTCACGGTTTGTTTAAAGTTTCTATTCATAATTGGCTAACTTTTTAGAGACAAATTTGAAGAAGCAAGGAATGCTCCCTCTTACGTTTGCCAATGCTGAAGACTATGACAAGATTGACCCAACTGATCGAGTTTCAATTGTTGGACTGAAGGTAAATCTTTGAAACAATTAGCGTTATCACAACGTTATTGCAATCCTAAAATATTTGAATTTTTTTAGGATTTTGCTCCCGGCAAGCCGTTGAAAGCTGTGATTAAGAAGGGGAGCGGAAAGAAAGTCGACATTTGGCTGAATCACACTTTCAATGAACAACAGATTGAATGGTTTGTTTAGCATTTCAAATATTAAAGTTCTTTTAATTATGATAACTTTATGTTTTTTAAAAATTAAAAATCTAGGTTCAAATCCGGATCTGCCCTCAACCGAATGAAAGAAGTGTTTGCCTCGCGAAAGTGATTACCTACTTCATCTTTAGTCGTGTAGATTAGTGATGTAAAGCTGTAGTAAACTACCCTTTGTTTCTGAATCTGTGTTCTTTTTTTTGGCTCCACAAAATTCTAACGCATCTTATTTTTTTTTGCTTGTGAAAGGTGTTTTTGTATGTAGTCACATAGACTCGATGTTTTATATAGCCAAACGAACATCCATATCTTTGAGAATAAATTTATTGCAATTCAACCTCAAATCACAAGCAAAATAAAAATGTCTGTACCCAGGATAGTGTTCACAATGAACTTCATTGTTAAGTTGATCTCAACTAGAAATTATGATTTTTGGCAAGTAATGTACAAAGCCACCGAGATGAAGAAAATCACGCAAACTTATTACGAATGCAGCAAGCAAAAAGGGCAATAAAATGGGTAAGAGAGAAATGTACCCGAATGTGAGGTGACTTTAAGCCTTCAAATCTAAAAAGGCAACGAAGGGAATGAATACCTTACTGTAGAATACTTCTGTTTTATTGTCTATCCCGGTCAACCGTCACAATTCTCGTCTTTGGGGCTGTCGGTGGGGGAACTCGTGGTGCAGCAGTTGGTCGGCCAGCTAAACGTCAAATACTTTGTACGTGTTTTTTTGTTTTGAATTTACCAGGACTTCTTGCGGGTGATGGTGATGCTCGGCGGCGAACACCCTCGGAGACAAATGGTGATTTCAGTCCTGCAAATTAAACAAATTAAAGTTATTAAGTTGGTGAATGAGTCTTTTCGTTTCTTTTCGTACTTCCAATTAAAATCAGCAAATACACCAATTCGAATTACGTTTTTGTTTCATTAGATTTCAAAGATCAATTATTTTGTAACAGAGTATGTTTTGTAATCACAAACCATTCATGATCTTCTCAAAATCTCCGTGTTCAACGTTTCCTTTTTCCAATCTTGTTCGACGCTTGTTCGCCATATTTCCAGAATTCATTCTTTCCGCCAATTCACACAAGAGTTCCACCTGAAAAAGTTTCTTTTCTATTTCTTCCAAAATTCCATCACATACTTGTGCATTTCCATTCGTGACCGTTCCATTTTGTTTATTCGCTGCAGCACGTGCTTTTCTTTCCGCTTCCTCTTTCATTCTCTGCAATATAATTTTCACATAATCTCTAATTAGTTCTTCTTCGAATCTACCTTTTCTTGGGCAGCTCGTTGTTTATTCTCATCACGCGCTTTTGAAAAATCAGCCACAAATTTGGAGAGTCGAGCAAAGAAAACGTTTGGTGCCATCGTTTTGGGTGAATCCCCATAAAATTCACAACAACTTTCATAGGTTTTCTAGAAACACATGTTTGAAATCAAGCTTTTTTTCCTTTTTCTAACCATTGCTAAACGAGAGCTTTCCGTCAACTCGTCGACTTTCTGAGAATTCCCTTCAATGAATAGCCTCAATGCATCGGGGCAATCGGCGCCTTTCAATTCTCGTTCCCGACTCGCCAGCGCCCATCCATTTTCCAGTTCTTTCAAATCGCCCAACACACTCTCCCATTGCACTAAATCCATTGTTTTGGCCATAATTCCCCCCAATTTCATTCATTACCAGTCCCAGCTTTTTCCACAAATTTCAACTCTTCGGCAAAGCCGAGCAAATCGGGGAAATTTTTCTCGATTGCTTCGGTGATCATGTGTAATAGGGAAACGTTGCGGTCTGTCGGCGATTTGAGAGTGGCTATCTGAATTTATTTCGTTGCCCTTTTAGACTAGTGCTTTAGTCTAGCCATACCGATTCGAGAGAGGCTAATTTGAAGCCATAAACTCCTCCCTTTCGACCACTGTTCATATAGTTACCGAAAGCGAGAAGAACCTGAATGCAAATTGCGGGCTTTCGTGCTAATTTTTGATAGAGTTACCTCCAAAACGCCTTGGAACTTTTTCGCCTCGTGCGCACGTTTCGAAGCGGCTGTCACTTGGGATAGTTGCTAAATAGGTTTTGTTTATTTCAATATTTCACACGCTTCATTACCGGTGCGATGAGTTGCACGTTTTCCGTGAAATCGGCCATGTAATGCATCACTTTTAATTTGTGCTCAAGTCTCTCGATCTCGCAGAGAGCTGCTAGATAGCGATCCTAAATTCATTTGGTACTTGTTGTCAGTTTTGGGGAAAACCTCGTCAGTTAGTGTGTCAAGCAATCCCTTCTCTCTCTCCTCGGAAAGTGCTTTCCTTTCCTCGTCTGTTGGAATGATTCGCAACAAAATTTCAACCTTAAACGCTTTGTTTAGAAGCTTTTTTTGTTATTTCATTATCACCTTTTCATCAGGTAGAGCTTTCAGATCGAATTGATGCACAGCGGCCATAATCGATACTGCATCCAAAGCGACTTTTCGACGAGTGATTGCTAAATTTTGCTTTCATTCATTGCTATAAAACTCTAGTAGTACCGATATTTTGAAGTCGTTTAGTGTCAAGTTTTGTGTTATGTCGAGCAGTTCCTGGCTGGCTGTTTTGAGAACCACTGCCTGGACTCACTTGACCGTTCAATGATGCCGTCGAAACTTCCACCTGATAGTTGTAAGTGTTGATGTTGATAATCAAATGCAAATACCTGAACTGCTGGCACAACTCCGCCAACTTTGAACAACTCTTCCAGATGTGTGAAGTCAATTTTCTATTTTTTTTTCTTACATTTGAATGTAACTAGCGTTTACCTCAATAATATTTTCGTCATTGAGCTCTGAAAAGACGGTGTTCTTGGCTTGATTTGGTTTCATGGCAGCCCAGTTAAGTTGTGGTAGTTTGTTTTTTGGATGATAAACTCGTTTAATCGTCAAAACGTCATTAGCAGCAGGTCCTCCGGGAAATGGAGGTGGTGGAGGAGGTGGGGCACCGCCAAACGGAGGAGGGAGAGGTGGGGGTGGGGGTGGACCTCCGCCGACTGAAATTTTATGATTGTATTGTTGATTTTAAATTGTAAATTGTGATTGTGCTGATTGTAGATTCTTTAACCTTTAGTTGTCGCTAACAAAGGAGGTGGAGGAGGCGGAGGAGGAGGAGGTGGAGGAGCGGATGTTGAGATTGGAGGTGGCGGAGGAGCTGGAGGAGGAGGGACATCTAAAGACAATGATTTTTATATGAATGCTTATTTTTTTGATACGGGAGGCCAGCGGAGCAGCATCTGATTCTCGGTGTGGGCCTGGTGGCGGTGGTGGGGGTGTTGGAGGAGACTTCTGCTGCTGAGCCACTTGTAGGCCGGCTAAACTACTCAAATCAAGATACTCTTTAAAACACAGTACAGCAATCTCCAGAACTTTTACCCTACCTTGCATTTGTTTCTGCATGGCTTCTAGCTCTTGAATTCGTTGCTCAAGTCTTGCTTCGGCTTCTCGAGCTGCGCGGTCTCGTTCCGCTGAAATTTGTGTAAATGTAATCGAAAGATTGATTTCACTTACTTAATGTTTTTTTCCAGGTTCCTTTTTGAGCTTCATGCTGTGCTTCAATGCTATCTTTTTCAGCAATTAACGTTCTAAAAATCTTTGCTAATTGTCGCATGGGAAAGACGGACCTGAGTCTCGAATCGAGAGCTGCTTTGTCTGTAATCCATTTCGCTTCCACTTCTTGTACCCGTTCTTTAGTCTAGAATTTCATTATCAAAACAAGAATAAGCGACTTGCAAGAAATTGTACTGAAACAAACTTTGGAAAGATCATCGGAGAGTCGGGTTCTTTCCTCGAGCAGTTCATCTCTTTCTCGTCGATCTTCCATCAATTGTCCCACATCAAGAGCGTTCTCTCGATATGCGCTTATTCGACTTTTCAGCTCATCCGATGAATTTTCTGCTGTCTCCTGTACAGAATCGAAAATTTCACATCATTGACATCAATATTTGCCCACCTCCACATATTCATCCATACCAAGCAATAAGAATTCATATTGTAAATGCACTCGATAGTTCACATCTTCCACACAATGGACAAAAACTGAAAACTTATTGTTGTTTTGATATTTTGTAACCTTTTTTTAACAGAATAATTGAACTAATTTCTTTTGATAATTGTCAAGGATTTCTTTGGTACTCACCATTAATAAATTGAACGGCTGAGCTGAGGAATTCGTAGTGGAATTCGGTGGGGCGACGAATGAAATGCATTAGAGTTTGGAAACGTTTTCCCTCACGGAAATCCTAAATAAAATACATTTGAAAATTCCGGATTTTTTCAGACTTGTCGAAATTTGTCGAAAGCATCCGAAACGAGCTCATGCCCTCCACCAACCATACAAATTGTGGCCAACATTTGCACCACCAGCGTTTTCGTTCTAAAAATCTCATTGTTTTCGAAAATTTTTGCTTGAAGAAACCGTAAACTATTGTGCAAGATACTCCGCACAATGCAATAAATGGCTCGCGGCATCTCGAAAACCATGTTGAGACCTCGCTGGAAGTTTTCTTTGTACAGACTTTTGACTATTTTCTCACTTTATTGTTCATGATAGCTCTTAAGCATGAGACACACACGTGCACATCATCCTCCAACTCTCCCACATGCCTAAAAATGTAAAGCACTAAATTTTCAATTAAACTCGTTTTTGCTAATTTTAAAATTACACACTTGCTGATTTTCGCCGCACTTTTTGTAGGCACTTTGCGCTGAAGACCAAAAGAGAGAGCCGAGCTTTCGGATTCATTTGCGATCGCTGAAGGAGAAGCTTCACTAAAGTTCACGAATAACAAAGTTACTATATAAAAGAGATTTATATCTTTAGAGTTATATCTATGATATCTATACAGTACCTGCTGCAAGTTGCTTCATTGAGAAGTGAATCGAGATAATCGACGAGCACAGTGAGACCGTTGTGTGGTGGATCCAAAAACAAGGTCACCCAACTAAAAAAGTTTCAGATTAGTTTGAGATTCGAGTAAGCTCAAATTCGTGGAATCAATCGTGAAGAAAAAACTGACTCAACACTATTTGTCCTCAACGAAATTTCGATGTGTTTGAGGAGTTTCGTCGACGTTTCGTCGCCAATCTTCTTCTTGTTCTGAAATTTTCAAAGTTTTCACAAAAAGTTGCAAAGCTAAGAGTAAACAAGTTATAAACCATTGCTTCACAGATGAGCGGCAAGCTTTTACAAGAAAAATTCTTGAAAGAACTTTTCTGAAAGACTTTTCAATGAATGAATGCAATGTGGTTACCTTCTTGAGTGTTTTCGGATCCATATAGCAAAGAAGTTTATCTAGATAGACACCCGGGCTGATCACTTGACTTTGTGATACTCCACGCTGAAAATGAGCGTATGTTTGTAAGGATTTCATCTCACAAACCAGTTGCTGATCGCAAACGAGTTTCCATTTCTTTGCTTCATCATATGATTTTAGAATCCGCACTTTGTCTACCGGTAGATCCATTTGTTTCTGAAAATAGATTACTTAGAATTAGATTTAAAACCAATTGCATACTAGAACTTGATCGAACATTTGTGCGAGTCGCTCTGGATCCGGCATGGGAGGGGCGGCCGTGGAGGCGATCGGTGAGGCGACTGGAGCCTGCATTGCGGCGCTTGATGGCGATCTAGATATTTGATTGGAATCTCATTTAAGAATAGCTTAAATACTTTAATATTATATTAATATTATATGATTTTTTTAGTTTACTTTGTGAGTGGAGAGTCCACTGATCGCCCGCGCCGATGCCGGGATTCCCTTGTTGTACCACCACCTCCAGAATTGATCGAGACGCCACTCGATGCACTCGATGTTGATGCTTTGTGCGAGGATGGACGACGGAAAAAGGCTAAATTTTTCTTTGCAAAAAAAAACATTTAAGTGATTTAAAAGGACTTCAGGATGAGTAACGAGGACTCAAATTGCGTAAGCCAAAACAGAAAGGCTGTTCTCCTTTTATAAACAAAAGGAAAATTGTCAGCTGGGCAGCGGTGAGAAAAGAGAATATAGAGGAGTAGAAGAAGGGAAGTGAAAATTCTGCGTAAATTTTGCTGATTCATTTATTCATTTGCTGAATAAAGTATATATAAAGGGGTAAGGAGTAGAGTTTGTTCCTTGCAAGTAAATAGTTACTTGAGCAAAATTTACATAAGTAATTATTTGCTTATGCAAATTTAATAATTTTTACTCGATTAACCGACGTTTTTTTTTGTCGAGTAACTACTAATCTTTACACGCCGAGTAAATTGAATGTCTTTACACTTGAAGAGAATTTCCCACCAAAATAGTTAAAAGGCTGCATATCTTTAAATGGAGTCGTATATAAGCCATCGCTCATGATTTTTGCGCAACTCGCCATAACTTTCTTCTAAGTTGGCCAATATTTATGATTTTGGTGTCGTTTTATAGATCTCAACAAGTTCAACAAAATGACACCAAAATCATAAAGATTGACCTACATAGAAAAAAAGTTATGGCGAGTTGCGCAAAAGACCTAGTTGCGCAAAAAATTTGGCGGAAAGTAGCCACCCCCAATTTTTTGCAATAATTTTTGCTAAAAGTACGGTAATTTTTTCAAAGAATGCGTTTTAAAAGACGCACTACTTGCGAGGAAGGAACTCTAGTAAGGAGGGGTGAGTCCCCTTTAACTCTCAAAGATTGAAGGAGAAAAAAAAACCCCCTGTTTGCCATTCAGATCACCTTCTTGATCCTCCATTTGCCCATCTCTCTTTAGAAAGGCTTATTTTAAAAAATCGACCACAAAAAGATTCAATTCTGCACAATATCGTCATGAAGAAATTTGCAAAAGCGAAAATAACTTAGATATTGATGATATTGATTTAGAACTGCAAAAGATCTCACTTTTTTTATATATTGGTGAATAGGCAAAAGCTGCAAAAGCAAAAGCTTCGAAATAGCAACAAGTTTTCAAGCATCCTCATAACCTGGGCTAGCCGAATGGAGGAAAATTGGCTCTCTTTCCATCAGCCACTACTCGATGGGGGAAAATCGAAAAGAAACGGCTCCAAGCAACGAATTACATTTGAATAATCGTTTTCAAATTTATAAAATGATAAATCAAAGTGAGTTTTTTGAAGAAAAGAGAGAATGGATGGATGGATTGATGAGGAGACATTATGAGACTCAAAAGTGACCCGTTGACCGGCTTTGCATCATCAAAAAAAGTATGTCGTTTTGAAAAGTGAATGAGTGGATGAGAAAAGAAGAAAAACTCGAGAAAGACTGACCGAGATTATTGCTCTCACCCTTAGCTCTCCTGGAGTAGTCAGAGAGTGTGAAGGGGTGAGGGGGTGAGGGTAGGCCCGTAGCCTGTAGCCTTGGAAAATTTGCATTTTTCTTTAAAAAGTAGCATTTTTCTTCAAGAATCTACCATTTTTTTAAATTTCGTTATCCAAAATTTGAATAATTGCACAACACAAAAACAGAAAAATTATGGTGGCTGCTGACGGGGGTTCTGGCTACGGGCCTGCGTGAGGGCTACCCCGATTCCCCCCTCGGGAGCCAGTCCACCCTCCTCCTCCTCCACCCCTGCTCCACCCCTGCTCCATCCCCTTGTCCCATTCCCCTTATCGCTCTCAAATCCACACCATCATCCGCTTTTCAAACATCTTTCCTAAAAAATTCTCCTTTTCTACCGAAAACTTTAGTACTAGTGTCATATTTTTTACTCTCTACTGCTCATTCTCTCTAACTATAGCAAATCTATAAAGACTAGAGAGCAAATCTATAATCTATAAAGACTATAAAGACTGCGACTATAAAGATAGAAAAAGGTTTAATCAAAATTTGAAATGGAAACTAAAAAAACCGCGAAAAATAGAAACCTACTAGCCGTTATTTAGAAATAAATGAAAACGATGGAGAGTGAAAGAAAAAAAGAAGAAATTGACCTCTCATTGAGCCTTTGGCCGAAAAGAGCAATTAAGCTATTAAACCAATTTCGCAGTCTATCACTATTTAGTAATGTTCTTGAAAAAAACATTTTACTGAAATCTCTCAAAATAAGAGTTTGATTTTTTCGGGTTTTGTTCCAAAAATTTCCCAAAGAAAAATTCGGGCTTCCAAAAAGGAATATGGGCCTTTAGGATAAAAAAAAGAAAAGGCTATCGATCAAGAAACGAAAGAAAACGAACGAGAGGGAAAAGAAAGAGGAGTTGATCCCTTGTCCACCCTCACCACCACAACCATCCCCTTCCCTATTCGTTTCTTTTTCCATTCTTCTAATCAACCTCACCGATCTCCATCCCGATTACCCCTTTCCTTTCCACTCCATTTCGCCTTACTTGACCACTTTCCCCCTCTCCAATTTTGTTGCTTTAGTTTTATGCAAGAACTACATCCCATTAAAGGATAATAGATGCGTGAAAAATAAACACTAATTTGTTAGAGTGCTTTTCTTTTGGCACATATTACGTTTTTCTTCGCTCTTTTGCTTCGGCCGACAAGCGGCGGTCACTCAGAGGGATTTGTTGAGGAAAAAGGAGACAGGGACAGGAAACGAAAGAACACAAAACAGAAAAAAGAAGAAAAGAAGAAAAGAAGAAGTTTGGGCTCTTTCCTTAAATCTAAATTGGACCCTCACAACCGAATCTTGGGTCTTTACTTTGACAAATGTTATTCCATTGATTCGACTCGACATTACAAAAAAGGATTCGTTAGAAATAAAAGTTTCTGAAGAATCTAATTTGAGAACAGAGTTTTCTCGGCCTTAAATGGGACAAGATAAAGATAAGGTAAGGATAAGCTTTAAAAAATCGACAAGGAAGATGGCGTGTGAAAGCCGGAGGGGGAAAACAATGGATTGACGACGAATGGGGAAGAGGGAAAGGGAAAGGGAAAGGGAAAATGGATCTCACCAAAAGAGGGGACCACTCAGAAAGATGATAAAAAAGAAGTGAGTGCACCAAATGAAGTCTTCGCACACATGAACGCAATCAATCAACCATTACAAGTCATCGAATGGGGAACAGATGAATTGTTTGTGCAGGGAGTGCTTTCGTAATTTCATTCAATAAAATCCGCGTGGCATCAAGAGTTCTACCAAAAGAATGTTTTGATCCATAGACGAGGTTTATTGAGTTATTTTTTGGGTAGTGCAAATGGATGGATTGAATGGGTGAGGAGAGAAAGCGATGAGTCACGAAACCCCATTTATCCTTCCAAAAAAGAGATCTCTTTTCTCCTCTCCTTCAATGTTTTCATTTAATGGAGAGAAGATTCCAAACGAGAGAAAAGGACACTTGAAAAATTCCAAATCGGCTCCTCGTTTAATTCACAAATTCAATGTGACACACCTGTTGAGGGTTTCCGGAGAAATCTCTCATTTCTATAAAAGGTCGAAAAGTTGAAAAGTTGAAAAGTTTGAGTTTTTTTGTTGTTGAGAAAAGAAAAGTCAGAGGAGAACACTCATGGTATCTTTGTTGACATTTTTACGAGTTTCAAAGGAATGCAACGATGTTAGGAAAAAAAAGAAGAGAACCAGACTCGGCGTACTTTTTTTTTTTGAAAGCTCTAGCCGACTTTGAGATCAAAATCTTTGTCTCATGTTTCAAGTCCGAAGAAATTCGCAAAATATTAGTAAAAATAAGATGCTTTAGGAATAATATCGGGCTTTAAAGCTGTGAAAACACTTTGTCACCTGAACAAAACAAAAAAACTAATGGCTAGATGAAATTCTTGAAAGAGAGCATGCGAAGAATATAAATAAACATTTAAAGATGAGTCAAGGCGCGAAAATGAATGAGAAATGGGAAGGAGTGAATTCCTGTTTCACTCCACAATAAACCTAGATAAGACCTTCTCGTCCATTCACTAACAATGTGAAAGAAGAAAAGAAAGATGAATCTTGAAAGTTATCGTATTCTAATAAAGCTTCATTTTTCCATAAAATAGCTTCTATTAGAATAAAAACGGTAACCAAAATGAGACCCGACAAATAAGATTATATGCGAGTCGTGTAAGCTGGTGGTCATTGGGTTGGAAAGACAAAAACAGAAAAGAGAGGTGCGGACAGTTGTGGGTCTTTTGTCTTTTTGGGGGAATGAGGTTAGGGACGAGCGACGCTCGCTTTCTTTCCTCTTTCTTCCCACCAATTCTTTGCCCATTCTTCGCCGACAACGGACATCTTCTCGGAATGAGATTATCGCCCAGTGTCGGCCAGTCTACTTATAAACATTTCTTCTCTATCATTTCCCTTTGGCAAAAGCCTGGGTGTATGTAAAAATCTGTATAGTCCGGGGTGACAAAAAAGTGAATCGGTCTGAGCAATATACAGATGTGGAGATTGAATTTTCATGCATAAAGTGAGTGGGGGGAAATCGCGGTGAGCCGGCTTCAATGGTCATCGGTGCGTGCCCAAAAGAGGATAGAAAGCTTAGCGAAAAGGGGGTAAGCAAAAATGGGCAAAAGAAATCAAGGCACAAAGGGGGAAAATACCCAAAACAGGAGGGGGATGTCCGGCAGAAAAATTGAGAAGAGAAAACTGAGAAAAGGGGAAAAGGGTAGGGGAAAAAGGATGGAGAAAGAGTGGAGGAAAAGAGTTGGGTTAACGCCAAAAAAAATGAGACGAATGAGAGAAAAGGGGAAAAGAAGAGAAGAAGAGAGAACGGGAGAAAGCAGCAGCACATTGATTGCACAGGAGTGCGCTTGGGTCATTCGCCAAGAATCGCCTTTGGTCACTCGACACTTGCCATGTGGTCGAATAAAATGGAAAAATCACAGGCACCTTTTTTGATCAATAAGTGAAGCAAAAATTGTTTATGGGAAATGCTAAGCGCTCATTGACAGCTGAGTCAATGAAATTTGAAATCTGTAGCAATCAAAAGGGCAAAAACTGAACAAATTTTGAAAGAAAAGACTTACCAAAAAAAAAAGAACTGAAAGGTTTTGTTGAAGAAAATATTTACAGAAAAGACTGATGCGCCTGATGAGTCATTAAGACAGAAAAAATGAAGAGAAGAGGCAAAAGCGCCCAATGAGAGCGACAAAGCGAGTTTTTGTTTTTACCAAAAAAAAAATGAAATAAGGGACTAACATCGTCTTTCATTTGTCCTCCTTTCAATAACTGAATGATAGAGAGTCTCTCCCAGCATCCCCTCTTCACCGCTCCTTGCCGTGCTTCCACGAACCTAAACAAAAACATTTTCATTCAAAGATTCTTTTAAGAAAAGAAAAGAAAAATGAAAATCGATTTGAAATACCGAATCCAGGGTGTCTAGACAAGCGATTGGAGCTCGTTGAGCTTCTGAATGTATCGGTAAGCTCTCTGGGCGTTTCCTTTCTACGCTTTCGACTTCTTCAATTGTTGCTGAGAGTTCAGTGATTCTGAAATTTCATTCTCTCTGAAGATTCTCTTCCATATTACATGTTAGAGTACATGTTTAGAAATGTCCATCCAGCTGATTGTCTTTTTTTAAAGTCTCTTGAATGAAGCCTCGTTTATCCAATGATTTAAACCCGTTATCGCCCCTTCTTTGTCTTCTTTATAGACAAAGATACTTTTATTTTTAATCAATCTCTTAATTTCTTTTTTTTTCAAAATATAAAATAATAGTAAAGATATCTAGCCTTTATCAACAAAATGTCCGGATTTGAGCAAAGAGCCCAAAAGGGTATTATCAGTTTTAGAGCAAGAAATGTAGTTAAACTTGGTCATGGCTTAAGGTTTACCTGCATAAATTTGAAGCACCAAAGCCGGCGGTTGAGGACTCCCTTCGATGCCCAAAATCTTTCTAAATTTCGATTGGAAACACTAATTATCATTGTTAATTGATAATTGATAACCAACTTGTACAACGGTCGGCTCTTCGTCGAGATTTTTCGGGATCTGTTCGTGCAAACGTCGTTTCTCGCTCGCCGTGAGCTCACGATACACTGAAACTTGTCGATACTTGTCGTTGAATCGTTTTTCCAAAGAACTCAGTGCTGATTACGATTAGTAAAGGATGGGAATTATTTTTAATATTATATTAATATTAAAATGATGACAGTATTATCTAAAGAAAAGGGGGAAGTGAAGATGGTGTGAGGAAAAAAAAGGAAAGGAGGAGAATATGAATGAATGGGATCCTCCGAGAAGTGGTAGTCAGTCCTTTTTTTCCACAAAGTCCTCCATTTCTCCTTTTTTTTCCTATTTCCCGTTGGAATGAAAAAGAGGTATGTACATGAATCGGTCACTTTTGGTCCTCTCGAAGCGACGATGAACGGAAAAATTGTTGACTCTCGCGGCGGAAAAAAAAATGAATTCAATCTCGACCACAAAACAAGCAAAGACATAAAAAAACATGATTCTCTGAGATAAACTATTCAACATTTTTTGGATAAACAATCAAATTGTGTCTAGAAGTTTAGCAATAGTTTTATCTAGAGTCTTTATCTTGTTCCGAGCGAGTAATGCGTTTTTTAAAACGCACACTTGGGAAAAAATTACCGTACTTTCAGCAAAAATTATTGCAAAAATGGGAGTGGGACAAATGCGACCTTTTTTTTGCGCACCCGGACATTTGCGCACCTTTTTTTCCGCACCTTGCCCATTAGCGCACCTTTTTCGCGTTTTAAAAAAGCTAATATTAACCAATTTCTATTCCAAAAGTTGTTTTTCTAGGTAATTTTAGGGCGTAGAATCGAAATTTTGACATAACAGACATATCAGAGCTTGTGGAACCAATTTGAAAGACAAAACGGCTAGATCAAATTACAGAAAATTGTCGATTTTTATCTTTGTATAACTCCGTCCGTTTGTTTCCACAAGCTCTGATATGTCAAAATTTCGATTCTACGCCCTAAAATTACCTAGAAAAACAACTTTTGGAATAGAAATTGGTTAATATTGGCTTTTTAGAGCTTTTTTAAAACGCGAAAAAGGTGCGCTAATGGGCAAGGTGCGGAAAAAAAGGTGCGCAAAAAAAAGGTCGCATTTGTCCCACTCCCAAAAAAATGACGCAAAAATGACGAGCCCCGCATTATATACGACACTTTTTAAAGATACTTAGCCGTTTAACTGATTTGGTGGGAAATTCCTCTCCAGTTTGGTTTTATATTTTTTTTCGCGCAGGCGCACTTTTTAGAAAACGCATTAACGCGAATTACTCGAGCTATTACTCATGCAAATTTACTCGAGTAATTACTTACTCGCGAGGAACCCACTCTAGTTTTATACTAGAGATCATTTTTTTAGCCAGAATTATCCACTACCGTTTAATGAAGCTTTTGCAAAAGTTTATTTTGACTAACCACGGTCCATCATTAACAAAAATTTACTTCAAAACTTCAAAACAAACAAAACAAAGCTTTGAAATGTTTGGAATTCGATATTATAAAAAGATTCTAGTGCTTTCAATAGATTATAGGGAGTAAGTTGTAAAAATAAATGTTCTATTGAAAATAACATAAAAATTTTTCAATAAAACTATAATCAAAAAAATAAAATCGGGGCGGTTGGAGTTGGAGCTGGAGGGAAAAGGGAAAAGAGGTGAATTGACGATGAGAGAAACGGAAAAAGGGGAAAGTGAAAGAAATCGGGACAACGATCAATGTCCCACCATCAACTTTCGTCTCCAAATCATCTTCAACTACCAGATTCTTTTATTATATCATTTTTTTTTTACTGAAATTAAGATCAATTTACATTTAAAACAAACTTTTTGCAAAGGGATTCTTTTTCAGCATTCTCACCACCGCATTTTATTGTTGAATCTCGTCAAAATATGAATCAATGCTTGGAAGGAAAACTTGTGAAATTTAGCGCATTTGAGTCAGTGGGGGAAGAGTTCGCAGAAAATTTCTCCTTCTGACTCAGAAACACTGAATTTCTCCTTCTGACTGAATCTCTTATCAAAAAGGTTAGACAAAAAGAATTTGCGAAAGATCAAGAAAAAAAAGCTCAATTTGATAGTAAAGATTTTATTTCTCACCTCTGGAGAAAGCAACAAGTGAACGGGAAAATATTATTTCTTTTTTGAAAACATATTTACCTCTTCGTTTTCGCTGCGACTGCTGGGCGCCCATTGTTGAGGAAAGGACTGAATATTGAATGTTTATGAAAATCGTTTAACTTTAAAAGTATAAAAGTTTTAGATACCGTATTTCTTCGAATAGAAGACCGGGTAAAGAGTATCATCGCGTACTCCTGCGTAGCAGCCCTTTTTAAAATTTCTTTTCCGCATAAAAGCTTTCAATCAAGTGCTATAGGGCTTGAAAATGACTCAAAAATCTGTTACCACATGTGGTAAAGATTTTTGAGTCATTTTTCAGCTCTATAGCACTTGATTGAAAGCTTTTATGCGGAAAAGAAATTTTAAAAAGGGCTGCCACGCAGGAGTACGCGATGATACTCTTTACCCGGTCTTCTATTCGAAGAAATACGGTATACACTTACAATTGTTATATTGTAAGTGAAGAATTTAATTTGATTTTGAATTAAAACAAATTTGCGTATCAGTGAAGAATTAACAAATGATTCGTGCTTAAAAGAGGAAAACTTTCAAACAAAATGCCTCAGAACAATAATATAAAATGATGTAATTAAAGCTGGCAAAAGTGTTTGATGACAGGGCAAATATTGGAGTGAATTGGTGGAGACAATGGTGGAAGTATTGGAGAAGAGTTCTAGATGGGATGGGGGGAAAGGATCTCTTCCTTCCATCGGCACAACTGCAACCCAACACCTTGAATGGATGTTGTTGTCGCCTTTGCGAGTCTCCAGCTTCTCTTCTCATTTCTTTTCATTCTTTCATCATCATCTCATCTTTAACTCTTGTCTTATTTTTGAAAAAGTCAACTCACTTAGACTTTCGATATTTTCCTTCGATATTTCTAGATCCTCATCTACGTGCTACAATTTCAAAATCAAAAAATCTCAAGAAATACTGAAGAAAGCAACATCGCTTTGCGGTGAGCAATGTTTATTTTTTTTTGAAGGGAAAATTTTTTGACCACAAAAAAGAGGAAACCAAAATGTTTTATCGCTGCTAACATAAACATTTTGAGATGAAGGAGGTGAAAGGAAAAAAAAAGAAGTGAATAAAATGAGGAGAAGAATTGAAAGAAATGAAAAGGATGGGAAGATGAGAAGGAGGGAGGGGAGGGAGGGAGGGAGGGAGGGGAGGGGAGGGTGAAGGACCCCTCGCTGATCAGACCTTCCATTCATTCCTCACCCATCACCCATTCATTCCACTCTGCCATTCTTCTTTAATTTCTATCCCAAAAGGATTTGAAATTCGAAATTCATCAAAACAATATGGCAGATTTGAACTAAATGGGGTATTTTTGATTGTTTTTTTTCTCTTGGTGTTTTGCCAAAAGTGTAACTCCGCCTATCATAAGAATATCATAAGATATGGAAAGAAACATGAAAACACTCTTCCAGGAAATCAAGAAAAGAAATCACTTGTAGATAGCATATAAACGGCAAACGATATTCAAATCAAAAAAAAAAACTGCCTCGAAATACGCCTAAGAAACGAAAAAAAAGCCTCAAACAAATGATCGAATCGCGTTTTTAAGAGTGTTTTTGCGGGGTTTGTGGGGGTTTCATGTGAGTTTTGGGGCCCTCAAGGGAGTGAAAAGGCCCCCTCATCACTCAGCACGTTTCGCTGAAAAATCCGACAACTTTTTACCCTTTCAACAAAATTCTTAATATGCCTAAGATTTTAGAGTACTGTTCAAACGTTCGCTCATTTAGCCTAGACTAATTCCAATCCGTCTTCTGCCAAATAGACTTCGCAACAATTCCAAAAACATAACTAAACCCCAAAAACATTCTGCCGATGATTACATGAGATTTGTAGCTGATCGCTTTGTGCGGACTGGAAATAATATGGTTTGTCTTTGATCAAATAAAAAAAATAAAGTGGCAAACAAGGGTTTTTAGTTAACAGTCAGAAAATGTACGGAAGAATCGATGAGTGATGCGATTGTTCTGGGACGGCTTGAGTTTCGAGGGGATTGTGACTTGGGCTCACTTATGTGTATCGCTCCTCTTTGTGGACGAACCTTTGATTCAATACAAGTACTGTATTTATTCTAATAGAAGCGAATGCGCTTTTCTTTTTTTCAATGATTTCACAAAATAGCCTCTATTGGAAGCTGCGCTTCTATTAGAATAAATACGGTATCTGGTTATTCTCAGGCTCACAGTTATCAAACGATCTTCGTTTGGAAATTACGTAATTTGTATAAAATCTAACTCTAAACTTGAACGGTGCAAGGTTGTGATATAAATTGTGATGGAATCTGACCGCCTAGATTTGAGCAATGGGTCGCGTCCGCCTCTTTCAAAAATTACGTTTTTATTTGCATTTAATTTGCGTCGCTTTTTCGTCTCGCTTTCACTTTAGCTAGCTCGTTGAACACTTTAGAAAGAATTTGCTAATATTTGTGTTGCCGTCGTATCACGAGCGTTAACTTCGTGCGGAATTTGGCTTGCTCTTGTTGTATTGTGAGCGTTTTTAGGAAAAACCCGTTTACCTTTGGTACTACTCGGTTATTCTAAAACAAAATCATCCCCGATGATAAGGTGAAAGCAGATCGCACCCCAAACTGTGACTCTAGCATTTGAGATTTGTCTGTTGAGCTTCTCAGTTACCGTATTTCTTCGAATAGAAGACCGGGCAAAGAGTATGATCGCGTACTCCTGCATAGCAGCCCTTTTTAAAATTTCTTTTCTGCATAAAAGCTTTCAATCAAGTGCTATAGAGCTGGAAAATGACTCAAAAATCTGTTAGCTCATGTCGTATTTTTGAGCCATTTTTCAGCTCTATTAGCACTTGATTGAAAGCTTTTATGCAGAAAAGAAATTTTAAAAAGGGCTGCTATGCAGGAGTACGCGATCATACTCTTTGCCCGGTCTTCTATTCGAAGAAATACGGTATATTAAGTGACATTCGATTCAAACCATGAAAATCTCTTTGACTTGGTTGTGCTTTTTCAAGATGATATAAAGTGAAGCTTTATGAAAAAAGAAAAAAAGTGAGTAATCAAAGGGTATCAACGGTGTGGCGAAGTTGTGCGAGACGAGCGGTGAGCTGAGGAATTGGTGGATCGATGCCGGGCACTTCAGCTCCCAGATCGACCAACATCGCGAGAATCGATTTGAGTACCTAGGAATTTCATTTTTCTAGTGGTTTTCCTCGATCACCTTACCAAATCCACCTCCTCATGAATGAGTTTTCCGTGAAAAACATCGCAATGCTGGCTCAACTCCTCGCTCGTTTCGACCATCATCTTTGACACTTCGAAAATCTGAAATCGCATTTATTTGGGATATTTTGAATTCCTTTTTTGTAGTCTTACTAAACTTAAAAATGAGTTTTTGTAACTTCAAACAAAAACACAAAAAGATTTGACAGTTAGGGGAATGCTTTGGTTAGATTGGATTAGAACACTTGGATCAACCTCAGTCACAGTGGCATCTCCATCTTCTGCTTCTGCTCCATGAGGGCCAATTTTTTTGCACAAATCTTCCAAGGTTTTCACTTCGCTGATCAGCTTTGTCTTGATCTCATTGACACGTGGTCTAGAATCATTGCTTTATTCATTCATTCATTTCATTTCCTTTACCCAATCCTTTCCCAAGTGTTCGCGAATGTTTTCGCTGATTCAGCTAGTCTCGATCGAAGTGATTCCATTCTAAATTAGCATTTGAACATTTGAATGATTGAAATATTAGGAATATTATTGAAACCTCTTTCTGACGATATCAAGCGCGAGCGGTTCTTCAACTTGGACACTCAACTTTTGCGCGCTGCCCGATGGATAAGTATCCGTTGATAGCAATGATCTGAAATTAACTCTTGAAATAGATCTAGATAAGTTAGATAAAAATCATTTTGGCTTTTGTTTTGGATAATGATTTTCATTTCAAGTACAAGGTTAAACGTAACGACCGACCTGCGTCGTTTTGAGCACGAATTCAGTAACGAGGCCGATGTGACCGTTTCCTTCCAAGACGGATTCTCGAGCTCTCTAATCATTTCTCCTTTTCAAAGTTTTCTTATTTCAGTTTACCGTAATCGTTCACCTTCGACTCCAGTGTAATCCTTGAGACTCATTCTTCTCACTGGCACTTCTTCCATTGCACCATCATCCACCTAAATACTTTTTTTCTTTTAATGAAAAGCTTTAGGGGACTTTTTATGTCTGTAAATGCCATGTTTGCCTTCTTTTTCCTCATTTCTTTGTCCCATTAGCACTCGCTTTTCAATTAGCGTGGGTAATGAGGCGAAAATCGGCGGTGTCCGAAAAAGTCTACAAGTTTTTATGTATTTTTTTCGATCAGAAAAGGATTTTCGAAAAATTCTTAAGTCAAATCTTTTAAATTTGGATTATACTGATGAAATATGAAAAGAAACTTTGACTTTTGACTGACTTTCCGCGGGTAATTAGGGGGAAAAGCTGCGGGAGTAGAAGAAAGGAAAAGAAAAGGAGAAAAGGAGAAGTTGAGGAAGAAAAAGGCTCCAATCACTCAACCATTAGACACAACCCATTAAGTCGCTAGTTCAATATAAAGATTGTTTTTTATATTGAACATATTTCTAGCTTCGATTAAATCATTTTAAATTATTTTGATTTATAGAAATTTTTAGGTAAAAGGTAATTTTTAGGTTTCAATGTAATCTCCTTTGAGGAGTAAGCTGAGTAAGTCTCAAAGCATATGGCAAATGTATCATCGAGGATCATTGTGTGTGGAATGGGGGAGATCAAAGACATTTCAAGGCAAAAAAATGCCCCGAGTTCGAATATTCTCACAAGTATTTGAAAAAAAATAGCGCCAAAAAGAGCTACCGGGTCACAGATCGAGTTACTCCTTCGCAAGAAATCCTCGATTCCATCGCGATCAAGATTCATCTTTGACATGTACACAGTTGGCCCTTCCTCGCTTCGTTGTTTACACTGAAAAATAATCTATCAGAAACGAGTTTCATCATTTATTAGGCTTTCCAGAAAGAACAGGACAGCCTAATAAAAGGATTAAGAAGAAAGGACGATTTAAGAAAACTTTGCAAGTGCAAGTGACGAAAGGTGGTGAAGCGATTGTGAATCTAGGAGGGACGGGGGTTGCGAGGGGAAGAAGGGGAGGGGCACAAGGGCTCAAGTAAGTTAGCCACGGGGGGAGCGCCTCGGCGGCACCTTGAGTCTGAAGGGAGAGGAGGCCTCCCCTCCTTTCCCCCTCCATCCTTCACCCCTATATCCCACCGCTTTCCCCTTGTCATGCTTTCTTTTCAACCCCCGCCCCTGAGAACAAGCTCTCGATTGCAAAAAAAGGTAAAGGAATTTGAGGACGCAAAATCTCTCTCAATTGACCATGACCATGTTGTTTTTTCTAGGACATATCAATTTGAATTTCGATTGCTAATCTCTTTTCGTGCATACGAATTCACTCACCACAACGTGTGCTTGCGATGGTTCACCGTTGGTAGGGCGTCGAGTCGACGAGGCAACTTCTAAAATATATAATACACAAAAAATTTTCACTAGTAATTACAATTTCTTTTTTGAAAGTAAAGTGTTTGAGTAATCAGCCATTAAATGAGAAATCAGCATAAAGAAATGTGGGAAATTCTCAGGGTCCACAGAAAATGTTGTTCGATTTTCTAAATGTAAGAGATAAGTAATAAGATGCTTTTAGTGGGTGAAAACTAGAAAATGTGGTCTGAAATAGCTAAAACTATAAAAAGACGGGAGATTTGTTGAAAGAGTTGTTTAGGGATGGGAATGGGTCTAGATTATCCGCCTTTCGATCGCTAGTAAGGGTAATTTGAACCCGATAAAAAGGTTAGTGTTCGGTTATGAGCTTTTCAATGCAACATCTACTCAACCCTTTTCATCTTTCTCTTTCAATTTACTCCGCATTATTTAAAAGGCGCAGATCAATGGAAGTTGCGAAAATGTTGAGAAACCCCTTTCAATTTCAAATAAGCTAAAAGAAATAGCGTTTACGGGAGCGAAACGAGCACAATGAAATCGAAATAATAATTTTAGCTGAAGAGGTGTGAGTGAGAAGGGGGAAAAGAATGTTTTGCGCCGTTGAAGGGTTTTGCCCTCGGCCCGCTTAGATGTCCCCCGGGAAGCCCCTCGATCTCCTGCCTTCTCCTGCCCCTTCTCCTGCCTTCTCCTGCCCCTTCTCCTGCCCCTTCTCCTGCCTTCTCCTGCTCCTTCTCCTCTTCAACCCTTTCACTCCTCAAAATAGCTGCTTCACGATGGATCACTTAAACAAAAAAAAATTGAGTGAACCAACCTCTTTCAAAACTCTTGGCACTTTTGCTAAACATCTTTTGTTTATTTGAACCGGAGTTTCACTTAAACAACAACGTGTCGCCAAAAAGCCGTATGGAAAAAGGAGTAATATACAAAGTGCTTTTGAAAAATGGGCCATTTGAGGCACGATTGAAATTAGAACTAATGGGGGAAAGGGGTAAAAAAGAGGAAAGGTGAACGAGGGGATAAGTGGCTGAGGGATGAAGGGTGAGCAGAGGGGTGATGGGGAGATGGAAGGGCGGGAGGTCGATGGATGGGCGGTGGTCGATGGAAGGGCGGTGGTCGATGGATGGGGCGGGGACAGCGTCGAGATCCTTTTATGTTTATCCACCACCTCGTAGTCAAATTACAGAACCATTGAGGGGAAAAGAAAACCCAAATCTCCCACGCTAAATTATCTAGTTCAAGTGCTACCCTTTTGCCATGAATTTCGTGGAAAATACCTACCGTAAATACTATAATAGGACCCCACCCCAATAATGACGGTGCGGAGTGTTGCGTAGTCTAGCTTTGAAGAAGTTTTTCTCGACACTAGCTTATGCTACAATGCGCGCTTAGGTATCAAAAAATAGCTGAAATTTAGGGCTATTTTTTGATACCTAAGCGCGCATTGTAGCATAAACCAGTGTCGAGAAAAACGCGTCCAATGCTAGACCACGCAACGCCTCGCACCGTCATTATGGGGGTGGGGTACTATTACAGTATTTACGGTTGGTTTAAATAATTTGAAGAGCTAGGGTTTTTTTTTGCAAAAACGTGCAACCTCGAAAAGCTCTCTTTTCATCGGAAGGTGTAATGAGAGTGAGGTCAATGACGTTGAATCCATCCATTGAAGCACCCGAAGTTGAGGCTCCACCCTGAAAAAACTTTTTGATAACTATTCAAAAAGATTTTTCAATATTTTTGATAAGCATTCAAAAGCATTTTTCTATATGACAAAAGATAATAAATGATTCGTTTTCGATAGACAAAATAGTGGAAAAGCTCATCCGTATTCTGCTGGTTTCATTTGCATACATTTTCCAATAATCAATAGAAAATCTTGTCTCACATTTTGATGATACGAATGCACAAGAGTCTCCACACTGTCATGATGTCGAAAAGAATGTTCGGGAGATGAAAGCTCAGAAAGAGTTGATAGAGCTGATAAAGTGGATGAATCGCGCGGCAGTCTGGTGGGGCTTGCTCGGCTGCTTCCTTCTGTATCGGACGAGTCCGAGAATGGATCCACCTTTCGACCGCTTGGATTCGATTTTCTATGGGGGTGAAATGGTTAATCTTTTATCAATGAACATACCTTTGAAGTAATGGACTGGTTGTCTCTTTAAGATGTAACTCTTTGCTACTCTTTATCAAAAGTGAGTCAGTGGCCTGAAAAACAAAAAAAAACTTTTTTTTTACCTGATAATGTCAAAATCTAACCTTAAGAAGACGATTCGAGCGGTAATTTTCCTCTTCAATTGGCGGCAGTTCAGGTTTCGCCAATTCTAAGCCCCTAAGCAAAGAATAGTCAAAATTCATCTTTATCTTTGCGCAAAACCTGGTATTTCCTTCAGAATTATCGTTGAACGTATTCGCTACATCATAATGTGGTGGCTCTTCAGAAAAGTCAATTAGCTATAATCTTATTACAGTAATCATCAAATCCTTGCCAAAACCTTTTCTCCTGGGCTTGCCTGAAGTGAATAGTTCCATCCAGCTGGAATAACAGCATGCACAGATTCATAAGGTGGTGCTAAACATTAAAAATCTAAGGAAATTTCTCAGGAACTACGTTCAAGGCCAGCTTCAAGATCAGGTGGAGCGCTGTCTATTGCATCAAGTGTTAATTGCTGCCCATTCGCTAGACCATAATATCCACAAAGAAACATTGCCAGATCAGAGGCTTCGTCTTTATCAACCAAGAAATCAAGTCCCTAAAAGCTTTTTGTTTGCTTCTCTTCTTTGACAAACTTGATTGAGATTGTTATTAAGTAAGATGGAGATATTTGTGAGAACGGCGGTCTCTGGTCGAAGTATCACTCCAGACAAGAGATCAAATCCAACTGAAATCAGTTTTCTGTAAAAGTTTGAAGATGTTTTTACCAGAAATCGTTGGTTGACCGACTTTCGTAGCACCAGGATGACGCATCAATAGGCCACTTGATGGATCCACCTTAATTTTATCATTCTTTGAAACTTGGCAAGAAGAAAAGAAACGAAAAGACTTTCTAGATACACTACTGGACAATGAAATATAATATTTGAAAAAGCACTTCCGCACTTTCGCACGTCTGTAACTCCATTGTCTTTACCGTATTTCTAAATATTAATATTACCATTGTGTAGCCCTTGAAAAGAGCTTTCAGAAAATGTATAACACTAATAGTTTAAACTCAAAGACAACGGAGTTACAGACGCGCGAAAGTGACGATCGTTTTTCAAATATCATATTTCATATTGTCCAGTACTGTAGCTTTAATATTTCCCAACCTGCACAATCATATCAGTATGAGAATCTTTGAGTGTTACAGAAAATGAACGACCAGCAAATGAGGGAAGATGAGACACAATTTGCACATATTTCAATCGAGTCAGCAGACTTTTCTCTGTAGATGTTGATTGATTGACTGAAGTGGATATCTCGAGCACTTCTCAAATTCACTTACCACTATTTTTCTCTCCAACTGGATCATCTCTTCTCAAATAATATCGAAGATGGCGTCGAACCTCTTTTCTTTTCACATTCTCGAGAAGAATTAGTGGAAGAAAAGTGGCCAAACCAAACTCTTTTCTAACAATATAAAGACAATTTCGCTTTAAAAGAAATTCCTTACTCGACGCGTCGAAGTGAGATCCTCCCTTCGCGAAAACAACATCCTGTTGTGAGGCAAATTTGTTGTATGTGAAGTGCAGCAAGTCGAATACATGCCTAAAAAAATGTCTCTCAAATCTTCGAGTCTTTTCACTCACTTCATAACGCATCTCGTAAGCAAATCTTCCTTGCACGACATCATTTACACATTGGCTATAGAAATATCTGAAATCAATTCGGAATTCAAAATATAAAACCCAAATATTTTACTCAAAGGCTCGTGGATCATTTTGTAGAAGTTGGCTAGCATCAGAAGGTACAAAGACAAAGCGAAAAACACATCGTAAGTGAGTGGAATTTGGCAAGAGAGCTATCTAAAAAGATTTCTTAAAGAAAATGATGGAAAATTGAGACCGATTCCAAAGTGGTTTCCGGTCGAAGGAGACTGATTCGACTGGAACGAGCACCCAAATTATACTCGACGCAGAGACAAAAATGAACAAGAGAGTTAAGGCACAATTTTTCGCCAAGAGAGACGCACACATCCTGTGATGATTGAAAACTTTTTGACAAGTTTTGTCAAGATTTCTCACCTGAACAGTGGTCATCTCATCATAGCGAAAGGAGCGGGTCTGCCCATTTTCGAGAAATACCCGTAAAACATTGGGAAGCGGTGGCGGGAGGCCGGTCTTTAAACAACAATTTCTTCAACTCAATATATATTAACTTAATCTAAATCTATCTAACACTTAAACATAGCACTCGCACAAATCAGCAAGTAAACCAAAAAAGTGGAGCGTAACTTCTAGAAGAAAAAAAAATCAATCCTTTTACGTAAAACGTTTGCGTAAAATAAGCTTTAGTAATTCTTTAGAAAATTTAAAAGGTAACTGAGCATTAAAATGGCATAAAGCACGGCATAAAGCCAGTATGAATTTTACTAGTTAGCCCTATTCAACTCACGGATTCCGGTGACGAAATCTGAACACTATCCGTAAACCGAACGCGACACTGGCGACGTGGTGAAGGCTAAATGGTCAAGTCTATCAAACAAATCAACTAATTCTTCTCACTCGACACTGTTGCACGGTGAGTGTGATTGTTTCGGGAGCCCTTCGCACTCGACACACCACTTCCTCTTTTGGCTGAAAGGGAAAAGGCTTTTGCTTTTGGGTTTGGGCTTTGGCTTTGGCTTTTGGCTTTTGCTTTTGATTTTGGCTTTGGGATTTTAGCCTAATCCTCAAGTGTTGCCAAGTTTTGTTACCTGATTTGAAACATCGACCCCATCGACTTCTATAATTTCGTCTTGTGCAAAAAGTTTTCCATCAGATGGTCCGCCTAAATATGATATCTAGTAGATGTTTGAACTTTTCCCTTACCAGGGCTAACAAATTGAACGACAGTTGGCTGCTGTCCAGCGGCAACAAAACCAAATCCTTTCGATGAATCACGGTGGATGGTTACCTAGAAAATGTTTCTTTGATCAAGAAATTGATCAACAACAAAACCTGTCGTGGTTCGGTTAGAAGCTCTTGTCTTGGATCAGTGTAAGTGGTTCGGCGATTTAAATGACTAAAAATGGGTAAAGAGTTTACGAAAGAATGGCTCACTCTATATAATAGACACGTCCATCGGCATCAACGGCTTGTTCCCAAGCATACGGTAGACCCAGGCGACAGTTCCACGTCGCCCATGGCGGTTCCCAATGCGACGATTTGGTCGCATGGCTAAAGCATTTAATCAAGTACATGTTAAGTGATAAGTTCAACGGATTTTAAGACATTTTATTCTTATTTACATTTTTTATTTAAAAACTCACATGATTTTAAAAATTTCTCTTATATCACCATCATATTTGGCTTTTATTCGAGAGCTCATTTTTCAAGAAAAAAAATTTGAGAAAATGGCATCAAAAACAAGGCCAGAAATTAGCTCTCTTCACAAAAACGATCAATCAACCAGATTCTCATTTTGTTTGTATTCTATTCTATGCGAATATTGAGAGGGTTGATCTTTGAGTGATTGAAGCGCGATTAGATGATGAATGAACAATCTCAGCTGCCGGTAATATTGCGTTTGAGCCAATGTGCAAAACATTGAAGCAAAAACGTTATATATATATATTTTTTTTTCTTTTTCTCGGTTGTCTTTCAGTCACTTTGAGACAATCAGGTTGTTTCGGAAACAAAATTTTGGAGGAGACACCGCTCTTTCTCTTTCCTCAAATCCCTCCAAGTCTCCAATTGCTTTGACTACTTTTTTGGGGGAAAGAATGGAAAAACTTCCTGATTTTGGTGTGGACTAGAAACATTTTTTGGATTTTTTGGATATTGTACAATTGTACAATTGTACAATCAATTTCATAAACTCACTGAATGTAGAAAAGACGAAAATCATCAAGTACACAAAGATCACATGCGGCCGGGATGTCGGCTGACTGCAAATGATAAGCGCTTCTAAATTCCTTCCATTGTTAAAGATTGAGACAACAAATCACTCACAATTGTGGACTATTGTCACCGTCAAGTATTTCTCTTGAAGTGCTTGGGACCTAAAGGATGAAATGTAAATCTTCTAACTTTTTCGACAAACAGCAAGCATGTTGAGCAGCTAACCACACGGCTTTGAGATTTTTGCATAAAGCCGTGCCTTCATCTTTCACCTCATCCTCATCTTCATTCACAGTAATGCCTTTCAAAATCTAAACTGGAAAATATATGATTTCCGATTAGTTTGTAAAACGAAAAGAATTGGGGAAACCGTGGCCAGCAAAGATAACAATGCACAAGTGAAAGGAGAAATGTGGCGAGTAACAGAAAGAAGTATTTCAAATTAAGGCTCATTTAAGGTGAATTTCAGGGGAGAAAGAAGAGGTGCTGTTGTAGTTTGTATTGGAATGATGGAAGGACGAAGAGAAGATGAGGAGAGAGATTCAGAATCGAAATGGTGAGAAAAGAAGACGAAGAAAGAGAAGTGGAGGAGAGGAAAGGAAAACTCATAAAGCGGCTAGGGGGTGGTGGCAAAAGGCCTCACAACGCCCGCTGGGGGACTTTCATCACTCCACTTTTCATCCACTCTCTCTCTCAGAAAAGGGACCAACCCCAACCCTCGAGGGGCTCTAGCCAAATGAAGAGCGGCTCTAAAAAAGAACCTGAAATGAGTAAAAGATCGGAATGCCAAGAACCAAAAGCTGCCCGGGTATTTCTTCATTTTCAAGCCGAAACCCGCCACCATCACATCCGCTGAGCACAATTACCCAGCCATTCTTGGAAGATTTTCCCCTTTTCGTGCTCTTGTCCTATCCTTTCTTTCAACCGCTTTTTCTTTCAAACTCTGCTAGATTGGAAAAGTGCTATCAAAAAGCAAAAGATCTATAAGAAAAACAAGTAACGGGCAACAAAACAGCTGTAGGAAAACAGGTTAAACGGAAATATGTAGATTATATGTAGATTAGAATTCATTTTCTATTTGAGAGTGAAAAGAACGGATGAGATTAAAGTGCAAAAATGTACAAAGAAATAAAAAAAATGAATGCCCTAGTGCAAACGCTTTAAACTGAGCATTAAAAAGGAATGCGACGAGGAAAACGTAGGAGACAAACGCGGCCAATTTCACTCGAATTCAGAGGAGATTCCGGAAGAGAGTGGGATGGGAGTAGAATAGAAAAGGAGAAGGAAAAAAAAATGTAGAAAAGAGCAACCCCTTCTCTACATCTTTTACATACACTTCAGCAGAAAACGATGAATAGTTCCCTCCACAAGCACTAATGAAACCTTAAAACATTGAGTACATCTATTTGCAACTTACATTTTGTTGATCCTAGTCACTATAGATTTTGCATAGATCCTGTAAATCCCCAATATTGTGTTTCACTATAGATCAGATCAAGAAGTACTAGTGAAGTTGTTGGGCACTATAAACGCTTCTAACTTGCTTCAAGTCTGCCGGATTGATAGGATCTATAGCTCAAAAGATAGAGAATCTCAAGAGCTTTCGAATCGACCGAAGCACACTTAAAAACATCAATGCTAAAAAAAGTTACAGTGGTTTGTAGGGATCGACTACGCGTGAGGAAGGTCCGTTTCGAGTCAAGACTACAAACCACTGTAACTTTCTTTAGCGTTGCAGACTTCTTTAGTTGAAGAAGAGAGAAGAGAAGAAGTTAGTTGCTGATTGAAAAGTTAGGCCAAAAAAATTTCCTTCTAGATAAAATCAAGCTTTAAGTAAAATGTAAACATAAGTGAGGTCGAAAGGGTTGAGATGCGCCGAAGTGAGTGAAGGGGTGAGTGGGTGAGTGGTCGAGTTGAAGCCGTCAGCTTCTTACCACTTTTTTTTTGCTACATAAGGGCTCCCCGGGGTGTGGGTCGGTCTTCCCCCAAGCGAATGCCCTCCACGCAACTCTTCCCAAACTCTTCTTCAACTCTTTTTCTTTTTCGTGTCCTCTCCTCACCCACTTCATAAATGGCTCTTCGTTCTTTTTTCTGCATGGATATCACTTCTCAAACTTACATCTCTTCCTTTTTCGTGCTTTTCAATCCGCTCTGGGATCTGGGATCCACAAAAAAAGTGATGCTTAGAGTTTGGCATTTAAAGACAAGTGATCAATTCTTTCTTGATCTCAAACTTCAACTGGACATGGCTTGCTTTACTGATAGCTTTACATTATCCAAAATCCAAAATCCAGCGGATATCAGCTTATCATTGAGTATTGAAGTGCCTTTATCTGTGAATTAGGTTGGTGAATTGAAAACTGCGGGACTTTGAACTAAAATTTATTTAACAAAAAACCATGAATTTATTCCAAATAATCTCCATTATTATTAATGACTTCTGCCCATTTTAAAGGCAATTTGCGGATTCCTCTTTCGTGGTAGGATTTTGGTTTGTGTGTGAGACAAGTGTGAGATTCAAAAATGGAGGACTGAAGATGTCCCAGTTTGAGCACTTTCTTCAAAAGAAACCCATTTTGGTGCCAATAGAAAAGTTGTAGAGAATCAAAAATGAGGCTTATAGCCAAATTTCCAAAAGGATACACCTAGTAGTTTCGCTTAAAGTGCAAGTTTTGTGAAAATTCGTAAATTTGGCATTTCTTGAAAATCGGTTTTTGAATCGTTCTGAAAATTTGGATATAAGCTTGATTTTTGATTCTCTACAACTTTTCCATTGACACCAAAATGGGTTTCTTTTGAAGAAAGTGTGAGAACTGTGAGATATGACAATAGCCCGCAGTTTTCAATTCACCAACCCAATATATTTAAAAGAGCAGTGTCTGTCCGTCTGTACGGGCTTTTTCTCAGCTTGCCACTAAAAAAGCCACTCAATTGACCAACCCAATAGTTAGATTTCAATCTGTTTCCTATTATCTCTACGAAAATTGAAAAATAAAGAAACAAAAAAATTTCCCGAGAATCTTGCGAAAATAATGCACGATTATTACATGATTCGACTCAATAAGCAATCAGGATTGCGAGATGGTTTTCATTTATATTAAGCTACAACCACGACGACTCCTCCTTTTGATTTTCAACGAATTAGGCATTACTCCGACAGTGGATGATATCAGATAAACTATAAAGCCACGCATTGCAACGCCGATTTAAAAAAAACTTGTAGGACGGGTTTCAAAATGATTATCATTTCTGGAATCAGCACAAAATTCTGCGTCGCAAGGTATATATTAGAAGAAATTTGATCAGAAAACGCATTTTCAACGGTGTGCAAAGGGCTATCACCAAAACTCAGTCAGAATTGACTCTCGAATAAATTTGTGCAAATCAATAGACATGAAATTTGATAGCTTTGTATTAAGTCTAGCATTTTAAAGTTTGTTTTCGAAACGATTCTGAAATATCTGATTGAAAAGATTGCGTTACCCGTTGAAATTTTTGTTGCTTTTCAGAATGCCATAGAAGTGATAGAAGAATTGTTGTGATTTTGAATTCGACGATCAAGTTGATCAACAAAATATGATGAACTTTGTGTATTGGGTACACACAAATTATATCATTTACATTTTGGATTGCTGGTGTGACAGTTATATGTATGTGTGTCATGTTTGACTATGCTCTATGGCATAGTCATGCTTGACTATGCTCTATGCTTGACTTGATATGTCGAGAAGAAAGATGGCAATCCGATGATCAAGTAAACAAAGAAAAACTTGTAAAAACAATTATTTTATCTAGAGAATTGAAGTAAATCCGTTTGGGGCCGATAGAAGATTTGCAATTCCTCCAAATACAACAATTAATACCACATTAACATAAATTTGAGTTGGGCTGTTCTCGATTATACCCCCATGATAATTATTTATAGCCAAAAGGCTCAAGATCAGCACAAATTAGAGATTTTGCTTGTAGATATAGCAAATGAACCTCGCCAATCGCTTCCCCGATCCCGAAAACCCCGGGTACAAACTTTTGGCTTCAGATCTCATCTGAACAATGTTCACAGAACAAAAGAAATTCCTTTGTAAAGAGACCAGAGACTTTGTTCCTTGTGCGGCCGCGTAATCGCCCGTCGTCTGGCGCAGGGCTTTCCCGTAAGAGGCTTCCTTTCCTTCACTCGTCGGCAATCTGTTCTGGTCCGGGTAACACTGGCCGTATCCGAAGGGGGCAGTCCGTTTTGGACTGTACCGTGTCGTCGCCCATTTGGCGCAAAACTTCGGTACGTGTGGGGGTGCTGGCCATTTTGGTCTTCACCGTGTCGACGCCCTTTCGGCGCAAAACCACACAGAACAGGACCCGTGAAGTGGCCAACTGGCCGGGCGGGGACCCCAACTGGGGGCCTCGTCCAGGGCAACCCCCCCCCCCCCGGGTACCCCCAGGCCCCCCCCCCCCCCCTCCCCGGGACCCCCATAGGACCCCCTGGACCCCCGTAGCCCCCCATGGCGCTGCCGTGTCCGCCACCTCCGCGTGGTGAGCAGTGGGCATCCCCTGAAAGTAGGGGATGGCTAAGAGCTGGACTAGGTAGGAGACTAAGACTAGGTAGTATTGCGGGAGAAAAATAATGGGGGCGCATTTGAAGGCCTATACTACAAAAAGAATATTATTCCAGGAATGAACAAATGAACAACAAAGCAAGATGTTAATGAGTTTTTCTGAAATGTGAATTGTACATGTGTTTAAGAGGTTTGTCCTGATTCTTTAGATAAGTGCAATTCACGGGTACTTTCTCGAAATTTTCGCGAATTTAAGATTGAAATTCTCAAGTGAATATTTGAACGGATGGTTGAGTGGAAAAGATAAGAGAAAGTAAAAGAGAAATGGAGAGAGACCCTACGAGGACATTTCGAGAGAGGGAAGAGAAATGGAGAGATGCCCTACGAGGACATTTCGAGGGAAAAGAGCATGGCCCAATAGGGATCAATACACACCCATTCCCTCTTTTCTTTCTCCTCTTCTTTCTCCTTTTCTTTGTCCTCTTCTTTCTCCTTTTCTTTCTCCTCTTCTTTCTCCTTTTCTTTCCCATAATTTTTCCATTCAAATTAGCCCCTATTCCCCATCTGTGAATTTCTTTCTTTACCATAGTTTCTTTTGTAAATGTTCGCAAATTGTAGAGTGGTATTTGAACTGAACTTCTCTTCAATCTTCAATTCTTCAAAAACCTAAAAATAACTACAGAAAGCGACAATCCACAAAGATCAGCTTGCTTTTGATTCACGAAATGATAACGGATCTGATGGGCAAATAAAATCATCAAGAGACTGCGCACAGTGATCAAACAAGGTCGATTTCTCGTCCACCCTCACTCCCCATGTCCCTCCTTTTCCTCCCTTCACTTTTTCCATCTAAATGTCACCTCTTGCTTTGTATTTTTCGAGGGTTTACAGCTCACTTTTCAATTTGAATTCTTGTGAAATCTTTTTTTAATGTAAAGAATTCCAGAAATTCTTATGTAAAATGGGAAACGCACAAGCGCGAAAGCGCAAAGCCAGCGATGATGAGGTTCGATTTGTTTATGAGTGCAATTTACTCTTCGTGTGAATACTCAGCTAAACATGGAACCCCCCTTCAACTAACATAATAATAGTCTCATTCTTATAGCCGGAGCGTTTCCCGATGGCCGAGCCTCGACAAAAGAGAAGACGACTCGATTCAGAGGGAATGTCCGATGAATATCGATCGGCAATTGATAATGGATCAATCCTTTCATTACAATCAATCATCTCCAACACAAATACGGTTCTTAACTAATTTCATAATATATTTCCAGACTTATATTACGTCCAGAAAGTTTTTCGTTCTTTTTCGTGCTTTAAAACCAACAAATGACTCCAATGCCTTTCATAATACTCAAAAGATCACATTCACTTTTAACACTTCTAACTTTTCAGCTCTAATACTTTTTGCATATCTTTGCAATCAAAAAGCCTTTTAGATTGCCAATGATCCGCCGAGAAAAAGAAAACGATTGGGTGATCGTCTGAGCAAACTTTTCAGCTTTTCCACTCATAAACTTGATGAGGGAGATCAGCAACATGAAGGTAAAATCTTTTTTCTCTCAAATTTACGTTGTTTTGACTTTCGATGTTGCTATGTAGCATTCCCCACAAAAGCATCATTTTCGTCGTTCAGAGTGAGCGGGTGTTTATTTTGCGAGAGGGATTATTTAGTGAAAAAGTCTTCTCAGACAACCTCCTAATCTTCCAATTGAATGCTTTTGTGACCAGAAAAAAGCGCTCACTTCGAATTTCGAATTTTCATCATTTTTCAGAGCCAATTTCAAGCGCATCTAGTGAACGAGGAATGCATGGGAATCGAGTTGAAGATGGCACTAACTTTGGTGAGAATTTTTATGGGTTTGTTAGGCCAAAATTTGCTATTGTTTTATGAATTGGGTGTTCTCAAAAAAGTGTCTTTTAGAATCAAATTTTTCAATGCAAAATTTTCAGCCTCTCCGGCTTCAGTGTCGAGAACAGTGTGGCCAGTTCCATGGCTCGAATCCCTTTTTCTTCCTGAATTCCCCAATCGTAATACAGTCACCGAAAGAAATTTTGTGGTAAAAAGAATTGAAAAGTAAATATGTAGATGAAAATTTTAGAGAATGCATGAAATCGGTCGGGGATCATTTGGACGAGTTTATCGAGTTGTGGCCCGCAAAGATTCGAGAGGAGTTTACGCGCTGAAAGTCATGGAAAAATCGAAGATTCTTTCAAGAAATGCTGTCGAACAAGTGAAGCGAGAAGTCAAGATACAGGTGTAGAAAAAAAAGAAACGAAAAACTGACGATTGATCTGATTTCTAGAAGCACTTGGGCGCATACACTTTTGTAGCAAGGCTCTTTTTCTGTTGGCAGAACCGGGGAAATCTTTTCTGTTTACAGCAAATTGCCGACGGTCCATCTGGGGATCTTTTCACCGGTGAATTGATTGAAATCCTCAGAAAGTTACTTGAAATTTTCAGTTTGGAGAGATCACGGTCCATTTCCCGAAGAGACGATACGCATTCTTGGAGCCGAGTTTGCATGTGCTATAGGTAGTTTTGAGGGAAATATCTAAAAATATCTAAAAATATCTACAAATAACTCAATTGCAGATTATATGCATCGAAATGGGATTATTTATCGAGATTTAAAGTTGGAAAATGTGGTAATTGATGGAGATGGGCACATTCTAATTGGTAAAGTTTTGAAGGAACAGTTCAAAGAACTTTTCTCCGATTTCAGTTGATTTCGGATTGGCAAAAGAGCTTCGCATGGGTGATAAGACGAGCACAATTTGTGGCACTTTACAAGTATCAGATAACCATTTGCCTTAAAAAAGAAAAGAATCTAGTACATGGCGCCAGAAGTGGCAGCAGGGAATGGATATGGGCATTGGGTTGATTGGTGGTCACTCGGCGTTCTCTTACACATCCTTTTTACTAATCGCTATCCGTATCCGAATGCTGATGCTGGTCATCACACAGAACTTGTGTAAGCAATTCTACTTTACATTTGTTTAGAAAAGCTTTAAACCTAGCGTAAATACTGTAATAGTACCTCACCCCCCCTCGTACAGTCGCGTAGTCGCAAAAGTATTTCATTTTTTTCAAAGCACCCGTACTTTCAAAAAATGCGACTTTGGTATCAAAAATAGCCCTGAATTTCAGCTATTTTTTGATACCTAAGTGCGCATTGTAGCATAAACCAGTGTCGAGAAAAACTCGTTCAAAGCTAGACTACGCAACGCTCCGCACCGTCATTATTGGGGTGGGGTACTATTATAGTATTTACGGTAATAGCTTTAACTTGAGTTTTAGAAATTAGCTGCAAAATTTTAGCTTTGTCGACTACTCAACCCCACCAGCTGCTTCAAAAGATCTGGGAAATTTTCTGGACAGGGTTAGAAATGAAATGTTCATTTGAATAAAGCAAATTTCTTTTTCAGCTTTTATCAGGCGCACTCACGAGACGATTATGCTATTTTGAGGTGATTCACGCGCACGAGTTTTTCAGCGGAATCGATTTTCAGGCAATTGAACAAAGAAGGGTTTGTTTCTGTTTTCAAAAAAAGGATATCAGCATATTAAAAGTCCAATAAGTTTCTATAAAAATCCAAATCCAATTTCTATAAATATTTCAGTTTTCTCCACTTGCCTACTTTCCGTGGTTTGACGGCTGTGTTTCGTGTGTTTCGGATCGAGAAAGCGAAAGCTCGGACGCGGATAAAAGTTTTGAGTCGATGTTTGAAGAGCAATATCAAGTGAGCAATGCTTTTTTGCGATTAAAAACAATCAATTTCCTATCAGGACTTTGACTATTTCAACGAAGCGATGGCTCATTTCGCTCCCGAATGCGTGCCTATGCAATTGTGAGTTTCTCTCGCATGTCACTCACATAAAGATTGCCTTTATTTGACTCACTCGGGTAGATAAATAAAAGTTTATTTATGTGCAAGAAATTAATTAATACAATCTCGATCTTTCTTCAAAATCGATAGCTCAATCGTTCCAGCGTCAAAGATCTAAAAATCTCAAGAATTTTTGAGGGAGTAGCTATCAAAGTGTCAAGTCAAAAACTCAAAAACCTTTGACGCTTGTTGTCCACTTGTCACATAATCATATGGAATTGCAAAAGAGGCTTTGTAGTAGCAAATTGGAACCTAAATTGATATGTCGTAGCCGATTATGAATTTCAGCCGATTATGAATGAGTGGGTCCGGACGCGTCCAACGATCAAGTATTTAGTATCATTCAACGCAGAATCATTAATAATTATGTTAAATTTTAAAAATTAGAAAGATTGGATAAAAAGAAAAAAGATAATGGGGCTTCAAAGTTTTCTCTTGAACAAACAGTTTTTTTGCACTAACTTTTTTTCTTTTTATCAAATCTTTCTAATTTAAAAAATTTAACATAATTATCAATGATTCTGCGTTGAATGATACTAAATACTTGATGGTTGGACGCTCCGGACCCACTCATTCATAATCGGCTGAAATTCATAATCGGCTACGGGGGTCCCGCCGATTTTGAATGAAACGTTGTAGCGCCTAAACTCACAAATTTGGTACCAATCGACGCAGAATTTAATTCGCTACAAGATGATATAATATTGTCCTCATACATTAAAGGGTTGCTCTACTAGAAAGATTTGCCAAAAAATTTCATTCATAATCGGCTACGACATATATTTTATTATTAATAAAGTTTATTATTTTGAATTGTTTACTGTTTTTCGACATCTGTGATAGATATTGAATTTTGCATTGAGTCGTGTGAGCTCGTTTTCTGTGCCTGAAATATCGAAATATCCTCTCGAGTCGGTCTCCGTTTCAGCCATTTTGTCATCCAGAGTGACTAAAATTGTACGATTCATTTTTTCATCTCTGAGTTAACTTTATTTTTACGAATCTTAGATACCGTATTTTCTCTAATAGTAGTGCACCGCAGCGAGCCGAGTTGGTGACTATTTTGCGGTTTCCAAGCTTTTGCAGAAGCTTAACACTGAAATCCCCCACTAGATCTCATCGTCAGCTACATTTTCCGACCCCACATCGATAGGTTCTGATAAGCGCTTCTCGAGATTTCGAGCAATTTAGGCGACGTTCAGGGTGCACTACTATTAGAGAAAATACGGTAATTCTGTAAATCGTCTTCAATACTTACAAGTATCATGATCGTAGAGTTTTACTTTTGCTCCCGGATACGGTCGTCCCTCGCATGTTAGAGATCTAATAAAAATGATGAATTAAGAGATATTTAGGAGTTCTACTGATTAAAAAGGATTTATAGAGTGATAGAGGACTTATACGTTTTTAACTGCTTTAAAAAATTACCCTTGTACTCGGACCGATTGAGCCTCGCGAATGGCAGCAGAACCAATTTGGAAGAGTGCACAAAGAGCGAAAAATAAAACACCTTTTAGAAGCATTTCAGAAAGTATTGAAATTTCAGAAAGTTTGAAGCTGAAATAAAATATGTTTAACGATTTTTATACATATTTTGATTCTTATCAGTGAGGTTGCACTTTTTTGAAAAACAAAAATTGTTTTCGTTTTCTTTTTCTTTCCGTGTCTGATTTTAAAAGGGCTATTTCATTGCATTTTAAGTGATTTTGTCATCTTTTATCTAGTACATTTTTCATGTCGTTTTCGCACTTTATTTCTTTCTGAATAAAGTATTTATATATTCATTGTCTATTTCTTTTCCATTCATTGTCTATTTCTTTTCCATTCATTGTTTATTTCTTTTCCATTCATTGTTTATTTCTTTTCCTTTTGAAACCTCTGTATTTTGTTGTAAAAGAGTGGAATATCTTTTCATTGTTTTCATTTTTATTTCATTTTCAAAGATTATTTCAACTTTAGCTTGTTTAGCTTTAGTTAAATTTAGGCTTTTCTTTAAAAGTACAGTTGTAGTTTCAAGCATTCTTTCAACAAACATCACTTTTATTTGAGTCAAATATTATCGCAATAAGTACAAATAATTTTGAGTGAGACTTTGTAAATAAACACTCGAAAAAGCTGTCATGACTAATCGTAATCATCAGGAATGTTGAGGAAATGGCCAAGAGATGGGAAGTGAGCTGAAATTGTTTTTATTTCTGACTTTATATGGGAATAGAATAAATGGTTGGTTGCAAAAACTAGAATTTCTTTAGTAATTTAATGATTTAATTTGATGATTCTAATGCAAAATCATTGTTAAAAAGATTTCAAAATCGAATTCAACATATACCTACAATTGGTTTTAATGTTTTGTAGACGGTTTTTTCTAAAGAAGTTATCACCTACCAACAGAATATCCATCAGAGCCGCCCGTCCCCGCTGCTGGTACAGCCCAATGAGCACCCCAGGCCAACTAAAAAAACACAGTCACCAAATTTAAATGAGCATTGATTATCCTTTTTGTCCCCACCTGTCCATTCACCCAATCAGCTGTAACCGACTCTGGATGATAATAGTATTTGTTTGCGTGATCACGATTGTGCGGATCGTCCGGATTTGGTTCCCAAAGACCTAATAATTTTAGGGAAATAGAGAAAAAGTTCAGAATGTCAAAACATACCAGGCTTCGACCATGGACTTCTTGATCTAGGTCTATGAGCAACTCCACGAGAATCGGTGAATGCATCGAAATCTTTGAAAGCATCGCCAGAGCCATAGGCTGCTTCTGAGGGAATGATCGGGATTGAACCCTGGCTTGCTCTGAAGAATATCTAGACTATTTGCTGAAAGTTATATTTCTACTTAGCTGTGCGCTTTCTTTTGAAATTGTCTGAAATATCGGGTGGAACAATTAAAGCTTCTGAGCGAGGATGCTCGCTTGTTGTGTCATCCCTAAAATTGTTATGATAACTTTTAAAGCTTTACGTTCATATCTCAATTTTCGTTGTTTATTTGTTGATTCGTTTTCTCGTTGCAACTTTTGACGATACATATTATAAAGGACTCTAAATTTTACTCTAAGTTTTTTGAAAGTTTTTAAGCTTATAAACCTTCTGAAAGTAGACAAATCTCTTGTTTTTGTAATCGGTTGATCTTCCTTTTTACTCATTTCAATTGCATCTGCTAGTGCTGAGTGTCTTCTCGGTTCTCTAATAAAAACTATTGGGTTGTCCAGTTATGAATGCGCATTTTTACGATTTTGTAAGTTTCTCAAGATATCGAACAGATGTATATGAGTGTTATCTATCATTCAAAAGCTGAAAGTCTCCTCTACATTTTGGGATAAAAAAAGCTTTTGAATTCATTCAACTTTTTGGGAAATTGACTGCACAAAGGGAGCAGCTTGTCGTGTTTGTTGATTTGTATTTTATTCACAGTAAAAGATTTTTTTAAATAGTTTATTCTATTGGAAAGAGCGTGTTCTTGCGCATCGTTTGATATATAATTTGTCTATGTTTACTTTGTTTTTTTACAAGAAAGAGTGTTTAGAAAATGTCGAACCAAAAATTTCGCTTGCGGGCCTGCTTGTGGTATGAATTTAAGCAAGGCAAATCGGCTGCTGAAGCTCATCGCGCTCTATCTCAGTTGTTTGACGAAGATGCTCTATCCGAAAGTCAGTGTAAACGATGGTTCCAGCGCTTCCAAGACGGCGACGAAAGCTTGGAAGACCAAAAACACGGGAGTCGACCTCAAATCATCGACAACGACGCATTGAAGGAAGCCATTGAGTCGGATCCACACCAAACCACTCGCGACCTGGCAGAACAGTTCGGCTGCACTCATGTCACTATTGAGAACCATCTGCATGGCATGGGAAAGACGAATAGATGCGGAAAATGGGTACCGCATAAGCTATCCGACGCAAACAAGGCGACACGCATCGCAATCGCCGGAATTCTCACTCACCGCGCCAAGAACCGTGGGTTTTTTGACTCCATTGTTACGTCGGATGAGAAGTGGATCCAATACGACAACACAGCAAGAAAGCGGCAGTGGTTGGACCCCGGTGAAGCTCCAAAACCGACTCCAAAACCGAAAATCCACGGAAAAAGGTGATGTTTTGTGTTTAGTGGAACAGTAAAGGCCTGGTGTACTTTGAGGTTCTGGATTCGGGTCAAACAGTTACGGCGAACCTCTACCAAGGCCAATTGGACCGCGTGGACCAGGCGCTGCGACGTCAAGGTGTGGATACGGCGTCGACAAAATTCCTCCACGACAACGCTCGGCCGCATGTCGCAAAAATCACCCGGCAGAAAATTGAAGAAATGGGCTGGGAAGTCCTGTCTCATCCGCCATACAACCCAGACTTGGCGCCTTCCGACTACCATCTGTTCCGATCAATGCACCACTCCTTGGCCAAGAAAAAGCTCAAGAACCGCGACGAGGTCTAAATTTGGGTGTCCAACTTCTTCGAGTCGCAGCCGGTCGAGTTCTTCAAGAAGGGCATCCATTCTCTGCGTGAACATTGGCGACAAGTCATTGATGCAGATGGCGAATACCTTTTGGATTAATGTATTGTTATCTTGTTTTTATAATAAAATAAACTTTTAACGAAAACGCGCATTTCTTTTTTACCAACCTAATATATCTTTTTCTTGATTTCGGTATCTTGAGAAATTTACAAAATAGTAAGAAAACGCGCATCATAACTGGACAAGCCAATAATTAAATTCAAAACTCAATCGCTTACGTTGATGCAACTTTTCGAGTCTCCTCTTCCTGAAATAGAATTACTTTGGTTTTATTTGAAAAAATGACATATCGTGGAGCTAAAGATCTCGATGCAGCTGCTCGGACTCGACTTCGACCTAATGGAGCACTCACAGCTGGGCCTGGCTGTGGAATGTTGTATGGATTGACCGGTTTCGGTACAATTCCCGCTGGAAATCTTTTCCATTTAAAGTCATTTTCTTAAACCCCACGCAACACTTTTCCCTTTTCGGCTTTCGAATAAATATATTGTGAGGCATAGTGATATTGCTCGTATTTCGGGCATTGATTGTACCAGATTCTAGATTTCTTTGGAGAAAATTTTTTCCCATTCAATTTACCGGCATGTTTGAAGGAAAAGTGGTAATGGAGGCGGATTGCAGAATTTCTGAACGGATGGATAGGCATAATCACATTTGCACTCATCAGTGCAATGAGGATAGATTCGCTGATCGCAATCCTGTTTGCACGGAACACGACGCTAAAGGTTTTTTTCGAAATTTGAAAGTTGAGAATTTTTCGAGAGAATTCGAAAACGAACCTTCATATAAAGAGTATAGCGTTCGTGTTTTGTGAGATTTGGCGGTGGTTCATCCTCATCCTCTGACGGTGGCCTAACAATAAGAATACAGAAAAAATAAGAACACACAAAGAATACAATACAATAAGAATACACACAAAAAAATCAGAGCTCACTTGTTTACTGTGATTTCCTTGCTGAAAGGATTCGCTGGCCAAGTGCCAAAGTTGCCACTTCTAAATTTTAGAGCATTTTTTGTTACTCCAAAAAACCTTACCCTGTCGCTTTGTCGGGGCAATTCTTCTTGTACGATGGACAAAATTGCTCTAAAACCTGAAATTTGATGAAGATTGAATAAATTTTAAAAGCAAAGACTTGAACAGCATCCGGTGCACTCTTGTCCACGTCGCCGACGCAGTAAAAAAGAGAAATGTTGCTCGTAACGAGTGCAATATGATCCTTTATCTCCTTTGAATAATGTCACCGTATCACCTTCGGATTGATCGATATCTAGAAAATTGCTCTATTGTTTACCAGCCGACTGTTATGGGGATGTTTTGAAACGCTAGTCTGTTGGCGCAGTCAAATCAAGTCAAGCACGCTTGTCTATTGGTCTCTCTGTCCCTGGTTCGACCCGCTAGTGCCACTTGTTTTTGATATTTTGATTTAAATGACACAACTATATTAGATTTTAAGACTTTTTAAACAATTTCAGTTTTTTTGGCCCAAAGACAGCTGAGAAAAAGCCTGTACAGACGGACAGATAGACACTGCTCTTTTAGTAGATATTAACAACAAACGATCATCCGTTTCTTCTCGATCGTCCCCAAAATGCACAATTCCGCGATCGGATGAATCAGAACTCTAAACTTTTGTCAATTCAATCTTTATTTACCATTTTTTAATGTAATTATCTTTTTCTAAGTTTTTAGATCAGAAATTCAACCGGTTGCCATTGAACGGTGGCTTCTGTAGTCACTGCCTGATCACTGCTAAACGCTGGTGTTGCCGTCTCTTTTGGTGCCTCGATTTTACTTGTATCCGAGACTGGTGACTCTTCCGGAATAAACTGAATATTCTCCTTAGCTATTCCCAAATCCTTTCCCTTACTCCACTCCGGAATCTATCTTCATCAAGGTCTTCTCCTTCCTCAGCATCTTCAGTGAATTGAGCTCTTTTCAAACGTTGAACTCTATAAGTGGCTTTCCAACGTCAAACAATGAACAAACTGTTTAGCAATGCCGACAACTTGTTGTTGAATCCCTTTTGTTAAATCAGCAACATTGAGGCCTAAACTCAAAAATAGAGCATCAACTTTGATTGTTACCTGGTGCGATCGATGGAACTAAAGAAGGCACTAAATATTGTTAAGTATTGTTAACTAAAACTTTGAAATACTTACGTCCAAACGCGAAATCAACAATGAATACTAAATAAATGAAGAATGAAGTTTTTTGGTTCATCTATTGATTCATACGGCAAACACCCAAGGTTCGTTTTTGTACACCTACCGTAAATACTGTAATAGTACCCCACCCCCCTCGTACAGTCGCGTAGTCGCAAAAGTTTTTTAGTATTTCATTTTTTCAAAGCGCCCGTACTTTCAAAAAATGCGACTTTGGTATCAAAAAATAGCCCTGAATTTCAGCTATTTTTTGATACCTAAGAGCGCATTGTAGCATAAACCAGTGTCGAGAAAAACTCGTTCAAAGCTAAACTACGCAACACTCCGCACCGTCATTATGGGGGTGGGGTACTATTACAGTATTTACGGTATAAATTATGCAACAAGTAGCCAACTAAAGCACAAGAAAAATCAAATCAAGAAAATGATAGGTGTCACAAGTTTATAAAGGATTTGAAACGTGGCAAAAGGGTGAAGGTGAGATGAAGAAAGGCTGGGGGTGATCATAAGAGTCATACAGTGATTGAGTTTTCCTTTTCCCACCACAGACAAACCGTTTCTTTGTGTCTCTTTATCCATTGCCATTCAATCACCTTTTTTCTGCTCGTATCCATTTTGTCATTCAAAAGACCGTAAGATCGCCTATGTGCATTGTGAAAGAGAACTCATTGGGCATAGAATCATTATGGGTTTTTTTGAAATTTGACTGCCATCATACCCAGTTTGAGCAGCTGAATCTGAATCTGTAATTAATTTTTGTCCAATCCTTTGCAATCGCAAGGAAAATAGAAATAGAGCGGAGATTTCTTGGGGACTTCATAAGGTGAAGTCAAGCTGCCCCCCCAACTGCTCGGTGGCCGACTGGTACTACTCTACAGGTGAACAAGCTAGGTTCTAGCTCCGTCACTCGAATCCTCTCTTGCGTTTTTAGTTCAGTCTTCATTGGCTGTTTTAGCCTTATTATTCTCTTTTGTAAATTCAAAAACCAATTTAAGAGTAAGTGTAAGACTTGTATTTGAAGTGTAACATTGTCAAATTTCGATCATTTTGTAATAATGATGGTGCATGATTATTTTGTAATAATTCAACACTTGCCAGTGCGTTTTTTGATCACATCCCCCCCCATTTGGCTCAGCTGGAAGTCTCACCTTCAATTGGAACTCGATCGCTGAATGAGCTCTCTGCTTAAGAAATCAACTCGATCTTTCTTCTTTTGAACCTCAACGTACTACTGCTAGAGATTTGTTGTTTTAGGATTAGTACAATAGAAGTATACTAGTTAACAAAAATTGATAACAATAGCCGTTTTTAAGAAACTCAACGTAAAATTCATCAAAGTTCAGCTTTTGCACCGCCGGCGCCATTGTTCTTCTTTTAAAGTCACCAACCGGCCTTTTGCTTTTTGCCAAAAAAAGCCAAAAAAGCTTTTTGTGAAAGTCGACAAAAGAGAAATTAGATACAAAAAAAGACAAAATGCCATTTGTGGAGATCACTTTCAGTTTCTTGTCTTTTTGCAATCACCCGATCGACCTTTGAAGATCATCACTCATACCCATTCATACCCACTCATCACTCATACCCACTCTCTCCTTTTCATTCCCATTTTAGACAAGGCGAACTTTTCATCAAGTGATCAAATTCCCATAGCTTTTTCGAAAAAAAAAAGGTATTTATTGCAATCCTTCCAAAAGTCCTTCTCTTCCAGGCCAAGTTCTCCCTTGAGCGTCCCAAACACGGCGATGGAAAGGTGATTGTCGGGGACATCGATAGAACCATGTTTGACACCTGTGTGCATGTGTTATCTTTAGATTTGAATAAAGAAAATACCAATGAAGTTCCTGTCTATCGAGAGGACCCGTGCAAAAATACGTCATTCTCGGCTTATCGTATTCGCCTAGATAAAGTTTGAGTAAAGGAATTGGTTCAACAATTACATTTGCATTCTCGAGTACAATGAGGATGGACGGCAACATTACATTCGGGAGTGCACGGGTGCTGCTTTTTAGCCTGGAATTGGTAATTGGTGAATTGGTGTTCCTGTTTACCAAGAGCAGTGTTGTTTCGGCTTGATCCGGTTCCCATTCTCTAACATCATCCCATTTTGAGGCTTCGTCCGAAGTTTCGGTGGGAAGTGGAGGCTTGCCTCTAGAATTTTAAAGGTTTTCGTTTTTAAAGTTAAAGTGAAACTTTTTCGTTCAATTAATTTCAAATTCCACTAACATTGTCATCTGTTTTGTTTGGGCTTTTGTCACTTCAGCAGACTCAATTTCCGGAAGTTCTTCGCTAAATTTTTCTTGATAAAAGTGCTAAACTTGAACTGAGCTAAACTTAACTAAACTGAACTAAACTTACCTAAACTTACCTTGCTAACTAAACTTGAGCCTTACCCACCTCATTTCAACTGGCTTTTTCTTGCAAAATTCTCTATATTGAGCGCAAAATTTCTCGAGAATTTTCCGATTATCGCTTGACTAAATAAAACTAAAATAGATGTTTATTTATTTCACTCACCTGTTCATCAAGCTTCGGACAGAAAAAGTCAAAGTTCGGGCCATAAGATTTACAATAAGAGCCTACAGTTACTGTCTAAATAAAAGATTATTTTACAAACAATAAGATCACAAGATTTCAGATCACAAGATCACCTCTCGCTTTCGTCTTTGAACTTTTGGGGGAACTGTTGGAGTGTCTGATGGAAGGACAACGCGTTGATCTCCTTCAAGTGGCACAATCAATAGATCTGTTGATCCACCCACATGTGAAGCTAAAGAGAAAGTTGGGGGAATTTGAAAAGCTTTTTATTTCTTTGAAAAGAAAAACCTTCATGTATCGTGGGTATGTTGGTGAGATCATCTTCATCTTCGAGATGATGTCGAGCCGAGATTCCGTTCAGAGAAAACACACAAAATCCACTCCAAATCACCCAAAAAAGCATTGATCAGCGCGATTTTTTTTGTGAATTGATTTGAGTATTTGGTGAGAGTGTTTGTGTTGATTGAAAATATGGGCAATCTTATGATATTTATCAATGAGAGAAATTCGCGCAAGAAAGCTCTCTCTCACTTTTTATCATTTTCTTTATTTTAAATGGAAAAATTTTTTTAAGGACAAGTTTAGCTGTTCAAGCTTCTGTTTGTTGTCGAGTTGTTGACCAATATATTGATAGAGCAAAATGAAACACAATGTTGAGATCCATTATAATCACCAAGATAAGTGATCTTTTAATCTAAATTATGTTATAGTTATAATAGTAAATCAAGTTAAAACTTTTCGGGGTAGCTTCTTGAATACTAAAGATTGGGAAAAGACCGAGAGCTCCGGGTGGGGGATTCGACAAATCAGCAGGAGGAGCTCGATCTGAAAGCTCGATCAATTACAAACTTTCTTTTCCTGAACACACCTTGATGATTATTCGTGGGCATCTTTTTCCATATAAAAACCATTTGTTTCCTATTTGTTGACTAAATTTGACATTTGTATGATCTCTATAAATCAAATCACTAAATAAAATAAATGAATATACCGCATTTTTCCTCGGACTTTTCAAATTGTGATTCTGTTGGGATGGAGTTGTGCGTGGACTCTCTCTACTTTTATAATCATTACAACTTTCCATTCCTATTAACTTACGAGCTTTGCAAGGCTGCTTTATAGTTCTCCACTTTCAATTCCCTCTCAATCATTTTGATGCAAGCATCAGGTACTAGAGATTTAGAAAAAAAGTTGATTGTTAAAAACATTGACTGCTTGCTGTTGTTTTAAACTTACAACTTTTGCACATTTGCTCGAGATCCTCATTTTCCACACAAAACTCTTTCAAGGAATCACAATTTTTCTGGCACAAATCAAGTACGGGAACCCAAATCGGATCAGCAAATGGATCACCACCTGGTTGTTTGAGGATAAGAATCAAGTCTTACAATCTCGAAACTTACAGATTTTTGAATGTTTCAAGAGAAGCGCCGAGTTGTCAAAACTGTATGAAATAGTTGCCAAAAAGAAGAGGGCAAAAAGATTTCGGAGACTCGATTTCAAGCAGAATTTATTCAGCAAAGACATTGACTCAATGTTTTGCGGTCAGCTTTTTGACCTCTATGTTCAAAATAAGGAAATTTCCGAGATTGAGAGAGGGGGACAATGGGCGGAAAAAAGGGAAGAAACATCTCGAAAAAAGAACAGAGAAAGAAAATCAAACGTCATCGCTGTTAAAGCACGATTTGTAAAGGAAAAAGGCTAAAAATAAAGCTAAATTTATCTGACTATCTGACGAAACATAAATGTAATAGCTTTCTTCTAAAAACTCAGATTACAGAGTCGATTTTGATGCGAACGTACGATAACTGCAGTTTTGTAATTTTGTTATTGTTCAATGTATGACATTTTTTTCATCAAAGTTATAGAACTTTGATATTTTCTGTGCACAAGTCAAAGATTTTGAACTTTTTTGTTTATTCAACTGTGCATTTGAGTACCACATGTCACCCGGTGGATTAGTTCACGTGCTTTGGTGCTGCGTGTACTTGAATGTCGTGATGCGTCCCCCCCCATGAACAGTTAATTCACGCAAACTTTTTTCAAACTATCCCAAAAGCTCTAAATTTGAATTTTGGATTAGTTTACATGGACGATTTTCACGAAGTCAGCAGCAATGTCGTCGTAAACGCCGATTGATTTGTCATTCGTCTTTCGCATCGTTTGGTGAGTGTTGATGTATTGTTTTTTGTTAATTTCTTATTAATATTGATCTTTTTAACGTGCACATAAATTGAAAATGTGCTGAATACCTCAGCTTTCACTCTAAATTACAAAAATATCAATATCAACAAGGATCAACAGGCTCAAAATTAAATTAAAATTAAAATTAAAGTTTAGGTGGGCGGGAGTGATAGCAAGCCGATTGCTCTTTCGCCATGGGATGGGATCGAGATGCGGAAGCTCTTTTACCTTCAACAAATAAGGTATGGGTTCATTTTTGGAGCTATAGTAGTTGTGTTAGTAATTATTTACAAGTTTTTGAGCGTTTGACCACGAACTTTTGAGGTTTTTATAAATTTTATAATTCTAAAAATAGCTTCGAAAAAAGACTTTTAGTTTCCTACTATACCCACACGATTTCCTTCCTACTCCGATTTTTATATCTGTTGTATGGTTTAAAAACTATATATTTTAAAAATTTTAGCTTGATCACCCCGCCTACATTTCTTTTGGTTGTCTTCCGATCTTCTACGGAACCGAACGCGATGCTTACACTTTTTACACGGGACAGGTAATGATTATTAGTAATTCTTTTGATTATTTATTTTTTTCTTTAGAAATATCTTCGAATTGCAACGTTTTACGTGGTGTTGGTCGGATGCAGTTTACCGATAATTGCGCTTTTCATGTGTATCACAATTGCACTTCTTTTTCATTTCAACGAGGCCACAAAGTAAGTTTTGGAGATTTGCTTATAAGCATTGACTATCTTGAATGCGAGTCTGGCCATACATAAGAACATGGAAGTAAAAGCATTTTGTTAATTAAGTTTTAGCACACATTGTCGAGTGGAAAACGTGCTGCCTTCAATCTCAACAGTGATCGGCGGTTTTCCGGAAACGACTTTCATCTGGAGTTCCCTCATTTATCTTCACTTCATCCCGAGGTTGAAACTTGTGTAAGAAACTATTTCCAATCTTGAAAGTCTAGGTTGCTACCGCTGCTTTCCTACCATCAAACCTTTCGTTTACGGCTTAATTTGAAGAGTTTTCTGAAGCGCTCACTTCTCAGGTTTGCAACACTTTTATGTTAGAGAGTTTTTCTTATTTAGAAGTCACCTTGCGCTTGGTTTTATCGAATTGGCTGCATTGCTCTCACTCACTTATTACAACTCGGACTACAACCACGAATATCACGTCATATCTTTTTCAATTTTTGGAGTAAGTCATTTGTCAAATGATTAACTGAATTAAAAATTTAGACGAGCTCGTTGCTTTATGCATTTGCACATTGCTTGTTGTTCAAACTGACACAAATGGATGTTCAATCAAAAGGACATATCCTTAGCTGGAGGTATGTATATGTTTTGTATGTGTGCAAAATGAAATAAAAAGTGTGTTAGAAAATCGATTAAGTTGATTTGATGGGAAATTTCTCCATTTTATTGACAAACAATGTCGCTTTTGTAAAGTGTGTGATCAGTCTTTTTATGGCGGTGAATCAAAAGACAACAAAACCTAGTAACAAATCTTTATTACAATTTGTTTAGAATGAAGCGACGAACGTTCAGTATGAGTGTTGGATGTCTGTTGATGTGTGCATACCTCTTTTATCGTCACAACACTTACTGCGAGCCGTTCGTTTTCTCGGTGTTTGCCTTTTTCGAATACGTGTTTGTGCTTTCGAATATCGCTTTCCATTCAACATTTCGTTTCGATTTCTCTGATTGTTCGTTGTACATTTCGTGAGTTGCTCTTTAGAAGGTTTTAGAAGGTAATTTTGTGATAAAACTTTCGAGGTTTGTTTTATGTGATAAAATTGTTAGGCTTTCGCTAAGTGTTTCTTATTTAAATGCTCCTTTAAAATGATGCTTAAGTTTTGACAAATACTAATCCTCTAAAATTTTCCCCAGTGCCTTTGCCATGATCATGCAACTCATTTATTGGATAAAAAGAAATTCAATCGTTTATTTATTTATGTAAGCTCGGAATCCTAATCGGAAGTGAATCAATATTTGATCAAAAAGTTAGGGTCATTGAAAATGATGTTGTAAATGTTTAAAGCTTATAAACAAAAAATGTAAAAACAAGGAGCACCGGATAAAATCGGGATTCAACGAAAATTCAATTATCGCCTTAATGAGTACTTTATATTGCACTAGTACACGCATAAAAACACTGGGTCAAATCTCTGGCACAACCTGAATCAATGGTAAATCAATGGTAATAAAATTCCCTGAAAGCATCAGAATTAGAGTTTAATAATAATTTAGACTATCAGAAATGATCATGAGCTTCAAATGCATGAAGTGCACGTTCTCTTCATGCAGAGAATCGCTGAGAGTATGTTGAGAAGAACTGGAAATTTGCTTTTAAGGAAAGATTATCGTACTTTATTTACTCTTCCTCCCGACTAACGTGTTTTCTGAAAAGTAACAACTTTCGAAAACTACCGTACTGTCTTGATGACCTTCAACTTCTTCAACTTCAAGAAGTCAACAGCTTCAACAACAACTTGAGACTACAAACAAACTTGTTCAAAATCAGGTTTCATTCGGTTTTTACTAACTAGATTATGGTAGTTTTAGAAATTTGGCACGTTTTACAAAACGCATTGTTCGAGAGAACCATGCTTTGGATACCACAAACCTTCAAGACCCGCAACAACGAATTGCACAGAATTCACAGCAATTCCAACCTAAAAGTTATCATCTCGAATCACGAATCTTTTCTCCAAATACCAACCTTCAATTGGAAGAGACAACTCCTGAAATCGTAACGATCCATATGCGAGAAAATATACGAAATCCTGAAAAGTTTAACATAATTTTTGATAGGCTTTTCTCTGTTTGCCTGCTCGGATCATGTTCTCCCAGAAGACAAAAAGCGGCTCCTCTTTCAATCTTTGGATGACTGTATGTGCCGACTGTCATCCAGTTTCTAAATTACTTTTTTTTAAAAGTATAGCAATAACACTTTTTAATTACCTAGCCGAAAGCCCACCACCGATGAGACACATTCCGACACAAATTAGCGAAAGAACGAGATGCGCCATGTACAAATTGATGGAACCAATCTGAAATGGGTATCATTTGAAGTGCTATAGTTTCAAGACAAAAATCTTGAGTGATTGATTGAAAAAGTTGGTGAGCATAAGAGGATCCAAGCTGACATAAAGAGAATTGGCAAATAGAATTGGCAAATAAAAACTTGTACCGGCTTGCATAAAAAAGTAGAAATAAACTAGATAATGGCTCTTGAGCATGTATTGATTAATAGTTTTTTTTTAAATCAAATTTATCTCAAGCGCCATCGTTTCACTATCACTATCATGTTCCTCGTGATTCAATAATTAATTGAATAAATGAGAAGTGAATGATCACTCTCGACGTCGATTGTTTAAGAAATCATGCATAAACTGGACAAAAAGACACTCCAAAAATTGTATTTTTCATTGTATAAAGCACCTTTTTATGAAACCAGCTACCCTCTTGAACCTAGGCATCCAATTTTTTTCAAATGATCAGATAAACGGGCAAACCTTGGCCGCCGCCGAGCCGATGATGGCGTTGATGAGGAAGAAAGCGCCCGTCCAAATAGCTGAATGCCATGGACAATAATCGGCTGTATCCCTCGCACACCAAATCCCACCACCAAGCACAACCACTAAAAGAGATTGTATGAAAGAGATTGGATATCTAAAAAAATTCTTTGCTGACTGTGCTCCTCGCAACTAGTGGATATCCTACTTTCAGGATTAGAGAACTCTAAGACCGTTGCAGTTTTACCGTTACTTTCAGGATTACAGAACTCTAAGACTGAGGAACGGTAGCTTTTTGAAAAAAAAAACTTTAATTGAAAGAAACGTTCATCCTCTTTCGTAAAGTCAATTTACTTACAAGCAAGCATCGCTTCCACTAGCGCCAATCGAAACATTCCTCGGTTTTCTCTTCGTGGAAATCGATCGAACCACATCGGATTGTAGGCGGGTTGGGCATAGTCGCTCTGTAAATGTTCATTGCATTCATTTATGTTAACTCAATTTAAGCATTTTCCCCCGTTGAAGCAAACAAACTGCAGTACTACAAAGGAGCTGTGTTAGAGCATTCGCACAAAAAAATCCGAGAAATTTTTAAAGTAGAAAAGTCGAGAATCGAAGTGAGAAATACCGACCATGGGCGGCGGGGGAGGGGCATAATTGGGTGGTCGTCTTGTTGTCGGATTGTAGGTGCCCGCTGGACTCGATCCACCATTGTTCTACATTTGATCAATATAAAACACTTCGTGCTTTTCATTGACGTAATACATGAATGAATGCATAGCACACATCAAGCAAACATCACAAAATCTTTCGCTTTACCTTGCCCGCTGATGTTTGATGATAGAAAAAGAAAGACCTGATTGATATTGATTTCCAAGCTTGGCGCAGTCGGGCCGGGTACTGGTTGATATCCACCACCATACGCCATTTTGTTGTTTTTCTGGTTCTGATAGGCGAACTTGTTGTTATAATACTCGTTTCCCATTACGATACCTAAATACTGAGATATTAGGCTGTTCAGAAAGTCTTTTCGTTCCTTCCGTTGAAAAATAACAAATTCACCAAATTAACGAACGAAAAGACTTTCTAGACAGCCTACCGTAAATACTGTAATAGTACCCCACCCCCCTTGTACAGTCGCGTAGTCGCTAGTCGCTAAAATCGCTAAAGTTTTTTAGTATTTCATTTTTTTCAAAGCGCCCGTACTTTCAAAAAATGCGTCTTTGGTATCAAAAAATAGCCCTGAATTTCAGCTATTTTTTGATACCTAAGAGCGCATTGTAGCATAAACTAGTGTCGAGAAAAACTCGTTCAAAGCTAAACTACGCAACACTCCGCACCGTCATTATTGGGGTGGGGTACTATTACAGTATTTACGGTAATAATAAATTAGATCATTTTTGTTTGTTACCTATGCACTAACTATAGATTTTTCTCGAGGCTTCAATCGAAAAGGCGTCACCTGAAAAGCAAAAAAGGTTTTTGTGGTAAGAGAAAAAGATCAAGCGAAATTTCGTGGACAAAGCAATCGGTGATGAAAAGAAAGGGTAGTTTCGATTGATCATGATTGAAAAGGTTTTAAAACGATGAAAATGAATGAAGAGAGATCGGGGGGAATCGATGATAACCTTTCCCATGCAAACCTTTCTTTTTCGCACGTCTTTCAACTCGTTTTAAAAAAAAAGGACTTTTTCTTTTGACTTGACTTTTCTCGAGGATTCGATCTCTTGAAAAGTTGAGTGACCAGCTGTTCATTTCATTCCTCATAAAAACACCTTTATTCCTAAGCAAAATCATCGAGAAAAGATTCAAAATCTAGTTGTTAAAATCATTTGAACAAAATCTATTATATTAGGTTGATGCGTAAGTGTTTTTGTTCCTTTTCGTCTGCCGTTTCAAGCCAACAAATGCACCAATTAAACTACGGTTGATTTCATTAGAAAAACCAATTATTTTTCTGCAAAATAACATTAAAACGGGTTTAAAAATATTTTATGCCTGGATTTTCTTGAGAGTATGAAGTCGGGTAGTCAAAAAGGGCTAACTCGATGATGCGGTTTAGACACCTTAGCTAAAGAAAACCTATCTTCGTGTCAATAGATAAAAGATAGAGAAAAAAAAGTTTGATATTTCGCCAAAATTTCAGAGAAATTCATTCAGCCAATTTTTCCGTAGAGTTTTTTATAGATTTTTACGAAAAAGGCGTTTTTCACTCTCGAATTTGCTTGAAAGTGAACCGAAATTGATTTAAAAAGATGCAAATTGAACAAAAAAACACTTTTTTTATAGAGCAAACTATAGATTAATTGGTGAATTTGTTACTTTTTAACAGAAGTACGAAAAAAACGAAAAGATGCATCAACCTATTATATAAAAGAGCAGTGTTTTCGGTTCGGCTGGTTGGTTAATAGTTCTAATGTTTACATGGGCTTTTTTTTGACGTTTTTTTTATGACAATGCTTGGGCGTGAAAAAATAAAATTTGCGATAACACATTGCGGCGAAATCGACTTGTTTGATTTGAGAAAAAGTGAGAGGGCGCCAAGCTTAAACAAGATCTTCGAAGTCTGGGAAATTGACAGCTACTCATAGTAGTTCAGACAGTAGTTCAGACAGAGTTGATGGTAGTTCAGACAGAGTTGATGGACGGATATCAGTAATACAAATCTTAGCGATAAATCCTATGTTTAGCAAAAAGAATTTGAAGAATTTTTATAATATATATAAAAAGCAACGTGAGAAAAACGAAAGAAGATAGGAAGAGAGAGATTGATTGTGGAGAGTGGAGAGTGGAGAGTGGAGAGTGGAGAGAGAAGCGGGCAAAAAAGGGCAAGTATCTCGTCTGATTCGATTACGTTCACCCCAATTGATCGTCTTTCAACAAATTGTGACCCCTATTTCGAAATAATTGATTTTCTTAAAAAAATGAAACAAAGAAAAAGGACGAGAATATTGGATGAATAAAAACTGAAAAAGGCGAAGCAAAAGGCAGAATTGGGGGCAGAGGGGGGCGAAATCTGATATGCTGAATCGAAGGCCACCATCCATCCCTTCTTTTTTTGGGTGCTTCCACTTTTTTTTCCTTTTTGAAATTCTTTCCACATGTCAATCTAAAAAGCTACCCTCTTTTGGATGCCTTCTTTCGCACGCTATTCGACAATTAACGCGCCAGTGACGAGTTGTCAAAATCAGACAGAGATCAGACTAAGCTGATTGGTGCTACCCCTTGAACTTTAAAAAAAACTAGATACTATTTAAAAATCAAGAGCGGTTTCTTTGAAGAATTATGAATGAAGAGAGAATTGAAAATGGTTCAAAAGCTTGGGATTTCAAAAAATGCCAAAAATATCTTTGACATATTGGGAAATAGCGGTAATGTATGAAGAAGCGGCAACTCTTTGGACAGTGAATCTAAGTGAAAAGAAAAAAAACGGGCAAAGTGGAGGGGGGATGGATCTGTTTGCACAGAAGGGAAAGAAAGGAGTGGGAGGATCGAAGAGGAAAAAGGATTTGAGAAAAGCAATGCAAGAAGAGCATCGAATAATGAGAGAAAGAATTGTAGAGAACTACTCCAAACATAGTTCAAAACCCATGTCAATCTCCGAGACTTTTGCGAGAATTTGTTGAAATTTTGCTTTAATAAGTGACATTAACGTTTTCAGATTTAGAATAAACCTAATGAAATATTATTTGATCTATTTGATGAGTGTGTGCAGAAGATGAAGGGTCAGATGAGTCATTTGTTTAACTATGAGTCCTGTGTTTTCGAATCTCTAGAAAAGAAAAAGAAAATGATCTAATTGTGGCTTTATTGAAATCGTGAATCAAAACTAAAAAAAAAACAAAATCTAATAGAGAAAAGGAGTGAGAGTCTAGGCAAAAAAAAAGTCGATGTGCGATAGGGAAAATGGGGAAAGACGAAGGAACAACTAAATTGACGCAAATTGTGCGACAAGAAAAGACATGACATCCAGAAAGAATCTCTCAAAGTCTTCTATGAAATAAGAGTTAAAAGTTTAACTTTCTAAAAGGTTTTGGTCTTGAGATGAAAATGAAATAAAGAATTCTAAAATATTAGGTGTGTGAAAAAGTAATCCACGTTTTTAACGTTTAAATATAAAGACCATAAGTTTCGTTAAAATAATTTTTATTCAACGAAGTAATCACCATTCGAAAGAACAACCTTTTGCCAACGTTCTACAAGTAAAGACATTCCACGATAATAAAAATCTTGGTCCTTAGAGGCGAAGAAAAGATCAACCTCGGTTTTGACATCTTCTTCGGAATTGAACCGTTTATTGGCCAAAAAGTTAGACAGAGACAAAAATAAATAATAATCAGATGGAGAAAGGTCTGGACTATAAGGTGGATGTGGTAAAACCTTCCATCCAACACTCTGGATTTTTTGTCGAGTCTGTAAAGAGACATGTGGTCGCGTGTTATCGTTCATGCGGTATCCATTTGTCCAACTTTTTGATAAAATTCATGGCATTCAAGCGTTTCCTTACTGTTGACCCATCACAAATTAATGTAAGGCCTATTTCTGAAGAGGTTGAACGAGGGTTTTCGAGAAGACAGCGTCTTCTTTGGTCATCAGATAAAAATAAAAAACGTGGATTACTTTTTCACACACCTAATAGCAGTAAGTTTTCATTGATTCTTGTCTAATGAATCATATTATTTAATAAAGAAATTAACTGTAATAAAGAATAGTTGAGTCTACATCGAACTTTTCTGCCCCTTGCCATTTCTCGACCACTTTGCGTAATCAATCAAATTTTGCAGCTTTTTCATAGAGACAAAAGATCACCCAAGATGCAATCATTGATCGCAATCATTGAGTCCACCGTGATCCTAGTCGCCATCTCGGCAAAGTTTTGGCCACAGAGCCAGCGGGCGGCTCGGTTTCTCAAAAAATTTGACGGGCCTGTCAGAAGGCGTTTTCTCTCTTCCCCAAAGTCCCCAAGCTTTCCCCAATTGCCCAAGCTTCCCCCTGTTTACTCGGCTGTCACTCATTGCCGGATCTCTATTCATTTCAACTTGCCCACACCTCGAATCATCGTTTACCCCTTTTTTTTTCATTTCACGGCACAATCATTTTCACCACACACACTCACCAAAGCTCGACTCAATTTCCCCAAACCCTCCCACGTTTATGCTTCGTTTGAGCCTCCTCGTAAACTTTTACGACTTGATCAAACTCAGTGAATGGGTAACTAGTTATAAAAAGGTCTCAATGAACAGGAATGGCTTGTCATTTCATGTTTTTGTAACCTTTTTTTTGTAACCTTTCCATTAGAGATAAGCCTTTTGCACTTCGAATTTTCATTTGAAGTTTGAAGTTTTTTTTCTTCAAATTGAGCCTTATTTCAAAGATGTGGCGAGAAAATTGAGTGGTCGAAGATTGGTTGTTTATTTGGTAGACATTATGAATGCCTATTATAGGAGAAAGAGGGGATGAAAGTTGGGGAGAAGATTGGGAAGAGATCGGAAGAAGGGGAGGCAGAGCTGTGACCCATGAATTATTCTCGGAATTATTTCACACACGCAACCTTGAGAAGAGAGCCACAAGCCAGGGGTTGCCTCTCTTTTTTTCACCTTTTTTTTAATGATGCCTTTCCACTTACTATTAGAGATCGAAAACACGAATGGAAGAAGAGCAAAAGGGTTCAGGGATGAGGGTGAAGAAGGCTCAGTTTTTCTCTATCATCCTCATTTACTAAACTCTATCTTTTAATGAAATGACGTCTATCATCTGCCCTTTTCTTCATCTAACACCAAGAACTTCTTTAATTTGAATGATCACTGAGGATCACTGAAGATTTGTTTCAAATCTATTTTCAAATCCAAGTATCTTATTGCTTTTAATATTAAAATTTCGAATTTGAAATTGATCTCTAGTAAATCAAAGGTAAAATGTTCATTTACTTTGTTGCCAGAAAAGGTATGCGTCATGTGAAATCCGATAGGTTGAGGAGGTTGAAGG